CCCCTGTTGTCCCAACCAAGACTCCATGTCACAAAGTAGTTGTCATTACACAGGTCTAGTCGTGTGACCTGGTTCCTAAAACGGAGAATTCGGGCAGCAACACAACAAGTTCATGACCGTCAACGGGATAGGACACAATGCTCTACCGAGGCTTTCCTCCAAACATTTCTAGGTTTGTGTTAGTTAATTCCACTAGAGTTGGGGAGCCAAGAATAAATTCTAGCCACGTTTAACTTGTCTCAAAGAGACGAAACTTCTTACCTGGGAAGTGCTCTTTGGCGTACTGTTCACATGCCTGTTGAGAAATGGATCAGTACAAGCTGTAATATAAACACAAGCGAGGAGCCCAAAACTTACCTTGGCAGGTTTGCCAACCTTCTGGCCAATAACTTTCCATTTGTTATTTTCGTATTCCTTGATTGCATTCAAGAGGGCTTGGCTCTGTACGAGAAGAATCAAGGTCAGTACTTTGAAGTTCACAAATCAAGCCTAGAGAGTGTGGTATCAAGAATGGACGTACCTCATCCTCTGCAAATTCGGCGTAATGCATATCCTAAGCCAAAGTCAGTCCTCTCGCTCCTCATGCTCAGGTGTACCGGGCAAGTTCAAACCTTATACCAGTGCTTCTTCACTGAGCCTTCCGTCCTGCTCGGAAAAGTCTAAGTCATGGTTAGTGGACGACATCGGCCTACTCTCGGCGGATTATACGCACCTTGGCAATCTCAGCCCAGCTGTTGCCGGCGTCACGCATCTGCTTGAGTCGTAATTCTTCCCCAGGAGTCCAGGGGGTGTTTGTTCTGCTCTTCTTCGCGGGAGGAGGCGCGACAGCGGCCGCGTTTGCGTCCTCGACGCCCGGAGGCTGGGGAGCCTGCTGTGGTTGCTGGGTTGGCGTGCCCTGAGGAGCAGGAACGCCAGGTACTGCAGCCTGGGCTTGAGCAGGAGTTCCGGCAGCAGGAGGAGGACCTGTCGTCACAGGAGGAGCCGCTGCAGCAGCTGGATTGGGTCGCTTGCGCGAACGCGGCGGTTGCGCCGGCGTCTGGGTTGGGGTCGGCTGCTGCGACGAGGGCGCGTTAGGCGATTGTTGAGGCACATTCATCGGCGGCTGGACTGGAGTCGGATGGTGCTGCTGCGGCGGCATGTTGGGAGGCTGACCAGCGTAGAAATGCTGCTGCGGCTGGTCATTGCGACGGGCCATGTCGGCCGGGTACGTATGTTGACTTGATGGATGTTAGCAAGGAACAGCAAGTGAGCTTTTAGGGCTCTCTGTGACATGATGACCGCGACCTCCCCAAGATGGGGAGGGAGAAAGATATGGACCGTCTTTTGAGTGCAAGTATGATGCTGTCACAACAGGTACAGGCTGCCAGGCGCGCCCAAGGAAAACAAGCAGGCGGACGACGGTGATACACGATGCCCATTCTGCTTGTTTCGAAGTACCTTGATGCGACCCGCACCTACCAGGTTGAACAGCATCTGTATGGGGGGGGATTCAAGGGATACTTGATGTGAGGTAGAGTAGGCATGGTACGTTGTGCAGCGGGATGTTGGTGACCCAAAGCGGGTGGGCGTTGAGGTACCGGGAACAAATGGATCATGTAACTCACTGCACGTCATTGGGTTGGTGTGGGTTATTGGGGTAGACGTATTCTGGCATAGGGCCAACCTGCCATTGCTGCATGGTCTAAAACTCCAGAAGAATATTGGTTAGTATCAAATCCACGTTAAAATTCTGCTAGAAAAGAGACACGAACGGGCCACACGAACGGGCCACACGGATGGATCAGTCGATGGACGTCGACTGGATGAGTAAAAATGCCTTGCAGAAGGGGGAAAAGGGAAGCGGGAGGAAAATTCGAAAGCAAGTAGCGATGACGAACGCCTGTAAGGTAGGTCGAGCACTGAGAGAGAGGGCCAAGGGCAGGGGCTGTGTAAAAATGAGGTAGGCAGGAGCCCCAGTGTGGCGCCCACAATGAACCGAACGAATCCCAGTCACCGGGGAGTGATGGACCGCCAGCAGCTAAGCAGCCAAAATGGCCCAGGAGCAGGGGGGGGAAGACAGGAAAGAGACATGGGGGTGGTTGGCGTGAACGCGACATAGCCACAGCCAATTACACCTGTCAACATTCAATGACGGAATGATAGGACGACTCCCATCATCGCCCAGAGTGGCGCATTGATATCTTGGGAGATGGAACAAAAGCAGTGCGACACAAGGTGAATTCGTCGCAGACATTCATGCGGCGACCAAGAAGAAAATGACATGAGAGGAAAAGAGCCGACGGGGGGGTGGGAAAATTTTGTCGATGATAGGAAGGCTCGGGGTGGTAGAGTGGGAAGGTTACTCACGACGGCTTGTATGGGGCGCTCAAGGCGCGTGTGCGTTCAGATCGCGAAAACTCCTCTGTATCCGGGGGTCGCGTGTCTCTGCAGTCGACACGTTGTAGTAGCACAATCGAGTCCTCGTAGACGGGGACAAGACACGTTGGATAGGTACAAGCAAATATCAGGTAACCCTGTGTGGTGAGTGATGGCGGATACGTGTACCTATACGCGGCGGCCAGATGGCATAGGTGACGGAGGATGATTGGTTTATGTGTAAACCAAAAGCAGACGACTGCGCAGGTGGTATGTAGGCAAGGAGGCGAAAGGTTGCAGTGACTTTGGGTCGCTCACAGGGCTAAACCTAGTGGTACGGGAAGTAAGGTTTAGCCAGCCAGCCAGCAAGGGAATTCAAAATTGAGCGCGATGAGTGACGCGGGAGGAGCGGGAATTGGGTACAGGAATTTCCTCGCTATGTCGCGGTGATGTAGCTCCTCTTTTTTCGAATGCAAATGGTGAAAGGAGAAGGGAGTGGGGAAAAAAAGAGGCCTGGCAGGCTCGCTTACAATGCTGTGTGAAGGCGGTGGTTGGGCAGAACAAACGGTGGCAACGGTGACTTGATAAAATCAAGGAAAATTGAATAGCGCCGCTTCCGAAGCTGCCTGGATTGGACCGGGCTGGGCGTGGGCTGTTCCGGGTGATGTGCAAGAAAATCAGAGGTGTGCTGCAGAAGCCAGACACGATGCTTGAGGGGCCGGAGCCGTTGACGATGTCGCAGTGCGACAATGCAGGATGAGATCGATGTTGAAGTTGACAAGGCGAGTGCGGTGGAGCACTCTGGGGTGCCAGCTGGGGCAGCAAGTAGGTAGGAGGTAGAAGGCGATGGCAAGGTGAGGGCGATACTTGGGATCGTGTACCTCAAGTCCAAGTAACTTTCTCTGCAAAGGGCGGTGCGGATGGGTCGATGTTTGGGAGAGGATGGGTAGCAGGGCTGGCCTGTTTTTCTCTCTGCTGCCTGAAAGCAGGAGGGAGCCAGGGTGAGTGGGGATTAGGGGCCGCACGGAGGCCGCCGAGGTACTGGACGCGCGCATATGTCATCTTGACACTGTGCGCCTGCCTGGTCTTCTAGCCGCGTCGCACAGTTTCAACTCAGCGTCATGGGCTAACCGCTACTTATGCATGGCCCATGCTCTCCGTGCTAGGGGCACTGTACTCTGGCGGTCTCTGATTGGCGCCGCAATCTGAGGCCAGCAGTTGCTACGGAACCCTATGATAAGCAGTCAGGAGCTGGTATGACAGGCCGTCGAAGGTAAACACCACAATAGGCAGTAGAATTTGGTCGTGGGATTTGCGAAGCTAGTATTTGTCATGGGCATTTTGCGAGCTCGCATCGGCCGTCAGATGGCGACAGTGTGCGCCGCCTGTCAGATATCACGCGTCTGCACTTCGGCTCGTATCGGCAGCTAAAAATACCTGGCCACGGAGTACCTCCTCCCTACACCTCCTTGGTGTTTAATTGGCGATGATCTAGCTCGGGGTTTCAAGCCAGCCGTCCTGCCTGCATGTGCAGTATGTAGCATGCGCCAGCTTTCTCCCATCCCCCCACGGCTACCACCTTGGCCTGCCTGGTCAAATGCACGCTCTCAGATTCGGGACTTGAGGTATCTGGTACATTTGGCGCCGTTTCCATCCTTCTCTGGGCCAGGGCACTAGGGCTCGCAGATCTTCCCGGTCGATCTAGCTGAAGGGTCAGGCAGGAGTACTTTCGCGTCTCCCGGCCAGGTACATCGACGAGCTGCACGCGCCGACGACACTACTGCGATATTGCCCTCCCTTGCTAGGGATGCTCCACCTCCACTCGACTACATGACGGGTCAGAGCTGGGTACATCGATCCAAAGTCTTCTCGTCTCGGCCGAGTACTTTTCGTGGCCTGAACTACAAGTTCTGTACTTCCCTAGCTGCGGTAGCCCCATCGTCCTTCTAGAAGACAGATCTGGGGTACTGGGCTAGCTACATGACCCATGAGACTCGTCTGAAAACTCGGTTCTGATACATGAGCATTCAGTAGCTTATCAACTTTGTGTGTGACGTTGGCGAGGAGTGCCAAGAAGCGTAGCACGTCTGACATCAACACTGTGCTCTCTAGCTCATTGACCCCTTTTCCCGACTTTCTGACACGCACCAGCGACCAATGATTAAAAGCAACAGGTCAAAAAATCACCACGACATCTCCTGATACACTAAGGATGACCGACAACGCATTTTAAGATTTCGCCGCCGACATGCATGTGGCCTTTTAGCAGTGTAAGTCATCATTTGGCTGAAGTTTACTTAGTATTCACAGTTTGTCCTAGTGTCGCCTGGTTGTGCTACAGGGTAGGAAACTTCCCAAGGCTGGGAACGCGAGCTAATGTGTTCAGATTGTCAACGACTCTGTGTATATCATTTCGAGCTGGATAGAGCGTTGAAAAGACTATGCCATAGCTCTGGGAGGAGGCATGATCCTGCGCCTGGCTTGTGGCGTCAGTTTCTTCTATGAAGCGCGGTAAGTAAAACAGGCGCACAATAAATCGCCTGATCTACCTAGATCAATGCTGAAAGGATCTTTGGTATACGCGCTCTTTATCAGTAAGAACCCACCTTGATTTCAACAGTATTGAATTTCCGTTGTGATATACGATGGACTCACGCCTCGAGGCCTCGGGCGTGGACGAGCTGGCTCGTCGGCGTGGCATCCGTGTTATCTCACTGGACAGGCCAGGCTACGGTCTGTCTACCACGCAGCCCAACCGGACTATCGTGGACTGGCCCGCTGACGTCCGGGCCTTTGCAGAGGGCATGAAACTCGACAAATTTTCCATCATAGGCGGCTCAGGTGGCGGGCCTTACGCATTGGCATGCGCACATGCACTGCCGCGGGAGATGCTGGCTGGCGTTGGCTTTTTTGCCAGCGCACCACCATGGGCGGCTGGCGTGCATCACATGTCGCGGGCGCAGAGGGTAATGTGCTGGATGGCCACGAGCACGCCGGGGGTATTGAGCGCCGCACTGCTAAGAATATTGCGGAATCCAAGCTGGGCCAGAGGAAACTCAAGAACTGATTGAGTAGGCTGCTGTCTGCTCACGAATGGGGATTCAAGTTTGAATATGTCGGCTACAACCAGGTCTGGATATGGCACGGGGCCAATGATGCAAATGCTCCTATCGTCATGATCGAATACTTGGCCAAGAGGCTGCCCCATTGCACACTCCGCGCGTTCTCATATGATACCCACTTCACCATGTTCAAACGTCTTGAGCTTGCTTTGGACGACTTGTTTCCTGGCGAGACCCGAAAAAAAAACCATAACATTGCTATGCCGGGAAGGCTGCTCCTTAGCCTTCTTCTATTCCACTAAATATTTTCCCTGTACAAAATCACCTTTCTGAGATTACATATTAGACGCGGTCGGTAGCGAGATTTCATTATTGATATAGACTTCTTGGTTGACTTGAGCAAAATAGAATACACCTTTCACATCTCTCTTTATCAAATTGATAGCCCCTTGCTCCCTTACTCGAATGAACTTGGAACAAGCAAGCGACTGGCATAAAACATGGCACACCAAAACTCCTTACACGCAAGTCAGAGACCTCGTTTTCTGATTAAAAATACTAAGCACAATAAAACATTATATATTATTCTACAATATTAGCTCGATATTATGTTTATTGCTGAGTTGATTGTTTTGACATTATGTTGAGATTCAACGCTGGAGGTTCTGGGTGTGCCATGTATGTCAATCGCTTGACAAGCCACTTACTTTCCACTTGCCAAACACTAAAACAGCGTCATCGTCGGACGATCACAGTCCGGGTGTCCAATCAGAAGCGGCTGAATTGTAAAGGGCAATGGTGAGAGACGGCCAAATGCTCCACTTGGAAGGCCGCTATGGAAATGGAGGTATGAGGGGCCGTGGAGAGTGAGGGGTAGTATAACAACAAAAAGCTACTGACCAAGTAATTATGTAGGTAGTGCGACTGTATTGGTATTTTACTTTCTGGCCTGGGGACCATCAATTGATCCAGTCTGATCGAAAACAGGTGTTCACCATCTCCATCTGCCTCGCCGCGATCCCTCATGTAATTCTTCCCACTTAATCTAACCTCCCACAAACCCTGACACGCTCAGAGCGCAGCAATATTCTCCTCAAGGTGGGTTGGATCCAAGCAAGCAAACACCGTCCTTGGCCGGGCGATCCACTCTCCCTGCGTGGGGAAATCGTCAATCCTACTGCACACCTGCCCAGCCGAAGAGTTCTGGGGAGCATGATCCGACTACGGAGCCCCCCAGGTGAAACTCGCCTGCATGAAGCTACGGATAGCCAATGCCAGCGGCCCAATCCATCGTCGGATTAGGTAGATTCCCACTTGGAATAATGGATTCAGTTACTCGTCACAATCGGCAAACGCCTCCACTCGCGAATCGGAGTGTCGCCGATGGCTTGCCGTAATTTTTCTTTCACTTCCTTCACACTTCCCCCTCCTGTTCATTACTGATTATTCTCATTGTCAAATTTGAATTTGCATGTGGATAATCTTCTCACTGAGACAAAGCAACTGTAGTTCACTCCTCCTCCACAGGCCACTGCCGACTCCGTTGATCCACGATGGCTTCAAGCGGGAACGACCTACCTCCCACGGAGCCCGACCCCAAGTCGAGCAGTGATTACATCCAGTTCAAATGCATGCCCCCCGGAGGTCCCTTGAACAGGTGGTCGACGACACTAACCCGCGGCCATGATTACCCCGGTGCTCAGGTTGGTCATCTACTACTTACCGTATGCTGTGCTTTGGGACATCCGGTGGTTAATAGACGATCAAACAGGCCATGCTCTACGCATGCGGCGTGCCGGACCCAACTGTGATGAAGAATGCCCCCCAAGTCGGTGTTGCAACAGTTTGGTGGGAAGGCAATCCATGCAAGTGAGTTGCTCATAATGCCCAATCCATAGATAGAGTCTAACAAGGAGTTTCCAGCACGCATTGTAAGTGGGCATGTTAGTGGCGAAGCCAAGTAGTTGCTCACAACACGAGTACAGTGATGGAATTCGGCCAGATCGTCAAGGCCGCCGTCGAGAAGCAGGGCATGCTTGGCTGGCAGTTCAATACTGTCGGCGTCTCAGACGCTATCACCATGGGCGGCGAGGGTACTGTCACAAACCTATCAAGAACCCAAGCATCACTCACACAAGGCTGACAACCTCACAAGGAATGCGCTTCTCCTTGCAAACAAGAGAGATCATAGCGGACTCCATCGAGTCAGTAACGTGCGGCCAGCACCACGACGCCAACATCTCCATCCCCGGCTGCGACAAGAACATGCCTGGAGTCGTCATGGCCGCCGCCCGCCACAACCGGCCCTTCCTGATGATCTACGGCGGCACCATCCGCAAGGGCCACTCCGCCCTCCTCGAGAAGGAGATCAACATCAGCTCCTGCTACGAGGCCTCGGGCGCCTACACCTACGGCAAGCTTCACGCAAAGACCAACCCCGGCGAGCCCGGCCGCACCAGCAGCGACGTCATGGACGACATCGAGCGCCACGCCTGCCCCGGCCCGGGAGCCTGCGGCGGCATGTACACGGCCAACACCATGGCCACGGCCATCGAGGTCATGGGCCTCACCCTCCCCGGGTCCAGCTCCTACCCGGCCATGTCCCCCGAGAAGCGCCGCGAGTGCGAGAGGGCCGCCGAGGTCATCAAGGTCGCCATGGAGAGGGACATCCGCCCCCGCGACCTCATCACCCGCCGCAGCTTCGAGAACGCCCTGCGCTTGACCATGATCCTCGGCGGCTCCACCAACGGCGTCCTGCACTTCCTCGCCATGGCCAACACCGCCGGCGTCGAGCTGACCCTCGACGACGTCGCCCGCGCGAGTGACAGCACCCCTTTCCTGGCCGACCTGGCCCCGAGCGGCAAGTACTACATGGAGGACCTCTACAACGTCGGCGGCACCCCCTCCGTGATCAAGATGCTCATCCACCGCGGCATCCTCGACGGCGGCATCCCGACCGTGACAGGGAAAACCCTCGCCGAGAACGTCGCGGACTGGCCCTCCCTGGACCCCAATCAGCAGATCATCCGGCCCCTCGAGAACCCCATCAAGTCGTCGGGCCACATACGCATCCTCCGCGGCAACTTCGCCCCCGGCGGCGCCGTCGCCAAGATCACCGGCAAGGAGGGCACCAGCTTCACGGGCAAGGCGCGCACGTTCAACAAGGAGCACGAGCTCGACATCGCGCTGAGCAAGGGCGACATCAGGGCCTCGGATGGCAACCTGGTGCTGATTGTGCGGTACGAGGGCCCCAAGGGCGGCCCGGGCATGCCGGAGCAGCTGCGGGCGAGCGCCGCCATCATGGGCGCGGGCCTCTCCAACGTGGCACTCGTCACGGATGGGCGGTACAGTGGCGCGTCGCACGGCTTCATCGTCGGACACGTGGTGCCCGAGGCTGCTGTGGGAGGGCCCATTGCGCTGGTCAGGGACGGGGACGAGGTGACCATTGACGCCGTCACAAACAGGATCGATGTAGCCATCAGCGAGGAGGAGTTCGCAAAGAGGCGGGCTGAGTGGAAGAGCCCCGAGCCGCATGTTAGAAGGGGAGCCCTTGGCAAGTATGCTCGTTTGGTCGGAGATGCTAGTCACGGTGCCATCACGGACGGTTGGTGATGACCATCTATCCCTGCTTGCTATCGAGTAGACATGAGGAGGCAAAAATGAAGAGGAGAAATATCAGTGGCTGTTCTATTGTGTGAAGCCTGGAAATGACGAAAAAGGACGAACAAAAGGGTATAACCCATCTCTGCAAACCAAGAAAGCCCTCTCCCCATGACAAACTAAACCTAACTCATGCTTCTTGCTACTGCTTGAACGTAAAAACTGACAGAAAAAGATGATTATATGCAATACATTCCTCGCGAAAACGGCCCCTTTTGAGACCACCTTCGACTGATTGACACGCAGGATTGTAGATTGTAAATGCGAAAATTACCCTCCCCGCTAAGAACCACAACGTGATCTTATGCAATCCCAGAAGCGTTGCCGATCGACAATTTCCCATGATGGACAGGGATCAATTAACTTGTCGATCAAACCAACGAGATACAATAGTTGCTTGCTGGACTTTAATCCCCGAGAGGCATGCCTTCAAGTTCATCAAGTAGCCGGCGCCAGTTGTCAGCGAGCATTTCGGCATACTTGACTCGTTCTCCAGCCCAATCTTGGTTCCAGTAGCTGACATGATACTGGGTGGTCTGGAAAGTAATGAGTTCGTCGCGAATGCATTCCTTGACGAAGATGCTCCGGTTGTGCTGTCGGACGATAGACTCCTTATCCTGCGATATTGTTAGTTCCTGAAAAGGGGAAAATGCAATGAGCGAGTTCTAATAATCATACCTTAATAATGGACTCTGCGACACGTTCAATCTCACCAGACTTGACCGTTCCCTCAGGCTTGGCCCGCAAGCCGGCCAGTTTATTCTCATTCGTCTGGATCCTTCGCTCCAGGTAAGGAATGTTGTCCTTGTCCAATCTCTCGCGCCGCTCAAACATCTCTCGGATGCTAACGAGAGAGTCACGCTGTCTCTTCAGATCCTCAAGCACACCCTGGTCCCATGCCCGGCTCTCCTCTTCCATGAGGGTCTGAGAAGTGCGGAGATGGTTGCTCATAGCATTAAGACCATCGTTAAGCAGAGGTACCTCGTTATTGTCCGTGGCGTACGTGTCTTCGGAAGTCTCCATCAGGCTGGTCAGCATCATAGCTACGCGTCCATGATCAGCTGCAACGCCCTCCTGCCGCTTAACTAGCCGATCCATGATGTTGCAGACGTTAATGTAGAGTTCTGCAGATCGTCGAACTCCAGATTTTGTCCTGAGGAATAGCTCCTCCAGGGTCGGCGGCAGAGACTCCTCGAGGCCCGGGGGCAGTACGCGGTCGGAGAACTCGTCCTGTACGGAAATTGTGGCCTGCTTTCGCCAAACAGCCAGCTCCTGAACCTTTGTGTTAGTGTTTAGAAATACTGCTGTCCGAAAAAATAGAGAGGAAACTCACGGTGGGGACAGTCAAAAACATGACAACGAGCTGCTCCTGGCTCAGAATAGGGTGCCTAACCAACGCATTCAAGAACCTAGCCAGCCCGCGTCTACGCTTCTCAATGAAAGCGCCGTCGTTGGAGAGATGGTTACCGTTCACTGCGACACGCTTGGGTGGCAGAAGGGGAAGCACCCTGAATGGGTATCTCTTGTGAAGACAATCCAGGAGCCAGACAAAGTCGCTGTAGCGGCGGATGACCTTGTTGCCCTTCCGCTGGCTAGAAACCTCGTAGTTATGATGTTGGAACATGAACAAGCCTTCCTTCTCCGGCATTAGTGTAACCAAGATATTCTCCTCCACACTACTGCCAGTCCTCCCCCCGAGGCTGCGAGCTTGAGGAAATGCAGGATTGCTGCTCGGTGTGCGGCCAGGACCGCCGCTGCCTCCCAAGCCACCGTCTCTAACCCCCACTATGCCCGGATTGCTACCAAAGGGGCTCGCCACTGGATCCTGTGAAGGCTGGTTGAAGCCAGCTCCGGCGCCAGCACCGGATCCATCAAAGTATCCCCATCCAGCACCAGCACTCGGGCCTGTTTCGCGGCTAATCGTTGAAGCTGGAGTCTCTGCCGGTGGCTGGCTGGCTGGCTGAGGGGCTATTGCAGGCTCGGGAGTGGTTCCAAATGAAGCATGCCCATTACTCTCTGTACCGTTCGGTTTGATTCCGTTGTGAATATGATTCTTGTGCAGATCGGGTGCACCCCATGGATCATCCTCCGGATCATCCATGGCTGGGCGGAAATTACGGGTCTGCGAGTTGGAGTGTTGCTGGGGGCTGGGCTTGGATGGCTGATCTTTAGAGGGCGTCTGGGGAGGCTTTGCAGCAAGTTCCTCAACGGGCGGCAGGACGGGTTCTGCGGTGAGGCCGGAGAGCTTGGGCTGAGGTAGATCTAATGTCGAGAGAGAGAGTCGTCAGTTATTGAAGCTCCATAGATTAGATGCGTCAGTGTCTGCAGAGGTCTCCACCAAACTAATGCGCAATGCCTGCCGTGGAGCCTCTGCGCATTTAGCTGTGCTACCTAATTACAGGCAGCTTGATAGCAAGCTCCAACGAGCAGGCATATGAGTAGGGAGAGAAACATTGAAGAAGGGTAAAAAGAAATAGAAATGCAGTTTGCGATGAAAAGAAAGAGCGGAGAAAGCGAATGATAATGATCCAATAACTCACTTCTTCTTCGTTCGTCCACGCCATCAAGGCTCAGATGCTCGTTCTCTTGCGCCAAGCCAACCAGCGCAAGCAAGACGTTGAACTCAGCGCGGTTCAGGCTAATGTTGTCACCCTCAGCGTCTGGCGCTACAAGCGACACAATTCGACTTTGCTTCGCCTGCTCGTGCAGTCTCGCCGCAGCGAATACCTTGGCCACACCATCAGAAGTCACGTTCGGGTTGCCTTCTGAAATGATGTCGAACGTCTCAATGTATGCTTCGGGTACGTCGGATGCAGGCAGGAGGTTGCGGACGATCTGGGCGCGAGACTGTTGCTTCCGCGGAGAGGGCATCGACCAAGGTGAGTCCGCGCCGGTATCGCCGTCGTTATCAAAGAGGCCGGCAGAGGACGACCGTTGGGAGGGCTCATCGTCGAACAGGCCAGCCCTGCTGCCGAGGTTCTTGCTGGGCGATGTGGTCGACGGCCTGTTGTCATCGGTTGGGGACGTTCCGAAGAGCGACATGGTGATGGTGTAATTGCTGTCGCTAGCTTGGCGGTCTTGCGAATGTAGTCGCGCTTCCTCGGGTAAGTAACGATAATCAGCTCCCCGGGAATGGCTTGCAGCCTGGATTTGCTATTGCGACACAAAGACGTGTAGTAGCGTGTGCTGTGGGTAGATGACGGGTTGGTCGGTTGATATATGACGATCTGAAACAGCAGTGCGAACAGGGAACTGCGCCCCACGATGCGACAGCGGCTGGTGGCGAGCTCAAGCGAGAGCAACAAAAAGCAAACACAAGAACAAGAACAAATTGAGCAAGACTAAACAGAGCAGGTAAGGCAATGGGTCAGAACAAACGTCCAATTGAGAACTGTCCGGCAAGATAAAAGATGGGAGGATATGTCAGCTCTAGGATCGAACAAAACGGGCTCGGAGTGGAGAAAGTTTAGGCGGCTTTCCTCCAACTGATGGGACGGTTTAGCGTCCGCCGTGGTGATGTAACTCCCAGCAGCAGGTTAGCGCTGAAATCCCGGTAGTTCAAGATGCGCTTTTGAGTGGCTTGAATTCCTGATTGAGTCTTGAATTGATAGCTGTTTTAGCTATGGGCATATTTTACGACATTGCATGTTCTGAGTGTCCCAAATAATATACATCTGATACTACAACGGCAACCACCGCGCACTCCGACCCTACCATAGAGACACCTCTCTCTCCTTCTTCTGGTCCTCCTCGGTCACAACCTTCTTGATCTTCTGCTTTCCGGGCACCTTGAAGTACAAACTTGGCGACTCACCCTCCTTGAGCTGGTGGCTGAGGTAGCCTCGGTGCGCGGGGTCACGGTAGTACTCGATATCCTCACGGCTGGTAGGGTCAGGCAGTCGGTACTTGTAGCCGTTCGCCTTGGCCTCCTCGAGGACCCTCTCCACGTGTTCCTTGCCAAACGGCAGGGGCTCTCCAGTATTGATCGACTCGCCAGTCAGGAGCCTTCTGATGGAGAGCTTCGTGTAGTATCGGGTGAGGACCTTGCCGCCGGCAGCCTCGATGGCGGCGATGGCGGAGGCGGAGGCACGGGAGACCATGATATCGACAGGTTGTTTCAGGCAATTCGGGCCACGGGCGAGGACCTTGACTCCATCCTTGATGCTTCCAATGAGTCGACTCTCGATCAGCTCCTTGGGGGTGATCTGCTTTGTTGGGTCGATACGGCCCTGGTTGATCCAGTCTTGGAGCTTGTCCAAGTTAACTATCGACATGTCGGGGGCACGGCTAGAAAACAGTTAATATTCGATCAGTTTGGCTGTCAATTGAGGAGCAGCAGGAAAACGTACTGGTTGGTGAAACCCATCTTGCCATGTCGGACGATCAAAGGAGTCTGTCCACCCTGTAACCACGCATTGACCTTTCCATGTTGTCTCTGACCCTTGTGACCTCGTCCAGACGTCTTTCCATGGCCTGAAGAAGGACCTCGACCAACGCGCTTTCGCTCCTTGACGGCTCCCTTGTTGTTGGCGAGGCTGCCCAAAATCGAGGCATGTCGGACCTGTTGCTGAGACTGAAGAGTCAATGCAGCGAGCGAGGCTGTCAGTGAGCTGGTGGAGCCCGCTACCGGTGCCTTGCAGCAGCGGAGAGCGCTTGAGAGTATTAATCGAGGAGGCATCGTGCTGTGGCGGTCGTACCCAGTTGACGCCTTCAGCTCTGGGTTGATTTACAGGTGGATGATATTTCTGGAGTCGCCTGCGAAAATTGTCACACGTGACTTGATTGGTCACTCAATCTACCTGCACCATATCCAAGTACCCTAGACCACCCTGGGCCAACCCACCAATATCTACCAGCCATCTCGCTATGATGAGCAAATAAGGATGGTGAAGGCTTTGGGGAGTGTGTGTGTTCTTCAATTTATAACCGTGTTCACTTTTGGAGCTTGTGGCGCATTGTCCGGTTTTCTTCTCTAGCTGAGGTTATTGATGGTATTTATCCTACCCACCTTACTTTGCATGATTATATGAAATCGGCATACAGCTTCTCAAACATGCAGTCACAACTACGTGCTTGGAGGAGCAGACTTTTCGCCTTGACCATTGGCGCTACCTTCGCCAATAACCTGTCCGAAAAGACCACCGCTGTGTAGACCGAACCGGGTCTTTCTTCACAGACCGGAAGCTTTCGAAGACTCAGGCTATTAAGTAGTTCAACCCAAGAAGAAAGTCAAAATATATGGTATGTATTATATAGTAAATATGATAGAACCAGAGTAGAATATAGACATGTTACTCAGGAGCTCCAATGCCTCTCAGTACAGGAACTATCACTACAAGTATCAACTTGGTCTGAGAATCGCATATCCCAAGTATCATTAACACCGGACTCACACCACAGTAAAGTAGCAAATACAAAAAGATAGATGCATGAAACCGCCCCAAGTCTATCGGTTGTTCTGAGCAACGAGAGCCACTCAACGATCGTCAATCCGTACACTTTACTCTCCCTAGGTACCCTCCCCCCTGTGAAATGGAAAAGAAAAAGCCCCCGTCCTCGAACGCGAGGAGAAGCAAAAGCCGGCATAAAATAAGTATAACCCAATATGAAAATCCTGTCGTCGTTCCACCCGGTATCCTGGATCTTTACTGTATATGTGTGAATGCCGCACGTTGTTTTTTGCCCTTCTTGTTTCTTTGTATATGCCGTGTGCTGAGTGTCGTGCGCAACGAATCGTACTTCGTCCGGGGGATGTAAGACATCTGTCCTCCCATGCAAAACCAAAAACGCCCACATTTCCTCCAACTCGCTTTACAGGTCTTCACCGTGCACGAAGCCGTGCAGTCCCAACGCCGTGACAATGCGCGTTGCGTCAAATACATATTGGCGTTTCTTTTCGTCCCATTATACAGATAGTCGTCAATTAGGGGCTGGCCCAGCCACCCGCGACGTCAACCCACTCGGGGAGACATGAACCTTCCTTGCCCTCGACGTCAACGATATCGGTATCGCAGCGGCAGCGGCAACCAACACCGTTCTCCTTCTCCTCATCCCAGTCTTCCCAGTACTGATCTTCCTCTTGACGCTTCTTCTCGTCCTTGGTCGTCATTTCCAGGAACGGGCTTCGGGGGAGTTGTCGTGACGGTGCGTTAGCAGGGCAATGCTGGATGGTAGTATGTCGGTATCCAATGTCACGGAAGTAGTGGATATCTCGAGTGGCCAGGAGTGCTCCAGCTGCGAGAGAGTGAATAGGTGCATCACCCCACTGTGGGAGATGGTTAGCAATTGTAGTGGGAAAATAATGATTCTGTGGGTATTCAACTTACTCGTTCCATCCAGAACCCACCACTACGGTCCATCATCTCAAAGAAGTCATTGTACTCCTTACTGCGGAACCAGCTGAGCTTGGCGATCTCAAAGTTGGACCAGAAGTGGCACATGTTGTACTTCTCGCCCTCCATAGCTTCGCCATCGATTGGAGGAAGAGCGTTGCTGCCAGGCTCGCTCTGCATGATCTCCTCAGGCAGGGTAGGGTCTTTCTTCTCCTCCTCTTTCTCCTCCTTAGGCTCGACAAACATCTCCCAAAGTCCCTGGGATTTCAAGTTGTTGAGGCGCTTGTAGGCGGAAGCGTATCGGAAAATATTAGGCACGGTCTCACGGAGTTCCTTGACGGCAATGGTGAAGCCATAGGTCTTGTTGTTCTCGATCATCTTGAGGAAGGGATCACTACCACAAATGTCAGCTTAGCCATCTAACGGTGGCGCCAAGTAACCTACTAGGTGATGTCGCAGAAGTAGGTGATCTCGGGTTCAACACGCCAGTACCACTCGTACTTGAGGAGAAGAGGGTGGTTGTAGAAGAAACTGCGCTGGTTAGTTTCACAGTCTTGATTGTAGCCACGGGAGAACCAGGGAAAGGCCAAACATACCCAGAATAGAAGCGGCACATGTGATGGTAACTCTCCAGCCCACCATACATGACAGCGGCATCACCCTGCTTGGCAATGCCTTCCTTGGCAACCTTCTCATCAACCCAGTCAGGGTATCCCCACATGTCAGGGCCGACCTTTCCAAATTCAACAGTCGACGAGGCGTATTTTTGTACCGTCTCCTTGAAAGTCTCATTGAATTCCCCATCATTGAGGAAGACGTAGGGGTAGTGATACCACCGGTTGAAGTGACGCTCCACGGACTTCATGGACTGGAGAACACCGTCCAGCTCCTTGTTTCGTGCGAGGATAACAAATGCGGCATTGGCTCGGGGCTGGCTGGTATCGGGCTCGAGGCAGCCGGTAACGAAGACCTTGTCGTGCTTTTCGCTGATTTTTCTAGATGCATATATCGTTAGCAGGGCATATCCAATTGGGACATGTGTCGCGTGAATGAAAAGCGTACCTTATAGCAGGCGGCGCACCTGCGGGAACCAGTATCCTCGCAGGGGACGATGGATGCCTGACGAACAGGACGAGAATAAGTACGACTACGAGGACTGGAAAGACGATGACGACTCCCAGGGGGACGGATATGGATGAGTTGCCACGTATGCGAAGCGGTCTTCTGAAAAAGGCGAGGCGCGAGGCCAATCCCTTTGGCCTCTGGGGTTCCCTCTTCTCGCCATGTCTGGGAAGAGTCGGGGAGAGTTGGCCTGACACCGACTTGGTGGTTCTTCGAAAAAGATCCATTCTCCGCGACTGATGATCCGCCGTATGGCAGTCGTTGACGACGACGGCAAAAGATTTCTAGTATCGGAGGGTCGATCGATAAGGGGTATGTTGGGTGTTAGGGGCGATCAGAGTCGGATCGGTAGCGAGACTCTGGAGAAGGGGCGCAAAGGGATATTAGGCGGTGATGCAAGACACAATACATGTGTTGCGAGAAAACGGTGGGAGCAAGCCCCTGGATAATCGTGGAATGCACCCCCGGCGAGTTTGAAAGCAAGGCGTGTCTGCTCGAATCCGACAGAGGGCGGCGGCAGGGACAAGATGCGATACCGTGCCTGTATTAACGAGCGGCAGGGACACAGTCGATCTAGTCCTAGAAGAAACAAGAATAAATCGCGACGACGACCAAACTGGCGAAATGAAGAGTTTGGTGGTGGTGATGGAGATGAGGATTGAAGGTTGCTAGCCTGCAGGGTATTTGGCTAGGCAGGTTTTCGATTCGGGGGCGCTGCGGCGTGGTGAAACAGGCCAATAGCGCTGCCAGTAAAGGGGGCCACTGCTAAAAATGACAAGTACAGGGGATTGATGATTAAAGATGGGACGGCAGTTAATGCAGTTCCGCGATGGAATGAGATGAATCGAGGAATGGAATTAACATCAAGACGAGGGCTACGGGATGCTTGAACACAGGCAGGACAGCGTCAGCCTGGAGATCTTGCTCAATGCATCGTCCTGACTGGGCAGCAGCGACCGCGCAGGCTGGAGGGCCAGCGGGTGCGTTCTGAGCCATCCACAGCGCTGCCCTGCCTGCACTTCGTTCATCACTGCTTGTTAAGCAAAATTTCCAGGGATCCATATCCTACACCCATATTTTAAGACGCTACCTACCTAATGTAAAAGCAGTGGGCTCGCTGATCGAGATATACGTACATAATTACGTTGGTACATACCATAGCTTATTTTGGCTTTAGTTGGTCGGAACACGTTGCACACACGCGTATGAGCATATCGCCCTGAGGGTGTCGTCGGTCTCAACGAAAAACGGCCCGGGTACTACATCGGGCTAGTAAACGCCGCTCGGGAAAAGTCAAGTATGTACTCTGTGCTCTCACACTGTCGCGGCACGAGGTTGTACTGGTAGAAACCATCTGAACGAGGCTCGAGGGTGCTGTTCACACCAAACTGAAACAATTTCTGTCGAGTCACGCCTGGCAAGGCCAGCGGATGAGATTAGAATGTGACGAAACCAGAGATTCCTCGGGGGAATGAGCCCCACTGGATCATCTTGCTCCCCCAATCTTTTCCCACTGGGGGAGGCAGATTCGACCCTTCAGTGACTTGGCGTTCTAGATGCCGTTTTGCTAGTTCGATAATACGTCCCATACCTTACCGATGCAACCATAATTGTTGGAACAATCTGTAGGTAGTATTTCTTCTAAGATTCGGGCAAGTATCCTTTTGTCCTTCGATCCTGTAATGTAGTACTGTCGCTGAGAAAGGGGCTCAATGGAAGCCCTTAAGTTCTATGGCACAAATCAATGCTCTCAAAATTCTTGACCATGGCTTTCTGGTAGCAATTGGCTTCGAGTCAGTTCTGAGTTTTCTAAAGATGATGGCGTTACATCGTCCCCACGGCCGTTCTGTACAGCCGGTACATGTACCTATATGTCGCGGCTGCTCACTCCACTGGATCTGATTGGCCGCTCCCTCGGGTAGAGGCAAAGTATCGTTCTTCCAAGGTACTTTAGTACCACACCTCAAGCCTGGCATTTCCACACCCCAAGCAAAACGACCTGACTCTCGTAGGGCCAATACTAAAGGCTCCGATTACTTCTTATACAGGGCCTCTACGCCCGTCTCGAAGGGAGGAAAGCCTGGAGATGTCGCAAAAGATCACATCCAAGAACTTGTCCTATGACAACTCACTGCCGCCCTTCCTCGCTGCTCTGCGCGCGCAGACTGCCGGCGATGACGAGGCGCGGAAGCCCTCCATCGGCAACAGGCAGCTCGGGAAGAAGCGCAGTGCAAGTGAGGAGGCAGAGGATGGCCCTGTCGTGGTTGACGAGGAGGGAAACGTGATGAGCGTTGAGATTGACAAGGATGGGACAGTCAAGGAGGTTGATGGGAAAGAAGGAGACGACGACGTGAAGGCAGAGGCCAGCGCTAAGAAAGAAGGGGAGGGGACTAAGTCGTCGACCATAGGAGGTCGGAAGCGAAAAGTTGGCAAGGTCATTGGCGAGGCTGCAGCTCAAGCGGACGAGACCCAAGGCAAGAAGGACCAGAGACAAGCCAACAAGGAGCATGATGATCCGCCCAAGGAGAAAAAGCCAAAGAAAAAGGTCAAGAAGATCAAGCTGAGTTTTGATGAGGAAGAAGATGGGTGAAAAACACAGAGCTCCATTCGACACCACAAAGCCTTCTGGGACATGACAGCTCGCCATTATGAAGGGGCATTGTGCTCTCCGGACATCACCAAGCCAGACTGCCAGTCTGCATGTCTCAGCCAGCCGGTAAGCTGCCCCAAGGGAGCTGCATCCCCAATACAACCGCGGTTTACAAAGAATCACCTGAATACAGCCCGGAAACCCCTCTCTGCTAAGTGACGGTGGCAAGTGCTTACCCACATTACGATTGGAGTTGGGGCAAGCTGTCTCATATCTATGGCAAGCAGCATTTTGTCAAATGGCTCGAAAGCGAGGGAGAAACGAGTTCAGTGATGTTTGGGTAAAATTATATAGATGTGCCCTCATTTACTACCATTCTCAATCACATTCATGTCAACGCGTGTTTTGACGTTATCCTTGATCTGGACAAGACGTCACCAGGTTCTCAAAACTGAGGTAAATTGACAAATGAAAAGAGTCACCGTAATCTACAGACCACACCTCAAGTGGAATCGCTTCGCTCCCCCCGTGTAATGTACGCCGTCCCCTATTTAGTACACGAGTCTCCGTCTCTTTCTCGACCAAAACCGTGGGTGTAAATGTAGTTTTTTATTGGTAGCGGTACTCGGGCTTGATGAAGTCAGCGAAGGTCTTGGGCTCCTCGACCTCCTGGTGACCGTGGTGGTGGTGGTCGTCGTGCTCGGCACCGACGTAGTCCATCTTGTAGACGCTGCCGCACTCGGGGCATCGCTCGATAGGGCGGTCCTTGGTGAGCTGCGGACATCATTGTCAGTCGGGCGCCCGGGGATTAGGCTCAGAGCCTCTGCGTGGGCTGGTACTTACGCGGAGCCACAGGGTGGTGTGGGAGTCGACGGGGAAGCCAGTGCAACCGGCGAACTGCTCCTCACCGGCGGAGCGGACGGTGATGGGGTCCTGCAGTGTGCCCAGGCGGCTGGCGTCGAGGGGCGTCATGTCGAAAACATCGACGCCCTCCATCTTACCGAGAATCTCAAGACGCTCGAGACCGGTGGCCTGCTCGAGATCGGTGGGGACGGTACCGGGCTGGGCACCAGGACCGTAGAGGTCGTCCTCGCCCTTGACCTCTGCAATTGACGTTAGCTTCCTCTCCTTCTCGCCCTAAACCCAGTTGTCTCGAGCTGGTCGGTTGGCAATTTCGTGGCGCGGAACATACCCTTCAAGGTCTTGTAGTTGGCGACCTTGGTGTCCTTGGGGGCTTCGCCTGCAGGCACAATGCGTCAGTCTTGGTGGGCCTTGTAGATGGGTTTTCGGCTCGGCAAGAAATCACATACAGCGGACGATGGAGGTGGCGAAGGTGCGGGCGGCAAAGCGAGGAGCGATGACGGCGCGGCGGGCCACAAGGGCAGCAGAGCGTTGGACGAACATCGACATCGTGGCTGTTCTCGATTCTGGTGTGAAGTCGGGAGGTTTGGTGTTGACGGAATGTTGTCGAGGGATTTGTGAGGGTGGGCTGATTTGGGCTGACCTTGAATGACAGCTCCAGTTTCGGCAGCGAATTGACCAATGGCAGCGTTGATTAATTAGTCACGTGATTACATTGTGCCTTTGTCAGAGCTTCCTGAGTTCCGTATCTCAGCGAGAATGAGGTCATTTCTCATGATGGTCGTTTATTTGAAAGGCCAATTGAATTACTGTACATTCTGGCATGCATCTCCTTTTATGTCAATTGCACAGAGTTGTTGTTACCGGTGTAGCATCGTCGCTGAGCTAAGCGACTACTTGCCACTGGCAGCTACAGAGGTGACTTTCTATGTCGCAATGGAGCTTGGGGTTTCACTGTACACATGGTGAAACTGCATCATCCAAGCATCTGCTGTGGTTTATAATAAGATACCGTCGAACGATGTTCCTCTGGGCGGACAGAGGAGTACGAAGGAGCGGGAATCCATACTTTTCTGAGCCGCAACCATATTCACACTTCGGAAAAATTAGGAGGAGGAGCTGCTGCCCAGCAATCTGGACCAGCAGGGGGTCTTTTTATCGTTCTTGGTAGCCCGCCATTGATACTTTTGTAGTTGCTCATTGGTTAGCCAATGATGAACCATCTAAAACAGGTGACTTTTACGTTCGTAAGTATTGAACCTTGGAGTGGATCTCATTCTACGATCTCACGGACCAGTGGAACGGCTTGGCACCCACCAGTGAGAAACAAGGGTCCTTGATTGCTTCTAGCTACCTGCGATGCTACCTTGTAAAGTTCATAATAATCTCGCCCAAACTCCTCGCATAAAAGCTCTTCATGCCCATTAGCTTCGTTTAATATGCGACGTGTAGCTTCTCCGGTCATCCCGGTATTCCTGATGACAATGCATTTCAACGAACTAGGGGTATCGGGGGAAATGAAAGGCATGTAATTCAAATCAAACCAACAAAACAAGTCATATGCTTAAATATTCGAAGCGGTTTTTGGAGCCATCGCTCAAAGGAAGCTTCGGGGATGGAGCGTTGTCGTATTATTCGGACGCTGCATTTGCCGACTGATTCAGAGCCTTTTGCCTTCGTCGCTCGTTCACACCTTGGTAGGTGCTCTGTGCTTGATATTGTTGTTGAAGACGGGCACGCCTCTCTCGGCGCTCTCTCAAGACATCTTCCGCTGAGGGACGGCTCGCCGCAGTTCGTCCCCCGCCCATAGCTCTAGGCGCAGTTGGCCGGTACCCTTGTGGTGTCGTACCTTTTTGGATTTTCCCAATGATCTTGTAGTCCCTTGCGGGCTTCTTCTTAGGACCATAGCGTCCTTGGTGGTTCTGGAGCCGCGCAGAGTACTCAACTGCCTTTCGGAACAGAGGATCGTCGCTATTCTCACTGCTAATGCGTTGAACGACGCTCTTGATGTGGTCCCGCCCGCTTCGACCTGGGATTAGAATCTTCTTCTCCATGGTAACGCCGACTCTCCATCGAAAAAAGTCCCAGGGTTCCATCGTGAGCTGCCGTCTCGACTTCAAGAACTCGAGGTCAGATAACTTGCAGCCAATTTTATACATCAACTCTTGCTCACACAGGCCCTCAAAGGGCAGGTGGTGCTTGGAGACCAACTGGTTTGGGTGCGGTATGGCGTTACCCCCGAACATCTCCCTGATTTTCCTTTGTTTGCTCACGTTGTCTGAATGCAACTTGTGGCCGGCCAAGTGGGCTTTGCTGGGTTTGAGGTCTTTGAGAGCCTTAAACTCGGCTTTGGAGCGCTCCTCATCTTGCTCCCGGGCGATATATGCGTCAAGAGAACCCCAGTTGCCATCCCAATAGTCAGAAGATTCATTGATTTTCTGCACAGGCACCCCTCGAAGAAACGATGGCCTGAGGTAAGTTGAACCATCCTCACTCAACTGGTACACGGCGTGCCATGGCGTACTGAGTAGAGCCATCATTTTCTCATGGTCAGTTCCAGCGGGAGATTGTGCGCTCTCACCCTCATCTGGGGTTGAGCTTGAGCGATCTTGGGATGAACGGCTCATGATGTTTGCGCAAAGTGAAACGTGCTAGCACTGCTAGATTTGTTAGATTTTGGTTGGAAATAGAGAAAAGCGCGGGAAGCTACGCTTAGTGAAAGCGAGGAAATAGATGCAAGGGGACTTGGACCTACCAGGGCGAGGTTGAACTTTAATGGGTGGATGAGAGAATCTTTGGAGGTATAATGTGAAAAGGCGAGGATTTATTTGAAAGAGGAGAATAATAGGAATCATCAAGTCGCATCATATATGATCAGTAGTGTTATTGATTGTTGTCCACCGTGTCTTATGGGTGAGAAGGTGGTAGCTCTGTGGTGTTGTTTTGGAGAGAGCGCGTTCGCCCGTGGAGAGTGCTTTCTTTCGCCTGGCCTCAGCTGAAAAAGGAAAATGCAGGTATAAAAAAAGAAACAAAGAAAGAAACGGGGAAAATGCCCCTGTGAACTGAGGCAAGACGAGAGAAGTATGGAGAGAGTTTGAGACGGTCTTTCTGAAATGTTCGGGAGAGAGAGAAGACTAGATGATTCTCATAGCTGCTTGCCAGCAGATGCACTGCTTTGATTCCTCACCTAAGGCAGTGCTGCAGGCAGCTTTGGTGAACCTACCTGTAAGTGAGTGCGCTGACTAATGCGGCCTTGGGAGCGATTCACAAGCAGCAAGGGACCAGCATTAACGCCTCGGCTTATAGCGTGTAGGGGGCAACCAGCCGGCAATAATAATGCTGAGTGCTCACCGGCTGCAACTTCTTGGCAAAATCTATGTACCTACCTGCCGAATCCTCTCACTGGAAGCTAGCTGGGATCAGTGATACTTGATTCGTTTCTGACTGCACTTGCGTGTTTTTTCTCCACACTAGGTAGATCTCGCATTTCTAGATCATTTGACTTACACCGTGCCGAGGTACCAGTAGCTTCATCGTCAGATATAATAAACACTGGTTTCCCAGAGCATTTATCGTTGCGTGTTCTTTGACAAATTGGCCTTTGAGATGCCCAGAGACAGAGTCGCACAACCGGCTTTGAGTGACGCGCTTGTGATGCCTCGCGACAAGATGGACGAACCAGTGGAGCACAACCGGTTGTCATACCAGGAGAGCATGGAACTCCTCTGGCTTGATGAGGACGCGAAGGGTGGCAAACAAACAATGATGAGTCGCCAGCCAGCCTGGTACCCTGGCAAGGATGCTCCTTGGGAATCAATGAGAGGGAGCTCCGACGAGAAGAAGTTCTTTGGTCGTGGGGCGTTCGGAGGGCATGTGTATGCCCAAGCACCACTAGCAGCTGCCAGGGTCGTGGAAAAAGCTGACGTTCAAACACCAGCAAAAGATAGATTGGGCATTCACGTACGGTAACAGCCAAACTGAGACTTTTATGGTGAATAGGGGCTAATCTGAGCATATTTCTTTAGTCTATCCACGGGGTCTTCACCAATCCAGGCTTCATAGATCGCCCATTCATCTATGAAGTCGCCAAAGTATTCTCTAGTCGCTCATTCTCAACGCACACGATCAATGCGAGACAGCCTAAGGAGCCCTCAGGCATCCCTAACGGACCCTTCCCACCGTCGGATGCTCAACTCCCACTGGGAGATGTCTGCTTCACCTGCGTCACTACGTTCAAGCGACCCCTTACTGGTCCGTCAGATGTTCAAGACGAAACACCTCCGCAAAAACGTTTCGCAAGGATCTTAGAGTCTCGAGCACCGGACGAATGGGAAGCCAGCCCCCAGGCTGACATTGATCTGCTACGCGAGACTTTCCCCGTCAAAGGCCATGCCAGCTTTCCGATTCTTGACATGTACAAAGTTGATATGACGGAATTCAACAAGGACAAAGCTCTTTCTGATCGTCGGCAGCTTATCTTATACCGTCTCTACAAGCCCTTGCCAGCAGAGGATGTCAACGCACATATCACTTGTCATGCCTTTGAAGCTGATCGTAATGGATTCATCATGCTGGGGAATCACCTTGGATATGGCTATAACATGGGCCCAGTTGCAAGTTTGAGTTACTCATTCTACGTCCATGTGAACGCAGAGGAGGCGGTTATGCGAGGGGACGGATGGTGGATTCAAGAGGTATATTGGCCTCGGGTTAATGCTGGGAGAGGGATGATGGAGAGCAGGATTTGGAGTCCAGAAGGATTACATGTGGCGAGCGGTTATCAAGATGGGATATGTCTGCCGGCTAGAAGCACCGAGAAAGCTAGAATCTGAGGACTGGGAACTGTTCTCTGAGGCATAAACTCTTCCATTTGGTGTCTAATGCATATTTTCCATAATAGATAGAAGACAATTGCTTTCTTTTAGCCATCATAGCTGTATATATGCAATTGTGGATCTTTCACTGCTGAACATCAAGGGCGACAACCTGACATATGATGCATAGCAAAGCGAGCATGACAGACATCACAAACTTACAGCAGACGATGACAATAAATCGCTTACCGTTCTAACAAAATAACAGCCAACATAAGAAAAGTTAGGTTAGTAAAACTAGGGTAGACGCGTTGCTGAAGCGACGTGGGTGAGTTGTTGACGGCCGTTGACAATTGTAGCCGATCCGACCTAGAAACTGGTCTCTGTGTCTGCCCGACGACTCACTACGTGTTTGCCTGGAACCCCCCATGTTTACCTGAAAAACTCCTCCCATGTTTATCTGGAGAACTTCTTGACCCAACAATTCGTTCACCAGCATCACTCCCAGCGGCACAGAAAAGCCCAACCAAATCGCAAGAACACATATTTCTACAGTCTAAGATCCCCCCCCTCGCCGCAATAACGCCTACTTCGAAGAAGAAGACAAGAAGACACCTGAGCGCGTTCATTCCCTTCCTTTGGTGATATTCAGCCTCGTCCTTGCTTCGTCCCAATCATCCGTCCTATTCAAATGGAAAGAATCCTGCCTTAATTTCATTAGGGTACCCAGCACTCTTTTGATATCCAGGAGGCTCCTACCTACACCCATGAAATGTACCTCTTCATCCCCTGCTCCGTGGCGAGCAGTGGGAGAAGCATTGCTAGGCTGCCTCGGACATCAAATCCCATCCACCATGGCAGAGATACATCCAAGGCAGGCGAAAGGAATACTATATCGCAGGCACCAGAAGCACTGAGGCAAGAGAGCCTCGATATGCCCACCAAGGAAATGGACAACAATGCACTTCTCCGGAAGTGCATCAAAGAAGTCGAGGAAGGGTGCCAGTCGCCCAAAACCCATGGGGGTTGTTTCGACCAATTAGTCATGGGTCTGAAGGCCGCCACCAGTCAAACATTAAGCTGCTTCTTTTCGAGTCTGCGACCGGCATTGTCGGACTATTGAGTGCAAATAATGCATACCTCAGAGACAATATAGCGCATAATGTCAGTTTATTTCATTCTATATGTACTACTAAATTCCTCTATTTATTGTAGAAAGTAGTCTGTTTATAACCAACTCTTCCATTAGGTGCCTCATTTCTCCTGTCACCCACTCGATATGGATTGAGGAGTCCGCTACAATGGCTTCAACTACCTACCTACGAGTTCCGAATGGGTGCCGCAATATTTTTAGGAGACATTAAACATAGGCTTTGTCTACGCGGCCTGTGCATGCGCTGAATTCTACCTAGTACTAGGAAGCAAGTGAGGGCCCGGCTGCTCTTCGTTTCCAGCTATGCAGACCATGTGGAGCGAGGTGACATACGCATCAGTGGAGATTGGGTGATGGGCTAATGATCAGGATTGATGCTTCTGATGCTCTCGATTTCCTAGATATGGTTGCGGTCTGGGTCTCTGTCTTGATGGAAACCTACAGAGCTACACAGTGCTTTTTGCGATTCGTTTCTTTCTTGTGAACAAAGACGAAAAGGGAGCTTTATGGAATCAAATATGTGAATTGAATGAAAAGATTTTGCCTGGTGAATGGTGCTGGCTGTGTGGTCATTTCGAATTTTGCGCCACCTTTTTCTAGCTTCTGGATGATGCCCAAGCCAGCAGATACGATGACGAACACGAAAAGGTTTTCTCTGATCTCAGGTTCCCCATACGTCCGATTATCCTTGGATCATCGGAATAAGAAGGAAGGTTGACGCCAAAGCTTGGCCCTAGAGTGTTGGTGTGGCGCACCAACTGATTATCAGATTGATAACTTGATCGATCTGATAATCAGCGCACTCACACTCACCAAGATCGCCATTCATCGGGTGGCTCAATGCAGAGGAATGGATGGGTGGAGGTAATGGATATGTGGGAGAGGTCTTGTGCAGAGTGATGACCAGTCAACGGAATGTTCCGTCTCCCAGACTGGAACTGGTAGTGAATATCAGAAAAGAAAATAACTTGGGCTGGAGCCCAGCCTTGCCGATCAGCCGCGATATCTGATTTTGCAGCATCATGTCTCCAGAGCGGGCCCGTTAAGCTTAGGTTGTTTCCTTATTGCTGCTCTGGCTGCTAAGCTGCATTGAGTCTGGGAGAGACGGTTAGTGTCGAGCGACGATGTCAGGCGAGAGGTTTTCCCTGAAACACACCCACCAGTCAAACGCCCCCATTACCTCCCCTTTGCTTTTGATGGGATTGGATTACCACATCAGGCTTTGACGGCAGTTGCTAGCTGCTAGCTGTTGCTTCTGCTGCCGATTATCCGAACTGCCCCAGTGCCGTGAAGCCGAGTCCACACCCAGCTCCTTTATCAGATCCATCAGATAACCCAACTAAGCACGCTCGCTGCAAAGATCTTCATCGACATGCTCCACGGCTTTCGCTTAGTGCTCATAGCTTGACCCTCGAATATTGGGATGATGAGGGATTATCCGTCTAGTTCGGGGACCCTGGAGTCTCGATCTGGATCTCCCTACCCTTCTCGCTGTTGGCGACGAGAGGCACGAGGCAAGATTTGATGTGATGCAATGCGATGCAATACGCTTGTCCCAGGCGGCAGCCAACATGGGGGTCCATTATTACCCTCCAACCCTCTCCCCGTTTCCGAGGAGCCGAGTAGTTATTAATCGGCGGGCCGCCTGCTGTGAGACACGACCTGTTACCTGTCAGCTCTCAAGTTCTTGATCCCTTTGCTCTGGGAACACCTTGGTCTATCCTGTTTCAATTCAACGTTGCCAACAATGGGCGTTACTGAAATCGATCGCAACCAGCATGCTGCTGCTGCTGTTGATGCAGGCAGCGAGCATGATACTGAGAAGCGCGAGCAGCTGGCGGCTGGTCTCGACGACTCAGATGGCTCCGAGGTGAAGCAGGAGGGTGTGGCACAGGTTGAAGCCATCACTACCGTCTGGAGTACCCGCATGCTCTGGACTGCTTTTGTCTTGTATGTTCGAGGAGGAAACCACTCTGCCAGGAACAGTACACGGGATATGGGCTAATCATATTGAAAATACAGCCTCTACCTTGTCAGCTTCGTCGACGCTCTCCTCCAGTCCGTCCAAGGTGCTCTGACTCCCTACGTTACATCATCCTTCTCCCAGCACAGTTTGTTGGCTACCACAAGCATTGTCGCCAACATTGTGGGCGGTGTCTGCCAACTCACGATCGCCAAGATCATCGACATCTGGGGCCGTGTTGAGGGCTTCACCATCATGATCTTCCTCGTAGTCCTCGGTATGATCCTCAAAGCAACCTGCACATCTGTGGAGATGTACGCGGCGGCGCAAACGATCTACTGGGTAGGACATATCGGTGTTGGTTACATCATCTCGGTCGTGTTGGCAGATATGACGACCCTGCAGAACCGTATGATTATGTTCGGCATCAACCAGACACCCATTATTGCCAGTGTCTTCGCTGGTCCAGTCATTGCGCAGTTGTTCTATGACGAGGTCAACTTCCGCTGGGCATTCGGGGCCTTCACAATCATCATGGTCGTCTTCGCCATACCCATCGTCATCATTTTCTGGCTGAACCAGCGCAAGGCCCTGAAGCTGGGCGTGATAAAAAAGGAGAAGTCCGGTCGCACGTGGTGGCAGAGCACCGAACACTACTTCTGGGAATTCGATGGTACGTGTCTCAACCTTGGGCCCAAAACTTCTTGAGCTACCTTATTCGTTTTACCAACTACTTACATTTGTTACAGCTGTCGGCCTGCTCCTCACCACTGCAGGATGGTCTCTTTTGCTGCTTCCTTTCAGTATTGCCAGCATTGCACCTGACGGATGGTCTTCAGGATATATCATTGCCATGATTGTCCTTGGTGTCGTTTTGTTGGTCGCATTTGGGCTGTGGGAGAAGTATTTCGCCCGGGTTCCTTACTTCCCTTGGAAGTATCTCAAGGACCGTACAGTTTTGGGCTCCTGCTTCCTTTACGGATTTATGTTTCTATCTATCTTGTAAGAACATTTTTAAAAGAGAGGGGAAGAAAAAAGGGTCACGGCCTGCTAACTCAAGTCTCTTAGCGTTTGGGACGCCTACTACTCAACCTACCTTCAGGTTGTTCACGACGAGAGTATCACGATTTCGAACTACGTTCTGAACTGTCTCTCTCTTGCATCAGCATTCATTGCACCCTTTGTTGGACTGTAAGTTAGACAATTAGAAGCTTTTCATAGCCCATTGAACGGTGTTGTTGGTGACAACTGACAACTCTACCAGTCTTATCCGCTACACGAACGAATACAAATGGACCTCAATCACAGGTATTCCATTCATGACTCTCGGCACGGCCCTGCTTATCCACTTCCGACGCCCCGAGACTGAAGTTGGCTACCTCGTGATGTGTCAGCTGTTCAACGGAATCGGCTCTGGCATCTGGGCCCTCACAGCCGAGATTGCCATCATGTCCTCGGTCAAGCACCAGGAAGTTGCCGTCGCCGTCGCCATGTGGGGTCTCTTCGGATCCATTGGTGCTGCTGTCGGAAACACGATTGCCGGTGCTTTGTGGACGAACATCGTTCCTGAGAAGCTGACCGCTGAGCTTCCCGAAGGTAGCAAGGACCTGATGGCTGAGATCTATGGCGACATTACGGTTCAGCTGTCCTACCCCATGGGTAGCCCTATCCGAGATGCCATCATCGCTGCGTTTGATGACGTTCAGCGCAAGATGGTTATTGTGGGCTCTTGCTTCTTGCCTCTTATGTTGATTTCTATTCTTGTCTGGAAGAACAAGAACCTGCGTTCAAGACAGCAAGAGCAAGGTCAATCCAAGGGAAACATCTTCTAAAGGACTTAATACAGAGTCCGCTTCTTCAGAAGGGAATGCTAGCCCCGGTAATCTGGGAAGCCTGCTTGGCAATAGAACTCTCCTGATTGGTTTCTTCATCGGACACCAAGACGTCAAGCTTGAAGGAAAAAGTGAGAGGAAAAGAGATTCAATGAAAGAGAAGATAGACGGTTGTTTAGGATATTGCTAGAACCATCAAAATAGAAGGCTTGATTGTGCTTCAAGGTATTGGGGAAGACACGATCTAGTAATTAGAAATCCAAGATAGAAATCGGCGTGAATAGTTTATCGACTTCCCAACATGTACAGCCCATATCCTAAAGTACAGGTACCTTCAATGGATCACTTCACACACTGATTGGACTGCTATGCCTACCCCCACGAAAGGGAACTATCATGAGCTATGCTTCCTGGATCTGGCTCATTCTTGACCACCATTTGTATCTCCTTTTCATCAATGATCCAAGCTCAGTTGAGTGAGATGTCCATACCAAGGCAGGGAGCAACTTCACCACTCGTTCGGAAGGTTTCATTTGGGGTTCACTCCGAGCCTCAGATGCCGAGCATCCCCTTGCTATATAACTGCAGATGTGTGCCTTCGACACAACGTACGTTCTACTCTAGAGTCGGCTTTCTGGCTGCGTTGCCAAAAGCGGGTGTTTGCCGGCCCTGGGGCACTCACGCTGTTATGCGCTCTTTAACCAGGGCTCTACCATGCCCCTTCTATATTTCCAAATGCCAAGGCTAGACGGAGTTGAGGAACGGCTTTGGACAATGCCCTGTCACTGTCGCAAGATTGATCCCTAAGCAGTACTGCGCAGGTTAACGCTCAGTTCAGGATAACTAATAGTATCATCCGCGTGGGTAATTGCAACATCAATATATATTTTTCTTGACTTCAACTCTTATAGTCCGCGGCAGACTTGGCCCAAGGGGCAATCGATTGAGTTTGAGAAAAGGCTTGAAGCGATACTGATCGATCTGGTAAGTAGGGTCCATCTTTTCAGTAGAAATTCAACGCTGCTGATAAATTGTCTTGGATAGTTGTCCTCTTGAAACTTTCTCTTTCGTCTGTTTCATGAAATTGCTTGGAAGAGGCTTAAGAAGGCAGGAGGCCTCAGGTTAGGATCTTTTGGCAATGCTAATTAAACCTCTTCCAGTAGATGCGGTGTAGACTCACCTCTTAACCGGCACATCTGTAGCAGGATGATAGGTTTGGAAGTGCCCGTGGCCTATCCAAGTTTGGCAGCGTGTCATTGAAAGGAAGGCGACTGCAGATATAGTTGCGGTCAAAGTGCAGCTGAACATTCGGAAGGATACGAGGTGATCGGCCATCACGGATAGAGAAGTCGCCGAGTTTCATGTAAATAACCACATAACTTTTTCAGAAAAGCGGACAATTGAATCGTAACCTCTTGGCAATCGACACAAGTATAAAAGTTTTGGAACCCATCGCAATTGGACTACTCTCGCTACACTCATCATCCAAAATCATCTGAGAACTTTACGATACCCATACGCTCCACCAATCGCCATAATGCTCGCCTTCAAGCAAATCATCCTCGCAGCTCTCGGATTCGCCGCCCTGGCCTCCGCTGCTGCTTGCAAGACTGACGCCGACTGCGAATACGATGGTCAGAAGTGCGTAATCCTGGAGGGCCGCCCAGGTGTCTGCACTTTCTACGGAGACATTCCTCCTTCTCCATAAACAATATAACCACTCTTGACTACCTACAATCTTCATTTTCGAAACGGGTTTCCACCACAAACCTTGTTTTGCACACACATTGCTTTCGATCTCCTTCTACAACTTCAATTGAGCCTCTACTTTGGGGACCTGGGCAATAAGGGTTATGTTTGTGGTGGGCTCAAGGAATGAATAGTACTGTTTGTGGCTGTACATCGAGAAGAAAAGATGAGAGAAACTTGGCTTAGATATCGAAAATACGATTGCTTTCTATGGTCCACAACTTGAACTTCTTGTGCTTATTGATCGACCAAATGATTCTAGATGGATAGAATGACTCTACGGGAAAATAGTCGCCCCAAGATTGCTTTAGCTCTGTAGGTATTTGTCTATAGAATGTTGCAGTGGTTCGCAGAATAATCTCCAGCGTCATGAATAACTCGAAGACTCCCTTGTTCCTTCTCCATTGCTCCCTAGTTTCTCTAACTGCTTGCCCAAATATCGATACATACCTTAAGTGGACACTATCCGCAATCTACACTTGAACATGCTACTTCATCGGCTCATAGGACCCTTCGTCTCTTTCTGCATTTCTGCATGCTTCAAGAGTGTTCACTCTACTGCTATTTGGTTGCGAGTTAGCTGGTCAGGGTTTCGTAGATCGTCTCCTCTAGAGTGGCCCACCACCCAGGCTCAACCGAATAGTAAGTGTCGACAAGTCCTCGAAGAGCTATATTTCAACCTTCCGATCTACAGAAAGCTACATGATCCACACCGGGATGGTGAAACTGTACTTACGGATGAATTCGAAAGCCCTTGGAACCTTTGTCGCTGCTGGTAGAAACATGGCGCATGACCAACCGATGCGAATAAGCTACGGGACTCATCGATCCATTGGTATTACTCAGACGAATGATTCTAGTCTCCCTGAAACTGTATAACCTGCCGCGATGCCGGGCCGCGTGTGATAAGAGCCTCCCGTCGCATCGTTGGATCAACTCATTAGCACATACACATCATACACCCTTATCAGGCAGTCATGCAAGAATGACATACATAAAATGTACACTAAGGTGCTTTTAATCCTTCATGTATGTACGTAGTAATCAAGCCAACGGTGCTACGAGGATTTGCCCCTGCCAAGCTCTTTCGCCGGCGGCTTCGTAAGATGCCCCTACAACGGCAAGTGCTTCAAAGCAAACCACACCGAAAACGGTTATTGCCGGTCGAAGGACAATCGATAGAGCTGCTTTTTGGAGATGCCACCCGAGCGCTAATGCGATTAAACACCCAGACCACTGGGTTTCGATCTGTTGCGTGGTGATTCCAGGGTCTTCTCTAGTCTCTCTTCTTGCATCATGGCACTGGGAAATTTGCTTTTTTGCCCCCTCCACCCACGTAGGCCTCCTCCCTCCTTCTTGTCGATCGTCATTGGGTGTGTTGTTGGAGTGTATGCGGCAAACGCCGATGTGGCCAACTTTGCCCTATTCAGGGTCCTACGAAATGAGATGCCAACCCCCCACGCCCTAGCGATGTGAAGAACAACTGTACAGTAATGGTAACTAGATAAGATACGAACGCGGGATGTCCGAGGATAAGAGGATAGCTTAGCGCTTGACAAATTTCTACCATATTGTTGATATCAAATCTCTCCCATCAGTGGAATCCTAGCCTTGGTCTGGGGGAGCAACACCAGCGATGCGTGGGATCGGGAATTGGTGCGTTGTCTGCACCGGGACCGTATTGCGGGTGGCTCAGCCCTTGTCTCGGGTTCTGCTCTGCTGGCTGCAGATACGCAGTGGTGCCGGGTGTGATGCAAGGCATCCGACTCGACTGTGCCCTGCCTTGCTGACACGGCAGCCTTCGGAGGCGGGTTGGTCGGGTCGGTGCTTAGCCTGACACTGCATATGATGTCGCAGTGGTGAAGGGCTGGTAAGCACAGCTGAGAGCAGCCCGAGGGATACATCGCATATGCAATGCAATGCAGAGGAGGGAGGGTCCGTGTGTCAACAGGCGTGGCGACAAGGCGTGGCACAGCAGTAGGGCAGGCGAGAAAAAGCAAAGCCTATGACGGCGAATCGAATCGCGCACGGCTGCGATCTTTGAGTGCCCCAACCGACTGGGTGAAGGATTCGCCAAAGACCCCTCTTGCATGAAGACATTCCCAATCGACTGGGAAGTTGCGGGCAGCTCGCAAGCTTGTCCTGGGAGGAAAATGGCACCTGGCAATTTTGCTGCGTCTTACATACATAGAAGTATTGCTTTTTGACTCTGGTGTCGATTGTCATGACTGAATACGGTATCGGCCGATCAAAGCCGCGTCGAGTCTCTCGCTGCCTTACCATGCATGCACTTTTGGCCTTACTCGGCATGCGCGAACGGTTGCTCACGCATGCAGTCACCTGGGAGGGCTGAGCATTGCCTACCTAGTAGCTGTGCCGGTTCGCATGCGCTGTCATGTGTTCATGTAAGAGCCGTTCATGCCCTTTGGTGCCGCTGGATCATCTTTTCTCATCGGCCGCGTGAGCGCGAGAGACAATGCGCATGGACAGGCTACAGGGCGGCTAAAAAGGCCTTCGTCAATGCGAACCAAACTATGACGCCGACACCGCTCTTCCCGTTGGATCGATCGCCCGTTAGCCCGTCGAGCTTGGGACACCTGTTGTTGGCAGCGAAGGTCGTCGTCCTGGAAATGCGGTGACTCCTACGTTGCTGAAGAAGGGTAAAACAAACAATGGCCTGGACGGCTATGCCTCGTTAGGCAGGCTGTTGGGTGCTCCAGGTGCTGTCTCAGGCGGGAGCTCCCTGTATGCCATGCCACCAACCAGCCTGCCGGCGTTCTTTGGCCTTTATCGGCATCTGGCTTTGTGTCGGCATGGGGGGCTGGAAATGTCCGTCAGCGTGTTATCGAATTTGCGCCAATAGCAGTCTGCCATGCCCGTCTTACAGACTGCCGGCCCTATTATAGTCATTACTACCGGAATGTCTAACTTAGCAGTCGATGCCCTCCATGGCGAAACGAAATGGCACTGGATGAGGAGCCGGACAGACGGTGGAAAAAAGGAAGCCGCCAAGTCCCTGTAGCCAAAGTGCTAAATGCTCTACTGCCCTCGGGGTGCCCTCGGTAAAGCCAGTGGTACTGACCTGCTTGCCCAGAAAAGGCATCTTCAACGTTTTCCTCTGCCGCTAGTGCACCAGCTAGCTCACCGTTGAAAAGACGGCAAGCTCTGGGTAACGTCCCGCCGCGGTTCGCCAAACTGATGATATCATTGTACCTAGGTAGGTAGATAGACTCAATAGACTCACGCATTCATATTTCGCCATGATGGATTTATCTGTATTTCCATCTTCCCGTAGATGTCGCCTCCGCCATGTGGTTGCAGGTGCACGCTCCTTCCTGACAGACGAGGTAGACTCCAGGGCCCCCGCCGCTGTTGGCTTCCCCTCCAGGGTCTTGTTACAGCACCCTGGCTGCCCTCCAAGAAAAACCGGGTAGAGAGCCACTCTTTGGGGATTTTTGTGCTTTGCGACATCGCGATTAGTCACTGCGAACTACCAACAAAAGCTGGGCAGCCCACAGAAAGCTCCATCGCTTCGAAACCCTCGAGCCAGGCAAGGTCTGGCTGGTGGTTGGTAGAGCAGTCGCTCGTAATGGGATCGAAATATCGCCAACTGGTGCGGGCGAGGGCCACAAGTGCGTTCTTACTTGCTGTCCATTAATTCAGTTAGCTGTTCATGTACGGCGATGTCTGCAGCATCTGATAGGGACATCCATCCTGGCAGCCCTTTCTGGAACCGGGCTGGAAAAAGCCTGCAGATTCCCGTGTCGGAGAATGCCGCCTGTAATACCACCCAGTTGGTATATGGCCTAGGGCTCAGAAGTGCTAAGTGCCTCTGGGAGGACCGGCTTGGTAGTGCGGTGAAGCCCGTAGACCTCCCACTAAATAGGCTGAGCCGCCTTTTGAGCCGACACCATCCTGCGCCACCATGAATCCGCAAGTTTTAGCACTTGCTTGATGCCGTTTCTTTCCACGCTTCCGAAGCTAATCTTAAGCTACAGCAAATTGTGACACCACTTGTTGGTGACAGCTGCAGCCGATAATCAACACATGCAATACATAGCATCATCTCATTTCCCCTCACGCAGCCCTGCCGCAAGGTAGGGAGGATGCAACCCCCATAGCACTGGGGGGGAAACGGGGTCCTGGCTGCAATTTACCGCACCTGACGAACAGCAACGTCCATCTCCATGCCATGAACATATCCACGCGGTGTCCTGCAGTCCAGTCACGGCCCTCTCCCGACCGCGCGCCATCGAGTTTCCACCCCGGAGACTGGTGCTTCAGGGTTCTCCCTGTCTTAGATGTCAGATGGCCGGATGACAACCCAGTCTCGACAGCAGCTCTTGGTCGCTGTTGATCCACGTCTCAGTTTGCGCATCCAGCCCGATCCTCGGTGGTGGAGGGAGCCTCATGGGCCAGCATCCAGCCCGGCCAACCACGCTGTCTCATGCCGCCGAGGCCCTCTGTAATCCCTCGGGCTGTCGCTGTCGCCCCTTCCCGGGGCCCCTGTGCCACCCCCTCCCGGTAGGATTTCCCCTCTGAGCTCTCGAATCGCGGGGCACATCCACAGATTTCTTGCTGGCTGCCTGCTTTGTGTATCCTGGCCGATTGCGTCTCTTGGGGGCTGCAGCTTTGCGATTCGATGGCTGCCGGTCCACACCACTTTCGAGAAACACCCAGGTCGAGCGCCATTACCACCCTTCTCAGCTTGACACCCACCCACGCCCCGATGTGGAGCTGCTGCTGCAGATGCCCGGCTGCTCCCAAGTCAAGTCGGGAAGCTGGGGGCCCTACGTTATCCCCCACTTATTTGGATGGGTTCTCAATGCTGTCTCGATCACTGCTCCCGTGCTAGTCAAGTAAACCAGACCTCCCGTCCTCGGGTTTTGTTGATACACACTCTCACCTCCTCCAACACCTCGTGCTTCGCATTCTCGCCGCTCCCTGCTACACTACGAGAACAGCATATGAGTTTATCTGCGGCTACGAACGACAACAATTCGATAGTACCAGAGTACCTACTACTAACCAACAACAACTACCCCGGAGCTGGAGCTAGGCATTTGATGTAACTGGGCAGTGGAAGTCGACTGGTTGTGACCTATCACCTATCACGCGACCTGTAGAGGTTAATTCACTTCCATCTTTGTTTATTCTTTTACCACACGGATCAACCGTCGCCGCCCGACGGCCCTCGATTTACAAGATGAATTCTCCGTTGGTGGAGCAGACTCTGGATGAGATCGAGTGAGCTTTGGCCCTGCTGCCGCCCAAGCTTGTTATGACGACCTTCCTACTGACAACCAGCTTCTCAAGGAACACTCTAAAGTTTCTCAGCACAGATTTTGAATCCGACCACGAGCCAGCACCTGAGGATGTGCGCGGCTCAACGGCTTCGGCTCCTGTGCGCCCGCTCTACTCTAACCGGCAAAGCATGAGCCCTGGTATATCGCCCCAGAGCAAGTCTGTCGCTTCTTGGCCATTGTGTTCAGAGGAGGATGTGGCCTATTTTGTCTACGCTGTCGAGTCGTCCCAACGCAGACCGTCACATGGGATCGTGCCGCCTCCCCGCAACCCTGCACGCAACTCTGTAGCATCGTCAAGACGAAGACAGTCCTCGTCTGCCGGATCCACATCCTCATTTGCGCCTAATCCATTCCCAGCTCCAGCAAAACCGCTACCTGCTCTGCCGCCTCCAACACGCTCATCAAGGCGCCTCTCACAGCAATTGTCCATATCTGAGCGTGGCTCCTTTGCCGAATGCGATCGGTTCTCACAATACTCCGGAACAACCACTACTGAGCCATCGAGATCATCAGTCCTGTCTATTAACCCCTTTAGTCCTACGTTAGACATCACAGAGCGGCCGCTCACCGCCTGCACGAGTCCAGAAGGAGGAAGCCCGCAGACCACTAGCCCGAAATCAAGCCTCCCAGAGAGTCCGGTGCTAGATGCTGCATCACCAGACCCGGAACCGCAGACGGCGGATGGCCCAAGGAATCAGGTCGCACTACAGGTAAAGCACCGCCAGCACTTCCGGGTTGAGAAACGCAAGGGAAATTCCATCATCTACATTGATGCCTCGGCTTCCGGCCCCACATTCGCGACGAAGCACGGCAAGAACCTGCTCCGATTCTGGTCGATTGGAACTGGCCTTCTCACTGGTGCCGTCAAGTTTTCCGCCTATATCGACGCCCATCCTCGGTCACGCGACTACCTTGTCCGGAGCCATGCCATTCTCTCTGAGCGGGATCGACTGGTTGCCATCTCGACCCGGTTTGGTCGTACCGTCGAGATGTGGGATTGGGCCAAGAACAAGAAGCTCCAGCAAATCAGCGACGTGGACCGCTGGGCGTCCGGGCGATATGACTCTTTTGAGCATGGATGGAGTCCCTTCGCGGCGTACCGAGGGGACACGTCTACGATCGACCTGTATGCGGCGATGAGGCGCGACAAGAAGCCATTTGCCAAGGTTCGCACCATCGATCTAAAGAAGGCACACCTGCCCACGACAATGCAGTTCCCTGAGCTTGCCCTCTCCCCTACCAGTCCTCTGCTTGTTGCTGCCTCGGGGCCCAGGACACCACGCGCCGGTCGGCCGCCACCATTCCGCGAGACCCTGCTTGTGGCCTGGGAGATTGATGACTATCGCGAGGTGTCCAACGAGCCATACCGGGTCCTCAAACCATGGGACCACCGTGAGCTGAACAACGCATGCCCATTCAGCCTCTATACGTATGGAAGTCTTGCTGTCTCAATCTGGATCCCTGCCAGCCAGCGCTCAGAAGCCAGAGGCTCGACGATGACGGGCTCTGTTGACTTCAAACTGGTTCCGGTGGACGTGGCTTTCCGATACGTGCTGGTGTGGGACATGTCCAAGGACTCGACGCGATTGTACCCAATCCCCAACACGACCTCATGCATCTCCCCAGACTGCCGATTCGTGGCATACTGCCAGATTGCGGACAGGCTGAGCAAGCTCGCGGTGCTGGACGCCACGACCGGTGAGGAGGTGTGGTGTGTCGGGGGTGAGGGCAACCTAAAGTCCATCGAGCAGTTCGGCGACCTCTCTCAGATTACTGATTTGGCATTCTCTCCCGACGGAAGGCTTCTCTTCCTCGGAGACGCTGAGGGGACGACGAGGGTGTGCGATGTCGGCGAGGTGAACTAGAAGCGCAGGTCGCGAGTCACATAACCAGCCATCATGAAAGGGGGGCGGGCGAAAGCAACACCCTGCCCCCCCCTTCACTCAGTCTCTTTTACGATATATTTCATTTGTCAAAATCTTTGGAAAAAAAAAAGATAGCATTCGTTTGGGTTATATCATTGGGATGGCGCATCGGAATCCACGGACAGATTGGATTCTAGGCGGGGGAATAATCGGCTTGGGATATTGGGTATACCCTGAATGCTTGTTGGGATAACGAGGTCACTTATGAAGGGAAAATCTAGATGGAAATCTTGTAATCCATACGTCGTTCTTCGAAGCGTGTTCGAAGCGTGTGTTACTTTTTTTACACGGTTGCCTGGATCTGCAACCACTTATACATATTAAACTCTATCGGACATATATATCATTACAATCATATATACATATATACTTTATTTTAAAAGACGCCAGCCTCTACATGTGACGCGGATAGACCTTGTCCATGCTACTGGTGGTGGTCATGGAGGGCGTCATGCTCGCCGACGGGCCGGAGAAGTGGTGATCCCGCATCTGGTACTGGTCCGTCTCGACGACGACCGAGGTGACCGTGTCCATCTGGATGACGGCGCCCTCGGGCCCCCTGAGGGACTCCTCGCTCACGGTCCTCGTGTCGGAGATGGCGCGCTTGTTAACGCCCCTAGCCCGGTCGGCGGCGCCCCCGATCCGCGCCCACGACCACCACCCGCCCGTCATCGTGGTGCTGGGCCCTCCTGCGTCTTCCGATCTGGGGTATCTGCTGCTGTTACTGCCCCCTCCCGCGGTCCTGCTGCCGCTGCCGCCCTGGACCCAGACCATGTTGCCGTAGCGGCGGGTGCGCGGGGTCTGCATGAAGTTGAAGGTGTCGAGACCCGTGTTGGAGCGGCCGATGTCGGTCTTGCTGGCGAAGACGATGACGTTGCGGGTGGTGCCGAAGAGGAGGCAGTCGAAGAAGCCGTTGGAGGCGATCATGGCGCCGGCGAAGCACATGTAGCCGAGGGGCACGTCGGTCTGGGCCATGGTGGCGATGCGGCCGACGGCGAGGGGCAGGGTGCAGACGACGTAGATGACGGGGTAGATGAGGAAGGCCGGGTTGTGGGAGAGGTTGAGCTCCTGGATGGCGGCGGCGCTTTGGGAGGAGTTTGGGGGAGTGCGGGACTGGCGGCGGATGGAGATGAAGACGAGAGTGTAGAGGATTGTGGTGGTTGCGATGGCGATGAAGATGTAGAGATAGTGGGTGACGAAGCGGAGGATGGAGTACTGGTTGTTCATCCAGCACTGCATGGTGAGGTTGTTAGTGTCTGGGATAACTAGAAGGAAAGGGGAGAGGAAGGAGAACGTACCCAAGCTCCGGCGCGGACGAAGAAGCCACCGTGGTCGGCGCCATTCCGAGTGGCTGCCACGGGGATGAGAGAGATGCCGTAGATGAAGAGCCAGATGGCGGCTAGGATCATGTATAGTGTACGATGCCGGATCGTGTATCGCCTTACAATGGATAGATATGTATGTACGGCAATGGTAGTAATAAAGCAGCTCGAGGCCAAGTCACCAAGAGAAACGAAAAGGCCCTGCGCGAAGCAGATTGGGGTTCCGACACGGATCTCGTTGTACCGAAGCCATTCTGCGTTGGTGAAGAAGGCCACGCCTTGATGCATGTCGGCGAGGAGGAGATTGAAGATGAGGATGAGAAACTGATTAGGTGGGTTCTTCTTGGGCGCCTTGAGAGCGGATGAGGCTGAGTTGGCCACTGCGTTTCTGCTGCACACGCTGTCGCGGTCACTCGTGAATGTCTTGGGATCTCGCTCGGAGGCGGCGTCATCACTGAAGATTCCATCGATTCCCAGAGCAAAGTCAACCCTGCGCTGGAAGGAGTTCCCTTGCTGCTGATCCTGCTGAGGTCGGTCCTGGTCGTGAGACGGCGACCTCGTGATTGACGGTGAACTGAAGTAGGTGTGCCATATAATCTTGTAGCCGAGATATAGAAAGAGAGTGGTAGAAGAAAGGAAAGACAGGAAAGCAAGAACTGTGATGCCAGTCAAGCCTTGCTGGAGTTGCCTGTCGAGGCCGAGGGACTGGCCCGCCTCGGGCAAATTTTCGTAGTCCATCTCGTGAAAATGTATAGAGGGACAAGGTATTAAGAGGGGGGAAGGATTGTATTTCAATCCGAACCAGGCAGTCCTTGGGTAGCATCCATCATCGCCGGGTGAATGTGAATAACAAGGGTTGGCTGTTTAGCTGTGTGTGGTTGTTGCAGAACAACAACTAAGGGGAAGGGAAGAGGGTAGCATTGATCATCACGTATCTCGCAGATGGTGATCGATACAAGGTCGTATTGTATGGGGTTTGCCTCCCAGTACGTCCGATCCTTCCTGGTCCTTAATGCACGTAGACAACCAACCACATATACGACAGGGATACGGGGGAGGATTCTGTACTAATAGTCTAATACCCATGGAGCAAGGCCCAGAAGATGTGAGCACCACGCGGACTCGATTTTGACAGGCATGCAAACCATTCTGTCAACAGACGGAGAAAAAAAGCAAATTGAACCGAGATGTCAGGTCATGTCAGGTAATGTCAAATCGGAAGCGAAGGCTTTGCTATCCGCTTCAACCGCATCGAGACAAGGCCATGACTCGGGCATGGCAAGATGGTGGGCATATCCACCTGTTGGCAGTTTCACAACGGCGCAGCGTCCACTCACCGGAGCTTAAAGACCTGCATTCTCGGTGGGCGATCGATGAATTGGGTAGGTCGAGGGTACCGAAATGCAGCTAACTCAGTAGCGGCCAGAGGATTGGCTATTTTCGGTTTGGACGCCGTAAGCTCAGCTAGCGTGAACTCGGCCAAGGGCCATGATGGTCATCAACAAAATTGTCAAATGTAACCTTGGAAGAGGAGGGCTCTTCAGCTCGGTGGGGAGTTCGCTTGCCCTGGTGATCTAGACGGAGCCTCTTGCTCCTTCTCGGCAGGTCTGTAGGGTCGAGGCCGTGTGTTTTCAAACCCACAAATCAGCGCTCGCCCTGTCCTGGGCGTAGAAAAATCAATCACTGTTTGTTTCCTAGCTGTACATGTACACATATACGTGTGATGCGAGTCCCAGGAGTTGGGTCGAGGGAGTGAAAGCGAGAAAGACAGCCAACCAAACCCGACGATCATGGGTCGCCTTGCGCTGCGATGAGCGAGGACTGATCAACGGCCTCGTGGGGTATGTGGCGAGCTATTCGCATGGGGTAAGTAATAGTTGGAAATTGGAAGTAGCCGAGATGATTACCCATGTGGTTGTGTAGCAGCAGGATCTGGGGCTGAATCTATCAGGATCACAGTCCCAGTCGCAGCGCAACCCAGTTCGCTGGGAACTGTCCCGTGATCTGCTATGTACGAACTGGCGGGTTGTGCTGCAGATGCCTGGCCCTGAATCTCCCAACTGCAAGGAACCAATTACAGGGCAGGCATGGAGGGGTGCACGGGCCACCTCTTAAGCTTGGCCGGTTGATTAGGTCATCATGAATCTACAGCGGATGAGCTCGGCAAGCAACGTCGGCCGTGCTACAGATTTGATATCTATCAGCCTGGTCAATTAGCAACGCATCCGGTTGCTAGCTCTCACAATGTTTCGATTCGTACGTTGCAATCCGTTGCAGACCCATATGTGAGCTTGGGCTAGCGCGCTAACCCTGCATCCCAGCACAAAACCCTCGATATTGTCACGCTCTTTCACAAGGCCAGCTCGCCTGCCTCTGTCCGGGTCGCCAACCTCTTGAAGCAGGCTTCTGCCGCCTCGACATCTGGAGCTGCTAGCGAGTCGACGAGGGAGCAGTTCGAGCTCAACATCACCGAGGACCAGCCAACCCCCGACCAGGTCCAGACTGTTCTCGAATACGTGGGCAAGAGCGGGATCCCCAAGATCATCACGGGTGCACACGACGAGAAGGATGCATTGAAGAAGTATATCCAGAACAAGGACAGCCTCGTCAGACCGTTGGTAAGTTTCCACGTGACAGCAGCATGCAGCTGTGGTTTGCCGTTCTTGACTGACAACGATGACAGGTTGTGGACTGGAACAATGGCAAGGCGATTTCCGGAGACAATGAATCGGAGATCTTGAAGCTCCTCAATGCCAAGAAATAGTTTGTACGGTGTTTCATCTCCCGAGGTTTCTTCTGGTGCCGACCACGTACGTCTACTGGTTTCAGGCTCTATCCGCCACTCACAAATGTATCTTTATCCGTAGAATCAAAATTGCAAGTGCAACCAATCGCTCTGCCTGCCTTCTCATGGCTTTGATGAACAATGATGGGATATCTCGTTATTGGGGCCCTCCTGCTTAGTAGGTACTTGGCAGCTTTGTCCACCGGAGTGATACGTTTCTTAGTGGACTGAATCATACGTGCACATACAGATAGCGTGCATAGCTGCTCAGGTACTCGCAAGATGAATACCCTGCGTGTAGAAACAAGCCTAGAACTAATGTTGGAATCCCTCGGCTTCTTGCAGAACCGTCCCGCTCGGGTGCTGGTGGGTGGCTTGCTGTCACCAATGGCCTGCGGTCTTTGCTCTCCTGTTGTGCGCAAATGCGCTTAGACCACCGGCCAGTTAGTCGCACAGCAAGGAAATATGATATGCAAAATCTTGTGTTTCTGCACTGTGCCTGCCTACTCATGAAAACTGCATGCTTCTTTGCACATTCGTTTCCCGTCGCCGGCCCGTAGATACTGATGATTACTATTTCGGTGGCTTTGTTGTTTGAACTCTGTGGTTTGTCGTGAGGAGACTGAGTAACTGCCAGGACCCGGCAGCAGTGGGAGACGGGACGGCCGATTTACTTCTATCCAGCACCTGACGGCTTGGAGATGTGCGTTGGTGACTCTGCAGCTCCAAGCTGGTACCCGATCTTTGTGGTCCTGCTTTTGCAGACACAGAGAAGAACGGGGAAGGAGCGAGCATGACTTGCTCCAGTTGGCAAGTACCTCAGGGAGTCACTCTGCCTTGGTTCCCACTGCTCAGGTGCCCGCCGTTGCCAACAGCTGTCAACCTCACCTTTTCCTCACTTCACCTCAGCTCTCAGCCAGTGTTTGCCGCCTGGGAGATTGAGTCAAGGCTCGCTTTCGGTCCAAGTTCTTTCGTTTTTCTGGCGACACGATGCCGACCAGTTTTTTCCTCCTCCAAGTGTCGCTGGAAGAGTGTCAATGTTCTTCACCCTCGATTTATCTTGCGCCGCCCCCAAATCAATCAACACATTTCCTCGCCAACTAGCACCGGAATCTGCTCCCTGAAATTTTACAGTCGTCGAAGTTCACGAGTTGTGCGCGATAACTCAGAATTCTCGTCTGGCTTCGTTTTAGAGCATCCTGGGTATTCTCGCAGCGCCTCAAAGCTTTTCTGAAGTAAGTCTCCTTGGTGCCTCATATTCTAAGCCTAGCATTCCGTCAGTCTTCAGTGTAGCTGCTTTGAGAATCTTTTCTGTTCCAGGCCATGTCCTGGGGGTTTCATTCTGCTCCCTTTGACCCATTTCAACTCACTTCTGCAGGCGCCGAGATTTGGTGCGAGGCGAATAGGAATACTAACTACAAGTATACAGACGTCTTCTATCATATTTTCGAATATCTTTTGATTTGAAACTGCCACCGAAGCCTGCCAGCGCGGACCTAGCCGACGTCCATTGCCCGGCATGGCCAAGCAGAATTGTCCTCGAGTTTTTGCCGAGCAGCAGCCTCCTCAGCAGCAGGCGGTCTTCAAACACTGGTACCCAAATGGCCTACCTCGCATGTACATAATGTGCCCGGAAAGAGATCAGTCGGATGTTCCCCAGTCATACGTCGAAAACAACCTTCCTGTCGGTTTTTACATCAACCCCCCCACGACAGCGGAGGCCACATTCTCGACCCGGAATGGCAAGGATCGGTTCAAGCACATGCATCATGTCCTGCCTCATCGCCATCTTCATCTATGGTCCCGTGATGAGATACAGGCGGTCTGCAACTCCGTCCGAAAAGTCCACTGGGCTTCGATGAAGCGTATGCAAAGGCCCGAGTCCTGGGATGATCTTTGGAAGTATTTTGACGCGCACGACCTCTACCACGCTGGAGCGATCAATCTGTGGAATGTCCTGAATACCCTCATCGATGAGAACGAGATCATCTTCAAAGATTTGCGGGTTCAGACCGCGGTGATCATAGGTCACTGGTTGGATGCCTGGCTTGCGGAAGACAACCAGTCCAAGTTGATCGCTTGGACTGAGGGCCAAGGTCCAATTTTGGATATTCTCAGCGATAGAGATCGAGCTTCGATTGGAGATATCGAAGATGAGGTGGTACCGTTACTTGAGAATGCTCTATTCTATCGTCGAGACTTGCTCTTGGGATCTCCACCACCGATACCATCAGACTTGGTAACCGCCTGTTCAACGAATTCGCTTCAAAACTGGCTGGGTGCGTGACTTCGTGTTTTCCCTCTGGAGCTCTACTGACCATTTTCTAAAGCAGATAAACCGACGCTATCTCCTGGCGGCCTTCCTTCTTCAGACTCCTCAGTCTCCCCGCCACCCCCTCAAGAATTATGGATCGAGTCGCCGTGCATCCAACTGAATGGACGTCACTACTATGGAGCCAAGTCTCTGCCTGCGTATGGTACGAGCGATAGATCTGTAGCAGGAACCGATACCAACACCGCTACAGGCAGGAAGCCCAGTCGCGGCCCGGTAATTGCGATGGGTAGCTCAGTGACACCATTCAAAGCATTCAGCTATGGATACCACTCGAGTCGAACAAGTTCTTTCGGGGCCTCCAATGAAAGTACGTCGCAGGCCCAAATAGATTCTTCTAGCAAGGAAACCCCCATTACCCAGGGACCTACAAGCCACTCGATGGCCCATGCTCCTATGCAAAGCGAAATCTCGAAGGTTCCTGGAGAGCCTGACAAAAGAGATGCATCCCCTGGACCGTCATCACATGTTGAAGGGGGCCAGAAATCAACGCGTCTTGTTTCTGAAGTGAACAAGCCTGCCCAAACAATCCAACCAGGCCAGGAACCAGTCTTGCAGAGTGCCTAGAAGTCAGATGCAAGGCTGCAGTCCAACGAGGTTGAAGTGGGACAATCTTCAGGCGCGACTGAGGAGTTGATCGAAAAGAAGAGGGATTCGGAACAGAAGGACTATCAACTTCGCCCTGACGCAAGGAATGAGATTGCCGGCAACAGTACTCTCCCATCAAGGCCAACCAACTGTGAAAGTGAATTGAGCACATTAGGCGATGCTCTGACCGAACTAAAGATATCTCGGCAAAACAAAGATGGCCAACCAGGGGCAGCCTACCCCCAGCTGAGCGATTTCCAAGGACAGCTAAGCATGATCAATGCCTATCCTTACCATGAAGGACAGCGCCACCAGTCACTTCATGTGAACCCTAACTACCATAACTGGAATAGCACAGAAAGAATGCGCCAGAGCTCGGCCATGCAGCTGGCTCCCAAGGTCCCACCCCCCAGCGGAGGTGGCCGCGGGCCGAAGCCACGGAAGCATGGTGAACCTAAAACTAACATCAAGGGTAGAAGCTCGGATGATCGAGTAGCCTCGATCTCAGGACCCTCTGGGTTCGTATCTGGGGACGTCAGAAATACCACTGGAAGAGTTCCAAGCCACGGGTCTTTCCACCACAGACAGCCACAGCATATGCACTGCAACAACATGATTTCGGAGAAACATGTATATGTCCACTGTGAATGCGATTGTTGCAAAGAAAGGAATCTCAGTGTTCATGTCACTGTATACCAAGGCCCATGTCTACAGGATACAATGGATGTTCAGACGCGAATCAGGTTTGGCTTTAGTAACAGATTTGGTTTTGTAGAAGCCGTGATGCCTACTAAGTCGGGTCTCACGTTTCTTGCCAGGTAAGTAGAGCGGGACTTTATTGTTAAAAAGAAAAATGCCTGGTAACACTGCTGACCAATTTTTACAGATTTGCCCATGAATCCTCTGTGAATAATGCACTTCAAACAGAAGGCAACCTCACGATCAACCACCTTGTATTGAGCATCAAACCTTCATATAAATCAAAATGGCAAGCCATATGGGGCAGAAATCGACGAGGGTCATCAGGGCAGCAAAGACTTGGCTCTTTGAGCAGACAGAGGCAGGGATCCTTTGTCGGTCAACCGCCGCTGAACTATATGGAGCCGGCTAGGCCTTACGAGCAGGAGTCATTCAAGCCTTCGCCACCTTTCATGCCGCCGAACCTACCAGCGATACCTCATACGAACAATGCATACTTGCCTAAGCCAGGTGATCCTTCAGTCTCTGGATTTTTCTCTGCTCAAGCAATGGCCTCAAAAGCGGCTGTGCCCGTTGCCCCGATCCCTAGTCAAATGCCAGGCCAAGCCGACGCTGTGGTTGAAACACGTTCACCACCAAGGCCTCCACGGGGGCAGAGCAGTAAGAGAAAACAGAAGGCTTCCTGTCTCCGGGTCGAAGATTCTCAAACAAAGCCACCAGCTGTCGAAGTTTTAGATGATGGCACTTTTCCTCAGGGCACATCCGAAGCTAAACCAGCGAGTGTCAGAGTGGCACTGCCAAGCGAGACAAACGCTCCCGCGCCTGTCAACCTGAGCCTTGATGACAAGTTCCCTCCAGATAACATGACCGACACGAAACCAACTGAAGGAGCGGTGGAAAGTAAACAGGGAGGACCCGAGCCACAATCTCATGGTCTCGATGACCCGCTTCGCACGATGCCTGCAGACAGCTTAATCCAAACTCCGCTCAAGCAGTCAGTGAAAACAAAGAAAGAGAAGAGTCATGGGCGCCGAGAAGATGAGAGTTCGTCTGAAAATTGGCAGCTGAGTTCCCAAGGACTTGACGGGGCCAGCTCATCGAGGATCGAACTGGAATCATCAAGCCAGCATCCTAGTGGAGGACCAGACGTTGCCCCTGTAGAAAAGCAACATGAAAAGCAGGAAGAGAAACCTGAAACTCAGGAAGAGCAACCTAAAAAGCACGATAAGAAAACTGAAAGGCTGGAAAAGCAACCCGAAAAGCAAGAAGAACAACTTAAAAGAGAGGAAGTCTCGGAGCCTACGGTGTGGAACAATTGCAGGATTCCGAGCATCTTCACTGCTGAAGAAATTAAGGGCAGGAAGCAAGCTTGGGATCGGATCCCAATGCCTTTGAAAGATCAAAAGACCAAGAAACGGAATCTCCCAATTTCAGCTAAGCCAACCTCATCGGCTTCCAAGGCTCACGCTGTTAAGAATAAGCTTCAGAGCCCCAAAGGTAAAAATCGCACCACGGAGGAAAATCAAATCCCTTTCCCGCTTCCGAAAACCCAGCCTCAGCAAACCGAGGCCGAACAGTCGGTAGATCCTGAAGGATTTCAGCTCGTATCGCCAAGAAGAAAGAGAATAGGGAAAGAGAAGCAGCATCCTCAGACCTTGACGATTCGGGAGAATCAGCGCCGAGGTGTTGAAAGAGAGATCACGAACTTCTTCGGCTTACTACCCGGCCAACAAGTTACAATCGAAGCACACGAACATGGCAGTGAGATGGAAGAATCACCTGATGTCTCAAGCAGCCCTCCTACGAAGGGAAATGACTCTGGTCAAGCCGCGCCCCCAAATGAAACACCACCTGTCGAGCAGAGCCAACCAAAGAGCAAAAAGAAGAAGAAGAACAAAAAGAGCAAGAGAAATCAGTCGGTCTCCTCGTTGGCGGTAGCCGAAGAGCCTCGCGCGCCAGAAAAACTTCCTGAAGCAACTGACCCAACCCACAGTTCTGAAACCCTCAAAACTGACTCTCAGGTGGAAGATCCCCAAATTCCGTCCGATGGAAACAAGCCCAGCGAAACACCTGACTCTTCCGGTCGTGACACTCTGGGATTCAAGGCTGGGGCACCCTTTGGAAGTGGAGGCACCTTGAAGATGCCCAAGAAACGAGCAAAGCGGCCTCAAGTCACAGACTCACACTGGGAGCCGCAGAAAGGCCTCGAGATAAAGACCTCTGCCGGTGTTGGACAGTCGGGCTTGGAGAGCGAAGCCTCTTCATCAAGGATGGCCACACCTACGAGTGAAACAAGCAATGGCCTGAATCCACGGGCGAGCGACTTCATATCTCCTCCTGCAGAGAAACAATCCTCGGATGAAGACAGTGACATGAGCGTCATGTTAGGGGTGTTTGGGCAGCTGGCTCAGAATAAACGAGAGACCGAGGCACTCATGAAACAAAAGGAAAATGAACCCTATAAACGAGAGAAAGGGGGAAGTCGAAGCAGCTCCTCTGAAACGATTGACTGGGAAGAAACAGGTTACAGGAGGCATACAAGTAACGACGAGCGTCCCTCCAAATCCCGCTCAGAATCTCCGCCGCATATAATTTTTACAAAGGGGAAGCAACCTGAGATAAAATCAGGTAAAGGCAAAGAGCCCATGGGTCCTGCGACAGAAATCGCAGAAGAAGGCCCGGCCTTGAAAAAGAAAGAACAGCCCACAGCCCCTGGATGCCCCGGTGACCCCGGTGATCCTAACGAACCTGGAGACAAGCCCGGTTTAGTCAACGATTCGTGGCCAAGGCTACCTCCGCGAGAGCTTCTTACTCAAGACATGTTACTAAATGACGCACCTGCGGCATGGAAAAGACGTTAACTCGATCTACTATGGCAGCATCTCGAAGAGAGTGTAGTTACTTTGGTGGCGTGAGGCAGAAACACAATTGGGATTTGAAAGGTCTAATCTTAGGGGCAGGGCATGGATATGAAATTGGAAACTTAGAGTTTGCAACCTTCTTTTTCGTCCTTTGGGGTGCGGAGAAGAAACATTTTAGCAAGTTATATAGAGCTCTTCATCTTGAGATAAGAACGCTCCTAGCTTCTCATATCACCATTTCCCAGGTGGAACTTTAGTTCAGAAATAGCTATGGAAGACAATGCATGGGCATTTCCAGCTTAATGACCGAAAAATGCGCCCCGGTAGCCCGAACATGCGAAAGGAAGGAGGCCATACATCGTCCAGTCCTCTCTTCGTAATTGTGAAATAGAATGATACAATTGTTTCCGAAATATCATATGTACAGTTCGGTATCGGTCAACGTACCACTAGCAACTCTCAACAATGTGTAATCATGGTCCGTCCTTGACTAACCCTGCCACTGCATCCTCGACCTGTTTATCCGAAAGACCTTCCAGGGATTGTGACTTTTCAGTACCGAAATCTGTTGTTGCGGCCATTAGCTTTGAGTTCCCTACACCAATTTTCCTGATTCGTAGGAGAGTTGTACCGTATCGGGCGTAAACCTTGGGAATAGTACCCTGGGCCTCGCGAACGAGGATGGGAATGGTGGGGTTGTTCTTCTTCATCGTGGGATACGCGCGGTTTATGAAGGATCTGTGCGAGCAGACAGGATAATTAGCAATTGGGTCCCTTGATCTAAAGCTCGGCAGCACCTCCGCCTGAGGTACTTGCCAGCTGCGTAACGAGAGTGTTGGGCTAACCGGACGGCCGCGCTTTGCTCAGAGGTCTGGCAGAAGAGGAAGCGAACCTCCTTGAGTGACTGGGCGAAGGCGTATTTGGAAGCCATTGTGGATGTTGAACTGCAGGCGGTCTACCCGGCTGTACAGTGCTGAAGATAATCAGGGTGCGAGGACGAGACGGCCGTGGCTCTGGCTTGGACAAGCTCGGGTAGCTTCTGGTCGCGATGATTTGAGGCTTTGATGCTGGGCAGTTCAATTGGCAATTCCCGGCCCTGGGATTGGCTGGAGGAAACCGAGCATAAACACCTATGAAAAATATGTGGGTCGCTTGTACAGGCTCGTCTATCTTGTGTAGGGTAGCATTTTGGGCCGTGGGAAATCCGGTATCGCTCGGCTTATCTAATAACTGCTCGCAATTAGCGTCATCCCCAACCGTTGTTCAACGACAACCCATCCATCTTGCAGTCGGATTATACCATCTCCCCTCACCTCTTTGTTCCTTCTCTTCGTCCTCTCTCCTAGTTGATACCCTTTTCCCGGTATGTATGGTAGAGAATTCCCTGCCGCCATTGGTGCGACGAGCACGGGTGTCTGATGGACGAGTTACTGACCAGGGGCGAAAAAAAGTTGGACCTTCGCACAAATTACTCCGAGGACCGATCCTGCCGCGGGACTTTTCCAAACACAGCATCTACACCACAATGGCTTCGACGACGAACACCGTGATGCGCGCCGCCAGGCCGCTGTTCCGCCAGCAGGCCCCCTTCTTCACCCGCAATGCCGCCCTCCGCCAGCGCATTTCCGCCCCTCGCTTCGGCCAGGGCAGGAGGTGGCAGAGCACCGCCGAGGCCGCGCAGGAGCAGCAGGGCTGGTTCAAGAAGATGTGGGAGAGCGAGGTTGGCTTCAAGACTGTCCACTTTTGGTACGTGCTACCCGGCATCGCGTTGGCTGAACTATACACGATGTGGGACAAGTTGCTAACATGGGGATCTAGGGCTCCTATCATGAAGGTTCGTCGCTGATGCGCTTCGCCATACTCACGGATAAGACGTAGCGTGGCTGACTTTGGGACTGCATTACAGTGGGCTATTGTCATCGCTGGTATCGCCGACTTCGCCCGTCCCGCCGAGAAGCTCTCTTTCACCCAGAACTTCGCCCTGACCTGCACCGGTCTCATCTGGACTCGCTGGTGCTTGATCATCAAGCCCCGAAACGTCCTGTACGTAAAAATTCCACTGGCATCTATCTGCGAGACTATAATGCCGTTTGGTGTTGGATAGCGCTAGTTCTAATTCTCCGTGGGTTTGCCGCTAACTCCGTGACTCACACAGCCTCGCTACCGTCAACTTCTTCCTCGCCATTGTCGGTATTATCCAGGTCACCCGTATCGCCCTCCACAACTCCTCCTCCAAGGACGGCGCCGCTGCCGTGGCTGAGGAGGTCAAGTCGGAAGTCAAGGAGGGTGTCGAGGCTGCCAAGGATGCCGTCAAGGCTTAGAGAGGCGGAACATCCGGGCCAATTGAAAAAAAAACTAAATAAATCGGGGTTGGGTCGAGGAAGAAGGACAACAGGGGGGGGATTGGTGTGGTTACAATTCAAATTCTCGAAGTAGCAGAGAGAAGTCCTACTTGGACACCGTGGTTCTATTCCTTTTGTTCATTCGCTAGAGCTTGCGGCAAGGGAAAGAGACCGTGCTTGCTCGCTCGCGTGTGTTGATTGATGGCCGACAGGGGCAATCTCTGCGTATTTATCAAAACCCTATCATCTAACCTTCTATATACGTGTCTTGGAGTTTAAACTGAATTTCTGCGTGCCCTGTAGCACAAGATTGTGCAAGTTCGACCACTCAGCTTGCCGTATTGTATTTTCGTGACGGATTGCTATCGGAGCGTTCGAATCATTCGGATTCTCGGAAGTCTCAAATTGTTGGGGTGCGGCGTCGGATGTGTCTCATGTGGGCACACGAAGTCACATCACTCATTGGCTGAGGAGTTGTGTAACATCGCATGCCCCTGCTGTACGGCGAGCGTATCAGATAACTGAGACGTTTTGTGTGTAAATTCCGATGGATGTCACACCGGTTCGGAACCTTCTCCCCTGACCTTCCGAGTCTAATGGCGCAGGTCATTCCATTCGAGGCTGAGATAATTGGCGGGACTTTGGGGAGCTCTTGATGTTGGAGTTGGAAGAATGAAGTTTGTGCTCTTGGCTCGCTTACGGTTGGATCAGTCTGGTCTGTTAAAGCTACTGATTACGGTGACGGCGGTAACAGAGCCAATTTGCGGTTATGATATCACCAATATCCACGATACGGCTCCGCGTAGAGAAGTTTGGGGAAAGACTCATTTATTGCATTTCTCCTCTATTCCTCCAAGAATATGGAATAGCGAGATACGTTCTCACCAAACTACCTAGACAAAGTCCGTATCATCCGTGCCCTTATACCTTTTGTGCCACAAATTCCAATACATTGCAGGATTCTCTGTGATAAAGCACAGCAAATAAAGGATAATGAATCATAAGTCTTAAAGGATAAGCAACTCCAATCCTGTTTCTAGCTGGGCTGCCCTTCGCAAAATAGTTGCTAATAAGGAAAGCAGTTCTGCCTGTGTTTAAGGTGATCATTAGCAAATAACAAGCAAGCCTCTCTCGGATTTTGACAACAATGCCTTGCTAGAAAATGCCTGTTGTGAAATTTCACCACCACCAGTCTGCAACTTGCTCCCGTTTGTTCTTGGGAGCTTCGTTTCCCGCCTCCTCGTCACCAGCGCCAGTGACATCCTCGGCTGACATCTGAAGATTGCTATCTTCAGCCTTTTGGATGAAGGAGGTATCGACTACCCTTGTGGTAAGCCCCTGCATGTTGTCCGCCGTCGCCATAATGCAATAAATCTCTCCGGCCTCGCTCTCTTCAGCAGCTCGGAGGTATGCCTTCTCAAATTCCTCGTAGTTGTCACGAGTAACATATGCGAGGGATGTACCAGGTCCCAAAGGAGGAAGATGGCTGCCATCAAACTCGGCAGTGTCGGGGACGCTGAAGACCGGGCCGTTCTGTAGACCTTGCAAAAGAGAACGAGCCGCTGTTTCAGCAAACTCTACATCCGTAGAACTCGCTTTGATGCTCCCTCCCCGAGACTGTGCTCCAGGCGACCTTGCAGAATTCGCGCCGAGCGGCTGGCCCTCTCTCTATGGGCTCCCAGCTTTGTTCTGTAACGTACGAAGCTGTTGTAATATGCCCTTCAAGTGCTCAAGGCATTGCTGCCGCTGGATTTCGCTTGCCTCAGACATGGGTAGACTTTCTGACTTTTTTTTTTCGCTGTTCTTCAATACCTTGGAGGATTTGTGCAGTCGAGACGTCTCACAAGTTTGAAGATGGTCTCTTTGTAGGAATTGCTGTGTTTTCCGTTCTGGTAGTGGTGAGGTGAGTGAAGAAGGAGAGTGGTGAGGTGAGTGAAGAAGGAGAGTGGTGAGGTGAATGAAGAAGGAGAGTAGCGAGGTGATCGTGAGGAAGGAAGAGGGACAAGGAAACTTATTCTCACTCACGCAGCACGCGTTGTTTATTTGTTGTGGGAAACGTGAGCAGTGTTCAAGTCAAAGTGAGAGCCAACTAAGAACGAGTGGCAGGCCACCAAGCCCAAGCACAGGCAGCTGGAGCTGCCTCATGGCGACACGGCGACATACAACTCCCAGCGGTAACTGCTAATGCATCAGGCTCCAGACTCACCAAATTATGCATAGCAAATTGACGTGTTGGATTTTGCGAGTCTTGAATTTCAGAGGTGGTTTGTTAGGCGCCAGAAGGATGTTTCTTGAGGCAGAGGCGGCTCAATAAATAACAACACTTACCAAGTATTACAGCACTTGAACGAACTACCCTATTGCTTGCTTCAAGTGAGAAGATTGATTTGCAATACATTTTATTGTTATGCGTGTGGATATTTCTACATTGAATAGATCTCAGCTTTATTTGCTCAAAGCCACTCGTCAGTTGTCACCCTTGTGCTCCCAATATAATGCAGGCTGACCACACTCACAGGTCCCTTTTCGTCCCCCAACCCATTTACATAGTATATTAGCTAAGATGCCTGCAGGAATTGATGAGGCGTGAAATTGGTTATTACTCCTGTCAAGATGACCTCCGCATTGTGGAGCCGTGACCTCCTCTCCACGTGTTGGTGTTTCGGCATTGTTGCAACCGCAAAACGAGTCACGACTATCGTGTGAGGACTCAGGCAGTTAATAGCATGTTATGCGCCTCAGCACGACTGTCATTGGAACCGATCTCCTGATATCGACAGGTCAAACCAGAAAATCCAGCGTCTGCAGCCCAGAAACTTCCTTGTTGGTACGATGCCCTGAGACGGGATTCTCCAGACCCTGGTCGTTTCACCTGGCGAGATGACCGAGCCGGGATCTGGGCTCCAAGTCAGTCCACCCACCTGCAGCCGTGCTACACTGGAGATGGCTTGAAATTCTGTAATAAAAGCCGTGGTCTGGGGCCTTTCTACCGTTTCGCCCTTCTCTTTCTGGCAACCTATACATTTCATTTCTTCAGTCACTCCCTACTGTGTTTTTGTTTACTTTCAAGTTGAAAGCAGGATTCTTCCACAATGAAGTCTACACTCATTATCTCTGCTGCTGGCCTGGCTGCGGCTTCAGTGTCCCTTGATGGTGCTGTTTACACCGGCAAATCTACTCACTATGGCGGAAACCTGAACGGCGGAGCTTGCTCCTTCAACACCTACACCTTGCCCTCTGGCATCTGGGGCACTGCTTATTCTGGACAGGTCTGGGATAGCTCTGCTGCCTGCGGTTCTTGTGTGGAGGTCACTGGACCTAACGGCAACACCATCACTGCCATGGTAAGGACGCTTCGTTCTTTGAAAAGAGCTAGGAGGTTGTGTTTTGAGAAGCTGACCTTGTTTGAACCATAGGTCGTCGACAAGTGCCCCGAATGTGACCAGGGCCACTTGGATCTGTTCATCAACGCCTTCGCCGAGCTTGGAAACACTGGTGATGGCATCATCTCCACTTCGTACAAGTTCGTCAAGTGTCCCATCACCACGCCCCTCACCCTCCGCAACAAGGAGGGCACCTCCAAGTATTGGTTCGCGATGCAGGTCGTCAACTCGAACGAGCCCGTGGAGAGTCTCGAAGTCAGCACCGACGGAGGCAGCACCTGGTCCAAGACTGAGCGCCAGGACTACAACTTCTTCCAAAACGCTAGCGGTTTCGGCAGTGACACCGTTGACGTGCGTGTCACCAGCACCCTGGGCAACGTCGTAACCGTCAAGAACGTCAGCATTGCCGCCCTCTCCGAGACCAAGGCCTCGTCCAACTTTTCGGGATCTTCCAACGCGACGCCCGACACCGCCTCCTCCTCCTCTTCATCGGCTGCAGCAGCTCCCTCGTCCTCCGCGGCGGCTTCGTCTGCTGCTTCCTCGGTTGCCTCCTCGGCCACCTCTGCTGCTGCCACCTCATCCACTGCTGGCTCCGAGCCTCAGTCCTCGCTCTTCTCCCAGGTTCCCGACGCAACCACCACTGCGCCAGCTTCCTCCCAAGCCCAGCCCACCGCCAGCTCCTCTGCTGCCCCCACCTCCACCACACGCCCCAAGTGCAAGCGTTCCAAGAACAAGAGATCCAAGCGCTCGGTCCGCCGTGACCTCTAGACGAGCTCCGGCGCGATACGACATGTCATGGCGCTTGACTTCGATATCATTCCAAATGTATTTACCTATTCGCTTCTACATAGGCTGGCCTGACGCAACCCAGACCTTGCAGGACTTCAAGTCATGGTAGATTTTATGACGATAGAAAATAAAAGACATATAAAAAAAATTGGAGAGATTCTCCTACCAAGCTGATTTAGTATTGCTGCTCCATGCCATGTGTCATGTAAAGAGAGGAGTTTGTGGTGATTGCGACTCGAAATTTGCATGGATAGAGAGGCTGTTGCTCGATGCAACGTAGAATTTCCATAAATACAGAGATTTTCACACACTGCAACGCAACATATACAAGACCCTTGCGAGCCGAGTCTTCGAGAATTCTCAAGACATCTATGATAGGTAGTAAGCAGGCAGGAAGGGCAGGTGGCCAGGCATGCTGTGATCGATCTCTGCGGCGGCAGGAGCAGCCGTAGGGCGCCGGCTAAGGGCTGCCCAGGTGATCCTTCAGTTGGGCATTCGGATAACAGTGGGCGGTAATCTGACATGCAGGGGGTTGTGCCCCGCTACCTCCACTGTAACCCCTGCCGACGCCCTGCAATTTCCACCTTCTTGGACCGCGACTCTCTGATCGAGTGTCCACCTCGCGTCCTCGCTTTGGCAACCCATTGATATCCTACGACACAGCGTGGGCGGCGATAATGAACCCGGACAAGGCGTTCCTGGCCTGTAACGCCTGCCGGTACGAATAATTACACTTTGAACCCCGGCCTCGTTCGGCACTGACCTTTCTCGCGTCCTAGGCGCCTCAAACGAAGGTGTACCAAAGACTTGCCAGCATGCGGGTTGGTGCGTCCACACTCACATACAATGTCGCAAATCCAAGAGCAACTGACTGATACGTCACTGTTGACATTAACAGTGCGTTCGCTTATACAAGCCATGCAAATATCCCGACTTGTCTACAACCGGTTACACTGCGAGCTCCGAGGCACTTGGTGTTCGTCGTGCCAGCTCTCCACCGGATGATTCACCAGCGTCGTCGAGCCGCAACGTCACCTACACCTACTCGGGCGCAGAGCAGCCGTTTCCACAGTCCTTTTTTCTGGATGCGGCATTCACGTCACCTCTGCCGGCCGAGTCGCTGACCTGGGGTTATCAGCCCCAACTGGAAAAGCAAGCCAAGCAGCATTTTAGTATAAATCGCCAAGCCATCTGCGATCAGTATCTTTCCAAAGTCCACCCATGGATGCCCTTCATTAACAAGAAAAATCTGCGCAAGGATTTGAAAGCTGATAAACCGGACGCGGGGTTTACGGTGCTGTTGCTGTGCATGAAACTCAGCTTCGACATACCCAAGGGCCAGCCCTCGACGTCAGGCTTGTATACGTTCGTAAGGCACCTCTGCATGATGGCGGAATCCTCGGGCGCCCTGTCTTTACGGATTGTGCAGGCCAATGTGCTTTTGGCTGCATATGAGATATTCCATGCTGTGTACCCGGCAGCTTTTACCAACATAAGCCGTGCGGCGAGGTTGGGAATGCTGTTGGGTATGCCAGATAACGGCTTGTCAACGCCAATATTCAAGGATCCGGAAACTCAGACGCTCCGGGAAGAGATGCGCAGAACTTGGTGGACTATCTACATCCTTGACCGGTGCTTGCATATAGAACCTAATGGGATGCCTTTTGCCGTGCCAGATTTCCCCTCAGACCAGCTCCTGCCCGTCGATGATGATGATTGGGATAGGGAAAGAATAGTGCCTGGCGAGCCTGTTTCCACGAGCGTATTGACCGGTGGCACGCCTCTTGGATGCTTTGCCAAAACGTGCCAGGCCGTTCACCTTCTTGACAGAGTGCTGCAACACGCACAGGCAAGTAATTCCTCCCAACACACGGCTCAGAATACCGCTAGTCTCACGGCTGAAGCTCTGCAATTTGACCGGATCCTCAATACTCTGCAGCTTTCTCTGGAGAACGATGAAGCGGGAGATGATGGCGAAAAAGGCCAAGACGCGCTCTCTGCCAAAAGCACCGCCCTTGCCATATGTGTGTCGGCGCGATTCATCTTGTACGAGAACTACGGCTGCACTATCTTTGACAGTATCAAACCCCGGATGCCGAGCGCGCAAGAGACGCAGATGCAGAAGATCAGCTTGGAAGGCTGCAGAACTCAGGCGTTGCATACGGCGCCAATGATTGCATCGACAGAAGGGACTTCTCCTCTTATCGCCCGATGTCTTTACGATGCCGCCAAAATCTGTGCATGGTTTATCCATCAAGACCATGAGCCTGAAATGTACGAGGCTCTGAGGGGTATTCTGGCCCGACTACGGTCGCTGGGAGAGCGATGGATTGTTGCAGGTAATGCTCGCTGTGCAATGCCTTGATTTACTTACGATGCTGATACTAATCCCCGTTATTTAGGGGAATACATGGATCTTCTCGACCTCGATGGAGTTTTGAAGTTGAATAATTTAGATTTGGTGGTGCTAGGTTGATGTACCAAGGTTAGACCCATTGTGTCTCTCATATATCCCCCTATTTTCCCTTGTCCGCGTCTGTTAACTTGGCTACATCTGCCATTTTCGACACTCCTGCAGCCCATTCCTTGTACTTATTTCCGAGGATTTCAGTTGAATCTGAACCAGTAGGAACATGCAGCGCCTTCTCTGTGTCGTGATTTGCCCAGATCTCCTCGAATAAGCCCTTCCCGTGCACTGCATCCACGACGACTGGGCCGAATCGCTCAGGGTCGCCATCCACGGCTGTTGGGTTCTGAAGGACATACTGGATAATGCCCTTCCAATCATCCATCTTTTTCTTATAATCCTCCACCGCCGGCCCGTCTGTTGTCATGATGTTGCCAACGAACTTGGTGCGGAAGGCGCCGGGCTCAATGATTAGTGAGCGGACGCCAAAGGGAGCTAGGAGGCTAGCATAGGATTCTGCCAGCGAGGCCAGCGCCGCCTTGACTGAGCAGTACAGCATCTGCTCCGGCTTGTTGAGGACGCTCATGTACGAGGAGAGCGTGATGAGCGTGCCTGTCTTGTGCCGGCGCAGGGTCGGGATCAATGCCTTCCACACCCGAATGGCGCCGAAGACGTTGGCGTCATAGTACTCGGATATCTTGTCCTCGCTTGCCTCCTCGGCTGATCCGACGATTGCGTATCCTGCGTTGTTGACGACGACCCAGTGAACTGGGCCGGTCTGTCCCAGGCGCTCCTCTTCACGCTTGACGGCGTCTTCAATGGTCGCCTGGGCCGACTTGTCGGTGACGTCCAGCTGCAGCCACTGGCCGCCGAGCTTCTCAAACTCAGGTGTATCTTCTGCGGCCTTCTTGATGTTGCGGCCAGTACCGATAACACGGTCTCCGCTGCGCAGGACGCTGAGGGCCGTGTTGAGGCCCAGGCCGGAGGAAGCCCCTGTGATGAACCAGACTCTGGGTGAAGACATGATGGTAATAAAAGCTTAGTTTCTTTTTGCCGTGATGGGCATGCAGGAACGAAAAAAGGCCATGGCAGGCAGAGTTTCTCATCTTCTTATAGTTTTCTTATAGTGCTGGGCTGCCTTATACTTTGAAGATATCTCCGCGCCGGCAGGTGGGGTGGGCGGGCTGGAGCGGACGCGGGGTGGAGGCGTTTCGGTGACAACGGAGTTAGATGATATCAAGGTATCATCATCGCGGGAAGTATGGATCATGATGGATCAAAATTTCTGACCTTGCTCACTTTGATGGATCCATTGAGTTTTTTCTGATAAGGCGGCAGGTGATAGCTCATTTGCAATCAAACTCTTACTGATATTTACAACGTTGCCATCCTTTGAGTACCTGGAACGATATACAACATGGAAGACCAGAATCGTGCTCAGGGTACCCAATATGTCATTCTTTTGATTCTTTGAAGATCTTGAATTTGGATATTTAAACTGTCATTTCACTTAATGTTTGAAATTTTATCAATTTCTCTCTTGCGAAACTTGATACTCTGTTGGGTGGTGATGGTGGCTTAATGTCACCCACCTGGATGGGTCGAACAATGGGCATTAGATTAACTCCGGGCTCAGAACTGGGCGGTCCCAATTGGGGTTTATACGCGCTGCCCGCTTCATTGGCGCTCCAACTCCGCTCGAGGGAAATAGAATGAGGTGTGGAAGCGCTTATCTGATATTAGACCTAAGTTGGTAGAGAAAGCTTGTTAATGAGAGTCATTTGAAGCAGAGAATATCTGGGCAATGGTGTTTGGCCAGCCCCATTTTGATGATTCATTGGTCTTCGAACGTGCTCCTGTCAAGAACTAGCTTCTACAGGGTATTTATTAATATCACCATGACCTAAATTCACTTTACACCCTATGTTATGGGGAACTTCCACACCATGTCTTGCCTATTCCCAAGGTGAGATGGCAGGGTTTGGATACCGTACTCGCCTCATACAAGTGCTAGATTGCTGAGCCACACCCTGGATTGGATGAAGCGGTTCAATTCGATTTCACATCTCGCACCAGTCCAGGGAGCAATCCTTCATATATTTTTGGACGCGAAGCTCGCATTAGCTTCATCCCTCCGGCAGCCTCCTCGGCACCTGCAACGGCGGGCGCCGAGGAATTGATCGATCTCGCAGCAACGTAAGTGTGCTTGGCGCACACGCAGCTCTTGCGAGTGAGCTGATGAATTCGCCCGGCTTCTCTCCACGCAGAGGCGAGCGAGCCAATCGCCGCGCGGGCGGTTGTGGCGCAGCGGGGCCCAAGCCATGACGTCTCCAGCACGGGGCGATGAAGCGCAGCCACAATCGCGCTGAAACGGACCAGCTTTAGGGAACGGTCCACTTGCCTTCTGGAATCCGATGGGCTAGTGCGAACGCCTAGAAGCTGCAACGGGGAGCATCGAGGGTCGTAATGAATATAACGGGCCTGCTCCCTCTTCAGCCGCTTCTGCCCTATCCAATTCTACCAACTTTGACGTCTGTAGCTGGGCTCTGTCTCCTTCCTGTTCTTCCCTTTTTCTGTCCTGCATTTTTAGGCAGCATCACTTGGATTGTCAAAACCGGGACTCCCCACCCGCCTAGCTTCGCCTCGTGACTGCGTTTCGTGGTTGTTCCATCTGGGCGCACGTCCTCAGCCTAATCACCCTCGAGGGCTGCCTGACCACTTCTGCCGACTGACAATTCGCTCCCCTCACCTCGAGAATCCTCTTCTTTTCACAAATTTTTACCCTTTAACCCCCTTTCACCAGGTTTCCGAACCCCGCGACACCCAAATCGTCCTCGTATCCAGCTGCCCGCCGCCCACCAGTGAGAGCTGACGTGGGCAAGATGCTCGACGAAAATCTCCCAACCTACCGCTCTCGGGTCTCCTCCGACAACCCTCTGAACTCGATTTTATACTACACACACAATGGCTCCGAGGCCCGGCCAGAATACCTTCTCAAGAGACCGGCGCCTGGCCAAGCTCCCAACCAGTACGCCCTGGGCTTGTTCGACGTCCAGTACAGCTCCGTCGTGTACGCAGAGGTGCTCGTGAAACCCGACTGGACACAGCCCACCCTCTCCGCCGCCGAGGTTCGCGCGAATGGCGGCAACGCGGTCGCCCTCCCCGTCGTACCTCACTCCTTCTCCGTGTCCCTGTACAACCCCGACCAGAGCATAACCGTCCGGTACCAGACCAGCAGTTGGAGCAAGGACGCCTGGGAGTTCGAGGTGCCCGAGACGAGCTTCAAGACGCCGAGCGCCAGTAAGATTGACCAGGACGCCGCGACGCCCGTGCTGGCGGACCTGATCCCCCGCCTCAATTTCCACTGGAAGCGGGACAGCAGGATGAACAGGGACATGACCTGCTACATGTCGGGGAGGACCGTGGGCGGGAAGAAGGCCAAGGAGCCGGACATCACCGTCGCGCTCTTCCAGGCGGGCAAGACGGAGGGGGCGGTGGCCATCTACGAGCCCAATATGAACCGCGTCGAGGTGGAGGACCGGAAGGGCCTGGAGCTGGTGCTCCTGCTGAGCGCCGAGGTCATCAGAGACCTGTACCTCTCCCCGAAGTCGGACCCGTTCAACACCGCCGGATCTGCGGCGCCGAGCGCAGCAGGCGTGAAGGCGGGCAAGGCCCCGCGGAAGAACTCGTCGCCGCCCCTCGCCATGTCGGGGGCCCTTAATAGTGCGACACCCGCTTCGCCGCAACAGCAGAGCCAGCAGCAGTTTGCGCCCCCGTCGCGCCCACCTCCCCAGGATGCTCGGAGGGCAGAGATCGACGCCGAGTCAAAGAGGTTGCAGAAGCTCGTCGCAGAGGAGAAGGCCATGTCGCGAGACCGAGAGAGGCAGGACAGGGAGGAGCAGCAACGGATCAGAGAGATGCTGGAGCGGGAGGAGAGGGAGGAGAAAGAGCGGCGGCAGCGCGAGGTCGATGCCGAGACGGAGCGCCTCCGGAGAGAGTACGGCGTGGAGCAGCCCGGCCGCAACGGCGCAAGGTCACCGCCCTCCCCGGCCCTGCCTCCTCGACGAACGCATGGAGCATCGATGTCTGGCGCCGGGGGAGGATGGAGCCCAACCGAAGGACGCCCTCCTCGTCCGCAGAGCGTCGGGCCATCATCAGTTCAGTTCACCCCAGACGCCCAGCCAGCTCAGCAGGGCGCCGGCGGAAACGGTGGGAGACGTCAGAAACTGAACCAGTTCCTCCAGACTTCACCGTATGCCGGTCCTGCGGCGGCCAGCGTCAGCGGGTTCTTTGGCGGTGGCGCCAGGACGGAGGAGGAGAAGCAAAAGAAGATGAAGAAGAAGCGGAGTGTTCACTTTTGAGCACGAAGAAACGAAATGAAATGAGTTTCCCTTGTTAACGGTTTACTGTTCGGTCTCCATATCCTGTGCATAGCGTCCTCCCGGTGTCTGGTTAAACTGTTTATAACTCTGATATTGAATAACGAATTGACATGACTAAGAAAAGATCATTTTAATTACTCCTGCGCTCTTACATCAGACTATTGCTAGTTATAGGTCCGGTGCCTACTTCAACCCCTACAGATTACTTGAGAGCAACGCCCGCGTGCATGTCCTTGCATCAGCCGAGCTGATCTTCTTCAATCCCAGCGCCGAGGCAACCTTCATAGCACATCTGGCATATGGACCGGTTGCTGGCCACCCAGTTGGGGCAGATCCCGGTGTCGGTGATGAAATGGTACATTGGGCAGGAACACCGCACGTTGGCCAACTCGATGATCCCGCTGTCGATGGTCTGGTCGGAAGTATATTCTTCATCCCGCGGGGCCTGATCGGGAGAGTCCGTTGGCTTGGTTCCCTGCATGTTTTGCTTAGTCGCTCTGCCGAGATATAGGTGTTGCTCTGTCGTGAGAGTTTCGGTCGAGTGTTTGCGGTGCTGTTAAGAGAGCAAAAATCCCAAATGTGGTTTCAGCTGTGGACTGAAAGAGGAGGAATAAATACAGTTGGCCGTGGATTGGTGACGGCTTGGTCCATCTAGCCACGCTCCATGTGAGATGCGCCAGTTTCACCGGCAGCAGGCACCGTGATACAGATCTCATTCACACCGGATTGCCAAGGAGCCCTTCAGCAACGCAAGGATATACAGTTACTGAATGAGTGATACCTTCTGGTCCGTCAGTGGGTTAACAGTAACATCGACGGCTTTAGGATTCGCCAGTTTCTTGTGTTTCGCCGCTTCACTCGAGGGGCGATGAACAGGATCTAGACGAGCGAGCTCGATGCTCTTCGCCCCTTTATCAGGTACCTGGGGTTTGTAGGAAGCAGTGAATGGGCGGACATATGTCATTTCGCCCGCGAACATTTCTTCGGCTGGCCCACGAGTTCCCCTCGTCAACAGCATTCGACGTATGTGGTTTTTGTTCAATGATATTATCGTTGCTCGTATTTGTGTTTCGTCTGTAGAGAAGGGCTTTATTCAAGAAAGAGTCTCCCGCGCTCGACGCGTTTGCTTTATATAAAAGATTCATCTTCATCAACCTCCGAGCGCCCTGTGCTTGCCTCGATCCGCCACCGCGTGGAGTAGTCCAGCTCTGGTTATCAATACATTGTCAAGGAAAATCAATAGTGAGCTAGGTGACTGAATGGATCGAACGACTGGGCTATGACCACTACTACAATCGTTTCTCGGCACATACAGTGATTTCCAGCCAAGTTGGTATTCCCACTATTCGTAAGTAAGGGGCACCTTGTTATTGATTACCTTGTCACTTGCGTCTGGCTTGCGCAGGGTAGATAGGGCAATCCACATAGCCGTTATGTTTACTGGATATATCATTCCTCAAGTACCTACAATGCACCCAATGTAATTTTAGACATTGGCTTCTTTGCCCGAGCTTTCAGTTTCGTGACGCGCTACTTGCGCGTTCGACGTGCTCCAGCCGTAGTTCATTGATCATCATGTACCTACTCAGGAAAATCCATCCGCGGAACCAGACCATCTGGCTCTTGTGCGCATCCGCCATCGCCTTGCAGGCTGTTCCCCGCGACGCACCCTCCCCAAATAGAGTGTTCATCAGCACGAGGTTCTTTGGGTGGTCCTCGTCATCATTCTTAGGGCCAATCGCCCAGAAAATCAAGGTTGTCAGGGCATCAGCGATTGAGGAGTACTTGCGGAAGAAGTTCACCGAGGTCAACGTATACAGGTCTACCGGACACGGGAATTTGCTCTTCCCCTCGACAAGGGCGGATATAAAGGTACGCGCGCCGTGGTACAAAGAGATGTGGTTCGGGTGGGAGGAAATACCGGAGTTGTCGAAGGTGACAATTACGTCGATGCTGGAGGTGGGAGCGGTGTCGGGGCTCGCTCGTTGGCGAGCGAGATTGGGAGCGACGGCGCTGCAGAGGAGGGCGGAGATCTTCTGGTGATCCCACTTGGTGGTCAACGAGTCTGGAAAGTCATGTCTGGATTTCGATACTGGAATCAGCTCTGAAAAACCAGTCGCAGGGCGACGTCGAAGTCGAGGTTGGGCCAATGCCGTACTGGTTGTCCAAGACAAAGATATCGTCCTCGCTCCTGAGCCCAAACAGATGCCGCTCTTAATAAGCTCCTTCTTTCTAGTTTCGCCTAATCCGTCGGCGTTCCCTAAATCACAAGCAAAGAAACATATCAGCCACGGATATTCCCTCTCTTATGCGTGTAAGTTGGGTCTTTCATTGGTTCACTTTTCCGGTTTCACAGCCCCGTATCGTTCATACCAACAAGAGACAGATCGCAACACCGGACTAGAGAACCTGCCACCCCTCTTCAAATGTGACCCTGAGCGAAAAAAGGAGCCAATGGCGTTGCGTACCAGTGCTTAAACATAGAATCTTGACATGGTTGCCTGTCTCGGGACGAGTGAGACTGAGGACGGTCGGTGCGAAGAACATGGCTTCGTCGTCGGGGTGGGCGATAAGCAGGCAGATGCGCTTGCCGTGTAGCTGGGGCAATCTCGACTGGACGAGGCGGGCCACGAACCAATAGACGATTGGGACAAAAACAATGCCAAACGCGGCGAGGCTGAAGAGGCTGTCCATCTTGGTGGCGAGGAGTAGCGGGAGGCGCGTGTGCAACGAGTCGATGAGCAGCTGAGGACGCAAACGAAACCGAAGGCAAACGATTAGGCGCACGAGGCTGAGGGTGAAGATCGTCGTAATGCCACCTGGAGGCTCTTTTCCCGCTCAAGTTCGTGCTCACGCCCTAGCCTGTGGGAGAGGAGCGGCCTCATGCACGAGACCGTACAGGGACATTGTGGAGGTAGCCTCAGCATAGCAACAATAGTAGGTGGGACGAGAGCTGGCTTGAGGGAGAGGATGAGCTGGAGCTGCACTTTGCCAATAGAAGGACCTCGAGCACAAGACCACTGGCGATGATTGGGCTAGCGGCTCTTTTACAGGGGATAGCTCAACGATTTGGGCGCTGATGTCATCCAGCGGTGGTTCCAGAAGGGATGGAGGGGTCTTCTAGTGCCATGAGATAATGCCTGAGGCACAACTGCCTTTAGGCACGGGTGCCTCTTTCGGCATGGGTAACTCTTTTTCGGCAGGGGTGCCTCTTTAGAAAATAAGCACGCCTGCCTTTTGGCACAGCTGGGCGGGCGACACGGCAAGCGGGTGAGAAAATAAATGAGGCACTGAATTAATGAGCAGTCATAAATGGGCAGAGCATAAGTCATAATGACCCGAACGATATGGTAATAAAATAATATGTTTCGAGAATATAAAGTGAATTGTCTATATGCTTGTTAATTATTGGTCTGAAGTAATCGAAAATACCTACTCAGAATGCGCTAAAAAGTGTAGCAGGACTCGAGATTTGGTGTCTCACTTCTTTTGTCACTGGGCTGACTGCTGCCCCTCAGTGGCCACGAATTCAGGCCATTCCAGGCACCGTTTTACGCCCTCCAGGGACCAGCCACACCGCAGTCCAACGCGTGATAGTGGAATCATCAATTTCGCGACCTCGACGAAATAATTCCACGCCACATCTTCCACCTCATCACCAACGTCGCCATACAGGACTTTGGAGGAAAATTGAGGAGGGACAGACTACCCATACGATAGCCTAATATACAGGGCAAATATCAAAGAACCGCGGCTTCCGGTGCTTTGGATCAAGCTCATCCCCCTAACTCCAGCATCATGGCGAGACAGCGCAAAAGCAAGGAGCCCAAGTCGGCAGCCGACATCAAGCTCAAGCAGCCTGATCGCTCCGGCCCCTCGGATAAGACGCTCTTGGACTTGGCGCAGGGCAAGGATCTGTTCTCGCAAGCGGAGGAGCGCAGAAGGGAGCTTGCCAAGGAAAGGGGAGAAGTGGTTGAAGAGAGGAGGGCCGAGGACGATGAAGAAGAGCGAAATGTCCTCTCCCCAGGCGCAGATCGGCTCATGGAGGCGATGCTTTACACCATCTCGCTCTCCATGCTGCACTTGGCCTTCGACATCCTAGTCCAGAAACAGTACGGCAAGGAAATGGACTATCGAGATGTGGCCATTCGGACCGCACGTGCCTGGGTTGGTAAGCGAAGCCGAACAGCAACACACTGGCAATTGACACATCACGGAAAAGCGCAAAGGAGAGAAATAGAACGAAAGAGCTGACCATTGCTAATAGTCTTTCTTATTCTGTTTTGGCCGCTGCACCCGCATGAGGCGAACCCTACCCTGCTGCCAGGATTTCCGCGGAAGTACCAGCAGCCACTGCGACAGACCATCTTTGGTATCATGAGCGCGGTTTCTGGGTGCTATCTCATTCACATCAGCAACAACTACGACTACCTGGCTGTCATGAAGCAAGCACCGCCTGTGGGATGCCTGTGGCTGTGGGCCGTGATTGAGCTGGAGCTGGTCAACGCAGTCCTGAGCTTGGTTGTCGCAGGAGGATATCTGTGGTACCACGACTATAAGGTCTATTGAAGAGCCTTGGTTAGCGGTGGCAATGCGATTGACTGCTGCCGGCTTCTGGCTTATGTTTGGAAGCCAACCTCTGTATGGCTGAATTGTGGAGATGGGCGGGCGGGGAATAAAAATGTATACATAGTCAAAAGGTATCTCCGGCCGGAGCAGTGTGTTTTGGCCACGGACTGGCTGGGCGGAAAAGATGAGAAATAATTGAACCGATCGTCCCTGTTCCGGACTGCGACTAAGAGTCCGGCAGCGGGGCGGGTGGTGAGTTGAAGCAGGAAAATGCAAGTACTGCCTGTCTCTATGTTGGATGTGGAGGGGCGCCACTCGGCCTCGTGAGAAAGAGGAGCTTTTCCTACTTCAACTCTCAACCCTCCGCCATCAGTAAGAGTGACCGTGAGACCCGCAACCGGCAGGCCGACTCTCGCCCCGATCTATCGTCCCAGCCATTTCCTCGCGGCCGTCTGGGCAGTTTATCTCTTGTCGCCCGCAGGTCTGTCCCGTCGCTTCAACCCCTGCAGGCTCCTCCTCATGGACAGAGCCGCGCTGGCAGTGGACCCGCCGGCAGCGGATTTCCTCCACGCCGAGACCTCGACGACAACCGACTCTTCTCTGCCCATTGGATATGCAGACCAGGCCTGCAAGGAGTGCCGGAGGCGCAAGGCCCGTTGCAACCGCGGCCTGCCCACCTGCGACTACTGTACCAAGTACCGTCGCCACTGTCTCTATGAGAAGCATTCACGCACTCCCTTGACTCGCAAGTCCGTCCGTCCCACCTGGACCGATCAAGGCTCAGCCAGCAACTGACATACCCATCTACAGGCACTTGACGGAGGTAGAGACTCGTCTGGAGAAGGCCGAGGCTCTGTTGCGTCAAATAACTGCGCAAATCCCGCCTCACCTCCGCACCTGGCAGCATGACGCTCCCGCGGTACCGCCGCCCGATGCGTCCTTGGGACAGTCGCCTGACCTCTCTGGGAGTATCCATGCTGGCCCGGCGTCTGCTGGGGATGGGATTCCAATTGCTCCCAAAGAGCAAACCCCGCCCCAGTCTGCGGTGACGGACCATGATCCTGAGCACGACAAGATGCTTGAAGGCCCCCCGGTGGATGACTTCGAGTGGTCGGAGCATGATGCAGAGTATTCCCGCGAGCTGTTCCCTGAAGAGGCTGCGGCTATCGGAGGAGAGAGTCCTCTGCTAGATGGCATGGGCTCCCTGTCTATCGATGATAGTGAGGGCGGCTACCTGGGTGTAGCATCCGGGGCAGCTCTCCTGCGGCTGCTGGAACCGAACGCTCGTCGTCACCGAGCAGGCTCGCGGTCGAAACCCTTTCAGAATTTGTCAATATACCCACTCACGCCCCAGCCGGATCCAAATCGGCATGTTTCCGAAGCCATGATAGATGCTTACTTTCGGATGTATCACCTCAGCTATCCAATCATCCACGAACCTACTTTCCGGGCACAGTATAGCCAAGTCATACCTCGGCCAAATGGTGTGTGCTGGTCGGTATTGGCCTATGTAGTCGCCGCCATTGGAGTTTGGACCTCAGCATCCACCTCACAGGATACTCTGGATTTGGCGCTGTTCTCCCAGGCCCGTGGGATGCTGAGTTTCAACTTCCTCGAGGTAGGTAACGTGACCTTGGTTCAGACTCTGACTCTGGCCTCCAACTACGTCCAGAAGCGGGACAAGCCCAACTCGGGATACAACTACTCGGGGCTGGCCTCTAGGATGGCCATGGGACTCGGCCTTCACAAGGAGTTTCAAGGATGGAACATTTCGCCGCTGAACATGGAGATACGCCGCCGAGTGTGGTGGACGCTGGGGATTTTCGACATCGGTGCGTCAATTACTTTCAGCCGTCCGAACGTATGGCCATTCCAGGGGGTTGAGGTCGCATTTCCGCTCAATGTTAGCGATGAGGTATGTTCTCAGGTGGGGTAGTTGGTGGTAACTATTCGCTCACATATGTAGGACCTCACGCCAGCATCGCATTCTTACCCGCCAGAGTCGAACCATATGACTCCCTATACGGCGGTTGCAACACAGGCCCGGTTCAACACTGCAACGTACCAGTGCTACGACAGGGTGATTTCCAAGCCTCCACCAACCGCAGAGGAAATGCTCCATATGGAGGCAACCCACATTGCCCCGTGGCTGGCTTCCATCCCATCGTTCTTCAAGGTTACCGCCATCGTCCCACTACGCTATGCCCACGCCCAGGCTGTGTGCGATTGGAGACTGAGGAACTTACGAATCATCATGTATCGCCCGTTTGTGATTCGGAAGTCACTAATAAATGGAGCCGAGCTGGATCCCTCGTCCAAGGAGGCCTATAAACGTTGTCTGGCTGACGCCAAGTCTACGATTGTGTCCATCGCCGGATATTGGGCAACCAAGGAGCACAACCGGTTGTCTGCTTGGTATGGCCTGTAAGTTTTCCTTAATTGCTACCCTACCCTTCTGATTCTGACTGTGGTTCCAGCTACTTCATTTTCCAGGCCGCTCTGATCCCCTGCATCTGCCTCCGCAGCGAGCCCTCTGCACCCGAGAGCCCCGCATGGCGATCTCAGATCATAACCGCTTTGGAAACTATCCAAGCCATGGCCGGCCTGAACGCAAGCTGTGCTAGATGTCACAGCACCATATTAGATCTCTGCGGGCGATACCTGGACGGTTATGAGACCGAGTCCAATCAAACGTTACAGTTCCAGGAGAACCTGTCGCCGTCCGCGATGCTGGACAGCACGACATTCGAGGAACCATGGTCGATGGACAAGCCGGCGGGTGACGTCTCGAACGGCCAGATGAATGGAGTCTTGAATATGATGTGGCCAAACATATCTCCTTTGGATGCAGCGGACGTTGGCATGGGAGAAAATACTGGATGGCTGGAGTTTTTGCAAGCTAGTAATTATGATGATGGATGGGCCGGCCCGCCATCGCTTCCTCAATAGAGCGAAAGAATAAGCATGAAATTTTGAATTTTCGAGAAATAGAGCGATGTTGAGTATTTCACACTTCTCCAGGAGACTTCGGCCTATTTTACATCATAAGCATAAGGTAACAACCCTCCGGGGGATCGTAGACTTGGGCATTCACATGTTTAGGAAGATGGATGTTCTATCCTGAGAGCTGGGACAGGTTATTGTTTGTATTGAGTTCATTTGCTACTGATATGTCTTCTTACACAGGAATTATATTATTGGTTCTTACATATTTGATTTGTGACAGATGTTCGACTTCACTGAGTCCCGGCCCTCACCGCCTCCGCCGTATTTTACTACGTTATCTGTAGGGTGGGATGCCCCTCCCGGATCAAAACATAGAGCCGTTGAGCTTCAGAGAAAGACTCTGTCTCGAACTTACTTGTAGCTATAGAGTAGACAGCAATCATAAGAGCCTGCATAAGGCGACTCCGAGGATTGGAAAAGACTTTTTCTGCGAGCACCGCCGAGCTCACTGCTTGCAATAATCCTTCATTGTCCTCGGAGCTCTTATGCTCGTTTATGATTTTGGATATCTTCTCTGAAATTTCTTTTGCGAATTGGCAGTCGGATTCTCGAGGCAAACTTTTGACCAACTCGATGGAAGTAGTCTTCTCGTTTCGTTCCAGCCATACCCATGTCTGTTGTTCCGAAACGTGATTATCCATCAGAGGGCACAGGTTCCTTGACCATAGGAAGCACCATTTCGTAAACTCGATGCCAGCGCCTTGGCACACAAAAGTCACCCATCTGACGATGCATCTCCAGGTATCCCTTAGGATATCCATCTGGGCCTCGGAGAGCTCACGGGCGAAATGTTGACATAAGTTGATCCCGAGGCAGAGATCGTCATCAGTAACACCGCGACGCTCAATTTGGAACAGAGATGAGTGCCTACTCGTGACGATTCGACCAGTTGGCAACAGTTGGTCTGTGATCTTGGCGTCTGGCAGCCTGATTTCGAAAGCAGCGGTTACCATTCGCGATTTGATCCAATATTTGGATTTTGATAGAGCTTCCCAGCAGTTCACGAGAGTCTTGTGAATCGGCGGACTATCACTGAAGTTTGGCAGCTTTCGCGTGCCAGCCCCATCCTCAAATGCAGGAGCTGGGGGACCTGCATCCTCGCTCGCGAGGGTGGATGGTGGTGGTCCAAACAGCCCTCCCACACTCGAAACGGTGGATGGTGGTGGTCCAAACAGCCCTCCCACGCTCGTAGCGGGGGATGGTGGTAGTCTAAATATTCCTCCTACGCTCGTAACGGCGGATGTTGGTGATGCTCCCACACTCGCAGCGGTGGATGGTGGTGGTCCAAACAGCCCTCCCACGCTCGAAACGGTGGATGTTGGTGGTGCTCCCACGCTCGCAGCGGTGGATTCTGGTGGTCCAAACAGCCCTCCTACTTCGGAGTTCTTGCTCACTGATGGTCCATTTAAGCCTATAACTTGATGTCCCTGAATTGTTCCAGGTTCCTTGGCCATGGAGTTTGAATTGGTAACAGCAAGGCCAGGCGCTGCAGTAGGCAAAGAGTACGAGGCTGGTGAGATGGTGTCCGGCTGGTTAAATGTTGGAGCCAAGAAGCCGGGCTTGGTCGTGGAGGCGGACGTTTTCGGCACTTTAAAATCGCCCTTTGGCTCGTCCTCTTTTGGCCCAATCTTTCTTTTCTCACCCATCGGTGGCGCAGGACTGACTGGTGCGAAGGGGTTCTTTATCTCTGAGAATGGGTTCTCTACTGTTGACGGCTTAGGTGTGCTGCTTGATCGGTTATTGGAAGACATCATTGCGGCTTTGAACCAAACTTTATGCCATTCTTTATGCCAAAACTTTTTGTCTCTGATTTCACCTCCGAACCCCTTGAAGTATTTGGCATGGCCTACCACTTGGAGTATTTCTCTCCCATCCTTAACGGTACAGGTTTCGAGGACGCGAGTTGTTAACTCAGACTCTCCGGGATCGACATTCCCGAATACTTTGCAGGGCAAGCCCAAAACCTCCCTCCAAGCTCGGTATGCAGTTGATGACGGGCTAAGGATCTGGCAGTTGGGAATCTTCCAGGGAAATGTAGGAATTGGCTTTGTGGAAATTAACCCTTGAAACCTCGAGACTGTGGTGAATGTTAGCATCATTCTTGCATCTAGAGTAGTCCAGGGCCAGTGACATCATGATGGAGGTTCTCAAAACTTACAGAGTTTGTTCCACGTCCGTTGATCGATCTGCATCTCAACACTGTCGGAAGCTCGCTCGCGATGGCGCTCCTTAGCCAAATCTTGGAAAACTTCCACAGCTGCTGTTTCTCGGTAGTCGCCAATGATCTGATTGCTTATTCCAAGTGTGAATATTATGAACGTGTCCATATAGACACGACGCCAATGTTCGTTTGATCCATCTGGTGTCCCTCCTGGGAACCTGAAATAAAGATTATTCCCCCGTAGACCAACAAGTTTCAGGTGGCTTGTATCGGCCATTGTTCGTGTTTTCGTCGGGGTTTCTTCAGTTCAAAGTTTATTGCATAGAAAAAAAGCCGACTGTTGTGTTGGTTGTATGCTGTTTATGCAATGGTTGCAAAGTGTGGCGATGATAGGAGGAAAGGGAAGCTAGTGAGAAGTGATGGAGTTTTTTCCCCCTTCTGAAGTGCCCCTCTCTTGTTTTCAAAAACCAAAATTGGTGCGAGTTTCTGATCCAGAGAAAGTTGGCTAGTAGTTGCCTGAGGCAGATTAACGCGGGCGGAGGACAAGTGACGCGCAGCTGAAGGCTGCCAAGTGGGAGCACACCTGCACAAGTCAAACTCTTCCACACATACACATTGCCAATCTTTTCTCTCCCCAGCTGCCCATTTTAATCTCTCTCTCCATCTCCCCATTCTAGTCCGCTCTGGATGACACTGGTTTTCTATCCCGCAGGTACGTTGCTTCCCTCTCATGTGCAGCATCGCGACCAACCCGGTGTAAAATTCCATGACTACTTCTGGCGTACGCCCCAGAAAAAGCATGGGGGTTGTTCTTCCGACGGTGTGCCTTGAGAGTAGCTTCGATTCCGCCTGTTAGTACGATAAGAACTGGTTCTTTTGTCTCTTTTCAAATCCCTTGTACTTCTTTATCCCTCTTTCGAGTCAAGGCTGCTCCAAGAAACAAAGCCTGGGTGGGTGGGATCTTGCTCAACGCAAGGGCTTTCACTCTGTTCCATCTTTTTTCATCTCTTCTCTGCTTTTCCCGTGCGACCCTGGATTGTGGTTTTTGACAGCTGACCGGCTCATAGGCACAGTTTGAACGAGGCCTTTGATACAAGAACCTCAGAAATTCTGGAAGGAACGTCTATGAGAATCTCTAACTACAGGATAAAAAAGCCCCTGGATCTACCAAGGTGATCGGTCTACTTACTCGCGGTTCGCGAAATCTCTCGGGCCCCAACAACGCGCTGCTTTCACGCCACACCTTAGCATTGCATCAAATGCGAAACTATTTGACCCTACTAAACACTACTTAGAATAAATGCCAAACTTAGAGAAGAAACGGACGGGCGAGTCACCAGAGCAGAGCAGTGAAGCCAAAAGGCTCAAGGTCTTCGACGAGAAGATGACACTCGTTGGTTTTGGGGAAGGGAAGATTGACAGTCAGCAAAATAGCCTAAGAACTAACCGAAAATCTATTCAAGGTCTGTGAGGAGACAATGGAAAAGGCCCAAGAAAATATGTAAGGCTTGGGACCAGGCTGGAGAACCTGGTCATTTCTCATATGTTTGCTACCTTCTCCAGCTACATCCTTGCTCAAAGGAACTTAGAGAATGACGATGAGGGGTCAGGGCGCTTTCCACTGGCCAAGATGCCCTAAACTACCCTCGCGCCTCCCGCTCAACACTTTCACCGTGCTCTCTACGCAGGCTGCTATTTATCAATGCTGCATTCGAGGATATTGAGCTCCGTGGGTGGCCAAACCTCATGAGAGTGCTAGCGCACGGTGTGATAGGAGCGATTGAGCACATCCGCGAAGGGTTTTCCATTGAATGGTATGCATGATGGTCATGATTGGGAAGTGAATGTGATGTTCAATGGTCGCATGCCTCTCTAGATGTGATATGGTTGATACTGGGCAGGTGTAGTTTGTACGGATGGCTGCGAAGGTCGAAAGAAATAGGATGTTACTGTGTGGTGATGGGTTGTACTGAGTCTGCTCTGGCCAACTGGAGATGTGAAATATGATTGCCTAGGCAGGGTTCAATGTGGTCCCTCTTCCTATTCTCATCCGTGGGAAGTTATCATTAGGTGCATGTTCCATTTTCGCGTGTTCACTTGTACCATTGGATAGGTGTTAAACAGCCAAGACAACATCTCGGATTAATGCAGGGCCTTCTTGGCTGGCAGGACTTGGCAGATGCGCTTCTTGGCGGGTTGGGCTTGGCACAAGATATAGGGCTGAAGCCAGACATGACCGAACGATTGGTACAAGCAATCGCATAGCAGTTTCGCCGGGTCCGTGTGCGTAGAGATGAAGCTTTTCAATATGAAAAATCCAACCTGCATCATCACCCTCGCCTCGATCTGGGTGAAGACAGGGAGTCGAGGTCAAGACTTGGCAACGAGCCGAGGAACCGATTTGATGTGGGTAGTCGGTGCGAGCTGAGGTGGGGACGGCAATCTCACAGCAATGCAATCATTGAGGAGCCACTCAAGACCACTATGGCAGCGAGTCTCGACATTGGATGCAGCGGTTTGATCAGCTGGGGACCCATGGCTCTGGCGCTGCATGGAGAGATTCTGGACCGGCTGCTTTTAGCCTCTTCGCCCAATCCGACCCCCACCCCGGTCAACTGGGAGGCCGCCTGCGGTTTTCTTTGTCACAGACTGATATTGGGAGGTCACGGAGAGGCCAACACATGCACACTTAAATAGACCGAACAGTCTGACAGGGCGGTTCGGATTAAGCATAAAAACCAAAAGTTTAAGCATAACAATCCCTTACGTCTGGGCCGGGCTGGTTGAAACTCCAGAGGGGGAGACGGAGGGTCCCATCGTCTCTGGGTGACGCTGACTCGGAGCGACGTGAGACTCGCATACACAGGGCGAGACGAGACGAGACAAGGCAATGCAATAAGGCGGGAACATGTTTGCTGCCCACGTGTGTCTGAGGCTCGTCTGTCCCCTCGCCGTCTGCGCCGAGGACGGTATCCGGAAGGCCAATCTGAATGAAAGCAGTAAACTCTGCATATAAACCGTGCAGCTCACAGGCGATCGGCCAATGTCCACCTATCGACTCAATACGACACCAGGCCTTTGCAGGTCGAGAGACTGGATCCGAATAGCCGTTGTGTGGCGTTGAGCAGCGCAAAAGCAGCGAGCCAAGGACCCCACATCGGTACATTCGGCACGTAGCGCGCTGGCTGGGCGAATCAGCAAGCATGATTTGCCGTGGGGCCCCCTGTGATATCCCTGCCTCGCCCCTGCTCTCGCTGTGGATTTTTTGAGGCATCTCAACAGCGCCTCATTGACGAAATGTCTGTCTGGTGCTTCCTTCCCACGCCCACGCACGCGCGCCTGCCGTCTACTCAACTGTGACGCTGCCCCGGTGTCGCAACGCGCGGCGGTTCGATATTAGCTCCGTTCCTTGTCTTGAGCGTATTCCCCCACCCGTAGCCCATGCAGGGTGGCGAGGACCAATCCAATAAAGCCTACCTACCTTATTCTCTTATTAGGTATCGTCCAGAGCGAGATAAGGCACCCTGACGTTGAGCTTTAGCTTGTTTTCGGTCCCGTGTTTCATCATCGTGTGGGGGCAGATTCGTCAAGCTCTTTGTTTTTCTCCTCCGTCCCGACCCTTCCATTCCCTTCCTTGCCTGATCTCCAGCAACCTCTCCCTTTGTTCCCCTCGTGCTGAGTCAATCATCGCGTCCACGGGAATGAAGAGGACACTCCGGTCGTCGTCTGTCGAAAGCCTGTCCGCTGCTCACGTCGCTGAGCTGACTCGCGGTCCTTGAGCCTCCCGTGAATACCCGGATCGCTACCTTTTTCCCTCTTCCCACGTTCTTTTCCCAATTGGGCCCAATTGGTATCGCCGCAGGTGCAGAGACAGTAGAGGGAGGCATATATCCTTTGCCTCTGGCGTCGAACTGGGCTGGTTCTCCTATCGATCCCGTCTCGTGGTTGGTAGCTCAGGCCGGGCTGTTCGCGTTCGAGGTGCTGTGCGACTCCCAATCGAGAGTGTCTTACCCATTCACTCGCCCAACATGGCTTGGAGTCACCTCAGCATCACGGACCCGCACTTGGTGTACATCATCCTCGGCGGCTTCACCACTCTGTTCATGCTCTGTTCCTCCTTCATCAAGGAGCGCATGTACATTGGTGAAGCCACTGTCGCCACCCTGTGCGGAGTCATCTTCGGTCCTCATGCCGCCAACCTCATCAACCCCAATAACTGGGGATCCACCGACATCGTCACCATCGAGTTTTCCCGTATCGTTCTGGTCGTCCAGTGCTTTGCCGTCGGTGTAGAATTGCCCAAGTTCTACATGGAGCGTCACTGGCGATCCGTCATCTACCTCCTTATCCCCGTCATGACCTTCGGATGGCTCATCGTGAGCCTGTTCATCTGGTGGATGATCCCCCCCTTTAACTGGTTGGATAGTTTGGTGGTTGCCGCGTGTGTCACGGCCACGGATCCCGTTCTTGCTTCTTCCGTCGTCGGAAAGGGTAAGTTCGCCAAGCGGGTGCCGAAGCATCTCCGAGATTTGCTCTCTGCTGAATCTGGATGCAATGACGGCATGGCATTCCCCTTCGTCTACCTGTCTATTTATCTGATCCAGTACCATCGTAATGCTGGCGAGGTCACTCTCCACTTTGTCTGTTACACCATCCTGTACGAGTGTGTGTTTGGAGCTGTATATGGTTTTCTCATTGGCTATATCGCCCGCCATGGCATCAAGTACGCAGAGAAGCACGATTTGATTGATCGGGAGAGCTTTCTCGTCTTTTATTTTGTTGTTGCTCTCTTCTGTGCCGGCTCTGGTAGTATCCTGGGCGTGGACGACTTGCTCGTTGGCTTTGCAGCTGGAGTCGGCTTCTCTAACGATGGGTGGTTCGGAGAGAAGACCGAGGAGTCCCATGTTTCCAACGTCATTGATTTGTTGATTAACTTGACGTACTTTGTCTATCTCGGTACTATTATTCCCTGGGAACAGTACAATAGCGGTGTTATGGGTCTTACCGTTTGGCGCCTTGTTGTAATATCCGTTTTCGTCATCTTCTTCCGGCGCATCCCCATCATGTTAGCCTTGAAACCGCTAATACCCGATATCAGAACTTGGCGGGAGGCTCTCTTCGCTGGCCACTTTGGGCCTATTGGTGTCGGTGCCATCTTCATTGCTATTCTCGCACGAGCAGAGCTAGAGACCGGAGAGCCAGTACCGCTGGCAGTTCTTCCGGAACCCGATGCACCAGAGTTTGACTTGATCTACCTCGTTTGGCCCATAACAACTTTCATGGTTATATCCTCCATCCTCGTACACGGCTCCTCTATTGCAGTGTTTACACTGGGCAAGAGAATCAACACACTCACCTTGACCATGTCCTACACCGCAGCTCCCGAGGACGGACCTTCTTGGATGAACAGACTCCCCCGAATTTCCTCAATGTCACGTTCTCAGGGTAAGATGTCTGAGGCCTCATTTGACGAAAAGGAGACAGATCCCACTGGTGACACTCTCGCACCACCCGAGGGCTTCCTCCGACGCCGCAGAGAGGACCATAGTCGTCAAGGAAGCCGAGCTTCTTCGCTTGTCTCCAGGCGGCGCAAGTCGAAGAAAGATGACGGCGCAGGTGGTCCCATCAGTCAATCAGCCATCTTCCCAAGCCGAGAAACCACCACAACTGGGTCTGAAGGCCAGAAAGACCAAGAGCCCAAGGACACCGTTGACAGCTCGCCCGCCAGCGATAGCATCGACGAGATCAAGGCTGAAGGCTCTGAAGAGAGCATCAAGTCCCCAGAACTAGCCGTCACTACACCCCGCATCCAAGTGTACGAAGAGGGCAGCGATCTGGTGTTTGAAAATCAGGATGGAGAGGTGCTGGCTGTCCAGCCAAGTCCACGGGAGGATGAAACAGACTTGCCATCTCCCGTTACTGCGGCATTGCGGTCTCCCAACAAAACATGGTCTTTGGGTGGTATGAGACAGAGAGTCAGTGATATGTACTCGACCGAGAAGGAAAAACGAAAAGAAAAGGGCAAATCTCGAAAGCACGAGCCAGCACGAGCCTATCAGTTTGGCAATACCGTAAGTTGAACGAATGGCCACGACAGAGATTTGATGGGTGCTAATATAGGTGAATTTCTTAGATTATTGTCGAGGACGAGGATGGTGAAGTCGTAAAGACGTACGAGATTCCCTCACAGAAGCCAGAGGGCCAGGCGGATGTCTTCAATACCAGTCTGAAGTATATGGGTTTGGGCGGTCTTGCCAAGGCGGAGGGTGAAACTTCCGCACAAGCTGCCCAGACCGGAACTAGCGCTCCAACCGCTGGGGGCAGTGGCTGGACGAGCATCCTCGGTGGTGCTGGCCGCCGCAAGAATGTTGCTTCCCAGGAGAGCCAGGACGATGATGCTGATGATGACCGTAAGATCCGCTTCACCATTGGAGGCGTTGGCAAGCGCATGACCAAGGAGGACTTTATCCGTGAGGTCCAGAACCTTGATGCCAACACTCGCCGAGAAGTGGTGAACAACTCTACGGCCTCTCAAGAGGTTAAGAGCATTGCCAAGGAAGGGGTACCCGAGCAGCCAAAGACTGCAGTTAAGGTTTCCAAGCCCAGCACGGATGCCAAGGCCCCAGCTTCACCGCCTAAAACATCACCTCACAAGACGCAACCATCTGAGGAGCAGGGCGAAAGTGCCGCAGAGCGAAAACGAAGATTGGCCGTATTGGCCACACAGGGTGACGACGACGATGATGGCGACGATTACGAAACGCCTGCAGAACGCAGACGGCGAGAGGCCGCACTTGGAATGGCCGACGAAGACAGCGATGAGGAAGAGAGGGGACGAGCCACACCGGCTAGGATCCGCTTCGCCGAGCCCCAACGTGAGAAAAAGTGAAACAGTTGATCCCCCCCTTGTCGGGACGTTTGTCATAAGCATATTTTGCGATTGATACGTTGGTACCATTTATGCATGCATCACAGACATATTGTTTTTTGATATCACAGTCATAGAAAAGAGGTGGATCCAGTCTTATATCTACCAGAGGCGTACATGATTTGATTTAATTGGGAGGAGGCTGTTAAGAAGGGGGTCAAAATTTAGGCAAGCCATATTTGCATGAAATATTAGATGTCAAACCTCATACTCTGAAGACAGTTTCACCAGCCTGCATTTTGTTTGAATCTTACTATACACCTTAAGGCTTTTTCTCTGCAACCCTCATTTTTCGTGCTTTTCTAATTACCATCCTTGAGTCAAATCCATTCTTGCTATGGGATGGAGTTAGCCTTGTGTAAGGTCTCGCAGATAAGGATCAAATATTAGATGCGGCATCGCCTCCAAGCTGATATTCTACCAGTATCCACGTTGGAGAGGTATCAAGGCACCGAACATTTCAGAATGCCGTGTCAGAGCGTTTCCCCCCAACTCCTGGATGTCTTCCTCTAACTGTTGGTTTCTCTCCAACAATTATTGGTTCTCCATTTCTAGTGTAGCTATTCTCTCCCACATACTGTGGAACCTTACAGACTCCTCAAACCTGTTTCTGGCGGCTAACTTGCTGAGATGTTTCTCTTCTTCTTCCAGATCCTTACTGCGGTGGAGCAGCACGATGCTATACCGATGCGACTTCAGACCCTTGACTGCTGGCCCGGTGAGGAATCAAGATTTTTTGATCGGCAACTTGCATTCGTCAAGAGCTATTTCTGTGGCTGCAATGATGGCGTTTCGGTTTGTGTCGGATCCGACCCCAATATATGTGCCCTCTGCGAGACTGGCAGCAGGCAATGAATGTTGTAATGGGACCGTAGCCCCTTCTCACTACATTGATGAACTGAAAGCTATGTTCAAGAGGGAAATTAAGTTTTGATCTTGGGATGCAGTCTTTCAACAAAGACAGGGGCTCGGCGACGACCACGGACTCTTCGCAATGTTGTATCGCCTTGGGCATAGAAGTCTTCTCCTCGACCATTACCCTTTTGACGCTTCTCTAATCACTTCCCCAGTGTGTTGTAGTTCGCCTCATATATCATGTTCAGTCAGCGAGCATCCCATCGGGGTAGAGATTATATCTTAAGAGGACTCTCTAGGCTTCCCATTTGATCCTAGGACCTTTGGAAACAGTGATGCTGTACTTTGATATGCACTTGAACAGGTTCTTGATGGAATTCTTTTAGGGTATCAAGAAAACGCTGGCTACATGTCCCACGTGTGGTTTATCTTTATGTTCGGCTGTCTTCGCTGCGATTTCGATAGCTGTACTGACAAGAGTTGTATCTGTTAAGGAAGCTATTCCCATGTTTACACTTGTGCCGCGCTCTTTGATTGTTTCTAGCTGTATTTTTCCATATTTCTAGGATTGACTAAGCGTGGCGCGTTCTGGGGAGGCAGAAAAACAAGTGAATTGAACAAAAAGGCAAATGAGACAGGGTGAAGGAAGAGTGAGGTGGTTCTGATGGCCAGCCCTCTCTGCCTGAGGTGTCAGGCTAAAGAATGCCGCAACCTGCATTGGCGTTTGTTGATGGCACCCGAGTTATGACGTGACGCGTAAAACTCGAAAATAAATCTCACTTTTGATCTGAGATTTGCAAGTTTTCATCTCAACCACCAACCAACCAACCAACCACAAAACACATCAAATTTCTTCTTCCTCAAAAAATAATCTACAATGTCTGGAACAAATCCACAAAAAAGACCAGCCGATAAAAATGAAGACGAAGAATCGGCCAAAAGACGCAAAGAAAAGCTTGATCGATTCGCGGAGCTTTTGGATAGCGTCAGCAAGCCACAGGGCAACGATAATCGAGGCCGCAGCCAGACACGATCCGGTGGAGGCCATGGAGGCCGTGGAGGATCTCAAGGTGGAATATTTCACCGGAATGACAATGTACAAGACGAAACTCAGTCTTTAGTACCCATGCCAACGCCCGATGGGACGCTTGGCTCTGGAATGTCAAGAGCGAATTCGCTCTTTTCACTGCCTAGTAGCAGACCATTAGATAGAGCTACCACAGGACACTTAGGCAACAGATCCCGTGACCTCAGTGCGCTTGGTAGCAATGATGGTGCCAGTTTCACAGGCAACGGTCTCGTTTCCTATGGTGCAACCCAGGGTTTGGCGCAACGAGTTGCACCGGCTCCAATTCGCTCCTTACTGTTGGAGCATATGCGTCGTGATAGACTGACTCAGACTCAATCTAATCAGGGGCAAGGCCAACCGGGAGATCAACGAACGGGGCGGGTTAGCACCAATCCAATTCGCTCCTTATTGTTGGAGCATATGCGTCATGATAGACTGACTCAGACTCAATCTAATCAGGGGCAAGGCCAACCGGGAGACCAACAAACGGAGCCGGCTAGCACCAATCCTCCAGAGACGAGCTGGAAGGATGCTCCTAAGCTACCTAGAGGTAGTCAGGGTCGAGCGAGGGGTGTAACCCAAAAGAAGGCGACAACGCCTCTCACTACAGAGCTCGAGGGTTCCCTTGGCCAACAGGATGATCGGTGGGGTGAGAATCTCACCAAAGCATGGAGTGAACTCAGGCAAGCCCAATTATGGGACAGCCAGGGCTACGTGACCAACATTTTTGCAGTCTTTGTCCCTCTCACCGTCGCGAGACTGTCGGGCATGGACATTCTTAACGGGCTTGCTGAGCTCACTTTAGAGAAAGCTGGTGGACTTGAAGACATCCGTCTACAGTCCAAGCAATTGGAAAGGTCCTATGTCGAGATCTGCATCCAGGTAGCCAAGGGAAAAGAGAACCGTACCAACCTATTAGAGGTATGGCTGATGCTGGTGCAATGGGCAACCACTTTATGGATGGGGTCGCCCATACCGCTGACAACATGGGCACGGGTCTGGTTCTCGAAGACCTTCCCTCCGATGACAACAGACAGTGACCCTGTGATAATCTTCCTAGATTCCGAGAATGCACGCGAAAACGCGACTAATCATAACGTTTATGAGGTTCGGCGATGGACGAAACATTACAACGATATGGCTAGGATGCGACGCACCTCGTATGACAGCATGTGCAGGCTATCCGAATCTCAGGCTCACGAGATAAAGGACGTGATCAAAAAGCAGATCAATACCTCCGACAGGGTGCAGAATGTCAGGCAGAGGGGCCGATACTTTCATTTTGGAATTACGGCAATCGATTTGTTGCTCGTAACTGGCAAGGAAATATGGAGTGACAGTGTTGCAAATACTCTTGCTCGAGATTTGGGTTACGAGCTCACAATAACCGGTTCGGTATGACCCAGAAAAGGCTGAGGGGAATTTGAATCAAAATTTCTGCCATCCACTATTTCGCATGTCCAATTTTGCCTGTGATTTCCCCGTCCAGTGTACCTCTGCCAAGCTTCGCCGAACGGCATGCCCCTTCCAAGACCAACGTAATTCTCCTCGAAATGAGCTGGCCATCTGGTGTTTCATGCTCAGCTATGCCGTTTTGCTACCCCAGTAAACTGTACAGCGGGCTTGCGCAAGAACAGCGTGTTTGCTTCGTCTGGATGGACAGCTTCTGGTTGCCCTAATTGTGGTAAGCAGACCTCAGTAGCACAATTCCAGGGTTGAGTTTGGTGTTGACGCTCCACAGATCCCACGGGATGGGAGCTCAAGGTAGATAATAGTGTTCTACACGAGCAGACACTTCCAGAAGTAGACAGAAGTTGCCCTACCTCGGGGTTGGCATCCATTTGGGAGCATATCGCAATAAGGCCCTCCCTATTCATGTTATTTCACTTATTGTCTTAGGGTTATTGATAACTATTTAGTTAATTGAGTAAAACAATAGCATGATATTGTTCAAGTGCGGCGCTTCTGCTGGGATGACAGTTGACAGACACATTATGTTCCTCAAAATTACTTCCAAACTACGTTAAAACATCAAGAGAGTCCACTGAAGGCCCATTGTCTCCAAATTATCAAAATTTAAAAGGAGAGAACTAAGATCAGTTCTCATATTTAAACAGTTTTTCATTTTAAGACCTAAGCTGAATTGACGAAAGCATCGCTATAGCTGGAGTTATCCTACCGGTGTGGAATTATTTAAAGGGCGCTTACTTATTCATCTTAGAGCTTACTACGCACGTCTGGCGATAGAGGAGAGCCTATTACACACACAGGGCAAAATTGTAAAAGCTTGAAGCAAATTTGAATATCTGAAGGAAGAAGCAGAGAGACAATACATTCAATTTTCGCCCGGGAAACCGGAACAAACTAACTCGCCTATCAAAGACCGTCTTCAAGCCATGCTAGTATACATTTCCTTTTCTTGCACATGTGTGCTCTACTTAGGCTTTGTCTCGCCGCGGAAGCTCCTTCGACTTGCACTTGACTCCTTCCGTGCCTGCGACTTGGGCCCTGCCAGGATGGGCCCTCCTGGATTATGAGGCCTTGTTCCATGGGCTTTAGGTTCGGGCAAGTGGGATAGGAGGCACTCAATGGCTCTAGTTGGCCTCGCCGTGTGGTGTCTTTCGCTTATTGTTCGGCCTGTCAACCTGCTCCCTGCCCGTATAGACAGGTGCACTACTACCTTGGTCTTCCGTAGCATGATAATCTGGTTGTGTGGCGGCGGAAGTTTTATTGCGATACGGCTCGAATTCATCGAGCATGGCATAAAGCTCCAGCGGTTGTGGCGGCAGCGGCTGATCTCTCTGGGCCAGAGTGTCTTTTGTAACCCACGTCGCTGATGCGGCATATATGAGCAGCCCCGAAGTTTCTTTGCTTATAATGATAGTCGATAAGTCTTTCTGCCCTGGGCTCATGTTCGTAGTGAATCCAATCGGGTCACAAAACGAGCTTGTGTGAGTACCATCACAGCTGATGGAAACCACACCAACAAGCAGGTAATGTTGTGTATGATGTCGTTGGTAGTAGACTCCTGGGGGCTCGACGTAACCGATCCACACATCAAGTTCTCTTGGAGGTCTCACATCCGCCTTGACGCTTCCAACAGTCACCTGTAGGATGTCAGGGCGGGCTAACAGATACGGCTTGCATCTTCCATTTGTATCCGGAGTAGGTGTTACCAGTGCGTCAATGACCGCCTCTAACGACCCAGACCCGTCCCATTCGAGAAAGGCGCGGTTGGTTGATGCCATCGCTGATTCGTCTCCCTCGTCTACAAGGAACCCCTCTTTGTGCCGCGCGCGCATCGAGACCGGACCGGCTAGTAGGTGGAAGTCTGGGAGTGTCCAGATTGTTGACATCATAGTCTCGCACTGTAAAAGATCGAGAACGGTCTTATAGGAGAGCCCAGATTCCAAACGCAGATCCCGCGCAACTTCATCTCTTGACGGTGCTGCTGCTGGTCGCTCTTGTATGTACCTTAGGATAGGGTTTCTCTCGTACATTCCCTTGAGTGCTATAAAAATGTCGGCTACACGGCTGCTCTGCTTGGCCCGGACGTGGACAATATGCCTTAACACGGCAACCAGCGTGTCAGCCTCACTTTCCAGGGTCACTGACTCCTCCAAATTATTGGGCCTCATGAGGCCACTCAAGAGGGGGGTTTCGTTCGGTGACGCTGGCGATCTCGCCACGGCTTCCTGCACTGTTTCTCCTTCTTGGGACGCTGGCCAGTGGCTTAGCTTGAGAGGCCATTGTACGACTTCTTCGCTTTGCACAGATTGCGTCTGCTTCTGCTTGACGGGCATAACCCCCCGGGTTGAACACCACTGCTCCAGCCGCTCATTTTTCAAGAAACTGCGTACCCGCTCTTCGGTTGACATTCTTGAGACGTTTGATAGCGCGAGTTCTGTCGACGTCTCATCCTTGAATGATGGGTAACCACATGTTAGGCCCATCCCAGTCCTACATGCCTTGTAGATGAAGGAGGGTAGACCCCTTTGGGAAGAGAACTCGGGCACCTTCCAAGGGAACTTCGGCTGACCCCCTGGCATATACGTAGTGACTGGAAATTATTTGTCAGTAATCGAACGAAACCATTGCTCTTCGCGAAGTAGGGAAACTTACAGATGCGGTTCCACATTAAATGGTCAACTTTGATGCTGAACATGGCGGACTGAAACCATTGGAATCTGCTCCGGGTCAAATGCTCGAGCACGTCTTTCATCCCGTTGATTCGGTATTCTCCAACTGTGTCGGGGTCGACTGGCAGCGCGAATAAGATGAATGAATCCATGTACAGCTGGCGGGAAGGTTCATCACGCCAGTCCGGCAATTCACCTTCCAGGTTGAATGCATACTCTTTTCCCCGGAGGGATACTATTTCCTTATGATCCAGTTCATACGCCATGGCTGGTCTACCGAAAACACAAAACAAAAAAATGGATCGGGCGTTGTATTTTTCGATGTGTGTGTTCCACGCGTGCGCGTGTGGTTGTGTGGTGGAAGGTTGAGTTTCGCGTCTCTCACTTTTTCCTTCCAGATAATGGGCCTGCACAAAGCTACAGGTAAACAACGACCTCTACCAAGCCACAGTGAATGTAACCGGGCTCCCCCTTAACCTACCTAGGTAATCAACGGCCTCTTCCTAAGTAAGTAAGTGACCGCCTGCACAGTTCTTCTCCGACGGCCCGCACCGGTTTCATCCACGGCTCACTTAGCCCTCACTTCTTATTAGGAATGGAAAAGCTCCCTTTCTCCATTTTCCTTTTTTACTTCCATCAGTCTTTAGCGGGATAAGTTGATGAAACCTTTCTAAAGAGCTCAATCTCCTGCTTTTGGGGATTAAATACCAGCTGGGGGTTTGGGTGAACTCCTACAAAAGAACAGACCTTGTTGATGTAATCAAAAATTACTCAGTATCGATCAAAACATGCACACCGGGACAACAGTTATAGAGGTCCTGTATATTCTGAACTGGACCTGTGATCCTGTATTCCAGTTGGGGAAGCATGATCATGCGACGGCGTCGAGGGCATCCGACACGCTACAGAAGGCAGCCTGGACAACATTCGGCTGGAGGGAGAAGAGGGGCGCGGCGGTATATAATGGCCTGCACCAAGCTACCTACCTACCTATATAATGGCCTCCAGCAAACTAGGTAGTAATGGCCTTCATATAAATAAAACCAGATAAGAGAATAGCTCTCACCAGACTACCACTACCTATGTAACTAATAGCTCCAATTGATCGAACTAATGGCTCCTACCAAAGGTAACTAATAGCTCTTAATCAATGATAAAATAGCTACCTAGATATTCTACTATTGTGCCTATATCCACCAGGGAATGGCCTCCACCAAACAAGGGAATGGCCTCCACCAAACGAGGGAATGGCCTCCACCAAACGAGGGAATGGCCTCCACCAAACGAGGGAATGGCCTGCACCAAAGGAATCATCCCCACCAACCAAAGGAATCATCTCCACTAAACAAAGGAATCATCCCCACCAAATAAAGGAATCATCTCCACTAAACAAAAGAATCACCTTCAGCCTGACCAACCCTACCAAAGTAATTCATCACTCCGACCAAACAAGTCCATCACTCCCACCTGAGTAGTTTCTCACCTACTATCTAGTTAATCGCTCCTGCTAGTTAATCGCTCCTGCTACCTAGTTAATCACTCCCAGTAGTTAATCGCTCCCGCCTTAGGGTTAATCGCCTCCAAACTGACCAACAGCCCCACCAAACTGACAGTGGCCCCACCAAGCCAGTCCACAACGCGTTTCCCTGTGCTTTGAGGCACGTAAAATTAATTCCTTTTCAGAAGCTGCACCATCACAAACAACAACACCAGCACCAACCAGCACCAGCACCAGCAACATCATCCGTGATGGCAGGAAGAAACAGTGCTCAGCCAAGTGGCAATGGTAATGGAAATGGTAATGGCTATCAAAGCCAGGGTAATGGCAACCGCCATGGCAATCGAAGCCAAGGAAGCGACCAAAGTCGCCGTGGTAGCCGCAGAAGCGGCAGGAGTTCACGATCGCCCCGAAGAGATCGTTCTCGATCAATGAAACGAGGCAGGTCACGCTCCAGGGACTATGACAGGGACCGTTACAGCGGAGACCGTCAAAGCCACGCCGACGCGGAGTATTGGAGGGCAAATCGCTCCTATCCATACGGATGGTACGGTTACACCCCGCAACTACAATGGAGCCAACAAGGATGTTATCAATGGAGCCAACAAGGATATTATCCCGGCCCGTACGCGATGCCTCCCCCACCACCACCACCGCCGCCGTGCTCTTGCGCGCCATATCGGTGCGATGGGAGGTGTAGATCTGACAATCGCTGGTCTGACCGTCGCCGTTCTCCACCACGACGCAGAGACCAGTCGCCATATCGCAGGCGACACCGATCAAGATCCCCAAAGCCCACAAGGTCAGGTAACTCGCAGTCGCGGGATCCATCTGTCAGTTCTGCAGGCACAAACATGGTTACACTCAGTGATGGCACCCAGCTCCCTCTCAGGGCTACGCAGGTGCCCAAAATTCACATATATGAACAGCAGCATAGCGACGGGACATCGACGCTGACGTCGATCAACTCCAATCCCGGCGGAGGCCCCCATACCAACATCGTCTCAGTCGAGCAGGATCCGGAGACCGGCCAGCCGGTAGTAGATCTAGTCATCAATGACCCCAAGCTCCGAGATATGGAGGCCATCGTAAGTTATCTACAGTCAAAATCTGACATAGGAGCAGTTAGGGTCGCAATGCACGCGGTACATCCCCGCAAGAACAAAGACGACCCAAAGACGTTGATCCCGCCCTGGACATTCGAGCCGAGGGATGGACAACCTTCTGTCGTTCCACCGCCTCCACAGGCTAAGGACAACACCGGTATACAGGTTGACACATATAGATCCGCAAACGCAACCCAAGCCCCGGGGAACGTGCTGCAAACTCCAGTGAACACATCACCTGTCATGGAAAACCCGTCAGCTCCCCAGAATCACAGCGCGCTTGCTGATTTCGTAACACCGGATTCAGTCATGCTAGATTTAAGTATGCCTCAAGAGCAACTAGGTGACGATAATCCGAACCCTCTGAATTTCTTCCCTCTCGCTACGGAAAGGAGTGATGATTGCCGTCGCCAGCAATAATATATTCCGAGTCAATAGTATGTGCGGGTCGGAATCTGCGTGTATGGCATTTTGCTCGGGGAAGGGAGGCTTACTATATAGGGGATTATATTAAGTAGGATCCAGGCAAATGTAATGAGTGAGGTTTTGTTATACATATTCTTGATCCTAACTATTCTTGCATTTTATGAATAAGTGAATGCGCCTCTGTAACGGGTGTTGTCATGCCCGCGTTGGCCGGTAGTCGAAATTGGATCGAGAATTGATCCTAGGCCGAGTCCGAGAATATTCTTCGGGTTTCGTATCAGAAACAAAATTTCGAGAAGAGACAGACCAAGCCCTAATGATGAGATTCATATCGGCAGGTTGTTCAAGCCGAGCTCGTAGAGGCTTGCACTTGAGGGATATACTAACGAAACTTGAGGCTTGGTAGCAAACCAAAAGCCCCAAATGTGAGCAAGTCAAGCTATCGAGAGCCACGCGCCGCAACACAAAGTTGAAAATGAAATTGTCGTTAATGATGCTCAATTTGATAAGTGCTGGTCGAACGAGGCCGCCACACATTGTCATGGCGGGAAGACATCAAACTGTGTAATGGCCTCGGTGAGCGGCTATGTAATGGCCTTAATGAGCGGCTATGTAATGGCCCTATCAAACTACCTATATAATGGCCACCAAACTACCTACTGAAAGCCTGACAGGCACATACTGTCAGAAATCTCAAACGATGTCGGGGCTACTTATGTTAGCTACTACTGCTTCTCAGCTAGATTACAGCTATGGATATAGGTAGTTGAATAGAAAATCGTTTGTAATAGAGTAGTAGACGGGCAGGTCAGCTTCACAGCGATTATTCGTCTTGTGAGGGACACGCCAATGTGTTATTAGTATTCTTTGATTGACGACGTCAACCGCAGTAAAGAGTAGGTGGATGACTACGTTCCGATCATCTACTTAATAATTTGTTTCGTGGAGGCTTGTTCCTTTTCCATGCTCGTGTGACATAAACCTACCGTTATTCCCAACAGGGTGTAATTGCAAGAAAACAGCAAATTAATTGATGGACGATCATTGGTGGTCGAGACGGGAAATCTTCGTTAACCCGAAAATGGGCGTGAGCTGCATATATTACACCTTCCCCATAACAAAGAGGTAAGGTAACTAATGATACAAATGATTTACATTTCGGTGAGTTAAGACCGCTGCCCTCGTTAAAAAACCCCGTAGGAAAAAGAGTGACAGCCGACCGCTCGATCTGGTCGCACGCAAAACAAAGGTATACCTATGAAATACTACATATTCCCAGTCACTTCACATAATTTCCTCCGATACTACGGACTACCACAAGGCACTGCTACCTACTTGCCCAAGTCGGCAAATGAGAGGATTCCGGCATAGATCATTCTGGCTACTAGGAACGTCCTTGGCCTGTCACCCTCCCTCTCTAAATTCATTTGAGCAAGGATATAAATGGTGGACATGGCAAACATGAAGAAATCATCATGTGCCTCCAGTGGGGCTCCAGTGAAAAGGTCTATCCCAACAGAACGGAGTTTTTCAATCAGTGTCAGTACATCCGAATCTCTATGATTTGGCGGGATCGACGATGAGATGACTTGTTGCAGTTGACGGTTTATCTGCTCCATCGTATGCCCTGCAGCGACCAGAGTATCCTCATACTGCTGAAACGCCTGGGGCATGGACAGGTTGTTCTCCCTGCCTCTCTGAGCGACGTCCCGGTGGATCGTATCCATGGCGTAGCAGAATTCATCCCATGTATCTTTACCGTTCACCCATTCTTTCATTGGGTGGTAGAGTTTATGTTTCCATAGAAACCTCCAATTTTCCCACTTAATCATGGCGCCTTCCGCAATAGTGATGATCCACCGCAGAATACACTTCCACAGACCTCTGACAAGCTCCTCTTGGGCAGGAGAGAAGTGAGTGTTCGCGCAATGGGAGATTTCAATGGCCAACGTCAAAGTGTGGCGGCCCATGCCTCGCCTAACGACGTGCACCATGATTCCCTCCTCTCCCTCTGTCTCTATGGTCTTGTGATTTGGGAGGAGCATACTCGTGACTCTCTCGTGAGGAAGCTTGATCTCCCAGGGGGACACGACCATTCCCGATGCCGACGATTGCCAGCTCTCATACTCCCGTATTTCCTCCCAGAAGTTGACCAGAGCAGGTTGAATTACCTCTAGGTTGATGCTTGGGCAGCTGTTCTGCTGCGCGCCGGGGTTCGGACCGCGCTGCGTGTCAACTATTGCCTGCCCACCTATGTCGCCTTGTTGGCCCGTGTATCCAGCTCCAGGGTCAGTTTGGACCAATGCCGTGCTGTCAGATGGCGCAGGCATGGAGTGCGTCTCGTCAGGACGGAATACAGGAGCTTCCAGGTTCAAGCTGGGCCGTGCGAGCTCAACCGGATCCTCACCAAAAGCCTCGAACTTAGACTTCCAATTCTTCAGGAGCTCGTCTCGGTGCTCATCTATGTCACCTCTCAACGCCAAGTCCAGCTCCCTGTCGATCACCTCGTTGTCGTTCAAGTCTTGACACGGGTCATTGCCCAAACAGTGGAATCCCCTGAAGTCCTTGTACATTCGCGATGGAGCCGATGACCTATCATGGATTATGAGCTCCCATGGGAATTCTGGGCACACCTTCATAAGCGGATGTGCGTCAACTAGCGTGAGATGTTAGTTTGTTTTCGGTGAGTGAGGTTTATGGGTAGTACTTACAAATGGCGCTCCATGTATACAGGTCGATCATGCAGCTCAACCAGTCTTCTGCTACCCACCGGAGGCGTTTCTTGATGAGGGTTCGAAGATACAAGATTGTCATATGTATCCGATAGTCCCTTATCTGGTTGTTGGTGATCGGCATCATGTGGCGGATAAACGTGTCCATGTAACTGCGTCGCGCGAGCACGTCGGTCACGTCAGGTAATTCCTTTTGAAATACATAGTTGGGTCCCCGAAGGGACTCTACCGTCATATATGGTACGCGTGGCTTTTTCTCCACGCTCATTGTTCCTCGATGTAGCGCGTATCGCTATGTTCGTGAGTAGTGAGTGCGTGAGTGTGCTTGTGTGCGTGTGTTTGTGTCTGTGTGAGTCGCAATTTCTGTGGAAGTGGAAGTGGAAGTTGGAGTGGGAGTGGGAGTGGGAGTGGAAATGGGAAAGTGAGGGAAAAGTGAGGAGGGTTCCAATCGTTTTGTGTATGATTACTTTGTCCCGTTAACCTAGGTATCTATCGGAACGGATAATGGCCTCAACCAAGCTCCCTAATTACCTTAACCATGATATCCAAGAGCCTCTACTTAACTGACTAGGTAGGTATAAGTGAATAACCAGCTGCCTGCATATTGAATCGATTACATCTTTGAAAACAGATTACCTACCTAATGATATTTACTTTTCTACCGATGCAAACCTCAAGGCACTCAGCGGCAAGAACATGCCTGCTCTCTGTTTACTGGAAAGTTTTATCAAAGACAGCAGTTCTAATTATCTTTAATTTAGCTTACCTTTATCGGACGTAATGCGAATTGCGTGGCGGACGAAGGGCGCCGCTGCCGTTCAGTACTAGGTAGACAAGGGATCGCACACTTGGTTTTATCACAAGTTTGCACAATCATCTTACATACGATTATGTTAAATACATCGTACAATTTCCTATCTATCGTTTAGAGTTTTCCCTAGTTACAACGTGCGTACATGCCGGCCAAAATGAGTACCGCTCCTCCTTTGCTCCTGCTTGACCAGCGCACCTCTGACCCGGCCGAGAGTCGCCCTGAACTGATCTAGATCGTCGGCCAAGAATCAGGGGGTGATTCGGTCCACCCGGGCGGAGGAATCCAAGATTTCTGATATCCTGATGCGTCTAGGTCGTCTGATGAACCGGTGAGGTCAGACGGGGCGATGTCTGATGGAGAATTGTTGGCCTCGGGTAGAGCGATGGGTGCAAAACCGGATGTATCAGCCGACATGCCACTCGAGGTATGGGATCTTTCAGGTAGTGACGGTGCCTCACTTGTCTGGGACGGCACGTTGCTACACGGCCGGCTGTTCAGATCAGAGGCGGTGCTTTTATTCGGTGCTGCTGATGGGGTTCCGGTGCCAACATCCAGGGGCATCTCATTAGTGCTAAAGTGGCGCTTGAGAAGCTGCCAAGTTTTCTGGTGCTTGTATGATTCCGTAATATCGTTGATAATGGTCGTAACAGAAGGGTAACCTGTGTGGCTGCCCCCCGGGTGTATCTGTTGCCAGATAGTGGCTGCTTCCTTGACACTGACTTGAGGAGGGCTAACAAGGGAGAGTGCCGAGCAGATATTTTCAATATCGGCCAGATAAACGCTGTACTGCGTTGCTCCGTGTTCATTGACAGCTGCCAGTTCGCCTGTAGCTTTACCTTGGAGTGCAACGTCAATAATACGTAGGAGAAGGCTGGTCTCTGCAGAGATTGAAGTACGTGACCCGGCACATACCTCCCGCAGCACATGGGATGGATGGAATCCGAGCTCGCCCTGGCTGTTGACTGGAGCCGATCTCAAGTGTTCACGCATCGCGGTGATGTGGACATCGCCACGGAAATTCTCTAGCTCGGGCAACTGCCAGCACCGCTGGTCCTGGGTGCGGCAGATTGACGTGAACTGTAGGACAAACACCAGAAAGTAAGGTGTCAGTCTCTGGGCAAACATTGGATGCAAAAGCATCATGTATAGCTTGTCGAGAAAGATTTGTGGGAACAGGGATGGATACTGGGTCGCAGCAGATCGTGTGCCAGAGGAACGCCCATCCCCATGCCTCCCCTTGCAGTAAACGAGCCCGAATCTTGGGGAGAGTAACTCGATCGGCGTCATACGGAAGATCCGCATACACACCTTTGAGGCCTTAACAAGCTTCTCAAGGTGGCTCTTGGACATTTGCTCCAGCGCAAGCTGGAAACGCCCGGCATCCTCGCACACGCCCACGTCGCGTGCAGCCCAATCTTCTTGCTCGGTAGTCCATCCTTCTCCTCTGTCTGGACGGCATATTGATGCCAACTCATGTTGCTTCAGCTTTGGACGAGCTGCACACACATATACCATCACTTCTCTAGCCTGGGCTATAATTCGTTCGCGTCCTTCGGCGTCCATTTGGTTGATCGATGAAATCTGATGGTGGTGATGATTCGGATATAGATTTTGATTCTGATGATGGTGTAAAGTTAGCAGCGCAGCTAAGTTCTCGATTGTTGATATGTAAGTTGCCTGTTCCAAGGTGAGCATGGAGTGAGAAGGGTGAGGATGAGGTGATGTCTGCCTAGCACCAGCCTTTGTTTGGCCATTGAGTCGATTTTTATTCAGGTTTGATGTGAAATTACGGTTGCATCTTGCGCAAGGAACGTGACTTTCGTCTTTATGATAGCCTTCCTCAAATAAAAAAGCCTTCCAACTCCTCAAATCTACCTTTGTACGGCCATAATTACATCACTTACGGTTCACGGGCATCTTTCTGCTGAACCTGTCTAGGTTTGACTTGTCACGATGCTCCCCTTGGCGCTGATAATGTTTTTGAATACTTGCTGCAAAGGAAAATCCCACCAAGGTTTCCCCAATTAGCTTTGCTGCTACCTAGGGGTTGGGATTCTAGACGATTCTCGCATTATCTACTACCAGATAAGTCCTTGCGTACAGTTATTGGTACGATCATGTCCCTTGTCCTTCCAATATCGGAAGAATGAGAAGCATCTGCGAGTAGTGGCATCTTTCTGACGCCCATCGATGTAACTCCGGTCCCCATTATACGTTTCAGTGGCGTACGGGGAGACCGCATTTCCTCAGACCCAATCCTCGGATCGGTGCAATGTGCCACGGGGATTTTCACGTCGATCCTATCTGGAGCATCTCTGGCTTACACAGTAGCAAGGCACACAAAAGTATTCACCTGACGAAGCTCTATACTTGTCCTTGAGATCTGTCTTGTCTTCTGCAACTAAAAGACTGCTCTGCATATTTGCGTCTTTCTCAGCATGAGAAGCTTCTCCAAACAAAGTGACAGTTTCCTTCAATTTCAATTTCCCCCAATGGAACTTGTTTGAACAAGATACACTCAAGAGGGGGGCTGAGGTTTGCTCTTCTAAGTGAGCTAAGAATGGAAACAATCCGGGCCAACACAAACACCAGTGAAGGGAAAACTGCTGAAATTTTATGGGGAAGAAGCTCTGTTTAAGACAAAAGCCGGTATCGCAAGGGTAAGGGGACGCCGTCCTGCACAGTGCTTGTTAGAACAATATCGTGTAGAACGACACAAATTCAGATTTAGTTCACCTACCTCAGATGTAAGGACAGCACCTGTCTATTACGTGGGAATATGGACCAAGGAAGACGAAAAAGACTGTTCAGTAGCAAGAAAGTCTTGTCGGTCAGTACCTCTCACGTTGTCGTGCCGCGCTAGCTCCCTCCAAAACTTGCTCTCTCACTTTCTGCTCAGTTTGTTTTCCTGTCGCTCCTCGGATCAGTACGATTTTCCCTCGTCTGCCTCCAGTCCTTCGATCATTTTGCCAACATCACCGCCAGCAAAGACAGCTCGCCTTCTCGAGTAACCTTTCGGTCTTCGTGATTTGCTTGTAAAATACACTTAATTGCTAATCATAGCCGAGGGCAGACTTCAAGAGGGATGTCTGGGGGCAATCCTCGAGATCGGCTAGCTGGTATACTCCAGAGCCAGGACAGAGTCGAGGACCTGCACCGAAGCGATGGCCCTTACCACCAAGAACAGAGTCGAGGCCAGACTCACAGGCGAGGGGTCTCTCGCGGCCAGCGTGGGTCGTCCAGAGGTCGGGCCACAGCTCGCCGTGGCAGCGGCAGACAGCACCACGGCATGCAGACTCATTCTGAAGCTCCTACCCGGCAACGTGATGACCAAGCTGCTTCGAACTCCTGGCCGGTATCCGACCCAGAACGACGGATTAGGAAGATAAATTATCGACAGCGTGTCGCATCTGGGGCTCAATCAGATAGTCAAGAAGGTCCACCCAGTTTGGACAGTGGCTTCGAAATGGAAACCCAGGTGGACCTTATGGAGAAGATGGTCGAAGAATCCGAGGAAAGAATCATGAAACGAGTTCGAGAAAACCAATTGGACGTGGGAAGAATGATCCAAGATTCCGAGGAAAGAACCATGACACGAGTCCAGGGGAATCAGATGGATATCTTCGAGGGGATGATCCAACATTCCAAAGAGAGAAGGATACCACAAGTTGGAGAAAATCAGACAGGCATTTTCAAGAGAATGATACAAGAGTCCGAGGACAGAATCATGATGCAGGCTCGACGCGCCCAGATAGATCTTCACAAGCGAATGATGAAAGAATCCGAAGGGCGGGTAATGGCACGGGTCCGAGCTTTGCTGGCTCGTTGTGGCATCACATCCCGGGACCAGCAGGGAATGATCCAGGAAGGCTCAGATCGTTCCAGACATCACGGTAATAACGGAGGCTTTGAATCGATTTCTTCCGACGGACGCTCTCAAAATGCCCTCCGTGACCAGCGTGCATTGATGCAGCAAGACTCGGATCGTTGCAGACACAACAGTAGTAACGGAGGCTTTGAATTGATTACTTCCGACGCACGCTCTCGAGACGCATTGCGGCTTACCAGACAAGATACCTCGCGGCAGATGGCACAGTTGTCTATCTCTGGTCTAAGAGACCAGTTTCAGAACCAGAGCGTCACCGACACGGCGAGAGAAGGCACCCAGTTGCCAGGCTACAGGACAAATTTCAAGATTGCAGTCGACATACTCTCAGCAAAGCCTCCGGTTCAGTCTTATCAGCTTGCTCAAATTACTCGCCCGTGGTTTCCTGCAGAACTAACCAAAGAGAAGCAGGCCCAGTACGACAGCGATCGTGGAATTGTATCCGCAATGATCGAGCTGACAAGGTCGATGGACGACATGGGAGACATGATGAATGAGTCAACACTCAATCTTTGGAACATTACCATCTTGGTTTACCAAGAATCCCCTTACTGGCTTCTCTCAGCTCACCATGGATTCTCGTGCAAAAATGTGAATGATCAAGTCGAGATGGGGGAGATAACCCACGAGGCTCTATGGCCTCTGGAGTTCGTCCACCAACTGGGCAACATTATTGTGCACCCGTTTTTTGCCTGCCGTCCGAATGGTGCATTCTTTCGACTGGCACTTCAGTTTGCCATCGCTTGCCGCTACCCTTTCGCCTGTGCGTGGGACATTTCCAACCTCGTTACAGAGTCAGGTATCGAGTGCCCTTTGATCGCAGCATTGCAGGAAGACATGCTAGGTGCTGTTGCTAAGTCCACAGACAATGATGGCTTCCACCGATTCGTCATGTACAGTGGTATCACTGTGCATCAGAGACTGGGCATCATCCATGAGGTCTTCGAATCCGATGAGCCTGATTTTTCCCCGTCCCAGGAGGCCGCATTTCTGCTGGAGTTGGGTCGCCTCACTCCTGAGGCACCAGGTCGCGAGGCGATTGAAGACTTGAAGCGTGAAAGCTTGGGTGATAAGCGTTGCGTTTTCTTCGTCAAAAAAGGCGACCTAGACAAGATACAGCAAGTCTTGGATAAGGTAGCACCGGATCAGTCGACTTCGGATCAAGTGACAACTATTGAGACGAGCGTTCACTCCGAGTTCAGAGCGATCAGTCACGAGACGTTGAAGGGACAGATGGAGGATGCATATCGACACGAAATGCACCTTCGAAAGGCATTCAACGACCGCGCGGCGTTGCTGAACGAGGATGTCCTGATTTAGCGGCCATATCCGAGCCCAGTACAGACCATCTGCTCCTCATAGGTACTCAGGTAAGCTGCTTAGAGACGGGCAAAGGTGTCGTAGGCCATGTATGCAGCTTGTATGGGTGATGAGGTGAGCATACTGTGGGTAGGCGCAAAGAGATGCTGGGAGGGGTCGGCCAGCAAAAGAGCCAAAAGGGTGAAAATTGGAGAGGCGATGACAAAGGAGTGCTCGTATATGCCGTTTGTAACTAGTAATTAGTTTGAATTCGACCGCTGCCAATGGGATAAATGCTTCGCTTGCTCCGCGAGCCCAGCTGTGTGCTTCAAGCGAGGAGCTAGGAAGAACTCGAGGTCTAAAAATTGATAGCTTAGCTTATCACGAGAAACCGTTTATTTTGCCGAGATGCGCTAGATGCCTGTGATATTCGATCAAGAACTGAGTACATCTCCACTTCGTATGCCTCCACGAGGGATGCAACACTGAATCATCGGGTATCGCAGGATGGAGGCTGGCATTGTTGAGGGGCCAACAACCTGACCAGGGTCTGTAAAAGGATTGTGAGCTTCAGCCAATATTGGACCAGCCCAGATCGTAAGTGTGGTGTAGCTGTGCCGATTTCCCGTGTCTGGGGTTGCGTTGTGCAACCCTCAACGTGATACTTAGTACATTGGGGTGGACTCGTTTAGGGTAAGAGCCACCAACCAACCTGGGAGTGCGCAACCGAAGGCTTATTGCTTCCAGGATCTAGATCATGTTAGATTACGCGTAGATCCAGGGATGAAATTGTATGTCAAAGTAATTTTTCCGTCTGCTTCACAATGTCTGGATGATGGATGCTTGGCAGGTAATTTCCCTTGGCACAGGCTCTAGGGTAGCTGGGATCGGGGGCTCTGAAAATTGGCCACCTGATTGGCTCCTTTGAGCGGGAGGCTGGAAACGAACTAGGGCCTTTCCTCCGTGCCGTTGGAGCGGCTGCATGGTGGCGGGCCACGGGGATATATTCTTCCTCCAATCAGTGATGCTTGTGGTGGGTCCTATGAACTTCTTCACACGCCAGATCACGAACCACTTCCATGGATTGAGTCAGGGCTCCGGGAAGTTCCATCAAGGCAGAGGCAAACCTTAGTACGGGCGTCGCTGACCTGTTCATACGTGTGTTACGAGCATGACTCTGAACAAACGGAGTAGTTGATCAGCGCTGGATATAGTGTGATTTTGGGAGCCAAGAGCCTGCGTTCAGGCTATTTGCCATGTGGACGACTACAGATATGTATGCATGTGGCGTGTCGATTAGATCCGCACTAAATTGCCGACTGCAATCAATTCTCTCTGAGTCAGTTGTGTCTAGCCCGCTGGGTAAATATGGACGTAGCTGGTCCCATCTGGGTAAGCTTTATGTCCACGGGGTAAAGCGCGTAGAGTTGGGTCTGGAGTCTGGAGTCTGGAGTCTGGAGTATGGAGACTCTTTTCCCCATCAATGAGGGGTCAAGTGTAAGAACTTGGCGAGCCTTGTCCCCAGCTTAGTTGCCGGGGCAGGGCCAAACCACTGCTCAAAACAGCCGCACATGTAGTCTCCATCAGATTGACAAGGGCCTGCCAGACCAAAATGCCCTGGAGCTTCTGACTGTAACCTCCGCCCGCCCTGATCATGCTATCCAAGTTTACCAGGGTCCCCAGTTCTTGACGGATGGAATTCGTCTGCCATCCGATAGGGACGTCCAATTTTCGCCGTCGAAATCCCGGACCTCTATGCCAGATTTTACCAGCTCACCCGAGGCCAGCACATGTTGCACCATGGGGTCGAATCGAATAGCCATGCCTGTCTGAATTGCGGTGGAGGGGTACTTTGCCCCGTAAACCCCCATCCATGCGGAGGAAACACCATGGTCCTGAAGATATAAGCTCCCTCTCCTCCCCCTTTCCCAATGCTACCACTCCTTCTCATTCCCTTTCCCCTCACGGAAATCTGGATACTAGCCTGTCTTCTCGGATCTAAGACTTCAAAGGCTTGGAGAGTAATTTGTCTAGGTCGCCAACTCCTGAGATTACTGCATTTTCTCTTTTTCCATACCTAGCCGAATCTCCTTCTCTTTGAGACAATTGGCAAAATGCCGAGCTCAAAGAAGTTGTACAATTGGTAAGACATGACGGCCGGTTCCAAGAAAAGGCTATGCTGACGAGTGCTGCGAACCAGGTACATCTCCGTCGTAGCTGCGCTGTGCATGGTGCTCTACGGATACGATGCCTCCGTCTTCAACAGTATCCAAGGTTCCGACAACTGGTTGGACTATGTCGACCTCGATGTCAACAAGAACTCCCAGATGCTTGGTTTGAGTATGTAGTGCTCTGCCCCTCATTGGACTGCCATCAACTGACTTTCTACCACGCAGTCAATACCGCCTACACAATTGGTGCCATTGTTTCCGGCTTCTTCATCGGCGGGCCTTTGGCTGATTTCATGGGCCGCCGCTGGGGAATGTGGTGCGGATGCTTCGTCACCATCATCGCCACTTTTATGCAGACCTTCTTCCCTTACCGCAAGATTGGAGTCTTCATTGCTGGCCGTGTTATCATTGGTCTCGGCCAAGGCATGGCTTTGACTGCAGCTCCGGTTTATATCAACGAGGTCACCCCAGCCGAGATCCGAGGCGCCGTGATGACAATTTGGCAAATGAACTACTCCGTTGGTAGTTTCATTACCTACTGGGTCAATTTTGCTTGCTCCAAGAACAGGGGAAAGCTTGGCCACTGGGACTGGAAGATCGTCGTCCTCTTCCAAATCCTCGTCCCTGCCGTTGTCTGTGTCTTAGTGCCTTTCATCCCAGAATCTCCACGTTGGCATATCAACAAGAACGGCAATGTCGAAGCCGCCAGAAAAGCACTCCAACAGATCAGAGACACCGAGGAAGAGGTTGAGGAGGAGCTCAAGGCTATCCGCAGTGCCATCGAGTATGAGAAGGAAGCTCTCAAGGGTTCTAGCTACTCTGCTCTGTTCCGAGACCCTTCAGTCCGCAAGCGACTTCTTCTCTGCTGTCTCCTCAATGTTGGTCAGCAGCTTACTGGTCAGGGCACCCTCAATTCTTACTCTACATCCATCTACAAAAAAGTCTGGAGCGATGTCAACAAGATCAACCTCATTAACGCCCTCAACGCGACCTTTGGAATTCTCTTTACCTTGAACGCAATGTGGACCTCCGATAGATACGGCCGTCGATGGCTCTTCATTGTCGGTGCCTGCGGTATGGCTACTTGCATGCTCATTGTCTCCGTGGTCGGTCTCACAACCCCCACCGACGCCAAGGGTGTTAAGTCCGAATCTGTTGGAATTGCCATTGTTTTCCTCCTGTTCTTATTTGCTTTCTTCTACAAGCCATCTTGGGGAGCCACAACGTGGGTCTACACCGCCGAAATCTTCAGCGCCAACGTTCGTGCCCAGGCTGTCGGAATGTGCTCCCAAACCCAAGTAAGTCGTCTCAACACCAACCAATTCCCTTGAAAATAGCTAATTTGACGTCAAAAGAATGTGGCCAACGCAGTATTTCAGCAATTTCTGCCAACCTTCTTAGCAAAAGAGGGTTTAAAGTGTTTATTCTTCTTCATGGCGATCAATATCGTCCTGGCGGCGTACGTTTACTTCTTCATCCCCGAAACGAAGCAGGTTCCGCTCGAAGAGATCGATACCTTGTTTGGAGGAGCTTCCCACGCAACGGAAGGAGCAGACATCCTCGGAGATGCCCTGGAGAAAGAGCCTGTTCAGCACAAGGATGGCACCGAGGTTCATCAGACAGAAGACAAGAAAGCTTCAGTGTAATTAATGATGCGGATGGCGATGGGACTTGGATTGCCTATTTGGGTAATCGCATGACTAATGCTGCCGTGCGCCATTATCGGGCCCACGCTCGGATAATCTACGGCTCCTCAGATAAGGAACCATCATTGACTTCAATCACAAGATGCACACTTCTTCCACCCATAATTCGATGATATAGAGGATGAGATCTACGCTAAAAAGAGGATAGCTAACAAGAAAGGAGCCAAACGTAGGGATCGCGCCAGGGTTCTCATCCTTCGTGTTAAGCGATAGTTGAACTCTACTGTGAAGAACACCCAGAAAAAGTACATACACTAATGGTGGCCTGAGCCACCAAATGAAGGACCCTGATAATTTCCTGCCGTCCAAAACTGAATTTTTGGCGTGATGATGTCGGTGCAACTTGGCACCAGCCTACGCCGGGAACAAGAGGTGGCGAGGCTCACAACATTCGCTCGCATGCGGAAGGGTCACCGAAGAAATGGTCTATGTATGTGCATACTAAAGCAGGCTACCTGTACCTTGTTTTCCTCCTTGACAAGAAATATAGTAGTTTTGCCTCTGGCATTCTGTCCCTCGTGGGTTGTGATCGTCAAGGATACCGACAGCCTTATCCTGAGCTGTCTATGGTTCTTCCACGGTGACCTTGACTAATACATTTTTGATATTTTGCATATGTTGCTGCCCATTTGGCGTTAGCGGAAAATGTCATTTCCACGGACGACGGTGCCGGTGTTGAGCTTGGTGTTGACGCTCCACGGATGCTACGGGATAGGAGCTTGAAGCGGCTAAAATAATAATGCACTGCATGAGCACACTCCTTTACCATGTTCACATTACACTGCTTATTGTCGGTAACTATTTTGCCAAGCAAAACAATAATGTATTATTGTTCAAATATGGCCCTTCTGCGACACGACGTTTGACCCATCGTGTTCCTATTTTGAACTAAGATATTGCTCTGCTTTCTGAATACCGATGCCCAACTAACACTCTTCTCTGGCAAAACGTTCAATTGCAATTCTTTTACTCAAATTTAACTTTTTTCATCGCCCCCTTCCCTCTACTCTTGATGGAGCAGCGCACAAGATTGTTTTCAAATGTCAAGGTGTGAGCAGGACCAGACTCCAAGCAATACCAACAAGCAAACCAAAACCATATCGAATCGCTTTCCGCATCAAACATGAACTGTCGTACCACGAGTGACCCCCTTGGTCCAAGTAAGGCCGCATCATAAAATCAAAGAATCACAACCCACCACTACCAACCCCCCTCCGTAAAAGACCCCTTAGTTAAGCCCGCCTGGCCCTGGGGCGTGGCTCCCCCCGTTGCCACCACTGCTGTCGACGCCGGAAAACTGACTTGGGTCCATTGCCATGTAGTCAAGAAGATCCAGCCCTCCAACATTGACACCCTCGGCCGTCATCGACACGGCGTTGCCCTCCATATTCTGGAAGAATGCGGGTCCTGTGGGGAGATACCACATCTCGTTGCCGGGATTGTTCCAATCGTCAAACAAGGTCACATCCATGCCAGCCCCAGGCGCGGATGGGTTGCTGTTCTCCACGGGAGCAGGAGTCCCTGGTCCAAGCGATGCCCCGCCGGGGTAAGGAAAGTTGCCGCTGGACAGATCGAACGGTGTGGCTGAAATATTGTTCCCTTCCATTCCGTGAGCTCCTGATTTTAAAAGTGGTTAGTGGTTGAACCGACCGATACAAAATTAGACCATGAATTGACTTACTGTGTTCGTTCAGCCCTTGGCGGAGCGACTGGGCGTGTCTATCCACCCAGCCGCCATCTACACTGGCTTGTTCTTGACCACCGTTTTGCACAATGGGGGGAGTCTCGTCGGACGCCTTCTGCATTGTGGGGGCTTGGATGAACCGGTTTCGTAGCCTGCTTGTTAGGGTCTCGAGAAGATCTGCAAATCTTATTCCCAGATGAACATCGTCGACGACGCAATTGCGCAGGCCTTCAACAGTAGCGTCCATCAGGTCAATGCTGATCTTCACATCCGAACGTGGCGCGCCCAAAGCAAACGTCTTCAGCAGGAACATAGCGCCGCTGATGATACGAAAGTAGGTTCGCACAGGTGCATGCTTGAGATGGCCGCTGGGAAGGAGACCATCTACAACAGTCCGGAGAAGGTTTCGAGAGCCCTGGACTACCTCTCGTACATATTCTTGATCGTGAATGGTAAATCCTCCGAGCTGTCCCAGAGGAAGCTTGCCGTAGCTGAGTATAGTTTGAGGGGAGAGGGACGCGTTATGGGCCGCCGTTTGAGCCCCATTGACGACGCCGTTCGCATTTCCCGCATTGTTTGTGCATCTCTCAACGACCGCCTGCAACGAGAGGGAGTTGATGTAGATGCGGACATATTCATACTCAATAGTTAAAATGTGTCGTAGAAACTGCGGCAGGCGGAATCGTTCAAACTCCTTGTACCAATCGCGTAGCAGAGGAGCAAACTCTCCCAACAAATCGACATACTTTCCTGACTGGATGATGGCTGTTGTATGTTTCCGAGATCTGAACAGTTTCTCGTTGCCCATATGCATGGCATTGCTTATCCCGGCCCAGCAGTGAATGATTTGATCATCGAGCTCTAGGTCAGGCACGTAGATGAAGGCATTGGAAAAGGAGGAAGAGAGGGCAGTCCCCGGCGTGCTCTCATCGTTCGGGTATGGCCGCCGGCGGGCCACGGCTGGATCAGCTTTTCTGAGGTGTTCAGGAGCCATACTGGTCCAGCCCAAACGGCCGGCCAGTTGAGACGTGTAGATGAGGAGCAGCCGTTTGATCCGATTCGCGCGCTGCCTGTAAACCTCCTCCTGGTACTCTGGCCGCGTGATGGCATCGTCTTTGAGAAGCTCATCGATATCATCAAACACACCCAATTCATAACCCAGCCCCATGGCCGTGCTGAGAAGCATCCAACACATGCGATCACTTCTCCAAGCGGGCTCCAGCCAGCTCTCAAGACGCTTGCCACCGAACCCTGCACCGCCGGGCTGCCTGCTGGGGTCATCATCAACGACAGCAGCGAGAAGACTCTTCTCGTTCTCGAGTGGCAGCATTAGCTCGTCTGTGGCCTCTGTTGGGGGGAAATGAAGTGCACGAGGATGCCACTCGGTCAGAATCATCAAGGACTCGATCGTACCCAACGTCCGCAAACTCCCCTTGCGCATGCCGCGCCAGGGGGCAGTACTGCTTGTGCGATTGTCATCGAGTGATTCCACGCCGCCGGGCAAGCCCGATCCGCAGAACCCTCCACCAAAGGCCTCTTGGCCCCATAGACAGCGCTCAATCATTCCTCTGAGATAGGTCCAGAGCTGTTCATGGATTGCATGAGAACGACAATGACCGCCAGTGCCGGACATTTGTTTATATCGCGAAGCAATCGTAAGTAAAGTCACGGCAAGGATGGGCTCGTCAGTCAACAGTGTACCATGCGACGCTAGGTTACTAAACGTTGGGGGGGATATTGGTGTCATGGGAGACAGATATTCATAGTAGCTGCAGGGGGTGGTTAGCTGCACATTGTCACTCAGATTATTGCAAATCATCATTATCACACGGGCCAAGACTTACTAGTCGATGTACTCGATTGCTTCCTGGGGAGTGAACCAACCCGCTCGAACAAAGCGAAACCTAGACCAAGCGCGAACAGCCTCGATATACCCAGGAGGAGTGTTCGAATCTCGCTTGGGAAACTCATGCTCGATGGGGTTTTCGGATCTCGCCGCGGGGGTTGGATTTCGGATCGTCGTGCTCCGGTCTGCTCGATCGTCGACCGTGGCTTGAGGCGGTAGCAAGCTTCCTACTGATGCCCGGCTCTCTACGCGTCTATGTGCTACCGGCAGTGGGCTGCTGTTGTCAACATGCTGCCGCAGCGACTGCTGGTAAGTGACACTTCTGGGTGTTGCGACCAACCTATCAGTAGTGTTCGTCGCAGCCTTGTACAACAGATCGAGGGCATCGTGCGGCCCATAGACACCCTGTCGCATGACAGTCTGGGCATCCGGGTTCTCCATGTGCTGGTTGTCGTCTCCATCCGAGCCAAAGTCGCGGTCTCTGCGGCTTCGCTTCACCCCATGCCGTTGTCCTTCGATTGTTCCGTCGGGGCGCCTCAGCGGCTCTCTTCGGCCTTGCGATCCGCCCGGCGTCAGAGGAACGTCGCTGTACATGTGACGCTCGACTCGGGGAGGAGGCGGGGGATCATCCTGGGCGGGACCGCGCTTTCGGCCGTTTCGAACAACGTACTCCTCGCCATCGCTAACGTCGTCGTCGTCGTTCTTGCGTTTTCTCCTAGTGGCACTGAAGTAACATTCCTTACTCTCGCGACGGCAGCGCACACACGGCGGATCGCTGGGGTTGTCAACGCTGCCCAGGTCGCAGCGCACCTTGCGGCGTCGGCAGGGGATGCACGCCTGGTACACACGCTTGTGCTGGGGCTGCTGCGAGCGGCTATCCTGGCTCTCCTGATTGCCCACAGGAGTGCCTCTGGCGGTCCCGTACTGCGACATGCTTCGCTGCGCTGGCGGGGGTCGTATGATAGGCCCTTGTGGTGGTGGTTCGAGGGAGGGTCAGACCCTTCGGTTTGCGGCGGTTGGGCGAGGTTAAAGCAAGCAGCAGCGCGAAGGCCGAGCGTGGGAGGACTTGGCCTGTCTGTAAATAAAATGGGGGGAGAAAGCGGGGATTGTCGTTGCTAGCGCACGGAGAAGCTAGATAGAGCCTTCCAACGTTGCTCGTCAGGGCCCTGGGGAGCTAACTTTGATAGCGTCCAGCACAGCTCCTAGCAGATGGATCGTAGCACGCAAGGTCCAGGCAGAAAATATCAATCCAATCTCTTCATCCAGACGATAAGTAAAATAATCGAGCGAATGGGCCTTCAGGCCATTGTGTTCAGATACTAACCAACTTCAGTTAGGCCTTTGTCTGACCGATCACACCTTCTACATCTCCGCAAGATGCGTGATTGGGGAAAGGCGCCTTGGGTCTATATTTCCTGATTTTTTCTTTGGTCTGTAACACGGGTCACAACGTCTCCATGCCATTGCATGAAATTGTCCGCGGCAAGCCAACGAACCCGAGTCAACTATAGGTACGGAACACAATCCGACGCCAGGATCTCTGCATATGAAACACCAATGGTTAGCCACACAACAACAACGACAGAGAAACCGGCGTCCTACCACATGGAACCCAGCGCTAGATCCCGAGCCAGTCGCGGATTGTACTTGGTTGGCAACAAGGCGTTAGGCCGCATACCTTAGCGGGTGGTATCCAGACAGGGCATCTCATCGAATGAGAGAGCTGATTATGCAATACTTCACCTCTTTGAGTCTATCCTGTGGGGCTACTTTTCGTGGTGATAAGCGGGCGTGCTGACAACCTCAACTGCGACATGGCGGGAGCAACAGTTCATGCGGCCTGGAGAACTCGAACACGATGTTTCCTTCGCGATGCGCCCGACAGCCAACATCGGATGGAACATATGGTTGAATACCTCACCCACCGACTTTATTGCCTAAATGGGCTCATCTCAAGGCTCGGAGGGGTCCAACTTTGGTTAGTAGGCAGATCCGGAGATCATGGGTATCGCCTTATGTTAGGTGGGTGATATTATCCTTGGACATTCTCTCTCCTCCATTACTCCCTCGCTGCTTGTGCCCTAATTGGCTTCTCCCCTACTACATATTCTAGTTGCGCCCCCAAACATCTCCGAGGCTGCCGCCACTCCGCTATCCCTTAATGTAAGCTCCCAAGCCACCTGGCTAACCAATGATTCGTCTACTGGCTAGGTACCTTGTCCTCGGAAGCCCCAGAATTACCCTGATCTGATGCCCAACACGCTGTTGATGTCATGAAACTCGGGGTAGACGCAGGTACTTCCATCAGTAATCGCTCGCCACTTTATGCTTCCCTTCACCTAGCATGTGATAGAGATCATGCATGGAAGCATGCGAACACATTCATCTGGAACCGCATGTCGACAGTAGCGCAGGCACACAGTAGCAGGCACATTCGAAAAGAGCATGTATCCATTGGACTAAACGCATAGGTTTCCTTCGAGTAGCGACTTGCAAGGCTTGTACATTCCCAGATCGAGATGAGACCTGCAGAGCGCCCCACACTACATCTCCAAATTGTCCGTCGCCAAGATTCACAATCCCAGCCGGCCTCTCGAATGTACTCCGGTACTTAGGCGGCTCAAACGTCACAGACGCATCACGAGTTGCCTTCAGATGCCAACCTACGGATTAGGCTGGTAGCACCGATGCAGGTGGTTTCTGGCATTAACCGCCCAACCGTCACACTTGAGAACACGTTATTCTGTGCCCCCGACAGTCAAGGGCTCTGCGCCGATGCCACGCACTCTTCGCAAAAAGATTGATAGATAGGTAGATAGGTATGCTGGTAAAAAATAATAATGTTCCTGTGCAACAGATCCTTTCGATGCAAGCCCTCTTTTCCTTTTGCATGGGGCAGTGGTCTAACAACCTTCGAGGCTCATCCAGTCTCTAGGGATTGTAGGCCCTGCTACTATGCATTCCCCTTCTGCTCCCAACAAGTTGTACCCTCAGATCCGCATTATAAATCGAGAGGTACGTCTTTGGCACTTGGTCATAAATGCCTGGGCGAAGGAGATATCGTCCATTTCCTACCACGTCTGTGCGTACCGAGAGTCATCGTGAGGAGGTTCCCAAATCATTTTTAAGTAGCACAAGCGATTCGTTTTGAAGACCATTGAGACAACACGAATATCCCCCTCCTGATTACCTCGAGTATCCCTATGACACAAGCCCTCGCTTAAGCTGAATTGGCCCCCTTGTTAGCAACAGAGCCTGAAATGCCGCGGCGCAATAACTCACGAAGAAGTCCCATAGTTTCGATGTCAGTGTGTCGGGCATCGTGTACAGATCGATCGAGAATTCACCCGCTTGAAGCAAATCAGTCACTAATTAGCCCGAATCAACATCAACAAAGGAGATATCCACCAGGACAACGCGCGGGGGACTCACCTTCGACGTCGCTCCTGATGTAGGTATCGGGCGCTTTCCCCTCGTTGATCATTTGGATCACCTTGAGCAGGTCCTCCTCCTCTAGTTTTTGCAGCGCATCTGCCACCTTTTCGTAGTCGTATTTCTGGGCAGCCTTCTTGCTGGCGAGTCCCTTCTTCTTCGGCCGGTCCTCGTCGTTGGGCAGCGGCCCGGTCTCTCGTAGGCGTTCCTGTAGGGCTTGCGAGGGGTTCTTGAATACCACAGTGTGGATGCTGGCGTACTCCTCCTTCTGGAAATTAAGGTCCTGAACTATGGGCGCAAGCTTCGTCTTTTCGGTCGTGTAAAGATCGATCCCGATCTCGAACTCTCCCCAACCCTCGTTGCTGCAGACGAATGGTGGCTTCACGAATGCTACGCGGAAAGGTCAGCAATAATCCGCTCGTGTGCGCGCTGGCGCGTGCGTGGATGCGCAATCAGTAGGGAGCACGGGGGAGAGACCAACTCTGTACTGGGTTCTCAAAGGTAGGGTGCAGGTTATAGACAACTTTAGTGAAAACATCTGCCGATCGTTCCGCCCCGTCCTCGTCGAGAAGGTACAGGCGCATACTCCATTCTCGCATTGGGAATCCCTCGATGGGCGGCTTGTCGCTGGAGCACCAACCCGTGTCAGTACGTGAATACGATTAATCATGCCCGAAAGACCTGGGCCCAATCGCATAGGACTTACATGACATGTTGCTCTACCGCCACCTTGACTTTCCTCTGTAGAATGTAAGCACGGTCCCGGTGACGCATTTTGCGTGGGCGCGAATGCTCGCGAAAGCGTGGGAGTCGCCAGTGAAGCTATCCGGAAGCCCGTGAGAGCTCCCAAGGCACAAGCGCGGAAAGTGATGGATGGTGGGGAGAAATGAAGTCAGGTGGAAGAAAACGCAGTAATCAAGGAAAGGATCGCTCTTGCGGCTCTGCAGTAGATAGACACTGGCAGAGGCGAGAGGGCGCGAGTTCAGAGCCTCAAAAATTGGCGGCACGCACGCGCAGAGCTTCTACTGAGACCCTCATGTCATGTTGGACACCCGCGGTGGCAGCTGCAGGCAGCCGTCGGTGAGCCGCTCACACTTGGTCATTGCAGCGAAATCGCGGACAGCGCCCGCATTGGTATAAACCAACGATGCTCCCAGGCTCAATCCATTCGACGGACACAAGGAGTCGCATGGACGAGCAGACACGAGAAGAGCGCACGGGGAGAACGGAGAGGGAGAGCGTGAGAGAGGGCAGGGGAACTTTACCTCGACCAACATGGTGCTTGATGTGAACGGGGGTGCGAGCCTCCGTCGTCTCTCCTGGGCAAGACAAGAGGGAAAAAATAAAAATTATTACAGCCGCGACGGACGCGACAAAAGCCTGGGAATCTGGAGATTGACGGCACTTAGACAGGAAGAGAGAAGAGGGTTTAAAAAATCGGCCACGGAGGGGGGGCGCGAGACGAGAGTACAGTACGGTACGGGATGGGCTGGGCGCTGGGCTGGCAATAGCTGGCTGGGCCTTGTTGGAATGGCAGGTCCCTGAACGCTGAGCTTTCTGCAACCGATCGGGGGACCCAATAGCAAGGATGATGGACGGCCCTAAAAGCTTGCTTTGTCGCTGAGCGTGCCTCGAGAGTAGGTAGGTATCAATGAACGGGACACGAGCAGTCCCGACGCCTTATTCTTATATCTCCCTGCCTCGAGGTACTTGTCCCTGGTCTGGCGCGGCAGCCTTCTACCGCTGCCGCCACCAAATGTCGGGGTTTTCTCCTAACAAAAGCCTGCTGTTGGCCCTGCCGCGCACCAGCCACTGCGAATCTCATGTGGTTCCACCTCCCTTGCATGACGACGTCCCTGAGGTAGGCCCTCGGGCACCCCATAGATGCCTGCTTATGTTTTTAAAATTGTGAACAGAAGACGAGGCAAATCGGCTGTGCCTGTGGAAAGGTGCGCCTTGTCAGGTACGAACGTGTTGCCAGCACCTAGCCCGATCCCAGTCTTGTCCTCTGCCACCTGTTGCTCCCCAACTTGCCCCAGCTCTAGCTTAACCGCAAAGCACAAAGAAGTTTTTTTCCCAATACGAGGCCGCCCACATCCCGTCACATCATATTACATTGATGGTGATCTAAAACACAAAGGCTGAGAAAACCGTCGTTAAATCCACACCAACACAAGCCCGTGGTCAGACCTCATCAATGCGAACCAGCCTAGCCTGAATTGTCGCCCCTACAGCACCGTTCTTGTGCACATCAGACATCCACTTTAGCACCTGTTATTGGCTAGAAAGACGTGTCACAGGAAGGCAGAGCATGGTCATGTCGTAAGCAGGCTACGCAAGAATGGTTTAACTTTTTTTACTTCGTTATAGGTGTGATCTGAAATTCAGCTAGCCTCGCGATGCTATTCCAGCCGTCAAGAAACTCATCTCTCATAGAGACAGGGCCGGCCATTACCGGACACCCATCCTGGACGCCACTTCGCGTGGCTTCCGTTCCCGTCAACTTCATCTCACAGAACTAAGTCATAAAAGGGTAGGGGATTGAACATTGTGCAGTGTCTATATTGAATGTAAACGACAACCCAGTCGGGGTTTATCTGGGATTGGGGGGGAGTGTAAGAAGGGGAGGAGATGGTAGAGATGCAGTGTTGTGTTGGTGTAGTGACGAGGCATCGTTTGTGTGATCCAAACTGATGCAAACACGAAATGATATGACTTTGAGAACGACTGGGCCTGAAGACTTTGGCATCCAAGCTTTAGTAGAGTGGGTTGCGATATAGCGTCTCTACCAAGAGGCATACGGATACGGAGGGACACAAGAAACAATCACCTAAGCGGCATCAGCAGCGGCCTCAGTCTTCTCAGCCTCAGTCTTCTCAGCCTCCGGAGCGGGAGCCTCCTCCTTCTTCTCGGACCCTTCGGTCTTGGGGAAGAACTGAGCATTCTCCTTCTGGGCGGAGAGGAAGGCATCCTTGAAAAGGTTGGCGTCTAGAAGGCCATGTTAGCTGACGAACTCTCACAGGCTGGTCCTGATTTCAACCAGGGGTCAAAGGCGACATACTCTCAGCATTAGCGAAACGGATAGCCAGGGTGACAGCCTCGGGCTCTCCCTCGCTGACATCGGCGGCGGCATTCCAGACCCAGCTCCTGTCAGAGCCGACGTTGGGAGAGAGCTTCATCTCGGGGACGACGTAGTGGTTGGCACAGACCTTGAGGGTCTTGTCGCGGCGCATGACCAGTCGCGTCTTGCCGTTCTCCTTGTGCTTGAGCAGCCTGACATCACCAGTGCCGCGCTCCTTCCACTCTCCGCCCTCCTTGACGTTGACGAACTTGAACAGCTTGGCACGCATCTTGAAAAGCTGCTCCTCCGACTCCTCGTTGGTCTTGGTCTCGACCTTCTCGGTCAGCTTGATGACGGGCTCGAAGTGAACATCCTCGGACTCAGGGGCCTGGTCCTATAACACGACTGTCAGTATATTTCGCCACTATGCAGGCTTGTTGGTTGGGTCTCAACATACCTCCTCCTTGGCCTCGCGCTGGGCCTTTGCGCTTCCAGAGTTGTCGCCACGGTCTTCATCCTCCTTCTTCTCCTTCTTCGCACCGCCACCAAACATGGAGAAAACGGCCGAGGAGATCACAGGCTTCTCCTCGCCGGTAGGGGCCTAGGCAAAGCGCTCAAAATTAGTTGCGGTTCTCATCGCCATCATATCTATTCGCATCTTCGAAAGCCGTGCGGTTGACGGTTCGCCGATCGATCGTGAGTATACTCCATACCTCCACGGGCTTGGTCTCTTCGGCAGCAGACATTTTTGTCGTCTTCGGATGTCACGAGCGTGGGATCGGGAAAAAACTGACGGCCCAAGGTTAGTAATGGGACACGGGCTCCGGGAGTCGGGAGTCGATCGCCTGCCGCAGCAAGCCAACCAGATGTAGACTCACTGTAAGAGATATTAAGAAAATCAAACACGCCAACTGTATTGAGATATGCCAAATATGTAGCGTTTGCTTCCAGTCGTTGGTTTGTTTTTGTTTTTATTGAAAGGAGAACAAAATGAGGAAGAAGCTGGTCTGCCCCTCACGTTAGTTAGCGGGGCAAGAAATTACAACGGGCACCTTGTGAGAGCCCACAATGATTGGAGGGTGGGGAGACCTCAGGGGCCTCAGGCAGCAGAGCAAGTCACCCTACAGCCAATGCCTCACACGTAGGTACCCTATATCTACCTAAGCACATACATAGCACATATGACAAGTGGACTCGTGGCGGGGCTTTTCACAGTCGCTTGCTTTTTATTTAACTCTGATGAGATGGCTATCACCAAGCACTTGTACTACATACCATACGTCTTGATACATTGCTCTCCTTGGTAAAGCTGCTACTGTCCTGTGCAGGCGACTGATATCAATCCATATCAATTCTTCGACGTGTATTCCTATTAAGGGGAGATGTGGTATCAAGACTCCATATCCTCTCTTGCACCAAAAAAAAATGAAAACAATAAAAATTATCTCATAAAACACCCAACACCCAGTCCCAATGGTACAGCTCACGTCATGGGGGATACGAGTCATTCCTACCACATTTCGTAGAGCTACCCTTATGATGATCCCGCCTTGCAGCGACGAGTTCCCCTCCGGCCTGGCCTCTGCTTCCCGCTCTGGCAGTGTTTCTTGGATCGGGATAGGCTCTGTCTGAATCGGTCCGCCCAGGTTCGAGCTTCGTTATTAAGTATGCGGTGCTTTTCCTTGAATTCCGCAACCGCTGCTCGTTTCTCTGTCATGAATCGATGCGCCTTTTGTTGGTAAGCCGCCCCCTCGTCTTTGTGACCAGTTACTCGCAGCCACCAAATCTTGGAAGAGAGTTGGGCATTTAGCAGATTCAGCTTGAGATCCAATCCTAGGTTCTTTGACGCGTCGCCAAGTTCGTTGAGTTGTTCAGATGCGCCCTCCATTGCCCGTCGGAATCGTTGGGGGAGATACTGTTCGATCAGTTGCGCACAGTCCAGCTCGTTCCAGCTGGAAACCAGGGTGTTGAGGACGGAGCGCAGGCCTTCGGTCATGTGCTCGCTAACCGAGACGGCAGAAGCAAACACGGTGTCTGAGAGGGATGCCCAAGATCGTCTTGCGTCACTGATCCGTCGCTCTGCCTCCTGAGCAGCGGCGGGGACAAGTTCGCCAAGATCTTGAGCAATGCTCTTCGTCTTCTCATACACTTCTTCCAACATGCTTGGTCCAAAATGGACTCTAACCACTTTGTTCACGATGGGCTTGCAGGTGGATCGCAGGGCAAGTTCGACGACGCCATAGGCTTCGCAACGGGGAAATCTGCTAATGACACCCTCCTTGACAATGGTGGTGGTCATGTCTACCGGGTGACCGTCCCTTGTTGCCGTAAGTGTAATACAGCTTTCCAGATTCCACATGTTTCCGATATCCTCTGGGAACTTGGCCAGAACGCTGTTCTGGGATGCCATTCTGAACACAATTTCAGGCTTCTTTGATGAGAAAATCCAACCGTCGGAAGGCGACTGATCCATAGAAATGAGGTCGATACCCAGTTCAGTGGTGACAGGCCGTAAACCTGTTGTAGACAGCGAAGACGACGGGATTATTGAGGTAGTTGGGGTGGTATTGATCACAGACGTGGCGATCTCTGGAACAACCACATCATGGTTGGTCACTCCAGTTCCGGCCTGCATCCCACCAACCCAATAGTTGATAAGGAGTGCCCCAATTGCAAGGAACAGGTACAGCGGTACTGCTGACAGCATCCGTTCGACCTCCTCATCACTGAAGGTACCTGGCAGGAAGTGCTTCCAGCGGTGGGCCACTCCCTTGATAGTATCAGGCTCGTGTTCCTCTTCATTCTGAGGATTGACAACGTCCAGGCTGTGGGGTCGGCCCGCAGCAGTATAGATGAGGACCTCCGACCCATCTTGACTCTGACTGCCGAAGGATGGCGCTCGGAGGCTTTGCTGGGTGTATTCAAGAGAGGAAGTGGAATGGTGGCTTTCAACATCCGGATCGGAGTCAGAGTCTGTGTGTGGGAAGTCTGGAGCGGCAGGCTCCTCGGCAGCTTCGCCCTCCTCCATTTGCAGATATATAGATCCTGTATTCTCGTTGACTTGCGAGAAGTCTTCGTCGTCGTCAGTCATTTGTTCCGTCCCAGCCAAGCTATGGACATCGTCTGTCCTTCGGGCATCTAGGGAGCTGACTGATTCGCTGATGAGGTCATGGTCATTCTCGTCTTGAGACAAAACCTCATCATCGGTAGCAGATATGACCTCGAAGGCCGAGTCTCCCAGGTTGCCCTCTTCGGCCAGGGTCGTCGGAGGTATACGCATGATGTCGGGATCGCTTGAAGAAATCCAGTTAGCCAGATGGCAGTTTCCCACAGGCCTTGGAAACCGTAACGAGGGCTCGGAAAGCGATAGAGTTTCGTTGTGTTCGATTGTTGAAATGGGTGGATGACGGTGAGAGGTATCCGAGGGGGGCGTAACGGGAGTTATGGGGAGCTGTGATTCACGATGCGGGAATGGGGTTCGGTACCGAGTCTCGTGTTCCGTTGTTTGGGGGGACGTCGAAACACTGGTTTTCTGCTGTTCCATAACGAAGCAGAAAACAAAGATGAGAAAGGTGTGTGGCTCGACAACCACCTTCACATCATAGGCAAGTGCTGTGAGTGCCTCGGTGGAATTCGGGGTAACGTGCACTGCAGTAGCGTGACGTCAAGTGTAGATTACTGGCACAGGGCAGTGCTTGCGAATGCAGACACTGGAGAGGTTGGACAGCAGTAGGAGCGAGCAAGATGGAAATAAACAGCTTCAGTCTAGAGAAAGGAGAAGTTGTTCAAGAGCACAGGAAAGAACACATGGTAGGGATTAATTTACTTTGGTCGCCTGCCCGCCTGAGGCTGCCCTTGATCCGTATGCTGGAACCTAAAGGTGAAGGAGGGGGTGGGGTAATAGGACAGCTTATCGGGAGTGACTTGTCCCGCATTGCGGCATTGGTGTGGTAAATTGCTAGGCGACGTATCAGACGGGACTTTACATGCAGTACGTAAGGAGTATGGTTTGACCATTGCTGATGGCGCTGTAGTTACTGGGCCAGCGGAGGCCTCGGGTTCTACCTTACTCAGGAAGATTCGACAGAAACCATAAATCGGCCATGCTGACTTTTCTTTAGGTTCAGCATCACAGGTTAGGCAGAGTCAAAGCGAGAATACTGCCATCAAGTGCAGGAAGCCATTCGGTGATGCTAGGCAGCTGCTCCCCTAGGCGTCCGTAGTTCAATAAGGCACCTACGCGCCTCCACCTCGACTCCACTAACCACCTCCCCAACACCAATTACAGACGGCGTCTGCAAGGCACCTGACCACTGGCCAACGCTGCATCGGACCCCTCGACCTGGAACACTGTAACACCGGGGCGCCCTGTATCACCATCCGGGTCAGCGCCCAAAGCTCAGAGTACAGCGAAAAGGCATAATTCCACATACGAGGCTCTGGATTGGTTTCGTATGCAAGCTGATGTTAAAAGACCGGAATATATACTCCACCAGTAGGTAGATGCCTTGTCGAAAGCAGAGGTCCCATAATAAGACCCTATCTCTCAAGCGGAGCGCTATGGCCGGGCATTGTGGGGTCGTGCCCTCTTGGCAGCAATCACCTGTCGCGTGGTTCACTCAAGCGTCGAGCTGGCTAATACTGTAGCCACTTGTCCGTGGACATAACCAAGAGGCCGATATGAGACAATTTATCACCTTTCTGAGTCATAAATACCATGCCAATCAAGCAGTATCCCCGCAGACTTACAGGCCTTTGCCGCGTGTGTAAGAAGGTATCGCCAATGGGATGGACAACTTCCTCCGCCCCTCTGTTGCCTGGACATGAGAGCATCAACCTGGCACGAACCACCAGTACAGTGGCGACAGCCTTCCATTTACCGTATGCATGATCCTTGTCAGAGTGAAAGAGGTAGGACAGCAACTACTAGCGACCCTGGCTTTCAGAGCTTTGGTCCACCTGGGTTTCTTTGCTTGGGCACTTTATCTATTAATCAAGCTTCGTTCCCGATCTTATCGTTTGTGGGTATGAATGGAATTATCCATAATTATCAGGGATACAGAAGACGGTTATGCATGCTATCGTATAAAGAGCTTGTCCCAGAAGTTCCTGCCCCAGAAGATTAAAAGAGCTCTTGTAGTATGCTTTTAGAGAAGTATTGCCCTTCAAATTTCAGTAAAAGAGCTCACGCTTCCATATAGATACAATCAAGATCAATCACACTCTCAAATCTGATGGTGGCATTCTTAGCGTCTCAATGCCGCGCCTAAGCCGACTTAGCCGCCGAGAAGGCCTAAATGGGAATTATCACCAAAGATCAAGCAGAAGCACCTCAGATTGTTGGTGGTGGCAACGTGGCTACATGGATTAGAACACCACCAACATGAAATCCCCTCGGAGACGTTCATGGCCAGCTCTCGGTCTATCTGCCTCCATGCAGTTGAGCACATGAACCGTCACGTGAGGAGGGAGCAAGTGCCCTCAAGAAAGCTCTCCAACTCAAATAGAAAGCAGCCCGGGAGGGCTTTTCGTTGTGCCACATGAGACAGAACCTGTGTGCGATCCATGCGCTGACAAGAATAGAGTGGCAAACTGGGCAGGCATCTTCCCCTCACTACCTCGTCCTGCGGTAACACCAACCAACATGCCATTGTTGGTTCCTAATCACTAGCCTCATTTGAATGTAATCAATACGCCTCTTTCTTGCGTATGGTATCGATTGTGGGATCGCCCTGGAAGGTGGGCTTTTGAATACGCCCAACCGCGCTACTCTGCCCGCATCTTTCTCCTCGCCGATCCCCAATTATATTATGGTTTTATTATGTTAGACGGATGTACGTAGAACAAAGCGTCTACTCCATGATTACATGCAAACCACCTATAATTGGAAACTGCTTACATCCATGATGAGTTGGCCGCATATCGGACCATGATGTGAATTGCGGCAAATCAGGAAAGATGGAACCCCCTATTACACAGGATCGTCTCGTGGCTACCGCGTGGGACAAAAAAACGACGAGTAGCTGATCCAGCTTGCTTGCGTTGCATTGACGCATGCAGACTCCAGGCTAAAATCGCAAAGGAGATCCCTGCAGAGGGAGGTCACATCGCGGCAGTCTGAGAATCTTGGCTGGGAGGATCCAGCTGCTAAAATAGAGTTTGTAGCGTCAGATAGGATGGACAGGTATTTTTTAAGAAGTTGATATAATTTTCATGTTCCGAGGTGTGGCCGCGTGAAACACAAGTCCCGGCGCGCTATATATACTCTTACAAATCAATAGGGACAAAGAGAAACTGGTAAACATAATTCTAGTGAAGAAAGGCCGCCATTGCATGAATGCTAATCGTCATGCCGTGCATGGATATCCTAAACCTTGGACGTGGAATCGATAGACGCCTTAACCCCAGTAAAAAAAACCTGCTGGACAAAAGCCTCCAGAATGAAGATAGAAGCCAGATATAAGAAGAAAGCAAAGCAAAAGAAGAACGATTGTCGGCCGAGAAGGATGATATTTTAGTCGGCCGCAATATTGGTTTGTTTGAAGCCAGAAACGGGTATCGTGACATGAGAAGGTCGTGAGCTGGAAAGACAGAGAATGCCGCAACAGCCATTGGTCGTGTAAATATTATGCATATACATGATGCTGGATGTGTTGACTTTTGGTGGGGTCTCTCGTCGGAGAGCCCGAGCGTGTGGTTGCTTCTCAAAAGATACCATGGCGCTGGAATAGCTTAGCGAGGGAGTTGGTGGTAAAAGGTTCGTCTTCAGGAATCATCTCGATGATGCCGGTCAAATTGGCCACGAGATTGCCTTGGTGTCTGTAGGCCAAGACTGAAGGAACGGCGGCATTGTCAAACTCGATCTCGTCGTAGTGGACCTTGACAAAATGCACGGTGCGGTGCTTATGAACAAGCGGCACCAGGGCAGCCTCAATGGTAGCTGATACCTCACACTAGATCAAACGTTAGTACGTGGGAATGGTTCCAGATGTTGGAAAGCCAGCGGCCCTTACCTCATTGTCGTATACAAAGACAACGACTGTTGTGTCTCGTGCAACCTTCTCAATGGCATCCAGGTAACCCATCGCATCCACCTCGTCAAATCTTCCGTACTCCCTCACACTGGGGCTCGTCCTGCGAGTTCTAATACTGCTGCCCGCATTTTCGGACTCGAGTTCACGTCGACGGCTCTCACGCCACTGTGCAAGGAAAGAATCATCGTCCTTGTCGCTTCCGCTGTGTGTGTCCTCCTCACTCTCACTCTCGTTCTTGCCAGCATTATAGGGGGTGCCGTCGAGGCCGAAGATGCTTCGGCGAACAGCGTGTGCCTTGCTCCTCCACTTGGTCCGGCGGGCCGCCTCGAAATTTCGAGCATCGGCAATGACACCCTTGACACCTGTTGCTCGACCACTGTCGAATGAGGCGGGGGGTAGTCTCAGGGCTGCCTGGTCGTTGTTTGTAGGGGCGCGCATCGCTGCGTCAATCTGGTTGTTGCGATATATGTCTTCTTCTTCCAGATCTTCCTGGTGTCTCAGGTTAGGGTCGTTACGGTCTTCTGGGTGAATAGTTTCGCGCGGAGTGTTCTTCGAGATCAACTCGTTGAATTCTTCTTGGGCAGCGGTCGTCATGTTGGAGGATGCGGCCGTGGCGGCGGGGGGGCTTTAGTTGATGTAGTTATGGAAAGAAGGAAGCGGTCTGAGCTGTCTCAGAAGAATTGGAATCGCCGTTTCAAGCTTGTCAGGCCAGGAACACTCGGACGTCGTATATGGGCTCTTCAATGCCAACTAGTAAACCGTTGTCTCGTTGGGAGGGAAGATGTGGGCCGGGACAGGGGGTGGGCCAGAAGAGTGAGTCGACACAGCCCGGGCGGATGACGCAGGGAAACGGCAGGGGAAAATGTATAATTAGCTACCGGGCTCGTAACGAATGAATGGATGAACAAAGCGGTATGGGCGGAGAAAAGCGAGCGGGGGTAGAGGAAAATACAACAGAAAGGAGAAAGGCTGTGTTCCTTCAACTTCCCCCTTTTGGTTTGCTAAGTCGCGACACCTTGCTTAACGGGATACGGCAAATTTCAAAATGACACGCAGGAGAACAGAAAACTGATGAGGAAAATGGAGTTTTGGCGTGTGGCGGAAGGGTCAGCAGGGGCAGACACACGCTGCAGCGCCAATTCGTCAGTGGCGCCTCCGTCAGTTGGCCCTAAAGAATGTTGTGCTTTTTTTGACAGGAGCGAGAGCCTAGCTTCGACCGAGGCAAATCATCTCGGTCCCAGGCACAGTCAAGTCGCGACTGAACCCAAAGCCCGACAATACCGTATCTGGCCCCGCACGCAGCATGTCGCACTTGGTCCTTTGTTAAGGACAGGGGTGTTAGGCTTTGTCACAGGTGAAGGCTACCCAGCTGCTGGTCCAGCTTTCTTTTGTTGGCCCTTCCGCCGCCATGGAAAGAAGGCAAGGCAATGTGGTATTGCTTTCGGCCTTCCCACAACCACAGGCATCTTGCGAAGATGGCCGTCACCGCCTTCTCAAAGGTCAGTGCTCGTACGAATCAGGCTAGCTACCATTCAAAACACGTATCATTTGGCTGCTGAACGAAACTTGGGATCGGGCTACGCCTGATCAACTTCCTACCAGTCGCCAATCCTCCCACTGCTCATCGGCAACTTTCTTTCCTACCTACCTACTATGTATGTACGACACAAATGTAGGCAGGTATCTTTTGATTTACGCACCTATGAACAAAGATGCGGCGGATACTCTGCAGACAGGTAAGACTGGTACGACAGGCCCATATAATGCGGCATGAACTAACTCGAACGCGCCATGCTCCTGGAATTGGAGTATGCTATTCATACTGTCAGCTCCTTTCTTTCACTTGTATCACCTAGACTAATGTCTTGCCCTACCTACCCAGCCAGTATGACTGCATGAATGTTCTAATGCAACGCTGCCACTGCTAGTCTCTTTCTCCGGGCAGTTTTACCAGAATGATCATCATGCACAGGGTCTGAAACACGACGCGAATTGTAGGTCAGATATTATTATTACAAGCGGCCAGATTCAACTCCCTTCTCCTCAGTCAGCATACCCGGCTATCACGAGTCCCCGGCTGCCCATGATACCTACCCTTGGGCTCACTCTCCCAAAAATGTTGGGATTGGATCCTTCCCCCTTTCCCGGGGCGCACCGCAACGTGTCACCCTGGGCTCTCCCTCGTCGATCAAATTGCAAGGCCTTGTTTCGACTGGGTAGCCGATTGAAATGGCCCCCAATCCAAAACGAATCCCACCACTTTCTCTCTACCTCCCTGGATTCGTTCCCGTCACGCTCACTGAAGTTTCCGACCCTTGCTGCATGTGACTGCTCTTACAGGCTGGGATTATGCAGCCCTGACAGGCCTCATAGCCTCGTTCGGGCGCAAATCGACGGCCGCGACCAAAGGGCGGGATATAGCACACCGTATTATGGAGTCCACATCTCGGGCCCCTGCCCTTACTCCATGGGAGAACGACACCTAATAGTAGATAACCAGTTTCTGATCATGCTTCTAGAATGTCAATGCCATCAAAGTAAAATGGAGACATCGGGGTATTTGGGAATAAGCCTGACATCATTATGCTTTAACCTCGAACAGCAAGGTCAGACGTACTAATCCAGCAATCAAGCATTCACTACTTGATATTCGTTTTAGATAGGGCTATATTAGCCTCACTAAATCGAAGACCAGTCTCCATTGATCGTTGTTTCACTCTGGCGATGCCTTTCTTGCTGGTTTTCCGACCCCGCCGAGGCGGGGCTCTCAATTTTCAACGTTCCACCTACGCGACAGATGTAATAATGCCTTGATTTGATTAATTGGCACCAAGATCAAGACCATTTTCCATATTTGCCGCAATCTCCTTTTGTCCCAATAGTGCCTGGAAAGGTCGCTACCGGCTGAAACAACCCCAATGTCTGTTTCAGAAGAAGCTGAGGTCATTCCCTCGAAGGCCTCAGTCACTTTGGATCTTCCTCCCAGCTGCATTCAGCTCTCTCCCAATCACCCAGAGTATGTGGTGATCGGCACATACAACTTAGAGAAAGACCAATCGCAAGCCTCGGAAGGTCAAGAAGCTGGGAGTAAGGAGGTCCAGAGTCGGAATGGAAGTTTGGTGGTTTTCAGAGCCGAGGATGACACACTGTCCGTAGTTCCAGTATTTTAACGTCTGCTCGCATCAAAACCATCGCTGGCTGACACTGGAGTGCAGAGCCCATGTACAAACAGAGGCTTCTGCCTCTGCCCTCTTGGATCTTCGCTTTCACCCCAGCGCAGACTTTGCCGGACTACTAGCTGTGGTTTCCAGTACCGCCGCGCTATCAGTTTTCAGACTCGACCCAGAGTCCGACTCGTCATCTCCATTAAAGCACATCGCCACAAGTAGATGCGACGGCGTAGAGGAGGATGTCTTGTTTCTCCAGTTCCAGTGGCACCCCGTACACCCCTACGTCATTGGGGTCACAACTTCGACGGGGTCAGTTATGCTCTTGCAGCTAAATGAGGGATGGGAAATCGCAAAGTCAACGTCTTTGGACATTGAAAACTCTCTCGAGGCCTGGTGTATAGCTTTTAGCCCTCAGCCGATGCCGAGCGCAGGTGGTGAGGATACAGCGACGAGCGTGGTATACGCCGGTGGCGACGATTCCAAGCTGCGATACAACAATTACAGCGGAATTAAGTCTCTGACCGCCGAGACGGAGTATGCACCACAAACTGTGAGTGGGAAACACGATGCAGGTGTCACAGCGATCCTTCCTCTCGATCTCCACGAACCGAATGGCGGAAGACTCGTTCTCACAGGCAGCTATGATGATACTCTGCGATTGTTTGCCATCCACGACCTGGACAAGTCCTATGGAATGAAGCGTGTAAAGCCTCTAATAGAACAGAACCTAGGTGGTGGTGTCTGGAGACTTGATCTAGTCGAGGCCAAATCTTTGGAAGGCGGAGCAGCCAAGATTATCGTCCTTGCATCCTGCATGTATGCCGGGGCGCGGCTGGTGGAGGTTGGGTCTACGGACAGTCAGGAGTGGTCTTGCAAGATATTGGCTCGGTTTGAGGAGCACAAAAGTATGAATTACGGTTGTACATTCCGCTGGGATCGGCAGGGGGGCAGCAGGACACTTTTATGTCTGTCAACGAGCTTCTATGATAAATTATTCTGCCTCTGGAAGGTGGATATTGAATAGCAAATGTCATGATGTACGACTTGGGGACATTTCATTCACTCCGGCGAGCCGATGCCCTCCCTTCGCCTCCGAAACTCTGTTACCCATCCGGCAAGGCTGCAGGTAGACGGAGCAGGTTAGCTATCTCAAGTAGGTAGGTATCTATGTAAGCCAGGGGGGATACAGAGAAAGCACAAGCTCTCATCCGGACCTATGGTGGGGCATCGGCGAGAAAACAAACCACAACCTCCTTGATCGAGGTGGGGCATCCGGGGAAGGCTGTGATGCAGTGTATCTGTCACCACGTGAGGAGAAAGAGATTCCATGCGAATTCAGCGGTGATGCTTATCAGCGGGACATGCAGCCACTCGCGCCTGCTGGCAGTATGGAGCAATGAGCAATCACTTTTGCTCCGTCCGTCGGCTTGGGTCATGTGCCGCTCGGTCGGTGTGGACCTGCATTTGCGTCTGGGGATCGATGCAGATGAATCAAACGGCGGTGATTCCATCTGTGCGCTGCCGAGCTGTCACACAGGCACCCAAGAGCACCCATTGGATAGATCTGTAGAAGGCTTGGGGTATTGAGCCTCATTGGCAGGCTGGCCGCATGTCAGTACGCTCCGAGAGGCGCGTGCTGCACGCCCAAACTCTGGCGGTAACGCAAGGGACCTGTCCACTGCATCATTGTGAGCAAGCACCGGAGCTGGAGCTGTGCTAGGGCCTGGAGCCTGGCTGTCAGTGCTGTATCCCAGCCTGGCGTGGGTCCGGAAGCGCCCCCCGCAACCGGTCTAGGCTCACTCAAGATGGGAGAAGGACGGGCTGCTTTCTTTGTTGCTCTCCAGTGCCAGTACACCGTGCACGCATCAATTTTGCTCCCAGCAGATTGTCCTGGAGTCGTCACGCTCAACCTCATTCTCTCTCCAAAGTGCGATTGCTTGCGTACCGCCGTAATATAATAATTCCCAGCTCTGCCCTGAGCAAGCTCTTCCGTCCCATCTACCGTCTTTGGCCCACCGACCGCCAATCCTTCGCTCGACACCTCTCAGCCTTGCATCCGCCCAATTCTGTCCCACACCCCACCAAAGTCCAACGCAACAGCGGTGTTCGGCCCAACGTCGCCTGTCTCGCAAGGCTCCTCGCCCCGTAGCAAGCTTCCGTCCGCGACCTGTCACTTCCTCGTGCTGGCAGTCCTGAAGATCGATCAAGTCGAACCAGATCCTGCCTCCTGGGCCGTCCCGCCAGCCATTCAACAGGCACTCTCTTTATCGATCGGCGGCCATGTCTGCCAATGGCGGCGACCCCAGCAATGGCACCAGCGAACAAATCTTCTACCGGATCCGACAAGCTCTCGAGATAGTTCACAGCCCCTATTCGTCCAACGATTCTCGGCGAGATGCGCAGAACTTTCTCGAGACGGTCAAGGAGATGCCAGAGGCCCCTTTCCACGGCTACACACTAGCTAACGACAGAGCCCAAGCCCACATTGTCCGACACTACGGTCTATCCCTCCTCGAGCATGCTATACGATACAAGTGGTCGACATACGATGGTTCGCAGGTGGAGGCACTTCTGTCTTGGGTTCTTTCGCTCGGCCAGGCTATTTCAAAGGAAGATCCCTCCTTCTTGAGAAACAAGACTGCCCAGCTTTGGGTCGAGGTTGCGAAGCGTTGCTGGGGAGCCGAATGGATGGATATGGATGCGCGACTTGTCGAGCTGTGGAATGTCACTGATTCCCCGACCCATAAAGAGTTTGTCATGTTGGTGCTCGAAACGTTATCCGACGAGGTTCTTACAAGCGAAGACACGGTGGTTGCTATGCGGGAAGGGGTCCTCAGTAAGGCGTGTGTTGAGATATTCACGCCAACCTCGGTCCTCGTGGAAGCTTTTCCCAGCAGGCAGCCAGGTCCCGATGTACGACACGGTCACGAGGGCTGGCTCAGCCGTCTGACCGAATTTCTCAGCTTGTGTCTTGCCTCCAATGTCAAGGACAACGATGAGGTCAGGTCCTGTGCGATCAAGTGTCTTGGTGTCCAGCAGGTTCTGCTGCCTTGGGCTATCCCGAAGGCAATTTCTGCCGCTCAATGCGTCAACGTCTTGGCCGGGGGGCTCGCGTGCCCTGTACCTGAGATCCAAAAGGTTCGCTCTGGGAGCTATTCTGCTGGCTGGTCGGTATTGACACTAACATCTTCACCTAGGGTTCTCTGGAAGCTCTCCATGCACTTTACAGCCGCGCAAATTTTACCGATAGCGAGTTTTCGGAGTTGGTGTTACCAATGTATAACCAGTCATCCATTCAGCTTTGCAACAATCTCTTTGAGTGGTCCGCCGTCGATCCCGAAGACATCGATGAGGACAAATACATGGTTCTCAAGAAGCTCTCAGAGGTGCTTAAATTTCCACTAATTTTTTTTTCTCTTATATAGACCAAAAATCTAACTTTGACAGATGCTTGCCTCCTTGGCCGACTATCTCGGAAGGAAGATATCACAGGTTCCACAGGATGCCAGCGTTGGCGAGTTCCTGCAGCTCCTGGTCCGGGTAGTTCAAAACGAAAGTTTGATGGTCTCCATTCCACCCTTGGCTGCTTGGACTAGGTTGCTGAACAACATTCATGTCAACGTTGGTGAGAGATTCACCCCATTCATAGGCCCTCTACTTGAAGTTGCCATGTCCAGGCTAGTTCGATACGAGCACTTGCCCGAGGATTCAAACAACCCATCACTTTTGTTTCTTATGGAGGATACCGATACAGTGCCTGAGCGGCATGCCTTCCTTGGCAACTATCGCCGCTACACCTCTCAGTTGATAGAAGCCATCGTTCAACTAAAGCTCTTTGATGCTGTGGCGCATATTCTGAGCACCACTGAGTTTACTCTACAACATCTGTATGATGGCGACTCATCCCTGAACAGTGAGACTTGGCATCCAATACCATTATCTTCAAAGTCCAAACGACTAATATCCACAGAATCTACTTATCACAAGCACTCCATGCCTGTTCTCAAGGTAGACTCTCACTTTACGGTGATTGAGGCAGCATTAAAAGGTTATTCCAAGTGGCGAATAAATCATCCGGATTACCAAGTATGTCGAGCAGGTCCTCTTTTCATTTAGAGATCTCTAACCAAAAGTAGAACACATCCGCTCTAGAGAACGACTTGGAATCATGGTGCCACAAGCTTCTTGACATGAATTTTGAGGTAAACAAAAAAGAACATTTCCCACTGCATGGTCAACCATGTCCCGTTGATAAATTGGTGCTAAATGCCATGTGTAGGACCCAATGATTCGAAAGAGAAAGCTACAACTCCTGGTATACTTCTCAACAACAGCCTTGAAAAACAACACTAGCTTCATGTTAAAGGTTTTGGAACACATTCTAATGACATGGCCTGCGTTGGAGCCAGAACACCGTGCTTTCAATGACGCTGTGAAGGATCTACAAGGTGAAAGTATGGTTGAGTTGCAACGATTAGCATCTGAAATGCCCGATCACCTTCTTGTAAGCTGCTTCTCCGTTTCCTCACCTTTTGGGGTAAATTGCGGCTCTAACATGATGTAGGATGTTTACGACCAAATTGCAAATCGTGTAAACGAGATGCTAGCATCTGGAGCACTTGATGACAAGAGATCAGTGGCATACAGGAGCTTCTTGTTCATCATCATGTGCGTCAACCTCACCCTTTCCAAAAATTTCCTTGACGTCGGCTAACTTGTGTAGTCACCGCGCTGAGAAAATCGACACTGCGACAAAAATTCCCAGGCTTCGTGAATTCATTGACCCTGTCAAGTCTCAGTGGCGTGAAGATAATATCCGAAATTCCTTGGAATCATACGCTTCGTTCTGTGAACTTTTGGGGCTGGACAAGGCCCAGGCCTATCTTGCGAATCGGCGGGTGCATGAAATTGAGGACTGGGGTTCATGCTCGCTTGATGCTGAAGGGTTGTCGCTTCAGAACGAGCTGGAAGAACGCCTCAAAGTACGGTTTCGAAAATTCCTATCGAGCCAAAACTTGCAGCTAACTTTCGCTCTTATAGGTTTTGCCTCTGCGCCCAACCAAATCATTCCTCGCATTCTCTGTAGAAAGACTCAGCAGATCATCTCCTGCATTCCAGGCGTCGTATGCTCTCTGGCAAGAAGGCTTTGCGGACATTCTTGCATATCTTCTCAAATTCCTTAGGTTCGTGCGAGGCTACCTGGAGCACCTATGAATGACTACTAATGGGAATCAGCTATGCGCATGCCACTCATAACCCCCAGAACTGGGTGGGCTTGCCTACTGAAACGAGAGCTGTCGTAGACAGGGTGTTGAGCGATCGTTTTTGGCAAGCCGGAATTTCAGATGGAAGCAAAGACGACTTCTACGCCAGAGTCGTTGATAAACGAACCACCATGGAAGGATTAGCATCAACTATCCGTGGCTCGGTACGATTCGTTCGGGAAACTGCGTATGCGATCATCTATTGCATGAGTCGTCTTGATATGCAGTTTTATGGCTTCGCAGGACTTTCTGAGCCTCTCTCCGAAGCGTTTTTCAGCGACTCGACCTGGTTATCAACTCACCAGCAGACAAACCTACTAAACCTCGTCAGATATCTAGTGGATGACTGTCCGGTGGATTATCGAGCGCAGTTCCTCCCCCAGCTGCTTGCGGCTTGCTTCAGACAAACGGATGCGAAAATCAGCGGCGAGTGGGCTCAGATGGAGCAACAGCAAACAGTCGCAGCTGCAGGAGAAGCTGCTTTGAAGGAGGAAATGAAGGCCGAAAGTATTCTCCGTCAGGTGACCTATACATCAATTTTGATGATTGCAGATTTCCTCGATCCAAACAAAGCGAGTAAGTATTTATATTTAATCTATCCGAAGATCTTCTCACTAATGCAGTTTAGACCCTCGGGCAATGGGTTCAGGAGGTCCTCAGGGAAACGAACATGGCGCACCTCAACGGCCGTTCCCTTCTCTACGGAAATTTTGCTTGATGCACCAAGAAATTGTTGAGCCCCTTTTGGTGTTTTGCTGTCATGGCATTCGAGTCCGGGATTCCAGGTGTTGCAGCATGGTTTTGAGGCTCTTCATCTCCATCATTCCTGAATTCAGCCTGGACCCCAGCGCTGCTTCGAGGAGGCACGGCTCAACGGAGGTTCCAAATGGCTCCAACCTCTTTCCCGTACCTCCCGAAATTGCAACAGCTATACGGGAGTACATATCTACTGAGGCTCTACAAGCGTGTATCACCTCATTCCACGAGCCATACTTTGTGGACTTACAGAAAGAGCTGGCATCGCTCATAGCCGCGATTGTTGTCTACTACAGTCCGATAACAGACACGCCAAGAAACGTTTTGCTATCGCTCCCCAATGTCAACCCAAGAGATCTTGATCGATTAGGAGAATACATACCAAAGCCCGCATCGCACACTCGACAGCAGAGGGCCATTGTCCTCGAGATGCTTAAAGAGCTCAAGGGAGTCAGTGTCTCGGAGATGGGAAAACTTCCCAAATCGAGCGGCATTTCTAGTTCCAGCCGGAACAAGAAGAGCCAGCGAACGAAAATGGCGCAGGCTTTCATGAGCGACCCGCGGGAAGCTGGGTCGACATCTACTGCTACTGGGGGGAGAGGAACCACTCCGGATGCTTTGGAGGGGGTTTCAAACTTGTTCGAGGGTTAGTCATCTGTATATTGATCACTGAGCATGCCCATATCCTGGCAGCGGTCCAGAAAGAACCGAGTTGCCTGGGTGGGGTTAACGATAATGATGATACATAATTTTCACGGGGCTACTTCGCCTCGTACGGTCTTGTATGTTTTATTTCTCCCTCGTTTCCACTAAACTGTTGGGTTCATCAGAGGGATGTCGATGTTTGGTGGAAGCGATATACTATTGATCTGTGTTCTAGATTCTCTATTTCCAAGAAACAGGGCCGAGGGCCAAAAGCGAAGGGTGTTCATTGTAGGACTCTATAATTATGAATATTCTGGGTTTGATGGGAACAGAGGCAATCATGGGTTGTGATGGGAGACGATGGCCTACGAGTACCTCGATCGCAGTATGGATCCGGGGTTTTCCGTACTTAGACAGGGTCAATCAGAAGAACTACGACACGGTTTTTGTTCATGGTGAATCCCAGGTTCTACGATGGTTCCCTTCGTTGCTACGCTCTGCCAATCCCTTCCTATTTCTTCTCAATCTCGTCCCCTCTGGTCCTCGTGCATGGTGAGGTGGTGTTGAAAGAAAGTTAAGGGACGGGAAGAGTTAATGACTCTTCCTTTCTTGTGCAAGTGACATGTAACCGATCCAGCTATTGAGGGGTCAAGAGGGCTCGACTCTTGAAACTAAAAGATGCCTCGGCTATTCGAGAGGAAATTAGTCGTAATTATGCTAACATAGGTAAGTAAGCGGGGTTGGAAAACCGATTCATCAGCTGTCACCACACTTGATCAAGCGATTACTGGTAGCTGGATAGTACTTCAGGCCGAAAAAGCGACGTGATGGAGTGTCGGGTCCATCCTGCAGGTCTGGCCATTAACAGCCCGAGTATTAGTGTTTGTAGCTGGTCTGTAGCCCGATGACACCACTTACACTTCCCAAGAAGCGCATCATGCAGGCAGGCAAGGGTGCAGGCAAGTTCCGATGACAAAGACTCCTCTTCCGGGATTCAACGGTCTGATTTTGTTTCCTCGCCCTGATCTCGCACGGCATATGTAGGCTTAGGAATTGGGTGGAGGCTTTTCTCACCGATGAGGAGGACCTCTGCTTACCCCCTGCAGGTGCATCTGCAGACTTCATGCATAAGTAGTACCGGCGTGGATCCCTGTCCTCCTGGAGCCAGGTCCGCTCCAATGATGGAAAAAAAGAAAATAGGAAGAGACGAAAAGAAAAAAAAAAAAGAGGTCACAGACGAGGGCGATGAAGTGCCTTGACTGCAATACCTGGCATGTAAACAAGGACCTCATTTTTTAACTCATACCTAGTAGCTTCGACGTGTCATCTCCAATTGTTCCACATAACATACTGCTTGGCTGTGACTTACCTGCATAGCCTGCCCGAGCCGCCATCGCTAGACAAGAAGACCAAACCTTTGAATGAGGATTACCCACAAAACACCCAGTTGCAGTCGCATGCATGAATAGGTGGGATGGAACGTGCACGCTTTGCAGCTGCAGATGAGGCAGCCAACGACATGTGTGCGCGCACAATGCGATACGACTGACGTTTGGTATATGTACTCGGCAATGTATCGTACATATCACATTGTGGCTGCTCCGTGAAGTGGCAGCCAATGTGGGTATGGCCAATGGAGGACGACAGAGAAAACAGCCGCGGCTGCCTCGCCGTCGCCAAGCCGCTGCTAACGGCCTGCGCTAGGCCTCTGCTGATGGCCGCGGGCGTGTGCTAGCCCAACACCCGCAGTAGTGCTGGACGGCTGGAGGACTCGGTCAGGCTGTGGCTTGCAGCCATCACGGAACTAAAGAGCTAGGACGCTGCTCAGCACAGTCGCATCACATTGTTGGGAAGGTGCTACCCCGACATGTCCTGCCGATCCGTCATTTGCTCAACCCGCGAAATAGCTGCTGGCTATCCTAACCTTCCTCGCCTCCGCCCTGTCGCATCACCAAAACCCCAAGGTACCCAGCCAAGCAGAAGAGATACCTGCATGTTATTGTTGTTCAACAGCGCAGCATTACACAGAGCACAGCCAGTCTTCCGCCAACCAACAGATATCCGAATGCGCCGCCCGCCCCCCACCATGCACGCTCCACCGTCCGCTTCACCAAACAGCATCCGACCGGGAAGCAACCGCTTGGACCAGCACTGAGCTCCACCCGGCCAGGTTCCAATCCTCCTCCAGTCAACAGGCCCTCCAGCTTCCCCCCTGTCGCCTCTCTTCACAGTTACTCACCTCACTTCAAATACTCTCCCAGTGCCCACTCCCGATAACCTATTCGAATGGTTGCAAATCATTGGGGTGCCAAGAAAGGTCTGCAGCTTTCCAATTCCCAGGCGGAACCAGTTCTCGTCCCCGCTCCCCCATACGCCGTTTATCAGGTCAGATGAGAAGGACTGTGCCGACTGAGATGGCTTCCAAGTTCCGAAGCCGTCTCTCTTCCGCCCTCCACGTGCTTGACAACTAGCCACCTGCCTGCCTCAATTCCATAGGCTCGCCCCTCGACGTCTGAACTCATCTCATTCTGGACCAGTGCTTGCTCCAGGAATTTCGCCTCATTTCTAGGTAGTACAGACTGCCGCTTGTTTGCCCACCTGTCTGTCTTGTGTGAGGTCGAGCAAACGTCCCGTTTCCATTTCGTACGACTCTCACTCCCAGGTCGGCTGACGAGCCTGTTAACGATATCATCTCTGCACCTCTACACTGCAGCACGGGCATACGCGACACAACACAACGATCTCGTCTGTTTTTTATTTTCTTTTTATTTTCTCCCTCAATCTGTCTCTTCCATAACATCCAATTCGGTCCATTCTCGCTCGTTATTTTCCAACCTCTCATTGGCCTTTCCTATCGTCTTCCTGTCGAGTAACATAAAGGACAACTCGCCAGCGGATATCAGCATCTTGTTTTCATCTTTATATTGCCCACGATTCGGGCACAATTTCAGCTCGCCATCTCTTATACATCATATAAGTCACTTACAGAGCCTTCATCCATGTAGCCATTTGAGGTGTCATCTCATTGCAGCTTCATCAGACTTAGATCTGAGATACAAGCCATCTGGTTACCTAATTTTGAACTTCTCCTACGATCTCGACTTGTTCAAATCCTTGAAAGAATATTGGATTGCACATCAAATCACAAGACTAACCCCCTCTAGTGCTTCCCCAGAAAACATCCCACAATGGTGTATTGCGGTAAACCATCCCGAGGCTGTCAGATGTGCAGGACTCGAAGGATCAAGGTGAGTCAGGCGATTGTGCATCTGCCTCGCAATTTCATCGCTAATCTTCTTGCAGTGTGATGAGACCAAGCCTACTTGCAATCAATGTGCAAAATCTCGAAGACAATGTCCCGGCTACAAAGATGAATTTGATTTGGTTTTCCGCAATGAGACCCAAGCAACCGAAAGGCGAGCTCGAAAGGCGAGCAAAAAGGGGTCATCTCTGAAGATGATTCAAGAATCCGATCAAGGGCAGCTCATCAACAAGCCGACTACTCCTCTTGGAACCGGCAACTTGGGCCTTGTAGACACTCTTCCCCACATGCCGATAATGGATCAAGCATCTTGTCATTTCATCTCGAACTTCGTTCTCGTTCCTCGCCAGGGTTCTACTCGTGGCTTCATGGAGTATCTAGTTCCCATGCTCAAAGCTGAGTCCTACCCACAACATTTCCGGCTGGCCTTTGACGCTTGCGCTCTTGCTTCTCTTGGAAACCGTGTCGGAGCCGGAGTCAACATCCGAAATATGGCCCTGGCCCGGTACACTAAAGCGCTTGCCTCTACATATCAAGCTCTTCGCCACCCAGAACTTTCCAAGCAAGATTCCACTCTGGCGTCTATCCTGCTCCTTGGCCTGTTCGAGAATATATCTGCTAAGCAACTGGGGATGCTTGCGTGGGGCTCACACATTGAAGGCGCCATCCAGCTTGTCAAAGCCAGAGGCAAGAAACAATTTCAAAGCCCAAACGGGCTGTCCTTGTTCATTGCCGTTCGTACTCAAATGGTTAGTACCACCAACCCTATCCTTGTTTCGACCATAGAGCTAAAGCCAATCGGTTCAGATCATACATACTCTAACTAGCGGCCAATCCCCGGTTATGGGCGTCGAGTGGTGGATGAACGGTGCCATCAAAGACGAAACCGCAGCTGGTTGCCAACGTCTCAATATTCGAGTTGGGGAACTCCGAGCCGAGGTTAACCGCCTCCTCGCGACGCTCTCCCGGCTTCCAGAGAATATTGAATTGATGTTAGATATGATCCGAAAGTGCCAGACCATTGATCAAGAATTTCTTGCTTGGTCTCGAGATTTGCCGGAACAATTCAAATGGCGGACAGTGACATGGGAGGACCATGTGCCCAACGGTGATTTGTCCCGGGCTGAGGTCTTTCCTGGCCGGGTTGATGCATATCAGGATTTATGGTTCGCCAGCATTTTGAATATGATGCGGACTTCACGAATCATTTTGGCCTCCCTCGTTGTTCGCTGCGTCGCTTGGGTCTGTGCCCCAATTGACTACAGAACAACTCCAGAGTACGCTACAGCCGCCAGGATATGTGTCGATAACATCAGCGAGATTATTTCGTCGGTCCCTTATCAGCTGGGATGGTTTGCTAAGCGCCGCCATCTGCTTGAAAACACCAAGTTCTCCGCCTTCGGCTGTGGTTCAGAAGATGCCGAGAAAGGATTGCCCGGATACCTCCTTACGTGGCCGCTCGCCTGTGCCCTTGGTCAGGATTATGCCACTGACGCGCAACGAATTTGGATTCAAGGACGTTTGGAGTTTATCGGGAGCCAGCTGGGCGTTAGGTACGCCCACATGTTGAACCAGGTACGTAGACACCAGTCCAAGCATGACTAGCAGTTTTCTAATCATTGTCTTTGCAGTTGAAACTCCGAATACCCTCCATGCTTATTCGACGAGACGGGTTAATGGCCAAGCCATATCCATCCGGCCCTGACTTTGAGAAACTGCTTTCTGGCAGGAACGCCGATGGGACCGCAACCGCAAGAGATGTTGCAAAGTTTCGCGAGGCTATGCTACAGAAAGAGAACGCGAAAAGGCAGGCCGAGGCGGCTCGACAAATTGCCGCCAAAGAAAGCGCAGCTTCTTCATCTGGAGATGTCAACAGCTGGATGACCAAACCTCGATTCGAAATGCGTCAGTAGCGTCAACGAAGGCTATGGCGCCTGCACTTCTTTATTCTCTCAGTTTTGTTCTTGATTAAAACGACTTTCCATTTTAATAAGGGGAATACCACGATGGACTGCGTATGTAAAACTTCAAAGGTTTCCGGTGTTTTGATTTGGCGTTACAAATAAAAGGTCAGGGAAATCGTCGGCTTGGGTGGGATTAACCAGGCCCAAAGCCAGGCTGCTAGGTATCTTGTGATGATTTCCCAGAGCTAGCTACTAGGCAAGCTCGAACAGAATTGTTAAAGACGAACAACAAAATTACTGGTTTGGTCATATCTCATGGCTCTTCCTTGAGCAAGCATCTCTCCAAGTATCGCGCATTTCAAGGCTGGGTCGCTCCTGAGCTCCGCCAGCGCGTGTCATCCGGATCATGAACCGGTAACTCCATTTCCACTTTTGAAATTCCAACCTGCGCGCAGCATGCGGGCAATTGAATTCCAGAAAAAAGGCATCGCGCAGCCTCTGATTGCTCTCCAGCTCTTTGCCACTTTCCCTATTGTTTCTTGGCCTTCGCCTGGGCTTCAACCTCTTCACTCCCAAGATTCCAAGCCTTCACAAACAAGCGCTGTGTCTTCGATACGTAGTTGTCGTTCTCGACATATTTGACTCCGACGCGAACGCCGTCCTTGGTAAAGACGACATTCTTCTTGCCCATGCGCTCAGAGGCCGAGGCGCCAATCTCTTGTGCGCTCAGGTAGATGAAGTAGCCGACGACGGCAGCGATTCCGATGATGACGAAAAGGATTACGAGGGGCACGATCTGGCTATTCGGGAGGTTTAGCAATTGAGCCAAGGTAAGGCTGAAGAAGGAGGGGTGGAAGCGCAGCTCTGATGACGCAGACATACCCTAATACGCTACGCGCCATTGCGAAAAGACGTGTTAATCAACGTCGCGAGGTCAACGGATATCGTAGATTGTACAGATGGAAAGCTTGAGCACGGTAGGTCTGCCTGGAGGCCAGGTATCAAGTTTGAGAGTCGCGGTTTGGGGTGCGCAGGAGAAGAGTATTCTCGAGGGAGGCGGACGGGATAAAATTCAGTGGAGTAGAGGAGAGCGGGCACCCACCTTCTCGATTGAGCCCGACTATTTATTTCGTGATTCAGCTTGGCTGCGTTACGTATTCACATAAGGGACGGCATACGGTCCCTCCGATATACCATAGGTAAAGCAAGCCCACCAAGCAATCGCCAAGAGCCAGCTGCCGGCCACAGGTAATGAAGGGGAGCAGAGGGTCCCGCACATCCCCAACACACGGCACACGAGCGCCGAGGGGCCTCTTGTCTGTGTCTGGCATGCGAAAGACCGGGGCCCAGGGCGGGAACTGGATCGGGCCCTGTATAACGCACGGGTTACGCACTGGCGATGGCGCACGCTGATCGGGGGGGCCTATCAGCGGGAAGATGGCCCCCCCGACTGCATGCTCTCCCTCACCTGAGGCTGCACGAGCTCGCTGACACGCAGCTTGAGCCACAACGGCCAAGCCCGTACCTAAGCTAATGACAGCTTCACGAACCAGTGTTGTACCGGCTGAGGAACCAAGGCCGGGTGCGCATGTGCCCATTGGGGGAGCTAGCGATTTACAACGTCACTGGGAATCTGTCTCAGCTGATGAGCAGCCTCCAGACCTGAGGGCACAATTACTAGACAGAGGGAGGGAGAGCCAACAAGAGAGGGGCTGGTGGCATCTATCCTGTGGCACACGCATGTGAGCGGGGCAGCCAAGGGCAGAGACTCACGCTGGAGCGACGGTGGAAATTGGCAGTCATGTGACAGCCACTCAAATGACAGAACGGCCTGCGCGTATCGACTGTCGTGGCACTCTCGCTGAGTCCCGAGACAGGCCTGCAGGGTGCTGCCTGAGAGATTCAGCCACCTGCCGTGTAACTTTGAGAGTTCCGAAATTGGTGGTTTCTTTGCATGCGCTTTGGACCTATCGTCGCTTATCATTGCTGGTAGCAGCGGGATGCTCTCCGAGTTGCATCTGCTAACTTAGTACGTAGCCAGGATGGCAGGGATGAGCCAGAGGTTCGGGAAATACACGGCGGACAAGGGATGGTATTTTATTTTCATCGCTTTCTACTGGCCACCAATAGATATCTGTGGTCTATTTTCTTGTATAGGGCTGAGGGTTTGTGTTGGGCTTGGGAGATCTGAGTATCTGGACATTTCAACGTCGATCCTTGATTGGGCCATTTACTCATCGTTGCTACGCTGAGTTGCGCAACACCACATTCTTTAATATTTCCTAATCCTCTTTTCGCCATGAGTGGTAGAATAAAATAGAATACCGTGGCATTTATTAATAAGGAGTACCGTAAATGGTCATAAGACGAGATGACTGCTGAAAACCAAAGTCGGTGATCTGGCATTAGGCAACTGTGTATAGGGTAGGCAACGAAACAGATGGAACCAGGCTGGCGGGACTGGTAGTGACATCTGGACACTGCAAAATTATATGGGTGGCTAAGTCCCGAACCAAGTGCCCCTCGCCCTCATCCTTCGGGCGGTGACGAAAAGGCCAGACTGTACCGCTCACTGGACACCTACCACTAATCGCAGGAGCCCTGCAGAGTGAGCGCCATCAACAAGCTTCATTCCACTCCTGCTGTCCTGCGTGCTCTTCTTCTACCCATCACGGCACATCACATATTGACAGCCCGCAGCGCTGGGTCATTAATTCGCGGCTGACGAGCTCCCCTTCTGCCGCCGACAAGCTTCACCTCGGAGGCTTCGATCTCGACTGCCACCCTCGTTTTTATCAGCGCCTGCGCTTCCTGCAGAGCCGCTCTCTTCTCGACTACCAAATACCTTCGAGCTTCGACTCCGCCTTGATCGCACAGATATATTCGCAGTTGTATATTAGTAGCCATGTCTGCTCCTCCTGGCGAAGGTTACGGCCAGTTCCCAGGTCCCGACCAAGGACAGCAAGCACACCCCGATCAGCCACAATATGATGAACAGCAACCCGGCTCGCCCCACGACGTTGCGGCCCACGGCAAGAAGAAGAAGCGAGGCTATGCCGCCGGTGCTTTCGATGTTGGATCAGGCGCCAATGCCGCTGTAGGCGGCCAATTGCAAGGTGCAAACCAGTTTGGCATCCCGCAACCTCAACAAGCCGCACCCCAATATGGGTATCCTTCAAATGAACCTCAGCAGCCCGCTGCACAGGGCTATCAGTATCCTGGCCAGGGCTACGGCGCCCCGCAGCAGCAGCAGCAGCAGCAGCAACAGCCTGCATATGGCTACCAAGCTCCCGAACCAGGATACCAGGCTCCCGGCGTGCAAGCCGCGGGTGTCCCAGGAGCTCCCGGTGCTCCTGGAGTTGCCGGACTCACACAGGGCATGGGCAATATGCAGATTGGCGCTGGCCAGCCTCAGCAGCAGCCTCAAGGCCAAGCACCTCGTGCCGCCATGAACCAGCTCTACCCGACTGATCTGATCAACCAGCCGTTCAATGCTACCGAGCTTGACCTCCCACCTCCCCCCATCAACCTTCCGCCCAATGTGAGTAGACCACTGGCTGTTTGAGCCGATGCGATATGTATGGATGTTACTTACGCAGGATTTCATCTAGTCGAGCGTGACGCCTTCTCCCGACTCGAACTGCCCTCCTCGATATATGCGATCTACACTTAATGCGGTTCCTACGACACATTCGGTTCTGAAGAAGTCCAAGTTACCATTCGCTCTTATTATTCAGCCCTACGGAACGCTTCACGACGATGAGGATAACGTCCCTGTCATTCAGGACCAGGTCATTTCTCGATGCCGCCGTTGCAGGACTTATATCAACCCTTATGTGACCTTCTTGGACCATGGACACCGATGGAGGTGTAACATGTGCAACTTGAGCAACGATGTTCCCCAGGCCTTCGATTGGGACGCAGCTTCCCAGCAGAGTGTCGACCGCTGGCAACGTGCGGAGCTGAACCACTCCGTCGTCGAGTTTGTTGCTCCCCAGGAGTACATGGTTCGCCCCCCTCAGCCTCTCGTCTACCTCTTCCTGTTTGACGTGAGCTACAATGGTGTTGCCAACGGCCTCCTCGCGACAAGCGCCCGCACTATTTTGGACAGTCTTAACAGGATACCCAATGCTGATCGACGGACTCGTCTTGGTTTCCTCGGTGTTGACACTAGCCTGCACTACTTTTCGATCCCCAAGGACAGCGATGAGAACGCAGAGACCAGCCAATTGGTCGTCAGCGATCTTGATGAGCCTTTCCTTCCAGTGCCTCATGACCTTCTGGTACCCCTCTCCGAGAGTCGCCAGAGCATCGAAAAGTTCCTCCAGAAGTTGCCAGAGATGTTCCAGAACAACCAAAGCAATGGATCCTGCATGGGCTCGGCTCTTCGCTCAGGCCACAAGCTGATCTCTGCGCTTGGAGGCAAGATTGTTGTTCTCACTTCTTCGCTCCCCACGATTGGCGAAGGAAAGTTGGAACACAGAGACGACAAGAAGGTCCTCGGAACCTCCAAGGAGTCAGCCCTCCTTCAGACCTCCAACAGCTTCTATAAGAGCTTTGCTGTAGAATGCTCGAAGAACCAAGTATCCGTCGATATGTTCCTCTTCTCTTCGCAATATCAGGATGTAGCTTCTCTCAGCAACCTGCCCAGATACACTGGTGGTCAGACCTGGTTCTACCCCGGCTGGCATGCGTCGCGACCAGAGGACGCGCTCAAGTTTGCCTCTGAGTTTAGCGACTTTTTGTCTTCCGAGATTGGTCTCGAGGCTGTGCTCCGAGTCCGTGGTACTACTGGGCTGAGGATGAATGCCTTCTACGGCAACTTCTTCAACCGAAGCTCGGATCTCTGCGCTTTCCCGGCTTTCCCCCGTGACCAATGTTACGTCGTTGAGGTCGCCATCGATGAGAACCTTTCTAAGAACTACATCTGCCTGCAGGCTGCCGTTTTGCACACCACTTGCAATGGCGAGCGCCGTATCAGGGTCATGACACTTGCACTCCCTACGACCACAACCATGTCTGACATCTACGCATCGGCCGACCAGGTCGCCATCACAACATACTTTACCCACAAGGCCGTTGAGCGTGCGCTGGGCAACGGCCTAGATGCCGCCAGGGATGCCATACAGTCCAAGATCACAGAGCTGCTGCAGGTGTTCAAGAAGGAGCTTGGTGGTGGCAGCATGGGTGGAGGAATACAGTTCCCGGCCAATATGCGTGCTCTCCCTATCCTGTTCTTGGGACTGATGAAGCACGTCGGTCTACGAAAGTCGTCACAGATCCCGACGGATATCCGGTCCGCATCTCTGTGCCTGCTGTCAACGCTCCCAGCTCCCCTTTTGATGAGATACATCTACCCTCGCCTGTACTCGCTGCATGACATGCCCGACAATGCTGGCACTCCCGACGAAGAAACCGGCCAGATCGTTCTGCCCCCAGCCCTGAATTTGTCTTCCGAGAAGCTGGTCTCATACGGCTTGTACTTGATCGACGATGGGCAGAATCAGTTCCTCTGGATCGGTCGGGATACTGTTCCTCAACTGATTGCGGATGTGTTTGGCGTCCAGGACAGGAAGGAGATTGCCGTTGGCAAGAGTCGGGTGCCAGAGCTGGATGGTGACTTCAATGAGCGTGTGCGTGCTGTTATTCAGAAGAGTCGGGATCACAAGGCACTGGGAGTTGGCAGCGTGACTGTTCCTCATCTGTACATTGTCAAGGAGGATGGCGAGCCTGGCCTCAAGCTCTGGGCTCAGACGCTTTTGGTTGAGGACCGGGCGGACCAGAGTGTAAGCGCGGGCCAGTGGCTGGGCATGTTGAGAGAAAAGGTAAATTACTAGGGTTTGATGAGACGAGGGAAAACGACGGGCTAACGAAATTCGAAATGCAGGTTGTGCAGTAAAACTTTAATCAAGGGGTTTTCTTGGGAGCGTCTGGGAGTAGTGTCGTGTTGGTGTCACACTTGCATAGATAGATTATCGGAAAACGTGTTTCGAGTGACGATGTGATATGACTAGCGAGTGGAGGAGAGGATGTCTGAAAGATGGGTTACGAGATGAAAGTGTGAGCTATGATTTGGTAACAATTGACATTGAAGAAAAAAGAAATGCCGCTCAAAATCACATCATACTGTCCATTATATGCATATCCGTGACGCCACCAATGTGCTGGAGGAGAAGATCTAAGCAGGCCATCATCCTATTGGATCACAAGAGCGGCCATGGGCCATTGAGCTGCCAATGGAGTGCCGTACCTATCTGATTGGTAGAGCTTGAAACTGGGTGGGAGCGAATGAGAAGCTGCCAACCTTCGTTGAATACTCGAATACTACGATGGTTCACAGGGTGATTCATGCCTACTAACGAAAACTCATGAGACAAGGCATCACCAAGTGACGAGCGGCGGCTTGATACCCCAGCGTGATTGGGCTTGCGGCCAGAAACCACCAGGCAAGTCAAGCTAGCCTTGGGAGAAACGGTGGATAACGGCGTAGGAGCCAATGGAGGGGAGCCGGTAGGCGCTGGGGTACTATTTTGGGTTGCCAATATGTGATTACAGCGATGGTGCGAGGTCATTGGTACCAATGTGTCTTACACAGACGAATGATGGGGGAAGGAATGGTGAGGGTGGGAAGGATGCCGTGGCTAAAATTGGAGCTGTTCTCTACCTTGGTACCTTGGGAAAATCCATGTACACATTACATTGTATTGATATCAGTCAGTATAATGAGAGGTGTTTTGGCGCTAGGCATGACACGTTGGAGACAGCTAGCTCCGGGCGGTGGGGATTCTCCCCGAAGTATGAAACAAAGGCGAAGCACCGGGCAGGCTTGGGAAAGCAAAGGGACAGGTCCCGCAAATGCTGGGAGCACATGAGAAGAGACTGACTGTTCCTGCATATGATTGTCCCAGCGGAGCGGGCGGGAATCTGTATGCACGCGAGGGCCGAGGCAAGGTCGGGAGGATGGATGTAGGTACCATCTGTCGCCGCACCGTTTTGGTTGCGATGAACGCATCGGACATTGAGCCGCAGCGACCTTCAATTGGGAGGGGCCTGCAGGCTGTATCTAAATCCGGACAGGAAGTGGTAGCCTGTTGGTGATGCGACGTGCTGCCGCCAATCACCGTGTGGGCTAAACAAGGCTCGCGCCGCTGCATCAAGGGTCTGGTTGGACGAGAATAGCGACGACGGGCGGCTAGCAGCGACAAACTGCCTAGCGTCTGCCTATGTAATCAACCAAAGGCCCCAAGAGAGCAAAAAATAACCAGACCAGAGCTTGGCTGGGTCCTCCGTACGCACATCTAGTCCGGAGTTAGTTGACGATGGAGTGTGTGACAAAAATAGCAGCTTTCCCAACCAGAATGGGGAAGCCAAAACCGTCTTACACGCGGGCCGGAAACGGTTCAGGTAGATTTGCCTACTGCGGATGGGTAGACAGTCATGATTAGTGAGTGACCCAGGCGCATAGCCCAGGCCTCTGGTCATACTCAGACGGACCGTCGATGAGGTACTTGAGGGAAAAAGGCTCAGGAATCAGCCGACTGATGGGCCCGAAATGGCCACCGTTCCTGTTTGTACGTACCTATTTAGCAATGGCTTCATTCGTACGCTGGACTGGGGAGGATAATAGCCAGTAAGCGGGAGTGCAGGTGGGTAGTTCGTTCAGGTAGCTCACTAATAAGGTCCCGACTAAGGCAAGCCATTATTAGCAGCGGGCAGGTCTGCAAGATGCTGGATGGTAAGGTGCTCGCAGGTACTGTGGTACATGGCGGGAGGGGGCCAGGCACACACAAAATTGGTGCCCCTCCTTTGAGAAGCGGCCCCATATGTGGTACTACGTCTGTCGCTCTGCCAAATGACCGTAGCCCGAAACAGGGCACGTTGTAGGTCAGAGGGGAGCGGGGCAGGCTGCTCTAGCAGCAGTGTAGCAGCGAGGAGCCAACCCAACCACCGCACCAGCTCTGGTTAGCAGCTGAACTGAACTGATCTTCCAGGCTGAGGGTGAGGCAACGCACCGCCCGCACCTCACCTTACTGCCGGGCCCCATAATAGCTTAGTACTATTATTACCTGCTGCTCTACTGAGCCAGTGCCAATCACTTACCCTCTCCTCTCCATCAACACCTCCATCGTGTGTCCGTCTATTTCGGGTCTGCTTCACGGCCAAGCTACTGCGTTCCTTCAGTTCTTGGGCGGGATCGGTACGTTTTGCAATACTGTTTTTGATTCTGCTCTTTTTGGAGCTGCCGCTTTATTCATTCGCCGTTGCGGTTTCATTTTGTCTCGTCTCTTCTGGCGTATGTACCTTGGCCCGTCTCTTACTACCCCTCAAATCCAAAGATATGGATAGAAACACAGACCATGGAGATTGAAGACTCAGCCCCCGGCTTGTCTCGCGCTCAAGACGCAAGTCATATCTGATTTGCGTCCATGCGCAGAAGCTACAATCGCACATACCCTTGTCAAGGGTCTTTCTATCTTGACTGCATCCCAACCGTCCCTGACCGGAGGAGGGGTGTGATTACCTGGTCATCATCAACTTGCACTCGACCACCACACACTGCCTTGCTTAAAGCTCTTATATCGCGCTTAGCTTCTTCCCTTCTTCCACTTCCCTTTCCTCTTCATCACCACTTTGGTTTTTCTTTTTCCTATTTCCTTTTCTTCTTCTCTTCTCTTCAAGTCTCTCGCTTGCTTGTTGCTTCCCTTTCCTTGCTTCCAAGCTGACCAACGATCTGTCCCGACCAGTCTCGACATCGAACCTGAGCATAGCGTTTCTTCATTGTCGGCCACCGAATTCTTTCGTGTTCATACCTACCCTTCACGATTGTCTCGAATAGGACCAGAATATACTGTTGAGAAGCTTTGGCAACGACCCTGCTCCATCTCACACATTAGGTTGTGTGATTATCTTTAGACGTTTGAGATAATACCACCGCGGATTGTCACCTAAAAGTCTGAGAAAAGGTTGCCCACCATGTCTCGATCAACTCAGCCCAGCGGTGCGAACTCTCGCAAGATCTCCTTCAACGTCAGCGAGCAGTATGACATCCAGGACGTTGTTGGTGAGGGTGCTTACGGAGTTGTCTGGTAAGCATTACACCCATGAGGGGAAGCTCCTTGTCCCACGACTATCTGCTAACGTGAACAAAGCTCTGCTATCCACAAGCCCTCCGGACAGAAAGTCGCCATCAAGAAGATTACTCCTTTCGACCACTCCATGTTTTGTCTCCGAACCCTCCGTGAAATGAAGCTGCTCCGCTACTTCAACCACGAAAACATCATCTCTATTCTGGATATCCAGCGACCCAGAGGCTATGACAGCTTCAACGAGGTCTATCTCATTCAGGTATGATTCTGCTGCGAACTCACTGACATGCGATTGAAGCTTGCTAACTCGTTGAACAGGAGCTCATGGAGACCGACATGCACCGAGTCATCCGCACTCAAGACCTCTCCGATGATCACTGCCAATACTTCATTTACCAGACTCTGCGCGCCCTCAAGGCAATGCACTCTGCCAATGTTCTTCACCGTGATCTCAAGCCCTCCAACTTGCTCCTCAACGCCAATTGCGACTTGAAGGTTTGCGACTTTGGTCTTGCTCGATCTGCCGCCTCCCAGGATGACAACTCTGGTTTCATGACCGAATACGTTGCCACCCGTTGGTACCGTGCTCCCGAAATCATGTTGACCTTCAAGGAGTACACCAAGGCTATCGATGTGTGGTCAGTCGGATGTATTCTGGCTGAGATGCTGAGCGGCAAGCCCCTCTTCCCCGGCAAGGACTGTGAGTTTCACCTTACTAGGCATTGCATTGCTACCCCCCATTTCCCATGGTATCCGTTGACTGACTCCTGGACCCCGCAGACCACCATCAGCTGACCCTGATCTTGGATGTTCTTGGAACACCTACAATGGAGGATTACTACGGCATCAAGTCTCGCCGTGCCCGGGAGTACATCAGGTCTCTTCCCTTCAAGAAGAAGGTTCCATTCCGAACTCTGTTCCCCAAGACCTCGGACTTGGCTCTGGACCTGCTCGAGAAGCTGCTTGCCTTCAACCCTGTGAAGCGTATCACCGTGGATGAGGCTCTTAAGCACCCTTACCTTGAGCCCTACCACGACCCCGATGATGAGCCCACCGCTCCCCCCATCCCCGAGGAATTCTTCGACTTCGACAAGCACAAGGACACCCTGAGCAAGGAGCAGCTGAAGCAGCTCATCTACCAGGAGGTCATGCGATGAGCTTGAAATATGTTGACTTTCAACAAAATTTCAAAACTTTCTTCAAGGCCGAGCAAAGACTACAAGAACGGAAGCACTTGTAGCACAGCGAAGTCTTTGGTCTAGGACAGGGCTCTGTTTCGAGAGCCGTGACCTAGCCTTTTTTTATATTTTCAAACCTTTTTCTCTTTTCATCTTTCATATTTGTTTTCTTTTAGGATTTTTTTTTAAGCATGAGGCTGGATGGAATAAACGGTGTAGAGCCATTTCGAGTTAGCGGAGGACAATGTGTACTCGACTGATTAGGAAGAGATAGCATACAATTCTTTAGTTGGATTTGGCGACGAAATATCATGTGAGACAACGGCCGGAATTCGAACAGAATTACTTTATCTTGCGGTTCACTTTACCTTGTTGAGAATGACTTCCTGATGCATGTTCCGTCCAATTGTATGGCAGTGCTCGTAGAGGGTATTCCGCATCTCAGTTGCTTGTTTTATGCCTCTTATCTGTAATAGATTTTGGCGTCTGAGCATGTAGATGACGTTCAATTGCGCCTTGGAGATATCGATCTTGTTCAAGGTGTCAAGTGGGTGGTGACATTGAAATTGAGACACCCAAACAATAAGCTGCTTATTCTCCAGTCTGCGATTGGTATTATCAAATTATTGAGTGCCAATAATATATACTTGAGAGATAGTACGGCATATATTATCACTTTATTTCATTTGATACTACTGAATTCCTCGGTTTATCTTGGAAAATAGAACCACTATTCCATTGAGTGTCTCATTTCTCCTGTCACCCACTTGAGTGCGTCATGGCGAGACCGCTGTTTCCGTCGCCCAGTGTACACTGTGAGGGTAGCCGGGATGGTTTGCTGGCTTCAGGTGGCGCCCGGACCACATGGCCCCTGTAATTGTGGCATGACCGGGAGTAGAATCTCCATTATTAGACACTGGCCAGTCAGCATTGTGACCCAAGGATTTTATCTAATCGCCGTGGTGGGTAAGTTGAGCGCGTCCTGGAGGCTCACTTCTGACTTGGATGCCGGGCGGTGGCGCCGTTGGGACACAGCGCCCCCCCAAACCCCACCACCAATAACACCCGCCCCAGCTGGCTACAGTGCCAGAGTGTTGCTTTCATACTACAAACAGCCCAGCTTTCAGAAGGGCTCTCCGCTAGTACTTAACAGCCTACCACCTACGTCAGCACTGGTTGGGCTGCTTCCGGGCTACAACTTCTCGATGCTTCGTGCCTGGTTCGCCCTTTACTAAGATCTTATGCATTGGATGGCTTGTTCCTGGACTGCCTAAGACTTCAATCTTGGCCGTCTGCTTGGGTCATAAACTTAATTTCCTGCTTGTCTCTGGGAATCTTATTCTATCTTATTCTTTATTCTCTGCGAGCTGGCCAACGTACGACGATACCTGACCCTGCAACCCGCCTTCCGTTGCACTCAACCCTGCAACATCTCTGAGACATTCGATCGCCCAAGCCATCGTGCAACGATCGCGGTGTGGTGCGGCACATGTTACACCTAAGTTATATTCGACACAGATACCCGAGTTTCAATGAACCAACCTACACGGAGTGATTCGCCAGACAGTGCTCCTTCCTCCGGCGCCCAGACCCCAGCCTCCGACAGCCAAAGAGCCTCTATTGCAAGCGTCAGCTCATCCTACGGCGGCCTGGTGTCCAGCATGTGGGGGATAATCCGACGCTTCTCGACCGAGGAGACCGTTCACTCGGAGCAGCTTGACCTAGGCGCTTCACAGAACCTCAAGGACGGCATCAATGGCGTCTTCAGCCCGACGAGGCGGACGGCGAGCCCCTTCCGTCCACCTCCGCTCGACCCTCTCATCCTTCACGGCTACAAAGAAGGCACGCCCGAGGCTTCTAGGCTGTTGAACCATGGGGTGGCAGAGGAGATTCGCACCATGGTCCCCGAGAGGCTACGTATTATCGACGACTGGCACCTGGCGTACAGTCTAGAGCAGGACGGCGCCAGCCTGGCGACTCTATATCAGAAGTGTCGGGAGTACCAAGGCGGCAGAGCCGGGTTTGTGCTCGTTGTCAAGGATGAGGAAGGCTCGGTAGGCCGACTCCCACCCTCGTCTATTCTGTCCTCGTATCTAGGCGTTGTTTGCTGACTTTGACCCCTTCACTGCAGACTTTCGGTGCTTACCTTTCCGAATACCCCCATCCCGCACCCTCATACTTTGGAAATGGAGAGTGTTTCCTTTGGCGAGCGTCCATGCTCGCTTCTCTACCGCCTCCGCCCTCAGCTGATACTACCGACCTCGGCCGCAACACCACATTGGCTCCGATGAAGTCTCCCACCGGCGCCTCTTCCCCTACGCCAAGCGACGTGATACGATTTAAAGCCTTCCCGTATAGCGGGCTGAACGATTACTGCATCAACTGCGAGCAGGGCTTCCTCAGTGTCGGGTCCGGTGGGGGTCACTATGGCCTGTGGCTGGACAACTCACTGGATATGGGGCACAGCTCCAGGTGCGAGACCTTTGGGAACGAGCCGCTGAGCGACGAGGGGGACAAGTTTGGGATTTTGGGCGTTGAGCTTTGGGTCATGGGCGTATGATATCTCGGACTGGCATTTCGTGATTTCTTCTTTTCTCTCGGCGTTTTGCTCGCAACAATCATGCTCGCATTGGAGAACTGGCTCAACGAGTATCAAAAGGATGGGCTCAGTGGGAACCCCAAAGACGGAACCTCGGCCCATGAAAAGGTGGTGGTATTTTGAACTTTTATTTTTGGATTCCATCCTAACCGGGCGGCAGAGCATAGCCTCGTTATTATCGGACAAAAAAGAATATTATGTATATAGGAGCGATGGATAGATCATGATACCCTAATTAATTCAACTCAAACTACACTGGCATGAAGATTCCTAGGGGCCTTTTTTCGGTGGCTGATATACAAGAAGTGTGGTATCCAAAATAGTACAGTGAGTTCAATTACTCCCCGAAGCTCTATAGTTTGCTATCGCTTTCAGAATACCCTCAGGCGACGGCGTCTCAGCGGACACATCAGGCGAGAAGCCGAAGTTGGACTCCAGATGCTGCTTCGTGGTCGGGCCAATGGTGGCGACGTACGTCCTGCCATCTCGGCGGGCCGCGGCGCCCGATTCGACCCTGCCGTCCTCGCCCAGGAGGCCCATGCCGCGGAGCATGCTGTCGCATCCCGTGGGCGAGAAGACGACGACCCATCTCTCGCGCGCGTCGGCGGTGTCCCTCAGGACGGCGATGAAGTCGGACAGGAAGCTCTCCATGACGCCTGTCCCGTAGACGATCTTCTCCGTGACCTCTATCCTCCGGTCGGCGGGGAGGCTTGGGTCCATGAGGGTCTTGGGGATGATGTCGCGGCGCTGCTCGCCGACGGGGAAGAGGAGGGCGGGTTTGGTGGTCCTGCTGGGGTACCACTCGCTGTAGTGGTCGAGGATGAAGCGGGATAGGACCTCTCCGTTGCCCGTGTGCTCTCCGAAGACCTGCAGGGGCGAGGGGGCTTGGGGGATGGCTCTCAGGGCTCGTGTGGTTGCGGGCCCGACGCTGTATATGGGTATGTTCTGGAGGTGAGGCCATGATGGGTCGCCTGTGGATGCGCCAGAGGGAGGGCCATCGAGTTAATTCGAGCTGTCATCTACCTGTGATGTTTGCGAACGGGTTTTGGGGGGGTAAAGGAACGCACCCTTGCCTTCCTCGACCGTCTTGGCGAATGCCTCGACGGCCCTCTGGGACGTGAAGATGAGGCCGCCATATGTGCTATCCTCACGGGGGGATATGGACTGGTTCTGAAGGTGGTCCCGCAGGGCATTGACGCCGGGCTCTTCGAGCCTGTGCTGCAAGACAGGGACGAATTGGGGCGAGAAGCTCGTCCGCGCCTCGTCGCTGCCGCTGCTTGGTACTGGTGTTGATGAGAAGAGCTCTTCGTAGGTGTCGATGGGGGTGGATTTTGTCTTCAGAAGAAGTATCGGCACCCTGGGGGGATGATTTGACGCCATGATAGCTAGATGACTACATGAATTGGACCTGCCACACACCACGATTGAGTTCTACTATGACTTGAGTAGTTGACCAGCCCGTCCAACAAGAGCGAATGAGTGCTCGTTGCTTTCGAATGACGCTGGTGGATACGTGGGGTTGGTGGGGGTCTTATCGATAGAAGCGCTTCTAGAATTATCGTGTTCCTGGACCGGATGCATGATCTCCATTGCTTGCGCCTATCCATAGCTGACAAATTACCACGGCTGGACAGGAGTTCGATTCTGGGCATCTTTTGTTTTGTTTTTGTTAATCTTTATTTTTTTTTATCACGCTCTGCTTGCCATTACCCGAGGAAGCTCCCTATTAGGAGCATCACCTGACAAATGGCCGATTCCACCGAACAGGGTGCCAGCACCACGGCCACAGAACAACAAGGCGTCAAGCTTCCCAATGGCTACACGAGACTCCCCAACGGCGTCGTTTTAGACAAGGAGGGAAAGCCGTAAGTCACATCTGGTTTATTACCCAGTCATCTGTCCCTCGCCTCGCCCTGAATACCCAAGCTAACACCAACCTTCTCATCGCAGATGCCGTAGCTGCTCATCAAAGTCAGCATTCTCTGCATTTGCTGCTCAAGCGTCGAAGCAGAGCCCGAAGTCGACGACGACGACCGCCGCGACGACGAAGAAGCCCGCCTCCGAATGCCCCCCCGACGTAGCAGCTCTAGGGCGGAGCAGCTGGACCTTGCTCCATAGCATCGCGGCGACGTTCCCGGAGGCGCCGTCCAGGGCGCAGCAGGGCGACCTGGTGAGCTTCGTGCAGCTCTTCTCGAGGCTGTACCCGTGCTGGGTGTGCGCGGACGACTTCCAGGGCTACATCGCCCGGGAGGCCCCGCGCGTGGCGAGTCGGGACGATTTCGGCCGGTGGCTCTGCGGCGCCCATAATGACGTGAATAGGAAGCTCGGGAAGCCCGTCTTCGATTGCGATAAGTGGCAGGAGAGGTGGGTGACGGGGCCCAAGGACGGGAGCTGTGACTGAGGGGCTGGGGAGGGACTTGGGAGTCGGCGGCACTCATGCTGGGCTGCCTTTGTATCAATACCTGTTGATTTGTTTGAGCGTTGGCTTGGTTTACGATACAAGGTCAAGAAGGAAACACTCTGTTCCGTTGTTAGAATGGTGTATATTATTGTACGACGATGTATCTATAGAAGGAAGAATCCCATCCCATGATAAGGCTGGTTATGTAGTTTTTTGGAGCATGTATGGGTGCCCGACAGCTGGTGTGACGGATATTGGGCAAGTCAATCATGGCACTCCACGTTTGTTGTTTTTAGGATAGAGGGACCAAAATACCCAACTCACACCAATCAATGAACTAGATGACAAAGAGCTTGCAAATCACTGACTGGGCATGCCGATGCTCCTTCAGTACTCGAATTAGGTGGGAGTGCTCAATCCAGGTATGGGATTGTAGCAGCCGGAAGCGGAAACCAGCACTCGGGATTGTTGGCTCAGATCGGGTAGAGGCGGTGCCCCTCCGACTAGGCGAATTGATCAGATCATCCATTGGGGGTCCTTATCTATGGCCTGACGCGACCCATTTGCGATTGTGTGGCTCCGAACAAGTTTTTCTGAGACGCCACCGTTTTGCCATCCCACTTTGCAGCATTTCAAGCTCCGTCTCGTGGTAGAGAGGCAAGTGAGCTGAGAACTGAGGTGATTCGCTGCGATCTCGGCATCTGGTGAGGCAGCCAGGGATAGATGGATAAACGGAATACACCCCGGTGTCCGGGATGGATCTGTCTGGAATTCTGGGACCAGGGCATCATAAAACTCAATGATTACATCACTCTTTCGACGTCGCAGGCCACCACGAGCCGTGGTATCGTCCAATAGTTCGTTGATCCCCACCAGAGCCTTCGGCCATCTCGGGCCATTTGCGTCGCATTGCGAGGCACGATGGCTGAAGCGAGCGTGACTGAGAAGAGATAATTGAGAGAGCAATGGAGAGAGGAAGGTGTCTAATTTATCTCCAGATGACGGCCAACTCTTCGTCTTGTGAGGATCATGGTCAAACTGGTGGTTATTGGTTCCATTGTCTTCGGGCCGGTCCCTCGATTGCGTCCAGTTGCGTCCATCAGGAAGGCTCGTTCGTGTTTGCCTCCTTCCTTGACCACACCAAGTCTAGCACCCTGTCCATTCTTCCTCCGCTTTTCTTTCCTTCCCGCTCGCTTCACTTTCACGTAAAGGGGAAACCGTAGCACATGCATTCGTAAGGTATAAATTAGCTTTCCTCCTCACCCTCCTTGCCCTTCTTTCGCTTGTTCTCACCCAACCTTCCCCTCCCTCCAGCCATCCAGAGCCAAACGCCGACTTATCCGACCATTGTAACCCTAAGTAAACATCACGAGATATGGCTGATATCAGGGTCCAGAGCTTGAAGCAGCCAGTCAAGGTGGTCCAGTATCTGTACCGCCGTCTCCATGAGCTAGGTGTCCGTTCCGTCCATGGCCTTCCAGGCGACTACAACCTAGTGGCACTCGACTACCTGCCAGAATGCGGGCTGAAGTGGGTGGGCAGTGTCAATGAATTGAATGCAGGTGTGTACAATTCGACTCGTCCCTGCTTTATCGTACCAAGTACTGACGCTCCCGAATAGCATATGCTGCTGATGGTTATGCCCGCGTCAAGGGAATAGCGGCCCTGATCACCACGTTTGGCGTGGGTGAACTTTCGGCCATCAATGGCGTTGCCGGTGCTTATTCGGAGATGATTCCTGTCGTTCATATTGTCGGCTGCCCTTCAACCATATCCCAGCGCAATGGAATGCTGTTGCATCATACTCTCGGCAACGGCAACTTTGAAATCTTTTCCAACATGAACACGGAGATCTCATGCGCAGTAGCTAAGCTGAATCGCCCCTCTGAAATTGCGGACCAGATTGATCATGCTCTGCGCGAGTGCTGGATCCGATCGCGGCCGGTGTACATTACACTTCCCACAGACATGGTCAATATTGAGATCGAAGGCGCTCGGTTGGAAACGCCGATTGACCTCTCCGAGCCCGAGAATGACCCTGAGAAGGAAGACTATGTCGTGGATGTCGTCTTGAAATATCTCCGAGCAGCCAAGCACCCCGTCATTCTTGTCGATGCGTGCGCGATCCGCCATCGTGTCCTCGACGAGGTTCTTGCGCTTTCTGAGAAGACCGGCCTTCCCACCTTCGTGACGCCTATGGGAAAGAGTGGAATTAACGAGACGCTGCCTAATTATGGCGGCGTATATGCAGGTGTTGGATCCCACCCCCCTGGAGTCCAGGATATCGTCGAATCTTCTGACCTCGTTCTTTCCATCGGCGCTCTCAAGGTGAGTCACCTCTCAGAACAGTGTAATTGAATGGACAACTGATGGAACGATGATGATAGAGTGATTTCAATACTGCGGGGTTCTCATACCGAACATCGCAACTCAACTCAATCGAACTGCACAGCGATCATTGTGTTGCTCGCTACTCTCATTATCCTGGGGTTAGGATGAGAGGCGTGTTGCGAAAGTTGACTAGCACGATCAAGGCTGAGGAGCTCTCCGCCCAACCAAGTCCATCTGTGGACAACGAGGTTAAAAAGAACCTGGACAGTTCGCCAACAATTACCCAGGCATGGTTCTGGCCCCGCGTGGGAGAGTTCCTTCACAAGGGAGACATTGTTGTGACAGAGACTGGCACTGCCAACTTCGGCATCTGGGACACCAAGTTCCCTCCCGACGTCACGGCACTCAGCCAGGTGCTCTGGGGAAGTATCGGGTGGTCCGTTGGCTCCTGTCAGGGCGCTGCACTTGCAGCCAAGGATGCCGGCGTAGATCGTCGAACTATCCTGTTCGTCGGTGACGGGTCATTTCAACTCACTGTCCAGGAAGTGAGCACCATGCTTCGCCATGGTTTGAAACCTATCATGTAAGTGGTTCCACCCATATTAGGACGTTCTTTTGAGCCCCTCTAATTCTTACTCTAGCTTTGTAATTTGCAATGATGGTTTTACCATTGAGAGGTTCATTCACGGCATGGAGGCCGAATACAACGACATCGTGGCCTGGGACTTCAAGGGCGTTGTAGATGTTTTTGGGGGACGGGGTAAAAGTCGCACTTTCACCATCAAGACCAAGGACGAGTTGAACAATCTTCTTACCGATGAGGAGTTCAATGCTGCCAAAACTCTTCAGTTTGTCGAGTTGTACATGCCCAAGGAGGATGCTCCACGTGCGTTGGTTATGACCGCAGAAGCAAGCGCGCAGAATAATGCCAAGACGGAGTGATGGGTGAAATGGAAATTATTATGAGAACGACGATAATGATCCTATAGCACACGGCAGAATTAGCCACTATGTTCATAATTGAGCTTCCAATGATTGTTTGTTGCACCTTTGTTCATTCTAAGATAAATGCGATGCATTAAGTTGTGCGGCAAAATGTGGCGGCGGTGGCGTGCATAATTTTATGCACATCACAAGGCTCCAAGCTCAATTTTCACCTTCACATATCACTACATCTGTCTGAATCGAGCTCATTTTCCATCGCCAGGAGTCAATACCCATCACTCACGTCCAATTAACATACACCTGAATTGATTCAATTCGTTGTTTCCCCATCTGTACGCTTCTCCCAAAGCCGCCAATTGGCAATCGTTGTCGACGTCAAGTAGGGGGATAGTCCACGCTTGAGTTAAAATCTTTACTTTAAGGCGACAACTGGGTCTTAAAATATTATACACGCAAACATGGGAGAGGAAAACGGCAAGCGCAAGCATGGACAGGGCGAAGGGGGCCCGGCCTTCAAGAAAAGCAAGGTACTTGGGCTCAGCTACCACTTTGTGATGGCGCACACCTTGGCGGCCGTCGTGCTACGTAGATGCCAGCCCGCTAACAAGCATTCTCTAGGGTGGAAATGGAGGCAAGTGGTCTACGACGAACTATCAGAGCAAGATGGCGGATAAGGTCGACCGGGGTGTCGTGCTGGCCGTCAACGATGAGGGGATCTGGGTCACATGTGCCAGAGGCATGAAGGCGAGGGCAGCGCGGGAATTTCAGGAACTCTGCGAAGAGGTATGTGTAAAATTTGGGGGGGAATTTCTCCTCCCAATCCCGATACGGCCTTCCTGTTGGATGTCAAGCTCATCAGTCTACGCTAGTATGGGGAGTCCATGTATGGCATCAAGCCGAGGGAGGATCCCGATGAGGCGGCGGACGACGGGGAAGATGCGTCTGGGGACATCGAGGACCAGATCAAGAGGGACCTCGAGAAGATGAAGTCGTCCGCGCCGAAGCCGAGACATGTATTCTCGGTGGTCCACGTTGACATCGAGTGCGTCTTCTTCGTGAAGACGCTGAAGCCGGTAGAACCCAAGGAATTGGTGCTCAGGATCTGCCGCGACGCCAGGGCGTGTTCCAGCCCTACGCAGAGGAGACTCAAGTACGTGAACAGGCTGTCACCGGTTACCGACACCGATAAGGCATCCGAGAATGGGATCATCCGGGTTGCACGAGCAGTCATGTCACCGTATTTGGCCCTAAGAGACGAATCGCCTCGGGAGGGTGACGCACAACCACCCAGTGAGGAAAAAGGGCAAGCACAGGCAGGAGATGGCACCGCACCATACACGGTACGCAATGATACGATAACTTCAGGTGTGGGTGGCCAGTTCCCAGCTAACAACGCACACCTAGTTCGCGCTCCGCACGTCAGTCCGGAGCCATACGGTTATGAAGTCCAGTGAAATCATTCAAAAGATTGCACAGGTGGTCGACCCAAAACACAAGGTGAACTTGTCGAAGCCAGACAAGTCTGTGCTCGTTGAGGTCTTTCAGGTATGTTGCACTTCCCACGTCTGGTTATCTCACGGGTACTCGGTTATCAGCTGATCTAACTCACATGTGCCACAGAGCTTTTGCGGGATGTCTGTTGTGGATGGGCCAGAGTTCGAAGCTCTGAAGAGGTACAATGTTAACGAGATTTACCGACTGGCATTCGAGGATCTGGCCGCGAAGGAGGAGGAGGCCAAGGAGAAATCGGATTCATGAGCAGCTGCAGGATCCTTTCTGCTTCTCTTACACATCGGGTACTTCGCATTGATAATTCTCGGAGGAGAATGACTGGGCATACTTGCACCGCCCAATAGTTCGGGAATTATACCAACCTGGGATCGTTTTCTGACCATCTTACTGAGGGCCTCCATGTGAACAGAGCTATTGTTCATGATTAGGGTGCAGGTCTCGCGCGACTCGCTATCCATTGCGGTTAACCTGCGGAGTTTCCCGTCATAAAGGCCTGCACTTATGAGGTCACATTCAATATCTGCGTGAGACATAAAGTTTTATGTCACCATGGCTGTTCCGGGAGAAGCAAGCCGATTCTCAGCGGATTGGTCCCCCTGCACATCAGGAGGAGCAAAGGGATTTAATTTTCGATTTTGAGCTTATTGCGAGTCCTGGATTGGCCGGTGCTTGCCGGGGCATACGTAATGTGGGCGAAGATGGAAAATTCGATGGAATTTGATGGATCCCTACTATACACCAGGTGGGTTGGCCGGAGGTTCTGCCAACGAGGTGAGAGAAGACATGGATGAAAAAGATATAAATTGAAAATGCGAAGTCTTATATCTCTCGAAAATGCAGTTATTAACTGTCGATGATGTGACAATACGAGCCACGGACTGAAAGATACAGCAGGATGTATTTGGGTGTCTGTCGGGTACCTACCTGTATGCAGGAGAAGCGGTGGTTGTCAAGAGCCATCCCCATCCATCGCATCGGTCCCATGGTGGCCCCTGCCTGAGTTTGCAACTGCCTGGTCACGATCTTTTGTCTGGCTCTCGCTTAAGCCAGCCAATGAAGTTAATTCCCGACTCGCTTGCCCTGGTAGCGACCAGCGCAGAGGCAGCCTATTTTAGACAGCATCCTGCCCACGTCTTACTCTTCCAATGTTAATTGCTTGGGTCCGTCGTACTTTTATTTGATTAAGCAGTGGGCAAGCGAGAGGGAGTGAGCTAGTTCCCTGCTGCTTTGATTACATGAGGTGGCTATGGAGGACCTTTGTTCGCGGACAGAGAGGCTAGTTCAGCGGCCAGACGCTTATGGTATGGAGAGCGAAGCACTACGGACCGCCTATATTTGGCGTATGTCGAGTTTCCGCGACGATAGTCCGGTGCGGGTGCACAGAGCTCAGAAATTGGCGATGGCCTACCGACATAGTCATGCATGGTGCGTGGTAGCAATAGGCAGCAGTATTAAAGAGAAGAACGTTATTGAATGCATGCGACCCTCCCGAGCCTTGGGGCCTTGGCCTTGAGCCTTGGGAGAGGCATTCCGCTGGCCTGGGAGCGATCCGCTGGCCTGAAACGGAAGGATTCCGCACTCTTTCACACCTCCACCACCTCAGCTGCGTCTCTGCAGACGGGACTCACCTACACCTGCCGCCGCATTATGTAGCTAAAGACGACGCTACTCTGCTATTTTTCCTCCGGGATGCGCCAGCCTCGATCCGCGTAGCCACCTTTCCCTCGCCTTGTTCACAACAGCTGCTAGCCCAGGCCCGTTAGTCCCACCAGCGCAGCCATCAGGTCCAGCCGCCGGGTGTTCTCGCTTGGTCCGCCGACATCATTCGCTCCCAGGAGCATTCCGTGCCAAGGTTGGCCCTAACCTAACGTCCCTCCCTCGTCTTCGGTCATGTCCCATACATATGTAGAGAGGCAGGAGTAAAGTCAGCAGAGAGCAAACAGCAAGTGATACGGGGGTGGGGCAGGTCGCTTACCTTTCGGACCCGACCTCATCGTCTAGCAGTAGGCAGAGCTAATTCCAGAGCACCGGGTGCGAGGGGCGCTGGCGTGGCGGCGGATGGCGTGGGGAGGTTGGAGGCTGGAGATGGATCGAGATGAGGCAGCTCGCTTTCCATGATCGTCACGCCAGGTTGCCCGTGGGCGGTGCCTCTTCGCCAGAGCATCTCGGCTCTGAATATTGTAGAACATCTGGGCGTCGTCTCCTCCAAAACAACGGCCGGATCGGGGCAATGGACCGCCGGAGGTTTTACCCGGAAGATATCCAAGACTTCTGAGCTGGCTGCCGACGCCGTAGTCCGGGACGTATACACACATTCAGACGTCAAGTAACAGCAAGTGTCAGTCTGGCCAGGTCAGAACCACGGAGGACCCTCGCTTGTTTCAGACCCATTTCACAGATTCACCGCTTGTGGCGGCTCTTTTTCCGTCCAGGTCTGTAGAGGCGGGACGGATACCAATTATACGTGCAATACTTACAGACACGAATCCCTCTGCCAAATCGCCTGCAGCAGTTGGCGACGGACTAACATGCCATGACACCTGCTAGCTCGCTTCTCGCCATTCCGCCCCCGTGCAGGCAGTACCTTGATCGCACATCGCTCCGACACTCGTTTCCACCTATCCCGAGACCCTACCGCCAAGTAGCGATACCTTGACGAGCGGCCTGATGCCGAGCACCTACCTAGAACGGACCATCCATATCGTGGTCAGCAACCTCCGTGGGCCTTGTCCGCCGGCTCCCCCATGCCCGATACGCGCTCCACGCCCTCCATGCCTGCCAAGCGTCTCAAGGGAGCGAGGGAGGAGAGGCCCAGCGTGGTATGATGCGCTGTGCGGGCTGGTGCGGTGCTGCGTTCTGCTGTTCTGTGATGTGAGGTGGGATTTCCTCGGGCACGTGGCTAGCGTGCGTCTATTCTGAAAGTCTCGAGGCGGATGGGATTAATTTGCCTGGCCATGGCTGATCCCGCTACCAGAGAATGCTATGCTGGATCCGATTATAATGTAAGTCAAGTAGTAGGTAGCTTTAACTTCTCTTGCTGCCGCACATCACCTCGCCTTCTTCACACTACCTACCTCTCATATCATTGTCGCTTTGTCTTCCATTGGTACCTACCGAGAACTTGGCCTCCCTCTCAAGGCAATTGCCGAGTAGACCTGCCTGCCTCCAAACCCCCCCCCTCTTGCTTGTTGCTTGCTTGCTTGCTTGTGGATGTGGGTGAACTTCCCTGTCCTCCGCCTGGTTGCCTCCTTCGATCCATCTCACTCTTTGGTCACCCTCCTTTTTGCATCCCATGCTCCTCCACCGGGCCCGGGCCAAATAACCACCTCGTGTCTACTTGCATCCCTTTCGCACTGTAACGGAAAAACACTTTCACTGGAGCCAACCTTTGCTCTGACACATTCCTTCCGTCCAGCACCCTTCATCGACACTTACGACTCTCTCATTATTGGTGGAGTTAGACTTGTGTCTGCGCCTCGCGAGTCGTCACCGGCCGCTCACCTGATACATCTCACACCTCCATGAGATTGCAATAGGCGAGGCGGTTGCCGAACTCAACTCAGCTTGTTGCCACGCTCACCCTCGACTTCTGTTCGAATATCTATATACACAACTGTTGGGTCCATAAAGGATCACCAGTCTAGACTCATGAATCACGGCCAGGATTCGTTCTGGTCATACAGACGGTTGTCTCTCTTATGACCTCGTCTTAATTATCGCATCGCCTCATATTTCTTCTCCTCAGAGTTCGCACCAAGGGCCCCCTTTCCTCGCCTACTTACCCCGTGTGCCACTCATTCTCCTCCTCCAAAGTATCCGGTCGGATCAGAACACCTACGAGATTGCTATCACAGCGCCTTTCACCCTTCAACGAAACCCATAGTCAACTCTGTTCACAAACAACTCCCTCTTCCCAGATCCTGAGACGGTGACTTCTCCAGCGCGCGTCAAGCTCTCCCGTACTTGAGCCTAGTCACTTTTTTATTCCAGACATTTTGGAGTTCCAGAATCAAAATCAAGATATTTCATTCTCAGCAAGGCAAATCCCTCCACCGGCTACTTAACACGCAAACTCATGTTCAAATGTTGTTGCAATTGCCCACTAGTCCTCAGCGTCATCCGAACCCGACCATATACGACATAGGCTGTCCTCCCTTATCCATGTGTTCCAACGCGAACGAGGAAGAGGCATTCGCGCTATTATGCGACATTCTGCCCGGCCTCCCCATTGACCGAGTCCGGGTCACCCCAAACGGCGGGATTCAACAGATGTACCTCGTTGACATAGCTGGCGAGGACGGCCCAATCCTTCTCACCACAGCCCATAAATCTTGGGTCAAACCCTTAAGGTCTGAATACTGTTCCATCTCGTCCGAAGCTGCTCTGTGGGCTTGGTACACAGTTATATCTCCTGGGGCTTTCCGTGGAGAAGGGGCCAACACCAATAATGGAAAAAATAGCCACGAAGTTCGAGAAAATCCCGACAGTGACGTTTACTCCGCGAGGCTATACCTAACAGGATTCTTGCCAACTCTCATCAAGTACGGTCTGCCGATCCCTGAGGCCCAAGTCCCCGAGTTCAGCCTCAGCCGCCCACGACCAGGCAATACCGTCTCATCGCTCCCCCTATCCCCGAACAACGATGACTATGCATCCATAAATCAGCAAGCGGGGCAGCTGTTCCGCCGCATTGCTTGCCATGTCTCACCCACTGGAAGATTTGGTGACGTTGCTTCTGTTATGCGGCCATTGTCAGTGCTTCCAATGCGGCCTGTTGTCCGATCTCCAGCAAATTCGCCGTATATTTTTGGAACTGCGTCATGGTCAGGTGCCTTCCACCTCATGCTCGAGTCGGTTCTACGCGACCTAGAAGATCGTTTCGTGAACATCTCCTATTCTCGCATAAGGGGCCACTTTAAGCGACTAAGGCCCCTACTGGACAAAGTAACGAGACCTTCTCTGGTCTCCATTACGTGCAGTGATATGCAAAACCTACTGGTCGTTGAATCAGACACTAAGGATTCGGATTCTTCGACACTATCCAGCGAGGCAGAAGCTCCCAATAGCCCCCCAGCAGACCAGGACCCTGAGCCTCATACCCGACCGACTACCCCAGAAACTCGAGACAAATACAAGGTTACTGGTTTGCGTGACTGGAGCATGTTAGTTTTTGGTGATCCTCTGATCGCAACCGTTTTCAACGACAAGGCACCTGAAAGTTTCATGACCGGCCTCCGCCAACCAATAGCGGAGGACGATCCCTTCATCTCCGTTTCCATAATTGAACACGCAGAATCCGCGCCTCTTAGGTTACTTCTCTACAAATGCTATCATGCTTTGAACGATTTAGCGAAGCAATATTACCATACCCGCCAAGGCGATGCCGAATTGGAGGCTCGCCGACGCTTGCTCCTTGTGCTAAGCGAACTTGATAAGATCAAGGATGAAACTGTCTTTGAGGAAAAGCTTCAGGAAAACACCGCCATCAGTGAAGCTAGGATAGATGCAGATGCTGTTGGCACGAACAAGAAGTTTGGTGTAGCGAGCTGATATATTCGCTCTTTTTAAATAGCAGGTTTACGATTGGGTTCAAAGTCAACCAATGAATATTCAGGAGTGCAAAATATTGAAATGCGAGGAATAAACCACATTCTGAATTCGGTCTATCTCTTCCCCTGTGATGAGCTTCCTGCTTTATGCTTTGCTTGGTCGGCTTCGTCATCCTCATCCCTTGGAAGTTGTACACCCATCATACCGAGAAGGTTACTCGTAGGGCCGGACATTCCTCCCTGGCTCTTGAAGCTCTCCAGGATGTTCTTAGCGAGGTTGTAATCGACTTGGATTTCCTCGTCACTGTCCTCCTCTGCATTCGTCGAGCCCGCACCCTGGGTATCGTCTTGCGGGCTCTTCCCTTTATCCTGGATGCGTGCCCGCTTCTCCTTTGGGGGGTCCAACTTCAGCACGCCATGTTTACTTAGCTCGGCCTCCATCTCAGACGCAAGCTGGCGGATTTCTTCATCTTCGTCATCGGATTCCACTAACTCGGATTTCCTGGTGGCCTTGCCTGCTTTGGTTCCGCTCTGCGTGGAAATATCTGGCAATCCCATCATCTCACGCATCATCTTTGCAAACTCTTCCTCGTCGAAGCTGACTTCTTTGTCCTCGGCGTCGCTGTCTTCCTCGCTATCCAGGTCATCATCGTCATCATCCTCGTCCATCTCATCCAAATCAACGCCATCAACGCCGGCCTGGTCGTCGTTGAGGAATGCTTCGAATCGCGAGACGATCTTCCTCAGGTTGGCCTGCGCATCTGCGTCGCCGAAGCCTTCGGACGTCCCCTTTGCCTCGCCTTTCTTCTTGCCGCTAAGCTCGTTCTCGAAGTCCTCGTAGTTGATGTCCAGCCAGGCCTCGGGGTCGGCCCGGCCGGATGCGGGCCATTCCTTGATGTCGTCGTCTGACGGGAGCACCTCGTCGCCGTCCTCCTCCAGGTCCTCGAGCTCGAGGGCAAGCTCGCGCACGACCCTGCTGGGGTGCTGGGCGGCCTTGGCGGCGAGGATCTCGAACCCGCAGGTCAGTTTCGTCCCGTTGTCCAGCGCGTAGTTGTCCTGCTCGGTGGTGGTGTCCTGCTTTCTCTGGGCTTGTAGTGGGGTTTGCCACCTGGGGGGTGGTTCGAAGCGTTGGGAGCGGAGCTGGGCGAAGAGGACTTTGCTGAACTTGACGCTGACGGTGACGAAGTCCTCGGGTGGGAAGACGAAGGTGTGTGATGGCGAGAGGATTGGTTTCAGCGCCAGGGCGTCTCGGGTGTAGAACGCCTCGACAGCTGGTGGTACGGTCTTCGGGATCTTGTGTATAATGTAGGCGAGTTTCCGTGGGATGGTGACCAGGGAGTGGTGGAGAGATTGGGAGATTTGGGCTGGGTACTTCTCAAGTCTGTAGAAGGCTTCTGATTCAATGAATTCTGAGTGAACGAGCTGGTCCTTCTTGGTTTTGATAAAGTCCAGTGCTAGCGGTAGTGACAGGGCGCGGGGTATCTCTGGGGAGTGTTCCTTGAAAGGGATGATGAAGAGCTTGCCGTCGTGGATCCAGACTCGGTTGTGGTCGATCTCGGGGCTTAGCCATTTCGGTAGGACGTTGGCAGCCTCGACGAGGAGGAATTCGCCATCGCTGTCGAAGACCCGGACCCAGATCTCGGGATGGGATCGTGTGAGTTCCCTGAGCAGGTGAACGATCAACCACTCATCTTCCACGGCATCACCGTAGTCGGTGGCTCCACGAAGGTAGATTAAGCCTATAAAATGAGCACATGTGAGTTAAGAGAGGAAAGAGCAGGTAAACACAACCAGGGGCACGAAAGCATTTTGGTGCCATATGCCACATAGCCACATTGATATAGGTAACATTATTTTAAAATCAATTTAGGTTGCAAGTCTTACCTCCTTCGTTCTTCAACTCCAAATTGAACTCCTCCCGTTGCCATAGATAGTCCTCTGTCAGACTCTGACAGTTCTGTATGGCGGCCTTGCGGACTGTTTCCAACCGGGAGAGTGTTTTCCGTGCATCAGAATTTGATTCGATGCAGAATATGAGATATTCAACCACGTTCTCCGTGATTTCCTTTTCGAATCCGGGCAACGTCTGAGGTTCTGTGGCCTCCATGACGTGGTCTTCCTAGAGACGGCTCGACCCTGCGACAGACAACTTTAGAATGAGGTCTACACGTAATACAGAGAGGGTAAGAAAGTAAAGCTCTATACCAGACGAGTGATCTCGACATAAAAGAACCAGGCTACGAAAGGTGAGATTGTCCTACAAGTGTGGGAGGACGTTCGGAAGATTTTCAAGTGGTGTAGGGTAGGGTGCCTGGAAAGGGACCCATTTACTGGATCGTTCCTACCCTAATTGGCCAGGCAGCGGAGGAAAGCAGATCGGCGCCTTTAGTGGAGGCCCCACATCAGGCCGTCACGTCGCGTTGTGTAAGTGCTTTGTGCGCAATTGACCCCTCGACGCGCCTCACTAGCAGCCAGGTCTGCATATCCATGTGTGTCCACCATTCCATAGGATGCCGCCGCCCTAGTCTATCGTATAGCAACTTGATACACTGGAAGAGTATTCGACAAGGAGGATATCATGGCTCCTCGCAAACGCGCCCTGCGGGATGAAGCCGGGGAGTCCAGTGAGGCCGGAGCCTTGCGCACCTCTGATGCTGTAAGGGGGATTCCAGACGTCCGTTTTGCTGCCTGCTCACATGCGTCAAACAGAGAAAACGAGTGCGCGTGTCCGACGTCGTAGACGAGAGCTCGCTACCCCCAGAAACCTCGGATTCGGACGATGATGACAATGTCGCACCCGCCCACCTGGCGCCGCCCCCTCAAAGCCAATACGAGATAATGCGAGACGATGGGTTCAAGCACCTGGACAATATCGAAGAAGACGACCACGAAGCTGCCAGAAAGCTGTCCCAGAGAATGAGAAAGGTCGGGAACAATGTCGCTGCCGAGAGTGGGATTATCGAGAGCATTACATGTTTCAATTTCATGTGCCACGACAGACTTCATGTGGAGCTCGGCCCCCTTCTCAACTTCATCGTTGGAGAGAACGGTAGTGGCAAGAGTGCAGTTCTCACAGCCCTGACACTCTGTCTCGGAGGCAAAGCAAGCGATACAAATCGTGGTGGGAGCTTGAGATCGTTCGTGAAGGAAGGTCGTGACAAAGCCCGGCTGGTCGTCAAGATCAAGAACTGCGGCAGTGACGCCTACCAACCAGACCTCTACGGCGACTCGATCGTGGTTGAACGACACTTCTCGAGCACCGGTTCTAGCGGTTTCAAGATCAAGAACTCGGCCGGCGGCATTATTTCTACCAAGAAGCAGGAAGTCGACGAGATCTCCGAGTGGTATACCCTGCAAATTGGGAACCCATTGATTGTGCTATCCCAGGATAACGCCAGGCAGTTTCTCAACTCGTCATCGCCATCGCAGAAATACAAGTTCTTCGTCGCCGGAGTTCAGCTGGAACAGCTCGATAACGATTACAAGATGTCGCAGGACACGCTGGACAAGACCGAGATCCTCCGCGACGATTTAAACGAGCGAATCGGTTCCGTCAAGAAGGAGATGGAGAGTGCTAGGCGACTTGCTGAGACTGCCCAGAAGAATAATACCCTCCGCGACAAAGCCCGTCATTACCGACGCCAGCTGGCATGGAGTCAGGTCATAGAGCAGGAAACAGAATTAGAAAAGAGAGAAAAGGCCCTCGAGGAACACGACAAACGCATTGCGGAACGTCAGGAGACTTGCGCGCAAATGACAGAAGGCCTGGAATCTCTGGACCAGAAGCTGCAGGAGCACCAGCAGTCGAGAGAGCATCTCGACCAGGAGCGGGAGGGCTTCGAAGACAGAATTGCAACCGCAGAGGCTGACTATGCAAGCGCAAAGAAAGATCTGACTGACCTGAACCGGGAGGAAAGAGATGCGCACGCTCGTATGAAAAATGCGAAATCCGAGCTCAAAACTATCCAAGAAGAGATTGACAAGGAGGAGAAACGACTTGCAGAATCAACAGGTCCTGAAAGAGCACAAAAGGATTCCGAATTAGCCGACGCACTCTCCAAAGAAAGGGACTTGATAAAGAAGCAAGAACAGTTGCTCGGCGGAAAGCCCGAGGAAGAATCGAGACTTGAAAAGGCTCAAGCAGAATACGAGACTGTTTCGAGAGCCAAAGAGTTGAAACGCAAAGAAATCATTCAAGCCCAGAAAAATATTCAAGAAGTCAAGCAAAGTACTGGTTCAGCTTTAGATGGCTACGACAATAAAACACGCGACCTCGTCATGGCTATAGAGGAAGACAACTCGTTCGAGCACAAGCCGATCGGACCTATGGGTGCCCATATAAGGCTACTCGACCCTGAATGGTCTGGCATCTTGGAGAGGACATTTGGTGAAGCCTTGAACGCATTCGTGGTCCGCAGCAAACAAGACCAGCAGAAGCTTTTGAATCTCATGAAACGGATCCGGATCCCAAAACCACCGCCAATCTACATTGCTTACAGTGGCCGGATCGACACTTCGAGACAGGAGCCCGATGAAAAGTACACTACCATTTTGCGCCTCTTGGAGTTTGACAACGAACTGGTCAGAACTCAGATGATCATCAGTTTTCAAATCGAGAAGATCATCTTGATCAAAAGCCGAGTTGAGGCCGAAAAAGTCATGGTCGATGCTGATGTCCCACTACGAAATGTCAATGCCTGCATGTGTTTTCATGATGGTCAGGGGAAGCGCGGTTTTGGTCTCAGGCTTACCAACCGTAATGGCAATACTAGCACAAGCCCAGTACCACCTGCGACAGATCGCAAGAGGATGCGGACTGATGCCGGTAACCATATTCTGGTGCTCCAGGAACACATGAAACAACTGGGAACTGAAATGCGAGAGCTCGAAAGGCAACTTAAGGCCGCGTCCAACGAACTCCAGGAATCCAGAAGAGTTGAGCAAGGAAGCAGAGGCCAGCTGAAAAAACTGGAAATCGAAATCCGCAAGGTGCAGGCTGAGGTCCAGAGAGTCCAGATCGACCTGGACGCCTTTGAAGGTGTTGACGGCCGTCTTGTACAGTTGCGAGAGGATTTGACAACCAAAGAAAATGAAATCGAGGGCCTTGGCAACCAGTACGGGTCTATCAAGGTGGCGCAGTCGGATATGCAGGAGAAGGCCAAGAAGGCCAAGGAGAAACTGACGGAGGAGCAGGGAATACGGGACGAGTACCAGGGCAAAGTTGACAAAGCTGAGAAGAAGCTCAAGAGCTTTCAAGACCTGCGACGCATTGCGCTGGGAAAGAAGAATCAGGCATTTGAGAGTCTCGAAATCGACCAGGCTGAGCGGCCACGTGTGGCGGACAGAATCGAGCAGCAGCGGGAGATGGTCAGGAACTTCACGCAGTCGGCAGAACAGGTTTCTCCAACCCGTGTGCTGATCCCGGAAGGTGAGACCTTCCAGAGCATGGAACGCAAGTACGTAAAGCTGCGAGAGCAACTGGATCAGCGGGCAAAACGTCTCGGGGCTACGGATGAACAAATCTATGAGCGGTCGGCCGCAGCCACGAAGAAGTACGAGGACGCAACAAGGGAGATCAGGGAGGTGGACGAGACGATATCGACTCTGAAGCATTCAATCCGGGAACGTTTGAATCTATGGCGCCAGTTCCAGCGCCAAATCAGTGCTCGAGTCCGAATCCAGTTCACCTATCTCCTCAGCGAGCGTGGCTACCGTGGGAAAATAGAACTCAACCATAAATCGAAGAAGGTGTCGGTCAGTGTCGAGCCAGACGAGACGAAGAAGGTCGCATCTGCCCGGAGCACCAAGACCCTATCTGGAGGTGAGAAGTCTTTCTCATCCATCTGCATGCTGCTCTCCATCTGGGAAGCGATTGGGTCGCCCATTCGATGCCTGGACGAGTTCGACGTCTTCATGGACAATGTGAACCGTAGCATCAGTACCAACATGCTGGTAAGTTTGACCCCCTTCACCTCTCTTTAGCCAGAATGAGCGAGCAGGCTGACATAGTTTATATAGGTGGATGTTGCTCGCCGTGCGGTATCAAGGCAGTATATTCTCATTACCCCCAATGCGATCGAGGGTCGTGCAAGCTTGGCTGCCGATGTCAAGATTATCAGGTATTTCCGACCCGTTCCCGACGAGAGCTGGAAGAGTATCACGTTAACAATATAACCCAGACTTACGGATCCTCGGCAACGGACTCTTCCTGATATGATGGCAGAATAATGGCGTTTGTCTTTGTTTTGATTTCTTTGACGGGTATTATTGGAATCTACTTGGAGGGGAAAAAAAGGTGTGATTTGTACAAGGTAACGGCAAGCAGGGAGTTTCAGGAACGGCATTTATTTGGTACATGGGTCTTTTCCCATGTCGGGTTCATATAGCCTTGGTTGGTTTTCAAGGTGGGCGGGCGGCTATGGGAAATGCAAAACTGGCAGATGTGGGAAATCCTGTAGTGAGTAATGATACAAAGGTCTTACAATTATGCTACATATACAAAACATGGGGGCGGGGGCATGACTGTACAGCACAGCTCATCATATCATATCCGGACTCCCTTGCTCCTCAGGATGTTGATGCCGGCGTTGGCAGTGAAGCCAACCCACTGGCCGATGTTGCCCAGGGCGCCGCCGACGGACTTGACCTCGTCGAGGCGGCGGGTCAGGAACTTGCCCGTCTCGACGTAGTCGGGGGAGTGGTCGTTGGTCATGAACAGCTCGGTGGTGGTGTAGACCATGGACAGGGTGGCGCGCTTGGTGTACCACGAGGGGTCGACGGCGGTGTCGCCGGCGAGGAACCAGATCTCGTCCGAAAGGGCGGCGAGCTCCTTGATCGACTCGGGGACGTAGCTGGGCTGCGCCATGACGGCCAATGCCTTTGGGTAGGAAGACTGTTGTTAGCTATATCTGCTCCTCCTGTGTGGGTTTATCAGGGCGGAGGAGCGGTTTTAGCTCTTCTTTCTCACCTCTTGCCATCTGTGGATGATGTCCTTGTTCGCGAGGAGGCGCTCCCAGGTGAGGGCGGCGACCTTGCCTCCCACGCCGGCGGGGGCGTCGTCGCGCTCGAACAGCTGGCGGCTGCGCTCGGCGAGGGCCTGGCGCTGGGTGACGAGGTGGTACTTGATGAGGGTGAAGGGACCGTTGGTGAGGACGCTGGGGCTGATGTCGGGGAGGCCGGCGTCGCGGGCGCCGTGGGTCAGGGCGGTCTGGGTGAAGCCATGCTCGGGGACGTGTTTGTAGGCGGCGGCGAGGATTGCCGTCTCAGTGGCGCCGAAGGGGCCCGGGGGCGGCGGGTGGTCGTAGGAGTGGTAGGGGCGGCGGTAGAGGGACGAGGTGGTCGAGACAGGGACGGTACGGAGTGGTCTGATGGAAGCCCTCAAGGCTGCTCGGGCTGAGGTTGGGCAAGCCATTGAGAGGGCTGGCGAAGGGTGGTTGGAGGGGCAGTTGGACGGCGGCGTGCTGGTGGAGGGCGGGGAGAGGTGATCGGGGCCCAAGGTGCTGTCTGCCTTGGCGTGAGTGGACGGCCTATCTTATCGAGTGAGGGTGTGTGACGATGGCAGCCGTGGTTTTGCTCAACGGTAGTAGAGCCGCTTCAAAATCCCATGTAAGAAATTCTAGGTACATTTGCAGGTACCCACACAGAGCGCGATGGATTTCGGCAGGTACATGGCACTACTTGTTGGAGGGGCATCTGGGCGAGGGCACATCACTTGCCAGGTTGGTACTAGCAGGTATCTCGCAGCAGATGGACAGGTACCTTTCCTTCGGGCTGCCACTCCACCCACATGTGGGGGTGGATCTATGAGCCTCTCGCTGCGTGCTGAGAAGAGACAGACCCAACTTTGTGTAAGCGGAATGGCGAGTATTGAGGCGGGATGGAGTTTTCATATTACGCGCCTAAAGAATGGAGTGCTTACTGTGCTCGATTGGCCCAGTTGGATGTGATGTTATGCATGAGGGAACCATTGAATGGCGAAGTGCCCAGCCTTGATCACCAACGGCGTCTTCCCCGGGCGGCGTAGGCCACCTACACAGGCAGAGAGACACACCACAGCCTTGTGTTTGGGTTTTTGGTGGTGGGTGACCATTTGGTCAACTGCATGCATGTCTTGAATCCATTGACAACGCCTACATGGAGCCAAGCCCACCTGAGTTTCGGATAGCCCTCTTCCTCGGGTAGCCCGTCCACGTAGCATGCAGGCCGTCGCTGCGTCGCCGTGGCTACCTTCCTGCTTGCTCCATGTGCTGAGGAATCCCCAGACATGCGAAACCTTTGAATGGCTTCTCGACCCCTCTCTTTGCCGACGTATTAGGCAGCAGGCGCCCCAGCAAGCAAGGAGGAGACGGCTCCGTATGCCGGGCTTCCCCTCTCTCTGCCGGGTTGTAGCAACCGATCACCCACTAAGGCTCAAACAGGCGGGTTGTCTTAGAGCAATGTGCCAGTTTCCTCCATCGGGGAAGCGAAGGAGGGAAGAGGCCAATATCTGCCTGCTGTCATCAGGAATCCCTGGTGGCGTGCTTGTGCAGTCATACGTACATATGTGCTGTGAATATGCATGCATGGCTGTACATGCTCCTGGGCGTCCTATTGGCTGATGACCCTGACAAAAACCGGCTGGAGGAGAAAAGCTTGCTAATTCACTTTTTTCCAGTGCTGGTGGATGTGCTGAGTGCCGGGTGCTGATCGCTACGAGAAAACTACGGCTCTCCCTGTCAATCCAGGATCTGTACGAACGGGACGGATATTGCACCGCAAAGTGCCTGCAGCCGGCCCTTCATCGTAGAGATCAGCCTGGGCAGATTCTTCCCTGAACTGCCGGCTGCCCTACGACGCTCTGGAATTGCCGCAAAATGGAAAGCGCCGCAGTGATGATACCTGAAGCCACCGGGACAGTTGTAGCAGTAAAAGCCCTCTATCGATGGGCTAGGGTCCGCTCACCGGTCTGGATCCGGCCTGCAAGAGCATCCTTGGTTAGCAAAGCTGATTGGAGACCTGAGTGAGTGGATGCGCGCAAAGTTATGCTGTGTAACGGCAGGGTGGACAGCTGCCCACCAGTTCTTGTCTTTATGACTGGTCGTCGTCCGTTGCTGGATTGGGAGGCCAATGTACGCATTTTCTCTGCCCGTGCTTGTGGAGCTCTCGCTGGAACGCTGCTGACGAGTTGAGGATACCAGCAGACCCCTTTTCGAGTCCTGTCGTTTTCCTGGCTGGCTCGTTATCAGGAGGTTGACGTATTGATGACAACAGGATTGCACTCGGTGAGGAGTGTGATGGAGTGATGAAACAGGCGTGGCTTTTTGGCTGGCACATGTGCATGCCACATGAAGCGTGGCATAAAGTGAGACGGTTGTAGTTACCGAGCCTTGTTTCCTAATGGTCCGGATGGGAGATAGTCGCTCTGACCAAGCCTGCAGAGTGAGTTGTGGTATCGAATTAAGATGCACATTACACTCCAAGCATAGATCCTCATCGGTTAAAGTTTTTCTTTGGATTCTGGTTGCTTTCGATATATTCCTTTCATATCAGGACAATTCCTAGAGGAGGCCGAAGACTAAATAGGGCAGAGAGGAAGAAGAAGAGACGGTGGAAATTCGGCCTTCAAAAGAAGTGCCTCTCACCCAAGGGCCTACGAAACAAAACCGGGGTAACTGTGACCCAATGACGCTCCCAGAACGGATGGATTAATACTCCTAGCTGCTCCTAGTGTGTGCGTCTGTACTTGGCAGCTGTGTGATTCAAGCACGTTGGATGCATTGGTCTCGGCGACCCACCTGCAGAGCTTGCGCCACTGATAAAGGCAAGCGGCAGGTTGCTTAAACTGTTAGTCCAAGTTGGTCAGACTGTTTCTTCTCCCTGGTATTGCTCGCCGTTACCGTCGCCGTGGAGCGGCTGGCCCTCCAGCCGTTGGAACCTTCAGGTTTACAGTAGTGCTTATCATCTGGCGGGCAGATGATGCTCCGAAAGGACCAACAGAGGGCTGCCTGCCAGGTTTTCTGCGGGTTGTATTGATTAAGACGATGGAACTTGCGAAACCCCAGGCTTGGCCGACCCAGCAGGTTTATTGTGAAACAACCGAGCTGCAACCACTTATGTGGACATGAGGCCTGGTGCCGTGATTCGTGAGATGTGCATGCCACAGAGCATGTACTTGTGGATCGCCCGCGGAGCCCGCAAGGTCTCCTGGGAGATTAAGGCAAGGGTTTTCTGTCGCCCGCAGAGCTGACAATGCGTTTGATGTCAAGGACGGGCTCAGTAATATGCTCCTGGCAATACCGTGTGTGGTGTGCGGTTCCGAAGTCAAATTCTCTGGGGCTCGATGCTTTGGACCAATGCTAACACCACCCGGGGCATTTTGGGCGCGAGGCATCTGAGACCCGCGGCGATAGTAAAACACCACGCTCTGCCGTCATTGTTGGCTCAACTGGCTGGTAGTAGCAGCTGCTGACGGTTTATATCAACTTGGATGTCGGATCGGCATCCCATCCAAAAACCCACCCACCTTGCTAAGAGGTTGCAGCCCACTTTTGGGGGGGAGGGGCAGTGGGACTGCAGTACCCTTTTGTCCTGACAGGACACACAATGAGAAGTTTTGGCTGGTGATTTAAGATGTGAGGGAGCTAGTTCAGCCAGCCGCCTCTAATTGGATGCGAATTCTCGAGTTTGTGGAAATCTCCGTAACTGATGGAGCCTCCCGGCAAACGGGATTGTTGTTTAAGGTTAGATCGATTTTCAACGGCCAGCTGAAAAGGCATGCAAAGCAAGCAAGCAATGGCTGAGGCTTGGGCCGGGCCATAGTTACATGTCACTAATCCTCCGTGGCATTGAGATAAACACCCGACCGACCATTTCTGCGCGGTGCGAGAGGGTGATGGAGGGGAGGTAGACGTATATTGCCCGTATATTGCTTGCTTTTAAGCAATGCATGGAACGCTGGAGGATATCAGGTTGCAATGAAGCCACTCGCGAGAGCAGAGATGGTGTTGGGCGCTCCCGGCCGAGACACCCCTACCGCCCGGAGATGATGCTGACGGCGTGAGAGTCTGCCTTATACGCGAGAGCCTTACCTGATGGCTCCTTACCCAACTCGGCAGTCCTATGACTCTCTTGCGAGGTAGGTAAGGAGGTACTAACGCAGCTCTGCTGTTACCTAGCACCTAGTGGCTTGAGTAGCCCTGTGCGTCCGTGGTGCAATCGCTGCACTGAGATGCACCATACCACACCATCAGCACAGCAGCGCAGCAACAATGGGGGGGCAGGCCGCCGGGAAAACTGGGAGCAGCGGCAGACGGGCTACGTAAAAGGATATCCCATTCTGCATGCCAGGGAGCAGACATTGGCAGCTGCTAGCACCGGAATCGAGACTGGGAAGAGCCTGCAAAACCCTGGTCGTCGGCTTGGGGCCCAGGGATGCGGCTTTGAGGCTTCCAATCCCTATTGCGCGTGCATTCAATGTGACGACTTGTACACACGGTGCGGAGCCTGGCAATGCAGGCACTGTAGTGTGCCGCGGACCACAATGGCTGCTGCCGGTCGCGCGCTCTCGTACGAGCACGGACTTGGCTGCTGCGAGGGACTTGGGTACCTGGCCGGCGACGCTACTACTGTACCCTCAGCTGCTACGACCAAGGCCTGGCAGCAACGCGAGACAACCAACAGGGGGTGGTGGGGCCTATGGCACCCCTTTGGCACCCTCTGCCACCCTTTGCAGCCCGCAGCCTCTGCCGCTCATTCGCTGCCTGAGGTGCCCATTCCCCTCCCCCAGGCGCGACTCTGCCTCAGCGTGCGCGTCTTTTCTGCCTCTTGGTCACCTCACCTCACCACACCATCGATTCTCCGGGACCCGTCTGCACTGCACTGCACTGCGCCTGCGCTGCGACTGAGTGAGGTGACAATCTGGCCTCTGCCGTGTGCGTTCTCTTGCATTGACACGGGCTTTGCATTGCGCGCCCCTCTCCTCTCCTCTCCTCTCCTCCTATCCCATCCCGTCCCCGTCCCCAGCACCCCTCCATCCGGACGTCTGCCGCGCACCAGCAGCAAGCCCAAGCAAGCCCCGACTTGCCTGCAGGTGCCTCCCAGTCCCTCCTACGGTACCTCCCACCCAACTAAGCTGCCTGCCTCCTGCGTGCGGCATCCGTCCCGTTGCTGGTGAAATATCTGCTCGTGAGCCTTGCCCACTTTGCGCTGGCCAATCGTGGAGCTCCCTGCTGCATTGCCTGCTCACCTTGTTACTCACTGTGTTGCCTCGCCGCACTGTCGCCTGAGGTGTCTCTTCACCCAACCCCAACCAACCGACCTACCTGAGCTGTGACAGCGCGCCGCACCCATTAGCTGCTGGATACAGTCTGATCCCGATCCGACTTGACTTCTGTTTCTGGTCTGACCTTGACTGACCTGCTGTGGTTCACCTCTGTCACTCCCTTTCTGTCTGTTGTTGCGACACGACCATCCGCCTGCGTCCTTGTCCCTCACTGGACCGACTGAGATCACCAGCGCGCGCAACTGACTTGGATCCGGGGCGCGACATCATTAACTTTTTCGTATCCCGATTCCCCCACGAGGCCGATAGACACCTCCGTCGCCATGGGTACGTTCCTTTCTTCTGCTACATACATACACACTTGTCTCTCCTGTGCTCTCGCTCCTGTGGCAGCCCTGTCTTTCGCTGGCCAGCCCACCTGCTTGCTTTCCGCTTCCATCTCCCGACGTCCACCGTCGCCTGCTTCGCTCGAGCATCTTTGATTCACCTTTTTTCATGCCCTCCTCCTTTGCCCCGGCGTCACCACATCACCTCGCGTATCCCCCACGCGTCCTGTGGCTTCCTCGTCTCGGGCCTCGGTCCTCTTTCACACCTTCACCTCCTTCTCCCAGCTAGTTTGTACGACTCTTCCAGCCTGTCTGTGGTTGCATGCGGCCCTGGCTTGGCTGACTTGCTCCTCAAGCTCTTACTCACTCACCCCCCCGTCCGCCGTCAGCTCTCAGTGGCACCCGATGTTTCTCTCGCCGGCCGGCCGTCGAGATCACACACTGCACACACACAACCTACCCCAATGAGCAGCTTTCGCTTCTCCTCACTTCTCGCAACCTCTCTCGTTCCATCTCTCTTCACTCGGGAATGCGTCTTGCGTTCTTTCGCTCCCACACCTCCCGCCTCCTTCCTCGCCCAATTTAGGCAACGCCTCGATCAACAGCATTAAAGACCTTGGCGCCCTCGATGTAACCGCTCCCCCCTCCGTGCCACCCCTCCCGAGTTTCCCTCCTGCTTCGCCCTTCTCTCTAGCCTATGCCAACCCAGCCCTGGGTGTCGGAAATCTGCTCTTTTCCCCCACCTCCCCTTTTATCTGCAACTCTCCCGCTCTGATCCACACTTTGGTCGGACCTTGTTCTTATTGACTGCACCCCTCCACTACTCCCACGCCTCGAGCGCCGACTTGGCCGCACTTTACGGGCCATCCTACCACCTGGGGGCACACCTTTCGTTTTTGATTCATACCTACTCCTTGGCGGGCTTTCCCTACCTTCACATCCTCTTTTATTTTCTTCTTCTCATGCTCCCCTACTGTCGGCATATCTACTCTTTGTTCTCGGATCTAACAGTCGCCTAGCTGATACATCTGATACCTACCGACCTGTAAGTCTCTTGCATCTATTTGCTTCGTTGGCCTTTCCTTTCCGTGGGATCTGTAACTTGTCCGGCGCCGTTTCAGGACGTTGTGCGACTGTAACGTGTTGACGGAGGGGCAACTGGCTATTGTGTTGAGGAGAGAGGAATCTCTTTAAACACGCGAGGGCATTGGATCTGCGTCTTGCCGAATTGCGAAGCGATTCGGCAGGCGTGAGCGCCAGCCTTCCCTCAGAAACCCCACGTCTGGCAGGGACACACCCATGTGGATCATCAAAGACGGCAATAGGCGTTCACACAGTGTTGAGAGCTTCCAAACTAACCTCGCCTTAGCGTGAGAGATCTCGATCTCCCCGCCGTCGCTCCAGAAGTCCGGGACGGTCTCGTCGTAGATCATACTCTCCTAGGAGCAGATCAAATAGCCGAGAAGATACCCGTCGAGGCCGCGATCGCTCCCCCATGACTGGCACAGGTGCTACCGGTGGAGGATCTAGCTCTGGTTACGGCGGACAGCAGTCCAACCGATCTTACGAAGATCGTTCACGAGCTCGAGAACAAATGATGAGCAGCATTCGAGAGACCTCTCAACAAGACCGCCGGGTCTACGTCGGCAATCTTTCGTACGATGTCAAGTGGCACCACCTCAAAGACTTCATGAGACAGGGTGAGGAATTATGGCGGCAAGGGGGGATCACATTGGGCTGACGGATATTAGCGGGAGAGGTACTCTTTGCCGATGTGCTATTGCTTCCAAATGGAATGTCGAAGGTGGGCTTCATCGCGTAGTGATTTTCTTTTTCTTGGTTGGCCGTTTCTTTTTCTCCCGTTGGCCTTTTTTTCCCTTCTCGGATTTGATGGATGGTTGGGTTGACGGGTTTGGACGTTGTCCTGCGGATGACTGTAGGGATGCGGGTAAGTCGATCAATGTTCCTTGAGCGAGCTGTTCGTGGCTAACATCATCTTTGTTCAGAATTGTGGAGTACGCAACAAGGGAGCAAGCCCAGCAAGCTGTTGCCCAACTTAGCAACCAAAACCTGATGGGCCGTTTGGTCTACGTTCGAGAGGTGAGTCGCCGTGTGTATGGAACAGCGCATATCTTGGAGGTGATTGTTAAACACGATATATAGGACCGAGAGGCCGAGCCTCGCTTCATCGGGAGCTCAGGCAGCAACCGCGGCGGATTTGCTGGCGGAATGCCTGGCGGAGGCGGCGGTGCCAATGCTGGTGGTTTCAACCCAGGCTTCGGAGGCGGCCCCCCTGGTGGCAGCCGCCAAATCTATGTTGCCAATGTTCGCTCTTCTAACCCCTCCCCCCCCTTCCCCGTGTGGTCTGTTTCAATTTAGGGTGTACTGACCTTTAGTAGCTTCCGTTTAACATCGGGTGGCAGGATCTCAAGGATCTGTTCCGACAGGCTGGTAAGTCAACTACTCTACTATTGGTAGCAGTAGGAGCTTTCTCTTGATTCTGACGTCACCGTGTAGCGCGCACTGCTGGAGTCATCCGTGCCGATGTCCATATGGGCCCAGATGGTCGGCCTAAGGGTTCCGGGATTGTTGTCTTTGAAAGCCCAGACGATGCCCGAAATGCCATCACGCAATTCAACGGCTACGACTGGCAGGGTCGGGTCCTCGAAGTTAGAGAAGATCGATACGCTGGAGGAGGAGGAGGCATGGGCTTCGGCGGCGGCCGTGGTGGATTTGGTGGCGGCATGCGAGGAGGATACGGCGGTGGTTTCGGCGGCGGCGGCGGTGGCCGCGGAGGCTTTGGTGGTGGTCGTGGAGGCTTCGGGTTTGGTGGTCGTGGTGGAGGCTTTGCTGGCGGTCCTCCCTCTGGAGGGCCTGGCAACTTCGAACCTGCTGCCTCCGTTCCTCCCAACCCCTTCACTGACTATGCCACCGCCGGAACTGATCCAAGCGAGATCATTTACGTGCGAAACGTAAGTACATGCACCCTTCGCAGACATCGCTTCAAGTTGAGCAAGCCCCTGACCTGATATAATTCTAGCTGCCCTGGTCAACCAGCAACGATGATCTTGTCGAGCTTTTCACAACCATTGGCAAGGTTGAGCAAGCTGAAATCCAGTACGAACCAAGTGGCCGATCTCGTGGCACTGGTGTCGTCCGATTCGACAGCACTGAGACGGCGGAGACTGCGATTAGCAAGTTCCAGTCTTATCAGTACGGTGGACGTCCCCTCAACCTGCACTTTGTCAAGTACCTCAACCAAGGCGGAGCGGAGAACATGGACACCGATTCCCATGGAGGCTTGACCCAAGATCAGATGATGTAGGGGCCTTGAGGGGCGAATCCTAGATGGCGTTTTATTCGCAACGGCATCTTGAACATGGACTGATCTTGGTACTTTTTATCATTGATACAGGCCATCACACAACGACCACAACGTTTCTTTTGTCTGACACAGTGGCCGACTGTTTCACTTGCTGGCTACGAGTGATATGAACGGGAACGTATCTTCTCTGGCCCAAGGAACTGGCTCTGAAATAATGACTGGCAGCTGGGTGAGGAAGGAACAGCGCAACATTGTGCTTGGAACAGTTACTGCGTTTTTGATCGATTTTTATTTCCTAAAAAGTTTGAGGGATGACTGGTGTTGACTCTTTAACATCATACTTGGTGGAACCATGGATGAGTTGGCACCAGGGTTTCTATAAGACTGTACAACTTGAAAACGTCGCGTATTCGATACTTTTTTATTACATTCAGGAATGGTTTCAATTTTCCGGGACCTTTGACGCTCAATGTGACGTGTATTCCTCTTCAGAGATGCTTGCATGTGCTGTTCCGTTATCGAAGGTAAATTTGTTTAGTTGGGCAGTGAAATACTGGGTATAATGACTGCTACTTAAAGTCGTCGAGACACAAGGCAAAAACCGTGAACTTGCAAGGTAAGGACAGATTCCTCACTATCTATTCCGAGACTGAGAAGAGGGAAAGGGATGATTGCTGGACCGCAGTGTTCTTTGACGGCATACAATACAATAACATAGCTTTTTCTACCGTAGTTGTAGTAGGCCGTTACGAAAATTATTCTGCGGCAGAGGTAGACTCTGTCCTTTCTGCACTGATCAAGCTATGATAGCTGGTGGTTAATGAAGGGCATTTGGCGCTGTACCCCATTCTGGGTCATCAAAGAACTACTTTTAGTTGGAGGTGATGTTTTATGGATGGCGTGACCAAAGTCAGAACATATTCTGTTCTCTCTTTGTACAATAGCAACATTCTAGAGGAGAGCGTTCATATGTGATAATCTGTGGGGAATACAACTTTGAGAGAAGCTCTCTCGTAGCATATCGTGAAGATGCTGGCCCACTCGGTGACGCCACAGCCCGAGCTACGTAAATCATACGGGCTGGGTCCGTAGCTAACAGAGGCGAATTGCCCATTGGTTGAAGACCTGAGAGTTTTTTCGTTCCTTTTTCTTTTTTTTTTTTTTTTTTTTTTGGTTGTGGTTGGGTGCTTTGCGTGTTCCAGTCCGGTGGCACTGTTGGCGTTTGGCGATGGTCGACGGCAACTTGCGGCCCCCTCATCTAACAAAAGAACAATAATTGAAATAGACTTTGAAAATCAATTGAATTGTGAAACATCGGTACAGAGAGAGGGAATGGGCTAAAACTGTTTATGCTTGTTGGCAACCAGGCATTGTATTGGAGCTCGTGCTATGTTTCTGAGCCTGTCGCAACTCATCCTGATACTTATGCATCGAATATTATGGCAGTTTTACTCTAGACATTAATATCTTATGAAACAACAATGTTTGGCATTGATATGGCGGCCGTAAGCGCCGAATCAGATGTTTTTATTATCGGAATATGGAGTGAAGACCTGGGGCGCGGTCTATGTGTCTCTATGAGGCATTCTTCTTCTTCTTGGCCTTGAGCTTCTTCTTGTTGCGGTCTCTCGGCTTGAGCGCCGTCATGCCGGTCTTGCAGATGTCCGCATACCGCGTGTAGAACTCCTCCAGATCCTCGGGCTTGACGACCGTCGAGATCCTGACCTTGGAGTCCCGCTCCTTCTTGGACTTCCCGTTAGTAGCGCGGATCACTATTGAGTGAGGCTCCGTTGTGTTCAGGTCAGGAAAGGGCTCATCCGCCGAGGGCATAGCAGTGTCCTCGGTGTTTTTGACTGTATTTTTTTCAGGGGGTTAGAGTCCGAGAGCTGGTTGAGGGGTTGGCAGCGAAGTACATACGACGCTTTTGTGATAGGTGGATAGCGCCATGATCGCCCCCCTTGCGCTGAGAGAAGAGTTTCTCTAACTTGTCAAAGAACTAAGGATGTAGTGCGATGTGAGAATTGTGAATGCAAAGGTATGGAACGAGACTGGGGTGGATGAGATAGGATGGGGGCAGTGAGTTGACTGACCTCACTCTGGCTCAAATGCGACTTGCTGGGGGCCATCGTGGGTGTCGGGGCCCAGATATGAGCCTACAGGAGGGTGTGGAAATTATATTGGATGTGAGGTTGCAGCTTTAGCACGTTGTCCGGGGATGGCTGCCGTCGCTCAGGTTGGTCGTCGTGATGTCGTGTGTGTGGTCAAGTGAGAGTCGAAGTGGTGCCCCGCTATTTTGCTTGTTTTCACCGATCGACTTGGTGGGGCAAAAGTGAGCCGCAAGCTAAAAACTCAACTGTGCTGCAGAGTCGCTCAGCATCGAATTGGACCCATAATAATTTTTCATCTCATCTTGGGTCTGAGTTTCTCTTGGGATTGACTATCCAAGTGTTCTTGTTATTTCTCCTCTATTTTACTGTCCGAGTAATCGGCTAGAGTATACGTTCTGGACCACTGCGCTGGAAACACTCGAGAGTTGTTCAACCACTCAGACTTCATTTAATTTCACAAAAATCCGTTCCCAGGCCAGAGATGGGTGAAACCCCCAGTGCTGAAAATTAGACAGCAACCACAACAGAACGCCAGCCATGCCTTCAGGCTCGGTACCGGAGCTTCAGCAGAAGATTTTCAAGCGCATGGGAATAGATGTCCCAGAGCCAAAGCAACCGCGCAGACCTGGGCAGCCTGGGGGAAGTTTCCGAAACCAAACCTCGTCTCGCAAAGAGCAACGGAGGGCCGACAGGAACCACAAGAAATCCAATCGCTACACGAGGGCGGCGCCGGATACTGGTCGCCCTTCTCATCCCAGACCTCAGAATGGACCTAGAAGAGAGCCTGTAAGGCCAGTCTCCAGGCCTGCCCCGGAACCCGCTGCGAAGCCCCAGGGGGGTGGGATGAGGATGCTGGCAGACCTTTCGGAGGACGATGAACTTAGTGAGGGCGATTTCGAAGATGGGGATGAGGATGATGAAGAGATGGGTGACTGGGATGACGAGGACGACCAAAGTGATGATGATGTCGCCGACACCAAAGCCCGCGGGAAAGAGAAACGTGGGATTGACAAGTCAATCCCACGCGCCGTCAGGGAAAGGTTAGCTGAAGACGATGCCGCCATCGAGGAGTTCGAAAGGAAGCTGGGTATCAAAAAGGGGCGAAAGTCATTACCTAAGTCATTTGTTGAAGACGGCTTGGCGGCTTTGATGGACGACTTTGGGGAAGGTGATGTCTCTGAGGGCGACGACGATGACCGGAAAAGGAAGCGAGATTACGATGATTGGCTCGCGGAAAAGAGAAGGAAGACCGCGCCTCAGCAGTCAGGGAAGGGAAGGAAGCCAGCCAACAATGAAGACGATTCCGACTTGGGATCGAGCGAGGGCGACGAGGCGGACAGCTTTGGCGGTTTCAGCGAAGATGACGAAGGCCTTGATGACGAGGAAGATGGAGATTCTGACGATGACGAAGAAATGGGCGGGTTTAGTGACGAGGGTGACCCATTCGATGAGTCCGACGCTGGCGAGGAGCCGGAGACCAAACCTCGGCAGCGCGAAAACCCATATGTGGCGCCGACTACTGGCGCAGTCGTCGCAAAATACGTGCCACCTTCATTACGCAAAGCCCAGGGGTCCGAGGGCGAGGCTCTGGCCCGCCTTCGGAAGCAAGTCCAAGGTTTGATCAATCGATTGACGGATGCCAACATTCTGTCCATCGTGCAGTCAGCCGAGGAATTGTACCAGAATAATGCTCGAGGCGAGGTCACCGAAATGTTAACGGAATTGATCCTGGCTCAAGTTTCCAAGCCTGAAAGCCTGCCAGATCAATTCTTTGTTTTGACTGGAGGTTTCGCTGCGGCGATATACAAGATTATCGGTGCCAGCTTCGGTTCCCACCTCGTTCGCCGAGTTGTCGAGGACTTTGGTCGGCAGTACGACCATGCTAAAGCGTACGAAGGCGAAGTGGCGGCAATTCCTAAAGAAGCATCCAATCTTCTCACCTTTCTATCCCAGTTGTACGTCTTTGAGGTGGTCACTTGCAAAATTGTTTTCGACTACATGGAGAGACTGTTGAGCGACCTTGGCGAGCTGAACGTGGAACTCCTGCTTCGCATATGCCGGATGGGTGGCAGGCTGCTTCGCCGAGACGACCCACACGCTCTCAAGCAGGTTTCTAGCCTCCTGGGCAAGGAGGTGACCAAGGTCGGGCAGACGAATGTCTCTGTTCGAACCAAGTTCATGATCGAGACCATCAACGACTTGAAGAACAGCAAGCCAAAAGCCAAGGGTCTTGATTCTGCCGTCGTGTCCGAACATGTACTACGAATGAGGAAGCGTCTGGGAGAGTTGAAATCGCAGTCGCGAAGGCTCGATGGACTCTCGCCTATGGGTATAAGCCTTCAGGATGTTGAGAATGCCGATACTCTGGGTAAATGGTGGCTTGTCGGAGCCAGTGTTCCAGTCAAGCCTGAAGATGCTAAGGGGGCAAAAGGGAACGGTGTTGCGAAGAGCGCCGGTAAGAACTACGAATCTGATGAAGAGGATCTGGAGTTTATCCTCCCCGACTATCCCAAGAAGGCCAGGGCACAAGGCCTGAGCACACCAGGACAGATCGCCATATTCACAGCCCTGCTATCTGCCGTGGATGCGGAGCAAGGGTACCACCAGTACGTGACTCTCAAGCTCAAGAAAGATGAGCAGCTGGAAATTGCCCGCGTACTGGTGCAGTGTGTCGGGAGCGAGCCACAGTACAACCCGTACTATGCACTTGTGGCCAAGCAGGCTGTTAGTAACAGCAAGGTGCGGTTTGCCTTCCAGAACAGGCTCTGGCAGATCTTCCGCGGGCTTGGGGAGTCTCTTTTTGGAGAGGAGGCGGACGATGATGATACTGCAGACACGGACAGGATGAAGGACCCCCAGCGGATGAAGAATGTTGCTCAGTTCTACGCGTCACTCATCACGGATGGCTCACTGAATATCAGTATTCTGAAGCCCCTGGACCTGCCCCGACTTGGTTCATCATGCTCTACGTTTCTGGAATGGCTTATGATCTATCTACTCAAGGAATGCAAGTCAAAGAACAGTGAGAAGGAGGACGCTCGGGTTGCCAAGGTGTTTGGGGCTGGCAGGGATCTACCGGGTCTCTCGGCCGGTATTGGCTGGTTCCTTCGCAAGAGGGTGCGCAAGTCTAAACTAATCAGCAGCAAGGAGTTAAAGAAGCTGGAGGCCGTGAGAGAGAAGGCCGAAGGAGCGGCCCAAGCTATCAGGATGGATGAATAAGCCTGGGGGAGGAGTTTAAGGCATCCGCCACCGTACGTTGCTATTACTAGACGGCGTGGCGTTGGTTCGTCCGGCTGGTTGGGTAAGAGACATATAGTTTAATCAGCCACATTTCTATCCGTTTCGATACACGTGCTGCTGCAAGATATTGCGTGTTTGTTCGTTGCTTGGTATCTAATCGAGCGACTGTGGACAACGCCGAGCTTTCACTGTGTTTTTAAAGCTTAAAAGCATTTCTATTAATGCTATCTCCTCTAACCCTTCCTCTCTTCGAGTCAGTGCCACCGACCGCCCTATTTGTTCTTCTGGATAGCTGCACTAGATTGTAGTGATCTAGCCTTGCGCACCAAGATTCGCGCTTGGTGTGTTGAAGTGTGTGGATTGGCATGATACAAGACAAGTGTACAAAGGAAGCCAGGTGAAAGAGACAGCTTTGATAGTCATTCGACGAGCCGCTGTCCGGACGGCAAGTGAGTCATCCGTACGAAGGTTCATAGAATTTTCCTGCCGTATGACTACATCTTGGGCGGACTAGGAAAGGCTATCCATTGATATTTTGAAGCTATCGTATTCGTTGTATTATGTTGTCGGCCCTGGCAGCTTTATTGTTGTTAAACTCTATTCTCTTTCTCGTCCGTGGACAACGCCGAAACTCGCCGTGAGCAAAAGCCGTCTTGGCACCTCGCCCTGCGATAGTCGGCGTAATGTGTAGCGCTGGTTCGGTTATCCAGGGCGCAATTAGGCCGAAGTAGTCCATGTTGGGGCGGCAGGAAACGGGATAGCAGTGGTGGGTGCTGCGACCGGCGAATGGGGAGGCCGTGGAAGCCGGGCGGTGGAGAGCTGGATTGCCGAGAGGCACTGCGGGTCCGAAACGGCCAACCTATTGGTCAGCAGCCCAGAAGCAGGTCCCAGAAGCTCTGTTCGACCTGCTGCACATTCTAAGTGCGCCACCCACTATGTAGATTCGCTATGTGGCTGGATTCGCTGTAAATCGCCGCCTCAGGGCAGGGAGTATGCTTTCGCCCGGAAAGACAGGGAGAGTATAAGTTATATAATCTCGTATTTACTTTCTTATACTTTTAGCAGTAGCTCGGCCTGCCAACTTACACAGGTACTTTACTCATTTAATGTGGTGACCTACATAGATACCTTACATATGTATCTTGCCTGCTTGCCTATAAATCAGCTGTGCATCCCTCTATCCCTCCAGCACAATTGACCCACTAAAATAGCTGCACATCACAACAGCCAGTTGCTGGAAGCCCGCAAAAGTTCGAACCCATCTCAACCTCTCGCACTCCTCCACCAAGAAAACCCAATCCCCATCTCCCCCCCTCTCCCTGCTTCGCATTCTGGCGTCTTCGGTGCCATATTGCTCAATCTCCTCCGCCAATATGCTCGCCAGCCGTTTAATTCCCAGATACACCGTCCGACCGGTTGTCGCTCGGTCTACGTGAGTCCGCCTCCTTGAATCTCCCTCGTTGCCACGATGCCCTCCACTCGCTGGACTAGCTCCCGACTGACAATCCGTCTCCTGCAGCCTCCCCAAGGTCGTTTCCGCCCCTGCTCTGTCGCAATGGAGCCGTGCCTATTCTGCCTCGTCAGGTGTGTTGCTGCCCCCCATTGAGTCGCATATAGTGAGCGGCATTTCGTGTACTGACGTCTGTCTCTTCCATCCATAGACGAGAAGGATCTTGTCATCATCGGTGGTGGTGTCGCCGGTTACGTCGCTGCCATCAAGGCTGGTCAGGAAGGCCTGAATGTGAGTTGATCCAGTCCTCCTGGGGACGAGGAGTTCTCCCCGGTCATCGGTAGCCTCTAACAACATCTGTATAGGTCGCCTGTATCGAGAAACGAGGCGTCCTCGGAGGAACCTGCCTCAACGTCGGCTGCATTCCCTCCAAGTCTCTCCTCAACAACTCCCACCTGTACCACCAGATTCTCCACGACACAAAGAACCGCGGTATCGAGGTCGGCGACGTAAAACTGAACCTGGCCAACCTCATGAAGGCCAAGGAGACGTCCGTTAACGGCCTCACCAAGGGTATCGAGTTCTTGTTCAAGAAGAACGGTGTTGAGTACATCAAGGGTGAGGGCAGCTTCGTCAACGAGCACGAGATCAAGGTTGCCCTCAACGACGGTGGCGAGACCAGCGTCAAGGCCAAGAACATTCTGATTGCGACAGGTTCCGAAGCTACCCCCTTCCCCGGCCTTGAGATTGACGAGAAGCGCGTCATCACCAGCACCGGTGCTCTCTCCCTCGAGAAGATCCCCGAGTCTATGCTCGTCATTGGTGGTGGTATCATCGGTCTGGAGATGGCCTCCGTCTGGTCCCGTCTCGGCACCAAGGTCACCGTCGTCGAGTTCCTCGGACAGATCGGTGGTCCTGGTATGGACACCGAGGTCTCCAAGACCATCCAGAAGCTCCTGAAGAAGCAGGGACTTGAATTCAAGCTTAACACCAAGGTCCTCAGCGGTGACGCTTCTGGCGAGAAGGTCCAGCTCAGCGTTGACTCTGTCAAGGGTGGCAAGGAAGAGACTGTACGTATATATCGCTTTTTCCCAGGACTTCCCAGGAAGTGATGAGTTGATAGAAGCTAACCTCCTTCACTCTTTAGCTCGACGCCGAGACCGTCCTCGTCGCTATCGGCCGCCGACCTTACACCGCTGGCCTCGGCCTTGAGAACATTGGTCTTGAGACCGATGAGCGCGGCCGTGTCATTATTGACTCCGAATACCGCACCAAGCACCCTCACATCCGCTCCGTCGGTGACGTGACTTTCGGTCCTATGCTGGCCCACAAGGCTGAGGAGGAGGCTGTCGCTGCCATCGAGCACATCAAGAAGGGCCACGGCCACGTCAACTATGCCGCCATTCCCTCCGTCATGTACACCCACCCCGAGGTTGCCTGGGTTGGCCAGAGCGAGCAGGACCTCAAGAACCAGAACATCCCCTACCGGGTTGGAACCTTCCCTTTCAGCGCAAACTCCCGTGCCAAGACCAACCTTGACACTGATGGCCTGGTTAAGATGCTTGCTGACCCCGAGACTGACCGTCTCCTCGGTGTCCACATCGTCGGCCCCAACGCTGGTGAGATGATTGCTGAGGGTACCCTGGCTCTGGAGTATGGCGCCTCAAGCGAGGACATTGCCCGCACATGCCACGCTCACCCTACGCTGGCAGAGGCTTTCAAGGAGGCTGCCATGGCCACCCACGGCAAGGCCATCCACTTTTAAATGGTTACATGACATTTTTTAGACACAAGCTTACGGACTCTGTAAAATAGTATAATTGTTATCCTGGCATGTGAAATGGTAGATTCGCACAAAACAATACCGATCTGTTTTTCGCAAATATTGAGCATCGTGTTTTAACATACCGGATGAACCCGAATGATATTCTGTCTCGATAACGCCCCAAGCTTTTGCTCCACAGATGAGGAATTGCCCTAATTTGGGAGAGATTCATTGTTCTCCGATGCATTTGATCTTGTCACCTGTCTCTCTCACCCTACTCCCCGTTGTTCGGCCCAGCGGGTTTCCAGATGCTGCTTCATGTTGTCTGCGCGAGTAAACTTCTTCTGGCAGCCTGGGAAGGTGCATTGAACGGCCTTTTCCGCAGTGTGGATCTTATAGTGTCGAGAGGCATGTCCGGAAGTTGTGAATGTTTTCGTACAGCCATGACTGTCGCGGTAGCGGCATGGATATCGCTTCCCGGGTCTTTCTGTAGGCGTAACGGAAGATTACATCGTCGTCGGCACACGAGGGTGCTTTGCCCGAATCAGCGTACACCGGTCGCTACAGGATATTGTAGATTTAACGGGATATTGTAGATTTTCCCATTCCTGCCTTGCCATTGATCCAGAATGTCGACTCTGATTTCGAGTCATCTGTCTGCGCTGATATTTGCTGAAGTAGGTTGGTCTACTCTGGTGATGGGTAGACATGTCGCAGGGTACACCGGTCGCTTGGGTATGGGATCTCGGCCAGTGTGCCTTGTTGATAGAAGCCGTTTCCCTCCCCGTCCCAGTTTAGCAAGTAGATCGGCTTGCAGCGCCTGCTCACCTGCTGTGTAATCCTTCGAGATCGTGGGTATAACTGGAAATTCCTTCGCCCGTTGCTTCTGGGGCTCTTGTTGGTAGCCCTTTCGTCGAGGTTGAGATCTTCTCACTCTATCGGTTACCCGACTACTAGCATGCATTTGAGACGGATGTAAACAACCAAGTAAGAGTGGTTTGATTCCTGGCGGCGGATTGATTGTTATCAGCGCAGCAGTATCGTTTGCACTTATGGATGACTTTTTGAATTGCGAGCTGTATAGTTTGGGCTGATCCGTCTCTTGCTCGTTGAACTTCTTCATCTCATCTTCAGTGAAGGAACTCTGGGATACGGGTGTTGGGTCGACTTGTCTTTGGATGGCCTGGAGATGGGGGGGCAGGCAGGTATCATCCTGGGTGTGGCGCGCCCAGCTCTCTGGGTCAGGGAATTCCGCAAAGTAATCTGGACAATAATAATCGCTCTTGATGTGGACTCTCTTGAGGTGACTCTTTGACGTCTGCCACTCGGTTGAACCCATTTTTGTAGTGGACAGTACTGAAGTATTGGGGGAGGTTGGCCTGCGCTGTGGCCTCTCTGGCCATCGCTTCGGCCTGGGTGTGGCTTAGCGCATGGACGACCTCTTTTTGGGGCAGGTGTCTTTGGTTGGGTCACAGGAAATTTTGAAGTTTCGCCTTTAGTTTTTTTGTGGTATGAGCAGCAGGACCGTGTACGTGAATGAACTCTGGAACTCCCGCCGTGGAGCGTCTACCACGGAGACTTGCAGGAGGTATGAAGCTGGCCTGCCTAAGGTCGGGGGCAATATTATCACACAACTTGGCGGTTGAGGCTTGAAGCTGTGCTGGGTCTGGTTTCCCTGCGTCGGGATAGACATCTGATTGTGTTGTGGGACTTTGGGCCTGTGCTTGACGGCCGTCTCCAGAGAGCCGTTGTAATTCTCCCTGGCGCTCCCTCCGGCGGAATCTCGTTGGAGCTCCCTGCCCAGGCGATTGCCCTTTAGTTATTATTGCCATGAAGGCCGAAGGAACTTGACATTAGGTAGTCTGTGAACATTAAGCCGGTGGTCGAGAGGCTTGAAACGGCCAAATTGCGCCGCCATGGTTTGATGAAGTACACAGTCATCCTCGCAAAGCCCTCTGCTACGTCACCATCATGCATGCGATCTTGAAGAATTTATCTTTCCGTCTATTCATGGCATGGTATAGATTAAAGACAAATACCAAGATAGTTGCATATCAGTCTGGTTTCTGAATGTTTTTTTTTTCCCCATATCTTCTTGGGGTGGCACCGACTGCGCTTAACATCTGAGGAATTAGGGATTAACATTATTGGCCAACAGGTCAACAACGGGGCTGATCTAAGGCATAATCATGCCTCAATGTACAGAAGCCCAAGCCAAAGGGAGGCTTATCCTACAGTCAGCCAACCAAGCTCCGAATGCAAGCATATCTGCCCGCAAAGGCTACTCGGGGCCAATCAGCATGCAACACGTCCTCTGGCTGTGGCGGTGCCCTCAACCGCTTTAGAGTTATATCACAAGACTGATGGAATATGATAGCAAAGGGGAGTGCTGAATAAAATGGGTAACCTAGGCAGAAGCTAGTTATTTCAGGCAACAAAGTATTCAAGAACAAACTATCGAAAGAGTTTAGCAGCTTCTTCATATCGCGAGTCGTTGCTTTCAATTTGTATTGGTATTTGAAGGCATAGATGTAAAATGGCCCTATAGAATGGCGTCGAATTACATGAAGTTGCTGGGTGAATTGAGAAGGCAGTCGGAGTCCCGACCCAGTCACCATGAGGCCTACAAATCTGCAGCAGTTATTTCTATCGAACAACTTGGGAATGCCTATCATGTGGCTGTCATTGATTTTTCTAATAAGTTAAACCGTAAGTGTTTTCCTTCTATGATGAACCTGTTTTCTGACGACCTAGATTGAAGAAATAAAAATTCGTTCGAGATACTTCGAACGGGAAGATATACCTATTCCCGATGAGTCTCTTTTATGGAAGATCCCTGGATTCTGCTCGCGGCATCAATGTTTTGTAGATGCAGAGTTCTTAAGGAAACAGATCAAATGTTTCCGAACCCTTCCTCTGGACCCAGTACAAACATATAGAGACGATCTTTGGAATCATCCAGTGCTTCCTACATGGTTAAACTCCAAGGATTCTAGGCTACTTGTTTTACAGGGTAGTTATGAGGCGATCGGGAGACTGTGCTTGTTTGCTGCAGAGTTAGGAGACAAGATCGAGGAGAGAAAAAGACCATTGGTCTATATGCCTTACAAACCAATTCTGCCTACCAGCTGCCGCATACCATTCCCACTGGACATGACAGAAGTACTCAGACATATTGCTATCCAGGCTTTGCATGGAAGCATATCTCGACCCTCGGCCAGGTTTGTCGCTGAATTGGTGGGAGGTTTTACCACAGCATCGACCTGTGCTGATTGGTTCAAGATCCTGGAAACGATATGCTGTAAACTTCCCGAACTCTACATCATTGTTGACCTTGGTTTTCACGCTACCGAGGAGCATGAGTTGCAAAACTGGCTCCCTGCTTTCCAGGACCTATTGGGAAAAGTTGAGACTGTTTCTCCACACACTATCATACGGGTGATGATAGTCTCTTGTCGTGCTTTGAAAGTACCGCAAACTTCGAAATACGTATCCATCATAAGAGTCACAACTTTAAACATGCACCCAGATCTTATGCGCACGAGAAACTCTAATCAATCAGATATCCCACCAAATATATGGACGGAGCCGACGGCTTCAGCATCTTTCGTGGAGGAGAAAGCCTCCTCTCTTGGGACAAGTCCTACATACCAGGAAGAGGCTATGAATCTCATTAAGGCCTTCGACTTAGCATTTAATCTCAAAAGTCGAGGCCAAGCCGCGACTCAAGGACGGCAGCCAAGACATGAGACTGAGGGGCATTTTGAACCTGGGGCGTCTGATCATGATCTTCACCCAGCTTTCGCTCAAAAATGTCAACGAAAGGATGATGCAAATAGTGGCTCCAAGTCGGATTTTGGGTTCACAATTTCGATACAGGAGCAAAACCCCGGTAAAGTCACTCAAAGGGCACAAAATGAAACAAGTAACACTTGTAGGACCAAAAACTTCGCCCCTGCCGATGTTAATGGCTTCAAAGTAGCCATATACTGCGCGCTTCCTCTGGAAGCGGACGCGATGATATCTCTCTTCGATACGATCTGGGATAAGGAAAGATATCCGAGAACCCATGTGGATAAGAATTCATATACATTTGGAGCTGTTGGTGGTCAAAATGTTGTCCTGGTACATCTGGCGAGCATGGGGAAGAACTCGGCCGCGATTGCAGCCTCCGGCTGCTGCTCTAGTTTTCCTTGCATCGAACTATCTCTTGTCGTAGGTATCTGCGGCGGTGTGCCGTTTGGGGCTGGAGGTAGTATAGAGCGTGTCCTAGGCGATGTCGTCATAAGCGAAGGCTTGGTCCAGCTCGATCTGGGCCGACGATATCCTGATCGCTTTGCTAGGAAACGAACTCTTCAAGAGAACTTATCACGGCCTTGTGTCCAACTGAGAGGCTTTCTCGCGATGCTGAAAAGCTCTCGGAAACTCTGTTCATTAACAGAGAAGACAAACCGGCACCTTGGGGATCTTCGTTCACGAACAGATGCCTTGCGTGACTTTATTTATGAGTATCCTGGGGTTAGAAGAGACGTGTTGTTTCCGGCTTCATATTTGCACAAGCATAAGACTTCGGCTCTATGCCCCTCGTGGGAACGCACCTGTGGGATAGAGGACGGGATCTGCAGGGAAGCGGAAACTTTGACCTGCGAAGACCTGGGTTGCGAAAGTCAGTGGTTTATTCCTCGAAAGCGATTGGCCCTGCACAACTCAGAAGAATCACAGACCTCTCAGGGAGAAATTGGGTTGAATTTTGGCACCATAATTCATTTTGGAAATGTTGGGTCGGGAGACACGGTCATGAAATCTGGCGAAGAGCGTGAACGCATCGCCCGAGATGAAGAGATCATAGCCTTTGAAATGGAGGGAATAGGGCCATGGGAATATGGGCCTTGCCTCATTATCAAAGGTATCTGTGACTATGCCGACAGTCACAAATCTAAAATTTGGCAAAATTATGCCGCAGCAACCGCGGCAGCTTGTACAAAAGCCCTTTTGGAACAGTGGGATGCGCCTAGCTCTCTTTAACGTGTTTTGGGGGATAATCGTATACTGCTGACCATTTCTATTTCTGACAACAATCTGTTCCCTACTCTAATGCCGTACAAATACGACGAAATGACCGGAGCATAAGGCTCTCACCTCTCTCTTTTCCCTCTCTGAATGTCGTCTTCGGAGAAACCGTGATGAACCTCCTTCAGATATTCATCAAATTTCTCAGCCTCCTTCATTACAATCTCCAAATGAGAATAGTCCAGACGCTGTTCACGATATGTAGCAAGTTGCCTGGCCGTAGACAGCGCGTTTCGAATTTCCCTTCCGTTCAAGTTCGCACAAGCGAGCGTATCCAGATGACTAGTCAAGTCTTGAAGGTTGATTCCATACCCACCTCTTCCCGGCTTCTTGGAGGATGCTGATTCGATTTCGAGTGCGTCCTGACTTTCATGCAGATGATGAATAAAGTTTTTCCAGATCTGGTATCTCTGGTTTTGGTCGAGATTGCTGTAGTGCAAGCTTAGCTGAATGCGAGACTTGAATGCTTCGTCGAATATTCCCACTCGGTTGCTCGTTAGAATCAATATACCTTCCCATGGTTGTTAGTTTCGAGTGCTAATGATGACACTTGGATGACATACCGTCGTAGTACTCAAGAACTCGAAGAAATACTGGTGGATCATCAGAATTGTTCGAACTAATACTTTCAAGACATGCAACGAACCAGAGACCAGAGAATTTCGCTCAAGATTCAAGATTGACCTTTGCTCTAGAAAGACATCCGCTTCGTCGAGAAGCACAACTATACTTTCAGCATCAGCTTTGGTACTTTCGGGCTGTTGAGAGAAGGATGTAATACCTACCACATCCCCAAGTGGCCCCAAGAAGCAAGACACTGTCTAAATACTAGCTGATGTTAGTATTAGATACAAAAAGAATAGGTGCATGCTGGGAGAGAAACCTGCTCTACATCCTCCGCTTTTGTTCCGATATCGCCACAAGTAACTCTATAGAGTGGTCTTTTAGCAATTTCAGCGACACTGATCAAATTAGCTACATTTCAAGTAAATCTGCTTGCGTAGAGTGATGACCTTTCTGCTGTGAGTGTTTTACCGGTTCCCGGGCCACTATCCTAGTTTGTGAGCTGTGAAGTGTTTGTTGGATCACCAAAGCCTTACCCATGAAGCAATATGAACAATCCATTTCCTTTTCCCTGAATAAGGTCTGCTTTTGACTGAATACCAAGTTGATTGGTGACTACAGCTTTGATAAGCTCCTTGGTCTCTTGATTGATGACAAGGTAGTCGAACGCTTTGGTGTTCCAGCGCACATCAGTCAGATGATGTACCTCGAGCGTCACTATGAAGTGTTAGTTAGCACATCTCGATATCAAGGCAAGAGTATTGCTTTAAACGTGCCCCATGCTTTCCTCTGCATATTGTACCCGACAATAGTAGCCGGGAGACACATGTAAAAGCTGTCGCCTAGGTCAGGACAGTCGTGTTCCATGTCTAGATCGTCAAGTACATCTTGATCTGAGGCCTCTGACGGCTTATTTGCCTCCGGGTACATGCGCTTATAAGTCTCCATGTCCACCATAAAGCGTGACTCTTCCTATTATTTGAATTAATCGGATTGTCAAATGATGGATTTCGATGTCTCCTACCGGAGTCTGCGTTCCCTCTATACTAGTGACCTGAGAAGAGACGTAGTGTCGGTGACGGCATTTCCACACCATTTCCCCCCGTTTTCGAATTGCCTCTACAACCTCCTCCAGGGCGAAGCGCAGAGGGTAGAACTCGAGTTCCCTAATCCCAATCTTCTGGGTCGTCGAAGGTAAAACTGGAAAGGGAGAAATAGCTCTCGACTCTATAAAACTTCCCATCAAAAGACCATGAGCTGACCCGGATCCGCGTGCCCGCTTTGCCATTGTTCGATTTTGTCTCGAGGACTTGGAGGCCTCGAAATTTTGAAACATCTTTGTCGTGTTTCTTGGAGATTATAATTTGCCCAGGTACCTAGGTGAAACCTTGAGGTCGTGAAGAATTGTGTTGATGGACACTAAGTACTTACATAGAGGTAGGGAAGATATCGTGCTGTAATTTGATTCTGAGACATCATATCGTCTACTAAGTTCCATTCATCCAACATCCTACTTATAATATAGTCTCTGAGTATGAGTACAGGGGAGACTGGGCCTTCGCTGGTCATATCGATGATATCGCTAATCTCTTGACGGTGGTGGAACCACCACAGGTAGGGATACGCAGCATCCTCAAGTTCATGCTCACTCTCAATGGCAGATTCATCGGCACTGGAAGAATTTGACGACGGGATGGCTTCATCCACATCCGTCATCTGAAGATCCTGAGACTTAGGGAGCGGAATATTCGTTGACACGAGTGTAAGAACGTCGCTAAATGCCCGCTTCATCTCTTCGGAGACAAGCTTGATCGACTCACCCTTCAACAAGGGAGATGCATCACTGGTCGGACGCTGCCCCTGGTCATAGTCATGTTGAAAACTAGAGTTGACGTGACCACAGCATTCAAAATCCTTGTACACGATCATGGCAATATCTTTGTTCCTCTCCAGGTATAGTTCCAAGTTCTTTATGGTAGCCCGGCCGAACAGATGAGTTCCTTGTTGTACAGTTTCATCGCCGCTGCAGAGTTCCTCGTAGAGCCTTGTTTTGCCTCCGGACTTCAGGCATCGAAGTCTGTAGAATTTGATGGCGGGGGCCTATATAAGGATCACGAGGGTCGGTTCCCGGCAGGCGCGCCTCTTTCAGGTCGACGAATGCGGTTTCTAGCTCTTCTAGAAGCTCATCATCAGTGATGGAATTTTCTGTGCCCAGAAAGCGACATAATTGAGCCCTCCAGTCGATGGTGGTGATGGGATTTTGTCGAGTTCGTGTCTCAGCATACTGGGAGTGAGGTGCTTCATCATGTTTTAGCATGTGCTCAAAAAACCAAATAGGAGCGCTCTACTAGCTAGTCTCACCAAAGGCATCTTCACTATTCTCGCGAGCGTGGTCTTCATGGTCACTGTGTCTGCGACGCTTGGCCTGCCGCTCTGGCTGGCTGCCCTGAGGGCTAGAGGAAGGACGGCCAGTGTGTAGCCTTGATCTTTTCTCCATGTTCAGAAGCCGTATATAAAGGCTCGGAGATAACCCTAAGAGATTCTTGAAAAATGCGACATAAGTTATTAAGATCAGGCTTATTGGGCTGCGGCTGATACCCCCTCCCAATGAGCGTCCCACGTATTTATGCACTTTCGGATGATCAATTTCCTAAGGGCCGAGGCCACCTTGTGAAAGGCCGCCTTGATTGGATATTCTGTACAACATGCTGCAGCCCTCATTGCTGCACATTGCTGCATACATTAATTATAGAGGGGGGAACTTCAAGATTGGAGGTGACTTTCATGTTGAGCGACTACAGCCCTTACCCCACTGTCAGGTGCTGGTTACCTGATTGCTATTTATTTATTTTATTCGTCGAAGAATGGCATGAGATGTTTGGAGGACTCTTATTAAAATATAATTTTGTATGCATTAGGCTTGGTGAGATGGTCGGTAGGCTCTCAAGTGGTTGACAGAAGAAACGAGACATTGAGTGGATGAGCAACTACATGAGGTAGAGCATAACTCACAATGACTAGAAAAAACTGATAATAAAAATTATATGGTTCTATGATATAGAGTCTATTATCTGGATCTTAATTTATCATAAAAAATTACTTAGCATACCTCTCCAGGAGTGTAGCAAGAACAGGCCCCGGTGTCTCATTTCTTATGTCACCCGGCTGGCTCTCTACTAGACGACATCAATGGTGACGATAGCAGATGCAAGCTTTCCCTCATCGTCGTAAATTTTAATCCAATATACGGCTGCTTTGGCCACGATCACATCTGGGATCAGGGATTTTCTGTGTATGGTCGCCGGCAAGGAATTGTCATGTTCGCACTGCATGATGCGCTGTCGGACCTTTACTCAAGTGGCTGCCACAAAACAGGGACTGTAAAGTCACCTCGACAGAATTATTATGGCAGCCAGTTGTATAATAATTCTTCCTACTGTGTAAAAATATGTAATACTTTCTACTAGTGACTTAGAAATATTACTATCATAGACTATTCTCTATCAAATTCGTGTCCCCATGGGTAGTTGAGAGGGAAACACCTTTGTAGTCCCTGTTATTCTGACGCGCACTTGCCTTTACTGAGTTGATGAGACCATTTGGGTCGAGATTAACATTTGGACGAGGGTTGAGCTGCAAAGGAAGTCACTCTAAACGGAGTAGGGGAATTAATTGCAAGGTCATTCACAGATGCAAGACTTTTGTGGGTGTGGGTTGAGGTGCACACATGACATGAGCTGCTCAGCTGAGCAGATGATGAACCTGGTAGCGGCTCTGAAGCCAAATTGGTTAGTATCATCTGCACTTTGCTACGGCGGGATGTTAAAGATACTAGGACAACCTAGCCCGTCGACTTATTCAGTAGATAAGTAGGTGACAAAGAAATGAGATGCCAAACTAAAGAGTGGTTGTAAGCAGACGACTGTTTGCGATGGTTAGAATGATATGGCAAGATAAACCGGTCGCTAAGGTGAAAATGAGCAGGAGAACGTTTGGGTGTCTCAAACTTAATGTCACCCGGTTGGCAGATGGTAAAGTGTCTGAGAGCGACCGTTTGCGGTGCTGGCTGATTCATTAATGTTTCATGCAAGATTTCGTCATTCCGCTTCTCTAACGAGACTACTGCTCTATGTTGGAAACAGCAGACGTCTTCATGTATTCAAAGGTGAGCAACCAATGAATAGATGACCATAGTGTATTGGCAATCACACACTTCCTCTAATCTATACACTTAATCCTGTCGCTTATTTCATTTCATCGCAGTGCAGCTTTGGGCGTGATCTCGCTGATCTCTGGCGGACTCAAGCAACCCGAAAGTTAAAGCTTGTGACTTCTTGACCCCAGTACATATATCGGGCAAGTGGCGGCAGTCAACCGAGCACAAATGGCAGGCTTGCGTGTCTTAAGACCGAGAAGCCTTTCGTGTGAGCTGGTCACTGCGTGGAATAACCCAAAAGGAGAGGCATTTGAAGTGAATTTTGTTGCTAGAGCTAGGTTTGTTTAAATAGCGAGGCAAGTACTAAGGACCTGCTCGATGGTGCCCACCTGCCATCTTCGCATGTACCTTTACTACTACCTTGGTTGAACCACCACGTCATTGCTCCATTCCATGCCACTGCCATCACTATCAGCCAGGCATCGCGACAAGGCGTTTTCATCAGACAGCTTAATCTAGTTCTCGGCCCAGGCGCAAGCGTCAAGCAACTCTGGCTTTGTTATTCTCAGCTTCAATCCCTCATGCAGGGTACATGAAAGGCAGTGCACACACGGGCCTCTGACAGAACGGTACCACCGCTGGAGGTACCTGCCCCTACTGCCTACACCCACTGCCTACCTTGGTTTAGGTCACCACCTGCCACAGGCTGCCAGCACCCAACCAGCGCCTCATCAACACTGGCTGCATCATCATTATCACCACCATCATCACCTCCTCCCGCCAACGGATTCCAGTCACTGTCCTCATCACAACCTTGCCTCTGAAGCTGGCGCCTCGGAACAGCCCCTCTGCCATCGCCTGGACAGCATGGTCTAGCAGCGACCATGGATACCCACATCCAGCGCGCTTTGAATGACAAGTTCTACGATAAGCGAAAGATCGGAGCTCTCGAGTACGTTTCACCAAGCCCGGCCTGCCTGCCCAAGGTAGCCAGGCACTTTTTTGCCTGCAGGTCCCATCTTATCTTGCAGCTGCATGGCACCTGTTCGCTCTCTCTGCTACCCCTATCTTGCCCTTCCGCATGTCACATCTTGCTCAAGCTTGCTATCGCATTCCGTGATACCCTCCTTTATTCAACAAGTGATCTGGGTCTTCGGCCGTTGTTGCCACCCAACCTTCCCCGCCTCCAGTTGCTCTCAAAATATCTTCTTGTGCTGCCATCCTCTAATACCTTTTCTGTAGGCTCGAGAGAATCATTCGCGATCTGGTTGTAACAAAGGATTACCAGAAGGTTTACGATATTCTTGATCAGCTATGCGACGACTATGCCTATGCTGTTCATCAGCCGCACGCCAGGAATGGCGGCTTAATTGGTTTGGCAGCTGCAGCCATTGCATTAGGACCTGTGAGCCGGACCCCAAGTCGTCATCGGTTGCGCGTGGTGCATCTCTGTTCAACTCGCACTAACATCTTTACCAGGAGCTGCCTCGTTATTTGGCCAGGATTGTCCCTCCAGTGCTTGCCTGTTTCACCGATCAGGATGCTAGGGTTCGCTACTATGCCTGCGAGGCCATGTACAATATTGCCAAGGTTGCCAAAGGTGAGATCTTGGTATATTTTAATAGCATATTCGATCAACTTTGTAAGGTATGTGTAGCCCTCCGTCTTCTATCATGTCATTTCTTTACAGACATACCGTTATCGCTGTTCTTCAATCCTCTTGTGTTGGTGAATCATTGCTCACACATGTCGTTTATCAACAGCTTGGCGCAGACTCGGAGCTGTCAGTCAAGAACGGTGCAGAGCTTCTGGACCGCCTCATCAAGGATATCGTCTCCGAAGCTGCCGCATCGTACATCTCAGTTCTTGAAGCTGCACCGGAATTCCAGGGCGACGACAAGGATCAGATAGATGACAGTGAACAACTTCTACCTACCGCCTTCTCACTCCCAAGGTTCATTCCACTTTTGAAGGATAGGATTTGGGTTATTAATCCCTTTACTCGAAACTTCCTCGTCGGTTGGCTTACTCTCCTGGATTCTATTCCGGACCTGGAGCTTGTCACGTATCTGCCAGAATTCCTCGCTGGCCTGCTTAAATTCTTGGGTGATCAGAATGCCGACGTACGAGCCTCCACGCAGACCTGCCTTGATAAGTTCCTCAGCGAGATTAAACGAATCGCTCGGGTGAAGAAGGGCATCACTGAGTCTCGGAAGCAAAGGGAAGGTGGCAAGCGCAAACGTGAGGAGTCCGCTGATAGTGAAAGCGGCCACGTCGGCCTCGAGGAGGGTGACGAGATCGAGTCCGAGATGGCCCCCGACGACGAACTAGACGACCTAGACGAAGATTGGATCCCCGGCCAAGATGTTGAGATTAACTACTCCTCGATCCTCGAAATCCTGACGTCCACCCTTGATTCTCCCAATGGTTTGTGTCCCCCCTCCATGACTACCCCATGTTTTGCTGCGGTGCTTACTGTGTACATTAGAGGAAGATTGCCTTTTGGAGTCTCTTCGTTGGATTGTCGAGTTTCTGGATATTTGCCCGGAAGAAGTACTACCTTTCACACCCAAGATTCTGGCGCACATGCTCCCGGCAATGGCTAGCTCCAATGAAACAATCCGACAGGCGGCTACGCGAGTGAACACTTGCTTCATGGACTATGTTGTATCACTGTCGGACGAAGCTATCCTGAAGCCCCAAACCCCTGGCCAATCCCAGGCACAGTCGACTTCCCGCCTTCCACTTCCCGGAGACAAACAGGAAGGGACATCCAGCCAGCGCGTTTCGATTTCTAGCTCGCGGGACCTCAGCATACGTAGTCCCACGCCCGGGCAGCAGACACTTCATCAACGCACACTCTCAAACCCGGTTCTGACCGAAACTCCACAACCAAGCGCAGACCTTGACTATGTAGCTGCTGTTAATTCGCTGACTCTCTTATTTCTCAACGATCACGAGGCAACCCGGGTGGCGGCGCTCACTTGGCTCATCATGCTACACAGAAAAGCCCCGAGGAAAGTGTTGGCGTTCAACGATGGGACATTCCCGGCATTACTCAAGACACTGTCTGACCCCTCCGATGCCGTCGTAACCAAGGACCTACAACTCCTGTCTCAAATATCCAGAAATAGCGAGGATGATTATTTTGCCAACTTCATGGTCAACCTTCTCCAGCTCTTCTCTACTGATAGAAAACTGCTAGAGACGAGGGGCAATCTCATCATCCGGCAACTATGTCTCAGTCTTAGCCCTGAACGGATATACCGAACTCTAGCAGACTGTATAGAGAAGGAAGAGGACGTCGAATTTGCCAGCATCATGGTACAGAATCTCAACAACAATCTCATCACAGCCCCGCAATTAGCGGATGTCAGGAAGCGGCTACGGAATCTAGAAACAAGGGTACGCATTTGGCCCGGAATTTGATTGCATGAGATATACTAACTCGTTGAATAGGATGGGCAAACACTCTTTGTGGCCCTCTTCAGGTCATGGTGCTATAACGCTGTGGCCACCTTCTCCCTGTGTTTGCTTGCTCAAGCATATGAACAGGCGTACAACCTTCTACAGATCTTGTGAGCTTATTTCCGTCCATCATTCTTTCCTCTCGGTTTGAACATCGGCTAACTAGCAATCAGTGGCGAGCTAGACATGACAGTCAACATACTCATTCAAGTTGACAAGCTTGTGCAACTCATAGAGTCGCCTGTCTTCACTTGTAAGTTTCACCGAGGTCGTATTCTACGCGGACAGTGGGCTAATATTCTCCGAGACCTACGACTCCAACTCCTGGAACCTGATAAACACCCATACCTGTACAAATGCATGTACGGCATTCTGATGCTGTTACCGCAGTCATCTGCTTTTGCAGCATTGAAGAACCGGCTGAACAGTGTCAGTTCTATCGGTTATTTACATGTCGCACCAAAAAGGTATGTGCTCCTTGTCCCCAACTTGTAGGGTGTAGCAAAAGCTGATGCAAGTATTAACTCCAGTACGGCATCATCTACAAGTAACTCTAACTATGATAGGCCAAACCGCCTAAAAGGCCGGGAGGACAGTGGCATTCGGTGGGTGGAGCTTCTGGAGAAGTTCAGAAGTGTTCAGGAGAGGGCCAGGAGAGCACAACGACAAGGAGTAGATGGCGACGGCGGCCCTTCAATTGGTGTCAGTGAGCTCCGGATAGGTGACGGCACACTTGATGCAAGGGGCAAGGATGGACGAGTCGGTGTTGCTGATCCAATACCGCCCGCCAAGGAAACAGCAGCAGCAACGCCCCCAGTCCCACCGAAGAAATCGGGTCTGGGCAGGCAGTTTGGAAGGCTCGGTGGTGCTGTTGCTGGCAGGAACAGGCGTGGTTGATGAGGGCAGCAATTGTACTGGGCGCAGAGTGTACTTGTAATTTGTCCGTCAAAGGTTCAGTTATACCATGGGAAATGCAAAGCCGTTTTTTTCTGGGATCTTGGTGTCTGCCGGTAGAAGTCCCATCTAATTAAATGTTTGCTCAACGTCTCTTCACAGGACTCTCGCGCTCAACAAGCCCTTCGAAGACAGCGTCACGACGAGAAGTAACCCCCCGTAGCTGTTTGCGCAGGGCATCGAGTTCCGAGCGAGCCATGTCTGTGTTGCTGGGTAGGCCCTCGAAGGAGGCCATCTGTGAATCGAGCTGCTTTTTCCGGGATAAGATGGCGAGATACTCCTTCTCCTCCCGGACCACATCGTCAATCGTGGGGTGAGACGAGCTAACGGAGGAAGCCAACGAAGCCGCACGCTCCTGCAGCTCAGGTATTTGGGCAGAGAGAGCCTTCACCTTGCGCTGCAGATCAAGGTTCTGCTTCGCCTGGTCTTCGGGCAGCTTGTAGTCGTCGCCCTGGAGGGCGGCCAGGAACTCGGACATGCGCTGGGCGTCGTGGGCGATGTGGCGCCCCAGGACCTCCACGCGGGCCCTCATCTGCTCGGCGTCGTGTACGGACTTTTGCAGGGCGATGATGCGGGCGCCGAGGTCCTCCGGCTCGGCGTTGGCGATGCCGGCCTCGACCGCCATGGCCGCCATGCCATCCAGGGCGATCTTGCTCTCCCTGGGCAGGTCGTCCTCGATGGCGGCGAGGAATTCCTCGCGGATGCTGGGGTTACGGGCGGTGGACTCGTCGTGCTTCCGCAGCTCGCGAAGGGCGTCGGCGTCGGCGCGGGCGACGGAGGCGCGCTCCTCGTCGGCGGTCTCGTTGAGGGAGGCGAGGGCGAGGAGAGCGCGGAGGGTGTCCGGGTTGCGCTCGAACTCGGGGACGGGGCGGTTGTGGAACTTGGAGTCGAGCCAGGCGTCGACGTAGGACCAGTCGCGGGCGGCGGAGGCGGCCTGGCGGGCGACGGTTGGGGAGAAGATGGCGGCCGAGTCGGTGGAGAGGTGACGATGGTGGAGGTGACGCTGGTGGAGGTGGGCCATGATGGGATTTGTAGGTAGGTTTGACCCTACTGACTGAGATGGGGTTTGTTCTTAGAGAGTGGTGTCTACCGGTCCAATTATCTGGATTCGAACTCTGCTGCTCCCGTTGGGGAGGAGAGAGAGACAAACAAAAAGAAGCGGGACAGGGATTGGTGGGCTGTATCGGGATTGGGAGTGTCCTCATGAAGCGCCCACGAGGACAATGTCAAGATCCCAGTCGACGTCTCGAACAGGGCGAGGAACAAGCAGAAGCTAATTGGTGGGGTTGCACGCTGCCTTTTCTGGCGGTGGGCAAGGACCAGCCCGTAAACCAGCATCTGCCCCACAGCCGGCACTAGAGACGGGCAGGTACTTATGAGACAGGTAGCCGCTCACTAGCAGATGCAGCGAGAGTACATATCACCCCTGCCTCTCCAAGTACCTCCAAGTTCTGGCAGACGTGGCGACAAGACGGAGCCTCGACCTGCCGTTAAGTCACTGCGCCGGTTTAGAGACAGACTTCAGGTCCGTGGATGGTTGCAGAAAGGACAGCGTGGGCGTTTCGTTGCAGCGTTTCTTAAATCTCCTAGACCCAGCCTCGATCTGCCGATTTAACTTCACGCCAGCTCCCAACCTCCCTCGCCAGAGTTTGCCTTCTTTCCTGTCTTGACTGACAGCCAGCGAATGGGACAATTCTTTCTAGAGTAGGGAAACCTACAACAAAGGCTCGCCCGAATACACTCAGCCTCCCGACTTCCTCTTGCCTCGACATAGAAAACCCTTACGCCCGATTCTTCCTGCATCTGGCTGTTCATCCAGCCACGTACATGTTTTAGACAAGCAACTCACCTTCTTTCAACTTCACCTCGTCGATCGACGTATACGATACCCCCGTGATCTAGCCACGTTTCTCGCTGCCTCTCTTCTTCCTCGCACCGAATCGCTGTTGCCTGCCCTCAACAATGGCCCGCAGCTTCTGGACTCTAGCCGTGGCAGCCGGCCTGCTGGCCACCTCCGCCGCCCTCTCGCCCCAGGACATCCCCTCAGACGTCCCCGTCGCCGACCTCCTCACGTCGGCACAGACTCACCTCGTCCAGGGCCAGACCAGCGAGGCCCTCGTGTACTACGACGCCGCCATCGCCCGCGACCCCTCCAACTATCTGTCCCTCTTCAAGCGCGGCGCCACCTACCTGTCGCTCGGCCGGACGAACCAGGCGACCGAGGACTTCAACAAGGTCCTAGCCATCCAACCCAACTTCGAGGGCGCCCATGTCCAGCTGGCCAAGATCAAGGTCAAGACGGCAGACTGGGACGGCGCCAGGGCCGAGTACGCGGCGGGAAATAAAGGTCCGGACTCGGAGGAGGTGAAGGAGCTGGAGGAGGCGAGCGGCGCGGCCAAGCTGGCGCAGGAGGCCGAGAGCGCGAAGAAGTGGGAGGACTGCGTCAACCACGCCGGCGCGGCCATCATGGTCGCCAGCCGGGCGGCGTCCCTGCGGTCCCTGCGGTCGCGGTGCCGGTTCGAGCGGGGTGAGGTGGAGGAAGGCCTGGCCGACATGCAGCACGTCCTCAGCCTGCGGCCTGGCGATACCGGCCCCCATGTTACCATCTCGGCGACGACCTTCTACGGCCTGGGAGATCTGGAGAACGGGATCTCTCAGATTAGGAAGTGCCTGCACTCTGATCCTGACTCGAAGGTGTGCAAGAAGCTGCATAAGAATGAGAAGGCGATCCAGAAGGCGTATGAGAAGATTCAGGCGAATCTGCAGCGGGGTCAGACAACCACGGCTGGAAGAGCGCTGGTTGGGACGAGCGAGGACAGAGGTCTTATTCCCAAGATCAAAGAACAGTTCGAGGAGCTCCGTCAGGACGGCAGCATTGTCGGGATGACCAGGTCGATCCTATATGACAATGCCGTGGAGGCAGCGTGCCAGGCGTACACTGAAGTGAGTTTTCCCCTATAACAAGTTGTGCTGATCTTGGAAGGTTCTAACATGAGACATACAGTCAAACCATAGAGATGTTGAGAAGTACTGTGACGAAGCACTGCAGCTCAACCCTAGCTCATTCTGGGGTCGCATGCAGCGAGGCAAGGCCCTCCTGAAGAAGGAAGAGTACGAGGCGTCCATCAGGATCCTCCAGGAAGCCGCCGAGTCGCGACCCGACATGCGCGATAAGGTCAACCCCCTCCTCCAAAAGGCCCAGGTCGCCCTAAAGCGGAGCAAGACCAAGGACTACTACAAGGTCCTGGGCGTCGACAGCGACGCCGACGAGCGCCAGATCAAGGCTGCCTTCCGCAAGGCCTCCAAGATCTACCACCCGGACAAGGCGGTCAAGTCCGGCCTCACCAAGGACGAGGCCATGAAGAAGATGATCGAGGTCAACGAGGCGTACGAGGTCCTGAGCGACCCGGAGCTGCGCGCCCGCTTCGACCGGGGCGACGACCCCAACTCCCCCGAGCAGCAGCGCAACCCCTTCCACGGGAGCCCCTTCAACTTCCAGGGCGGCGGCCACCCCTTCGGCCAGCAGTTCCAGTTCCAGCAGGGCGGCTTCTCCTTCAATTTCTAGGGTGCTTAGACATGTACATAGCGAAAAAGTTTCATGCGTGGTGAGTCGATTTCAGAGTCCAGGCGGAGGGCTGTTGGAACTATTTGGAATCGCGGGAATCAAGGATGGGAGTTTATCTGACATGGTAGTATATCTTGCCGCTGGCGTTTTGGTTGCGTTTTCATTCATTCCAAATCAAGTAGGAGAATCAACATGTAACTTCTCGTTTTGTACATTTCGCTCCAGATTCCCATACGTTCGTGAGCCACGCATTCATCCAATTTGAACGCCAAACAAGGCGGCAGCATGAGTCTCTCACCTCGGGAGAAGAGACCCGTCGCCAACATTTCACGTCCACATATGAATCCATGAGGCGAGCCTTGCTCAAGGCATTGAACGAATGTTTGCACGTGGAGGATTACTCTCGTGTTGTATATCTTACTCCACGCTCATGACCAACTCTCTCTACATGTTTCGCCAATCCGTCCCCCCCCTCGAGCCGTCCGCCGCCGACCCTGAATGCCAGCCAAAAACAAGATATATTCCGTAGTCCCAGGAAAAGAGTGAAGAAATTCCAAGATAGGGGGAAAAAAACATGGTGAGAAAAGAAACACGAGAAATGTCGAACACCTCCTTTTCTTCCTGGGATCAATTCAAAAAATTCCAATGATGTCTATATGTACAATGTATGTCGGTTCTGATGTAATAGGCTCGCCCTGTTGCCATTCACCATTCGCGCGCGCCTGTAGATTTTTGTGAGGAAGCGGGAGGGAGGATCAAAGAAGGCAGCGTTTTCCAAAGCTTTTGAGGTATTTCGTTATCAGAAAATGACCTTGTTTCCCGCATAGGTCGAGGTGGTGTGTTTCTGACCAGGAAAGAGATGGGAGGTCGTAAGCTGGTGAGAGTCGTGACTTTGTGGGTGGTGTATGCTGCGATTGTATTATTTTCTCCGAAATGGCGGGTTCGATTCTGCAGGGCAGATCTACCGTCGTACTGGGCCGAGGCATGATTTAGATCACAGCCTGTTTGGCCCGTTATGACATGTTGCTCTTCGCAAGAAGCCAAGCTCACAGTTTGTCATTCAGCTTGATGAAGTAGGCCCTGATGATTACAGTGGTTAGCATCCAGAACTGCTTAGCCTATAGATAGGAGTGGGGTAACATGTGACATACTTGCAGAACTCATACGCTGACCAGCAGATAGCCGTACTAGGCATAGTTGTAACCACACGAGGCCGGACACCTTTGAAGAAGCCACGAAGGCCCTCGCGCTGGTAAAGGAGCTGGCAACCACCGACGAAGCTGTTAACCGCGCGAACTTGGGGGTCCGTTGATGTGCCGCGAGTTTGCAGCATCGTCTTGATCACGTCCATGGGGGTTGTAAGACCTGCTGCAAAACCACCAGCAACACCACCAGCCAAGCAGTGAGTCATCGGATCGTAGTCTTTCTGGGGGTTCATCATCGTCGAGATCGATTCGTAGGCGAGAAATTGAAGAGCAGTGAAGGGAACGGTCATGGAGAGGGTCGTCGGGTATGAAATGTAGAAGGCCCCAATGCCCTCATTCTTGTAGACGTAACGAGCACAGTCGACCATCGATCTGTACATCACCTTCGAGTTTTGGATCTGCATGCGTTGCTTAATGACTGGAAAGAGAGAAATTCGTCAGTCCACATTGCGAAAACGAGTGAGGTTGTGGTAGCAAGCAATTACCATCGAAGGGGTTCATGAAAGCGTCGCTGGCGATTGTGGCAGCAGCACCACTGGAGGCTGTTCACGTTAGCAAGACCGCGTGGTCACAAGTAGGATACATTTCGGCTCACCAGCTGCGAGAGGATGATGGACTCCAACCTGGTTGCCACCCATCGCATGCTTGACAGCCTCGTAGGTCGCGAAGTACACAGCATGAGCAGGTCCTAAAATTATAGAAATGGCCTAATCAGTCTCCCAATCTCAAGCCCAACGACCAAGCAAGAGGCCGGGGGTATCGGAAGATGCTCACCAGCTCCTACAATAACGCTAGACATTCCACGCCACAGGTTAAGGACGCCCTCCTTGGAAGCAATCTGGTAAGTGCTGCGTATGACACTGGAAGTGGTCGGGGCCGCGCTTGATCCGATTATTTGCATTCGAGTCTATGAAGCCGGTTGAGGTCAGAACCGACGATATTATAGGACGAATGCACCCAATTGGGTGAGGCATCCAACTGGGGGGGGGGNGGGATATTTCGGCTTCAAAATACCTTTATCGCATCGATGGGGTACATAGCTGTGTGTTCCTGAGGAAAGATATTGGTGAGCTTAGAGGCGTTGCAAGTTATCATATTCCAAGCTGGTACGTACAGCAATGCCGGCGAACGCTCCTGCTGCCATGTTCTGCAGCAGGGAGAAATTGGGAGGGAGGGATTCATAACTGCATGGCGGAAATCCAGTCGTTAGCACACAGTCTATACAATGAAGTGAATCCGAGGGCGTGAAAAGGTCCGAAGAAATTTGAAGGGTCCATGGGGAGCAAGTGGGCATCATGGAGGACAGAGGAGCGGGCAGAGGCTATATCTCACTCGTATTCCTCAGCTGTGTCGGACACAGACTGCTGGGCCATGTCGGCCACAGCTTGAGAAGCTCCGCCGAGAGGCTTTGGGTCGAAAGCCGCCAGTTTGACTGACTGGCAGACAGCAGTCTCGCGCTGTCCGGCTTGGTTCGGTGCGAATTGTCCGCGGAGGGTGTTGGGTGGCGTCGGCGCAATGGTTTGCGGCGTGCGTATGGATGGTCCGGAGCTGCCCAAGACAGTTGTCGAAGAGTGGCAGCGGTAGACCAAATTCCCAGAGACTGGCGATTATCGTCGGGCGCCGATCTGAGGAAATTGCCTGCTGGTCGTTCACGGCGGTGGATGGATTGCGGTGGCAGATTCGTTCGGCCGGCTTGGAGGTTGCTGGCTTTTTTTTAGGCGGTTCCCACCCCCCTTGTCCTATTCAGGTGCGCTGGTGCTGTCGGTACTGCACTACGCTACAGCTCTCGTAATCCGAGCTCGGTCACAACCCCGGCGATGGGCAGGGCGTATACGGCTGCAGAGGGTTAATATTTCAGAAATGGCAGATGGCGAGGCTGCGACGTTTAGACCGTTCGCTAAGATAGCTGTGGTGTGGAAAAATAGAGGAAAAACTAACACTGCAACGGGGGCCGAGGAACGGAGGAGGAGAGAGGTTGGGCCGTCCCACGCTTGTGAGATACCTGATAGCGACCAGAACAACTCCGCGGCGGGCGAGAGAAAAAGGCAAGTACCTGCCCAGTACGGACAGCCCACGCCCCAATTGCTCGCTTGCTGGTGGGCAGCCAAGCAGGTGACATAAAACCCCAGACACCAGACCCTCGCACTGAGGCTCGGGTATTTCAGCTAGGGGCTTGGCCCTCCTCGGCTGGCAATAATAAGCTCAATACTAGGCACAAAATTACCTAGGATATCGTTATCTGCGCTCGGGGCTGGAAAACAACTCCCTATCGTGCGCTGAGACTGCGGCGGCAGCTGGTGTCAATAGCCGTTGTGCGCCCTTCTTTTCTGTCACCCCGCGGCAGAGTGTCGCTCGGTCCTACCTGCCCGTACTCTCATGTACCGAGCTCCAAACGAGACTAGCACGATCTGATAAGATTGGAATCCCGGGGGAACCATCGGAAATTCCCTCTCCCCTCCCATGAATCATTCATCTGCCTGCCTCCATTTCTCAGCTCAGCGCCATTACGAGCCTCCCCGATCCTTGCAGTGAGGCTCCATACGCTGCGGGCAAAACAAGCAAATAAACGGCCGACCGTCGACTAATTCTGCGACCTTTGCTTTTTCTGGGCCCTCCCGAAGCCCCAATTGCGTCCAGCCGTCTCTTCTAGCATCCCTAGACCAATTAGGCCAGGTCGCCTATTATCGAAGCGTGGAAAATTCGACTCGTGCATGCAGGGAACTTACTCTAGGATGATCGCTTTACGTAAACGGCGAGCCAAAGCTCCAGTGCTCCGGGAGGATTGTCTTTGTTATCTGAGCAGATTACTGCTGCATCCCGCTCTAGCGAAGATCGCTGCTTGGGTTGCGTTGCTTTCTTGTGCCCTAACCGATCTCCGGTCACGGCAGTTCCAACGAGTCGGTCGCCGAGCTCTGCTTAATTGCCTGTAGTCAGTGCTATTCCAGACAGGCACCCTGGTGCCCTACCTAAATGTTATTCCAAATTACGACACTAGATCGCCACCAGTCCCGGACCTCCGTCTTCATCTCCAAAAAACACTAGCATGTATACATGTACTTGACTGCAGTGGACTAAACCGTTCAAAGATCAATCACGGGTTCATGCATAGTAGTAGGCACGTTATTACCCATGTTTTACACAAACCTCACTTTCAAAACGAACATTCCATCTCCGCGCGCCTCTCGGCTCGATGTTAACGGTACCACCGACTCGGCCGAGCCATGCTGGTGCTGTCCGGCGTCGTAGCCCTTGTGATCCAGCCCGAAATGGTCCATCGTTTACTTGACCCCGGTATTTTTTTTATTTTTTTTTTGGAATAATGACCATTAACGTTTGTTGATGGACCTTAATATGGTTCTGATATGTCTTCATTTTATCCAGTGAGATACTTCCGGACCTCAGGTGAAGGAAAAGCAAGCTACTTTGTTTTGAGCGAAAGATGACACAACCTACTTCATAGTGCCCGAAATCGTGAGTAAGAAGACAGCCCAAGGCAGCAATATTTCGTTGAACTCGTTTCGTACAGCATAGGCTAGGTCGAAGAGGCAATATGATGTTTCCAGAAAAGTGGCTCGTGGCGAAACCAAGGTCAAGATCACTCGCATATTCCAAGGACACCTTGATGCAACGAAGTTGAGCGGAGTACAAAACACGAGGCCACTTCTAGGACCAAAGTATTTCTTAAGTGTTAATTAAGTTTTATTAAGTGTTTTGTTTTAAATGAAATAAAATAAAAATAAAAAGGCAGTCCTCCATTCTCGATGTGATATTTTAGATGGCTCAAATATCGCGATGGTTTAGTATTTACTTTAATGAGCCTTCTCCCTGGGGGATCATTCCAAGCCATGAAGTTGTTTGAAAGTTGTGGGGCGCGAGCGTTCTCTGTTCCTTGAGGAAAATACCGCTGTTACCATGCAGTCTCTTGTTGGTATCGGCACAAACTCTCCGTTGACGATGAGCCCAGGGGGGGGTTTGCTGCCATTGAGGTGAAGATATATCCCCCTCTGCCTCGCCGCCTTGATAGTTTTGGGGAAATGAAAAAGCGTGTGCTGCACACCAGACACGAGATCCTGGACTTCTCTTAGGAAAATGGCCTTCAGTTTCTCGTATCGCTTCGACCTAACCATCGCCTCAACCATATCATCCAGATAATCCAGTATACTGTGACTAAACTGATCGGGTGTGAAAGCGCCTTCCCAAAAGTCTACTCCGTCGAAGTCTGCAACCTCCATTTGCGCCGGGAGATGATGTACAAGGCACTCGGTAAACTCAGTCATAGCCTTCGCTCGCATACCTGGTGGTAGGCCCTCCACATAGAGCAAGTCCAGGCTGACCACCCGAAGATCGTCAAACATGATGGCATGAGATGGATCCATCCAGTTCGGAACCGTTGACCCCGCGTTGAGATCCGCATTATACCAGCAAAGCCGCTGGAGAGAGAGGCGTTGGTACTTGAGCAGCTCCTCCGTCAACTGATGGCGCTCATCCCCGAGTGTCGCCTCAGGGCAGAGTCGGATGGCGAGGCTTTCAAGGCCGCGGGGGGTTCTGGCTATGAATTCAATCAATTCGTCGCTAAGGCCGTCCATCATATCGAGGACAATAGTTCGGACTGGTGATGACCTGCTGAATGGAGGCCGACGGCCGAACAGAAAGGAGGGTGCGACGCCATCATCAAGTTCGAATGCCCCATCCAAATGAGCGAAGTACAACTCAGATAAGTTTGGAAGGCATAGAAGAGCACTGAGCTCGCTGGCGCTCCTCCTGGAAGGTTCGGGATATCCGTCTGCGGCTTGCCCAACGCATATACCAAAGGACACTTTTTCAAGGGCTTTGAATCCGGGCAGCAGGGTCTCACTCATACACCAGTGGATCATACGGCATAGGTATTTGAAGCTTGTGTGGTCTGCTCCGCCGGCGCGTGCATAACGTAGAGCCCGAATACGTGGTAGGAGGGCCAGCAGGCAGGGTTTGAGGCAGCTGTCCGCGCCCGTTTCGAGTTGCCTCCGCACTTGGGCCTGGAAGCCCTCTTGGTCAAGAGAATAGCCCATCGCATTGAACAACTCATGACAGAAGGAGCCGATGTCGTCGCGAGGGAATAACCAGGGCTCACCCCCTTCTGGTACCCGGACCTCGCCAGTATCAACGTCCACTTCCCAGGGCTCCCCGTTTTCTCTATCACCCCAGACCTCGAACTCCCTGACATGCCAGGCGTCAATAGAAGCTGCGCCGTGGCTAACACAGCTCGACAGAAGGTGGCGGACAGTTCTTAGGTCAAGGTCAGAGCTGATTCGGAACTTTTGATATGCCTCACGATGACGGTCGAGGATGTGTTGAGAATGACGATACACATGCTTGCACGTCTGGGCAAGAGGCCAATGTCCCGAAGCATGCGTATGCTCGAGAATGAGCTGCAGTATCTCCACGGGAAGGGAGGTGAGGTCTGGAGTAGAAAACATGTCGTATGTGCTGCTCTGTGAGATGGATCTGGGATAAGAAGACGGATGGGCAGGTCTTCTATCTGTAGTTATTACCTACCTACATTATCTTGCCCCTTAACTACCTGTACCACCATAAATCATCGCTAGATTTACAGGGGGGGCTTGCTGGTGAAACGAACCGAATGGGGAAATATTTCGTCCAGCCAACTGGGTTTGGCCAGCCATTGAAGCCAGTTTTTGAAATCCCATGTAAATACTGACTGTAGTCATGGACTAATTAGCAAAATGGGAGAAATTAACGATTACTTATTCTTATGATCACTAAATTTACAGAGGGAACTGAGCCTGCACTGGTAAAAAGAGATTCATAAGTACCAAGCAATTGAACCTCATGTGTCAACATAAGTTCCTAACATCAAATCTCGGCCAGCTAACTCCATAAGTAGTTTTGAAATGGCATGTAAGTACTGACTGTAGCCATGTACTACCTAATTATCATGCCATCCCTTGGTCTTCATTAGGCGATTATCGGGATCTCACGTAGAATGCCATAACTCTTTTTTGGACATGGGTTCGGGCAAGGGATGCTCGTCTGGCAATTTTAGACTCTTCATCCTGCCCCAGTTCCGCTTAACTTTATATTTTAGCAATTGAGGTCTACTCTATAGTTTTAAAACTCGCACAAGCCTATTAGCAAGCGCTCGATCAGTTTGCCAACGACAAGAGGCCTACATTGGTAAGGATTCTACCCTTTACGCTTGTTTGTCAGCCAGTTAATTCTCTCTTGATTTTCGCCAAGCCCATCTATCCTTCTCGAGTTGGGCTTGCTAGGTTGCTCTCGGCTAGGGCTAATTGCATAGTTCCTCGACAGGCCCGAGTCCCGCATGCCTGTCTTGGCCGCCGTGGTCAGTCTTGATCGTATATGTATCTGGTACTTCACATCCCGGTTGTCATTCATAATTTAACCTGCACTGCCAGATGTGTGTCTACGTTTATTCAAGCCATCCGGATCAAGACGAATACTGTTCGGGGGGCTGGAAAGATGACCTTTCCCTCCTTTTCCTTCTCACGAACTAGGACCTTGGATCGTCCATTGTCGCCGGTCAGACTGTACGGGTGTTTTACCCCCAGTTCCTCCTGATGACTGATTTTTGTTCATTTTCTCTTCACTCAAATCTCTCAATCGCCTGCCTGCTCAATCGAGTTTTTCCTTAGAGAGGTTGTTTCCCTCCATGAGCAGGAAGTCTGGATTGTCCCGTATCATCTTTTAGGCCATGCAAGCCTTGTCTCTTGTCATCTCTCTAAGTGTTACTGCCGTTGTCCTTCACTTTGCCGAAACTCTCTCTGGCTTGCTTGTTTGGTTGAGTATTCCGGTCCTCCTGTCTAAATTCATACGACACTGATCTGATTGTTAGACCTCAACGGAGTTTCAACGCCTTGTCACACATAACACGATCGCTCGCGGAGCGCTCACCTACCCACATCATAAAAGTGAATGGACTGAATGTGCGCGGCAATCCAATGACATCCAAATCACTAATAGCCAATTCTTGTGGGTCACTCTCTTGTAAATAAGTAGCTCGTCATGTCTATACGTAAGATTCTTTGCTGGCCCATAGGCCTTGGTATCGAATTCCACAGTTCATCTAACCCCAGAGACCCAGCTAATCGCTGACACTATAAGTGTAACTCTATCAAACAAAAACCATCCTTAGACGCCCTTATAAAAAAACCCAGCAGCAGGGCTCAATCCATAAGAGCAAGAGCCTCGGTACGCTAGCTGTAAAATGCAAACATGGCCGTTAAACTACGCCTGGTCCCCCTCGCCGGTAGCGCTGTGTCTGCCTGAGTTGGTAAATCATACCCAATACCCCGGCCTCTGGCTCTTTCGTGTCTGTAGCGCTGTTATCTCGGCTCAGACCCCTTCCGGGTGAGGTCTGCCAAGCTGATTCTTCGAGAATATCGCCGCCTTCATACATTTCCTCCTCCTGATCCAGCTGTTCTCCACCTTCCTCCATAATCTGACTTTCTCCGTAGGCTGGGCCTCGGGGATAACGGGACCGGTGGAGACCTCTTGTCGCGTTACTTACACCAGCTGGTTGATGATGGGGATCCAAAAGCATCGATGCCATGGGTGATGGTGCAGGGGGAGGCATCCGTGTGCCGGCTCTAACTCCGCGGCTCCTCGCTCTCCCAGTCTCGGGTCTCCCAGCGAAGGAGCCGTGCATATCGGCCGCAAACGTCGGTGAATTGAGCGCCGGGAAGACCGGTGGAGGGTGGAAGGGATGCCGAGTCCCGGGCGGCAAATGTCCCGGTATTCCCGTCTTGGGGTTGATGACATAGTTATCAATGAACCCATAGTACGATGCTGCCATCTTCCCGTGTTTGGTTGAATAGTAGTCCTCACGAACATCGTGACTCGGCATGGCTTGGCCATCTCCCATTCCTTTCTTAAAATCGAAAACAGCGAACGAGCAAACATATCCGAGTCCGTCAACATGAATGGTGAACTCCCGGAAGAAGTCGATAATCTGGTCGCTGCAGTGGGGGAGTGAAAAAAGGAGCAGTAGTGAGGTTGTGACGATGCCCAGAATTTCCTCCAAGAAAATCACGACCTTCATCTTGTACAATTCTTCAAACTCCTGCTTCACTTCAAAGCTATGGAGCCTACCTTGCCAGTGGTCAGGCATGTAGTGCGTGTACTCGGAAACGTTGCGCAAGGCGTATTCGGGGTTAAAAACGTCCGACTCTTCGGACACCATTCCTCTAGTAACAGCCCAGATAGCTCCGAAAACACCGAGGTAAAAAATTACCGTCCTGTCTTTCGTAATTTCAAATCCCAGGAAAAGTTCAGAATCGAAAATAGTAAGCATGGCCAGTACTGCTGTGAGCGCCCCAGTCATAAAGGCAATGGTCCTGGCAATGTCTTCAGTCATACGCTTCGGAAACTGGTCAATGTATCGGGTCGCAAACGGAATCGACATGTGAATTCTTTCATAAAAGATATGGCGTAATTCATTGAATTCGCGAAATTTCCACTCTGCCAGCCTCGTGTACTTGCGTGCCGCAGCCAGCTTGGGATCTTTCTGATATTCCTGTTACCTCAATGTTAAACTCTGCTACAAAATAACATGCATTTTCATAAGATAGGGGGGTTCACTCACGTTGTAATATGTGAAAAAGTACACAATGATGACATATGCCAGGACAACCGGGGCAAACAATAGGTTCAAGCAACCTGCAAAATAGAAGCGTTGCTTCAACTTCTGGCTCAAAATCCGCCGGCGATCTGCTCGCAGGAAATCTTGCCGAACTTGCCCAAGCTCGTTGAATGCCATATCCAATATGCAAAAGTGCAAGTTCCATTCCATGGTCTTTGAAAACAGCTGTCGGCCCCTTAAGAACGGGAATGGCAGGGACAGATTCAAAACATCTTTGTTAATCATCGCGATAAGGTAGTTGTCCTTACGCATAAGCCTGTTGGCAATGTCATGAGCATCTAGCCGCTCCTTCGATTGACTCCCGATGAACCGACGTAGGTTTCGCGGAATATTAGTGGCCGTCTTCGGGTTCTGGTCACGCAGCGCCATGATCCGAGCAACTATGTCTTGCCACGAGACAGTTTGCATATCCTGCTCGGGAATCTCGAGAAGGTGCAGGTAAAATTCGCGAACATGGCTGAGCCTCCTTAGCTCGAGGAAATACTGGACAGATTTCCACAGAAAGAAGAAGGAATAGAGCCAAATGCCAACACTCCATAATCCGGACATTTTTCTCGTACACTGGCCGACCACAACCTGATTAAGAGATGTGCTGTGCGGGAGCTTGCTGTAATCCACACATTGGGTGAGGAAAGTAAGCAAAACCGCCACGAACAGAGTCTCACTACGCCCGTTAGCAAATTATGTTCATCGCCACATTATCTTACGGGGGATTCTTACATGAGCCACAAGGCATTTGAACAAAGGATACACCATAGGCCACCGCCCTCAAAGTAATCATATACATCGCGCATGAAGCTGTCGAGGTTGGAGGTGTTAACCCACCGCCAGAGCGCCTTCTCTTTGGGCCCACCAGGTATCCGACCAGCCATCAGCGATATCGGCTGCGACCTCTTTGGAATCGGTTCATGTAGTTGTTGCTGGGCTCTTGCCGTATCCCATCGGGCGTCCGCCCGCGCCGAAGATGGGCCAGGAATGGCGTGCGGTTGCCCATGGGACGGCCGAGAGCCTGCGGGTCGTATCAACGGTGATATCGGGCGTTCTCCATCATTTGGCTCGACCAACAAGGACGCCGGAACGTCGTTGTCTATTTCATCTTCGGGCGACTTCCAGCGAGATAAGGACCCGCGCCTACCACGGGAACTTGTGCGACCCTGTGGCTCGCCAACGCCACCCATCGCAGTGCTTGCTACTGTGACGCGGCTGTCCGAGGGGCCAAGCGCATTCGCGTCAAGATCGTTGAATTGGTGCCTCAGATTCTCCTCGTCGATATTATAGCCCGCCTGGTCTTCTAAGTCCTCTTCGTCATCTCGGGTGTGTAATTCTTCGTAGAAAGATCGAGTGCCCGCGGAGGCGGCGTGCCGTCCGAAAATATTCGAAGTCATATCCAAAGCGACGTAGCTGAATTCTTGACGAGAAAATCTATATGGTCATGTCGAACAAAATCTGGTCAAGATCAAAGTCGTAGAGAGGAGGTTCGACGTTAAAGGGTTTCGAAGGTCTTCCACTAAACCTCACTGGACCTCCTGGAGCACTTTGATAAAGCAGGGGCGTAAAACGAGAAGGGCGGTAGTATCAGTGAAAATGACTTTTCGTCGTTGGCCCGTGAGGCGTCAGGTATTGTGATCAAGATAACATGACCTCAATGCCATGTGCCACCAGTGGGAGGAGTAAGGTGCGGGCCCACTGCTGATGCGCGGCTCGCACTTGTTATCAAAGCTCCCCGAAGGTGACAGATTGTATGCGCTGTAGTGAATGGAGATAAAAGTGAGGTCACAAACACACAGCGACCCAAGTTGAGGTCTAGTCACCTACTACCCAGAGAGTTATGGATGAATGACACATTCACTGACGATGGATGATGGAGGCCTGGAGCGGGCGGTGAGAGCTATACTGCCGGACATACCCCAGGTAACAGCCACCGCCCGCACCCACCAGCCTGCTAGGTCATATGTCTTGGCACTAAGACCAGGGCAACGAGCCAGATTGGCCAAGGCCTGGAGATGTGTCTGGAAGGGAGTCGGCGCGCCGCATAGCTACGAGGCCGTTATTCGGCCTGTCAGTCTTCACCACTTGATAAGCTCCTATTTTCATTAATTGTAGCTATCACAAACATAGCCAGCAGTTCCCAATCCGAATTGGGAATGGCATGACACGTTTCTTCTTCGATCGCAATCTCATCACGGAATCAAGCCTCCCATCTAAACTGGCCTAGAAACAGAACATTAAACATGGCGCCCAAGCCTAATCTTTCTATGAAAAGCATGCCGGCTCGCGATCCTTCAGACAGTGGTCTTCCATCTCCATACAGCCCTGGGCTGTCCAGCAACAAAGGTTCACTAGCCTTCACGTCAAAAGTCACGTCGGTCCTGTCAACATCCTATTCCGATACGGAGTTCCGGGATGCACTCGCACTTATAGATGAGCGAGGGGTTCAGAATGATGCCGAGACGAGGCGTCACCTTCGCCTTGATCTTCAAAAAGAGGTCATTGACTGCAACAGCGTCGTTATCGGCGAGTTTGGTCGAGTAGCTGAGGTGAGTTCATCTACTATCTATGGTTTGTTGGGTGAGACTAAATAAACCACGTCCAGCAACTACGTCGTATAAAGCATACAGTTGACAAGCTCAACTCAAGCTACATGGAAGTCAAGAAACAGATTGAATCTGCGCACTCTCAAACAGAGCCAGCTCTGACGGAGGCCGCCTTCCTGTTGGAGCAGCGTGCACAAATTGAAACAAAGCAGCAGGTCCTTGTAGCTTTCAAGGATCATTTCATCTTATCTTCTGATGAAGTAGATTCATTGGTAATGACTTCTGAGCCCGTTGACGATCGCTTCTTCAACGCTCTCGCCAAAGCAAAGGCGATCAGCAAGGATTGTGAGGTCTTGCTTGGTTTTGAAAAACAAACATTGGGGCTTGAGCTGATGGAACAAACGTCCAAAAACATCAATCTTGGTTTCCAAAAGCTTTACAAATGGGTCCAGCGAGAATTCAAAACACTCAACCTCGAAAACCCCCAGATGAACCACTCCATACGGCGTGCTCTACGAGTTCTCGCAGAACGGCCATCGCTCTTTCAGAACTGCCTTGACTTTTTCGCAGAGGCCCGAGAAAGAATCTTATCTGACGCATTCCTATCAGCGTTGACCGGTGTTTCGTCGTCGGAGGTAGAGGATCCTTCTCTAAAGCCAATAGATATGGCCGCTCACGACCCTCTTCGCTATGTGGGCGACATGTTGGCCTGGATTCATTCGGCAACTGTAAGTGAGAGAGAGGCGCTCGAAATTTTGTTCGTGGCGGAGGGAGAAGAACTTGCTAAAGGGTTAAAATCCGGGAGGGATGCCGAAGTATGGCGTCTTGTCGATGATGAGGATGAATACGAGGGCGAATTCAACGCTCTGAAGGCTCTACACGATCTTGTGGATCACGATATTTCTGGTGCTGCAAGATTGCTGCGCCAGAGAGCTGAACAGGTGATCCATTCAAATGAGGAAATCGTCCAGGCATACAAGCTGGCAAATCATATTGGCTTCTATGGCGTAATGTTTGAGAGGCTTCTCACCAGCGAGTCGACTCTAGTCGAAGTGGTCCAAAGCCTTCAGGCAGAAGCTATGCGCCAATTCCGAGCGCTCGTTCGGGAACATATTGGGAACTTACAGAGCGAATTCCAGCAGGCGCCATCAGATCTTGGCCCCCCTTCATTTCTGCAAGACTCTCTCAAGCAACTGGGCTCGTTTATTCAGACGTACGACTCATCTTTATCCTCGTCCGACGATCGCAAAACCGGCTTCGACAGCGTCTTGGCTGAAGCATTCGATCCTTTTATACTCGGCTGTGAGAACATGGCCAAGTCAATGAAAGCGCCGGATGACGCCATTTTCCTCATTAACTGTCGGCTTGCTGCCGTTTCATGCCTAGACGACTTCGACTTCACAGAGTCTAGGCTACAACAAGTCCAAGAAAAGCTCAAGTTAACATCAACAGAATTAACCGAGAGCCAATACTCGTTCTTCTCCGAAGGTTCAGGGCTCCAAGATATGCTCGACGCTGCTCGAAAAGAGGGACAGGAAGCCGAAGAATTGAACGACCCCCAGACCCTGGCTCAGGCAAGCCAAAGTCTGGACGACTTCCTGCCGTCAGCACTTATGGATGCTATTGACAGGCTCAAGCATCTTCAGGATTCAGCCATGGCGCGCCGAATCACTGAGGAAGCAGCTGAGAAATTTTGCACCGATTTCGAGAAACTAGAGAAGGCGGTAATAGCTGCGGACGCCGCTAGCCTTGAAGAAGAAGATGGCAGCAGTGAATCCGGCGAGGGAGGAGAGCTCAGAAAGGCGTTCCCTAGGACCACAGCAGAGATCCGTGTTTTGTTGTCGTAGAATATAGCATATTGCACATAGAAAACATATCCAACATCCACGAGAGTTTTTCCTACATGCAGTCGCTACTCCATGCCGTCTCATGGCCGCTTTGGTCCATCGTTTAACGTTGACGTTGTGCAGCACAGCCGCGAACGGCCAAAGCTGGGCCACGCGCGCTGACGTCACTAAACTCCCATCAGCTCGCCTGGAAGGTACTAATTTGGATGTGAGCATTTAGCGGGCCCTTGTGCAAAGGCACCGCACTGCAAGGCTCTGGCAAGTACTAAAGAAAGGCTCTGCATTCAATAGAATTTCCATGGCTTCAAATATCAGCTTACAGTAAAATTCACCAACTGATATAGTGTAATACAGGAGAGCACGTGGGTGTCTCTTCCTAGCCCATGGTTGTGGATGCACCAGTGCCTACAGTAGATGTACCCTGCCTAGGACTTAGCGTTGGGTCCTCTATCACAGTGGCACGCACTTGCTTTCCCCCTCCAGCTGCATCAACAAGAAGGCTGAAGGTACATGCTCATTACGTCGTAGGTTGTATGGCCCACCAGCCCACTCACCTCGATCAACCCTCCCAAGGCGCAGCTACGCGAACGACCTTGTAGCAATCCGGTCGCTACCTCTTTGCGCACGCCCTTGTGTTGTCCTGGTACAGACGGCGAATGCAAGGCCTACTATGTGCCTGCCTCCAGTGCAATGTCGCGGAACAAGGCCTTGACCGTGCTTCAAAAGACATACGACGATAGTTACCTGAGTTGTTCGACAGCTGTATATCATGAAAGTCAGGTTCGTTATCATCCTAGGACAGCCTTCGCCCATCTTTCCCGAGCAGAGGCCCGGCCTGTGTTGGATCACGTTGCTATGCTCTCCTTCTCGACACCGGCTGCTGGGTCATTGACTAACAGCGCCATTCTCATAGGGCAACGAAGTCGAGGCCATGCGCCATTGGAGAAATGCGCTGGATCAAATTTACGATCATAACGCCAACAAAGCCCTACCGATGTATGCGACGAAAACGGACACTGAAAGAGCGTTGATTGATGCCCTCAAAGAATTGGAACTCCAGTGCAAGGAGAGGATAGATCTGTTAGAGGCCCTGCGTGTATCACGGCAAGAGGCGGCCTCGTCTTCTTCAAATTCGACGAATGGAAAATTTATCAACGGCCAGGAATCTTCACAGGCGGGTGGGACTTCCAAGGGCTCTATCGGAGACGGTACCATCCCCGCGGTCACATATTCGCAGCTCTCGCGCCCAGCCCGGCCATCTCCCAGGTCTTCGAGGCCTCCCTTACCACCTCGCGCAACATCCGACGCCCCGGCATCAAGCCGAGCCAGTCCCAGTTCGAGTTCGACTCTAAATGCAGTGTTATCAGCTCCGCTTGACTCCACGCAAAGAGTTCCATCCCCTGAGAGGAGCAGCGCCCAGGATGGTCACCCAACTCACAGCCCAAGTCCAGACAGATACACCATGAGGACTACCTTGCGGTCGGGGAGGTCAAGTGATAAGCTTCCAAAAGGCTTGCGGAAATCTTCCAAACCCGCTGGGGAAGGCCCAAGCAAAGCTGCCACTTTGGCTTGGAGTGCTTTAAGCTCACGTGAGAAAGCATCGCGAGCATCAACTTCGGAAAAGTCCTCGGCTCCCCAATCCATTAGCCAGCGTCACTCAGCAGAGCATACTCGAAGGACAGGATCGCCTCACTTACACTGGGATAGTCACTCTCGACGACTAGTGACAGCTCGAGAGCATGATCTGGCAGTCAATAGTGGAAATGTTTCCGGGACAAGGCATTCGGATGAGTATCTCAGCCCTTCTAATATATCTGTTAGTGCTGCATCAAGCGCGTTAAACTCAACATCTGCACTCGATCATTCTTCTTCAGATCATGGTATCAACCGGGTTGAGAGACACCCACCTACTAGATCGCCTGCATCAGCACCTTCGAAAATTTCTCGAACAGAACAGCGTCACGACATGGCCGTTTCAGAGGGCCCTGCTGGTGTATCTGGGAAGTCTTCCTATAGCCTGCCTATAAGAGAGAAGCCAATCGCAAGGCGACCTGTGGGAACACCCAAGCCACAATCGGAGCAAGGGAGTGAGTCTCGCAGGAAGAAACGACATTCCAGCTCGCATTCAGGGACATTTACCAGTTCTGACGACGGTGAGAATGAAAAGAGGGCTGTTAGACCAACGCCAGCGCGAAGAAAAACTGCCGAATCCGAAAACACCGAACGTCCTGGCAGTCCAGACAGCTCCTCTACCAATGAAGAAGTGACCGAAGATACTGCTTGGAAAAAGCGAAAGGCTGCTATCCTTAAGAACCTCCCTTCCGGCATTGATGAAACCGCTGCCAAACAAATTCTCAATGACATTGTTGTTCAAGGCGATGAAGTGCGATGGGGCGACGTGGCTGGTTTAGAGGTTGCGAAAAATGCCCTTCGAGAGGCTGTCGTCTATCCCTTCCTCCGCCCCGATCTGTTCATGGGCTTGCGAGAACCAGCCAGAGGAATGCTATTATTTGGGCCCCCTGGTACTGGAAAGACTATGCTCGCACGGGCAGTAGCCACCGAGTCCAAATCAACGTTCTTTTCGATATCAGCGAGTAGCTTGACGAGCAAGTTTCTTGGAGAGTCGGAGAAACTAGTCAAAGCATTATTTGGCTTGGCCAAGTTGCTAGCACCAAGTATCATATTCGTAGACGAGATCGATTCGTTACTCTCACAGCGATCAGGGTCAGGAGAGCACGAGGCAACACGCAGGATTAAAACCGAATTCCTTATCCAGTGGAGCGACTTACAACGAGCCGCCGCTGGGAGGGAGACGACGGAACGAGATAAGGAACGTGGCGATGCAAACCGAGTTCTCGTCTTGGCCGCAACAAATTTACCGTGGGCTATCGATGAAGCTGCTCGTCGCCGGTTTGTTAGACGACAGTATATTCCTCTACCTGAGCCTGAAACCCGCAAAACTCAACTTCAGACATTACTTGCTCTGCAGAAGCACAGCCTGACGGAAGAGGATGTCGACCGGTTGATTGAACTAACAGACGGTAAGTTGCTCGAGTTTTTTCATTAGTCCCTCTCCTACTCAGTTTAGAGAGCACTTATACTCATCCTCAAATGTAGGTTTCTCCGGATCGGACATAACAGCACTCGCCAAAGATGCCGCAATGGGCCCATTACGATCTTTGGGGGATGCATTACTACAAATGACAATGGACGAAATTCGTCCAATTATGCTTCAGGATTTCGAAAATAGTTTAAGGTCTATTCGACCAAGTGTTGGCAAGGCTGGGTTGAAGGAATACGAGGACTGGGCCAAGGAATTTGGCGAAAGAGGAGGGTAGAAAGACCAAGGTTCAATTACAAGTCAGCGATATAAATGATAAATACCATTACACGCGATACTTGGTTCCGCATCAAATTGAGTTATTGCATTGCAGCCATAAGATGGGCCTATTGTACAGTTTATACAGGGCATGCGTAGTGAGCCCGTCCCATGATATCACCAAGCCAAAATATTTGTACTCTTACATTCCCTGAAAATACATGGTCGTGCCCCAGGGCATATGCTTTCGTGTCTCGCTCATTAACTCCCTTTTATATGGAGTTGAACAGGTCCTAATCCTTTCACAGATCGCCTGTCGCCCAGATGGGCTTCTCAGATCATTGTTCTGCTGGGCTGTTCTCGGTAGTTTCGATGGGTGTGTGTTGTTTCTTTGCTAGCTTGGCCTTGCGTCTTTGCTTCTCCTCCACGGCCTTCTCATGTTGCTCTTGCCTTCTTGCCGTCCGACGCTCGTCTTTGGCTTCCTTTTTGGACTCTCTCTCGGCTATCAACTCCTCCAGGGTCGGTACAGGTGGTCGTTTATCAATGGGGTCTCCGAAGGGTGCGATTATGTGTTTGACGTAGTGGCGTTTGTGCTGGGATGTCGGCCAGCCGGGCGCAATGGAAACGACGTCGCCGGTGCGAAGAGACGAATTAGGATCATGGACGAGGTAGTGCTTCGGGTCGGCAAACCACTGCGAGGCGTGCAACAGTTAGTAATGTGCAGATTACCGTCACGTCAGCTCGAGGCCCGTTGCCTGAGGACGAACCTTGTTGACTATCTTGTTCCACTTCTGACCGCCCACTCGGACCTTGACTGTCTTGTCCATGAGGCCGGCAGAAACAACGACTCCATGGAGCTCGTGGGTGACTCTGCGAGCAGCCTTTGCTACAGTTGACGACATTATAGGGAGTATATGCCGGGAACGAGGGTGGCACGGTTGATATATGGCGGTTCGCAGAGAGACCTCCCCTCTGGATCATTCGGCAGTAAATTTTGGCTTTAGTTTTGTCGCGATTCTCGAAGCAATCCGTGCATCTCATTGGACAGAGTGGGATTGATAGTCTGAGGTCTTAGGTAAGCGAGCGGCGGTTGCAGCAACAGGGTAGGCTGGCACCAGTCGCTAGCTGCACCTGGTAGGTGGTACCAATCCTTCCACTGGACCACTATTACAGCGTCACAGCGCCGGTAGTCGGCCTGACTGGGCGCATTCGGCTCGGTTCTACTCGTGTTCTGCTGCGCTACACAAATCTCATCGCTCTCGGGAACTTTCTCTAGGACCTGGTAGCCTGATCGTATTGCTCCCCGCCATTATTCTTCTTCCTCTTCCTGCTTTGCTCACATTTTGGGAGACCTGCTTGCACACCAGCGCACTCATTTCTTGTTCCACAGACCTTCAATTCTATTCCTAACCTTTAGGGCAACCTGCATAGAACGTAAAATCGACGTATCACACGCTCCAGCGAATCAATCTTGCCGACCTCACGTGTCCAACCTGTGACTGGAAGTACGAAGACAAAAAATGGCATCACCATCCGACCGTCCAACAGGAGTCAAGCGGCCTAGTAAGAAGCGCCCTCACAATTTCCAATCATTTTCATTTATGTACCGCGACATCCCCAGGCTGTCAGACATTGCTGTTGAAGCAATTTTTTTTCCGTTGGCTCATTAACCGGTGGTATCCCACTACCGCTACCCTACGTCTCCCCCCCTCATTGCCCAGCCGATTCGCTTTGCCTCATCTTCTGCAATTAACCAGAATGGAGCTCTCGCTGACCGACGATCAACACATGATGGCAGGAACGCAATCGCTTCCTCCTCCACAGTTGCCCCAACTCGTTGCCGAACAAAAGACACCCATCCCCGCATCCGACAAAGACACCCAACGTCTCATCGTCGTCCTCTCGAACGCAAGCCTCGAAACGTACAAAGCATCACATGGAGGCACTGGCCGAAATGGCGTTCATCGTGAAGACAAATACTCTCTCCTCAACAGTGATGAGCACATCGGTGTTCTCCGTAAAATGAGCCGGGACATTAGTGATGCCCGTCCCGACATTACCCACCAGGTTCTGCCTCTCTCTACCTTTTGCTATCAAGTGTCCCTTTTACGACACAGTGCTTGAGTCCGCATTCAACATGCTGACTGGTTCCCGTCAATAGTGTCTACTGACATTGCTCGACTCGCCCATCAACAAAGCCGGCAGGCTCCAAATTTATATCCACACAGCCAAGGGAGTCCTCATCGAGGTCTCGCCTTCGGTCCGTATTCCTAGAACATTCAAGCGCTTCGCTGGTCTCATGGTCCAGCTGCTGCATCGCCTCTCGATCCGTTCGACAAACTCGAACGAGAAGCTGCTTCGCGTAATCTCGAACCCAATCACTGACCACCTTCCACCCAACTGCCGAAAGGTGACTTTGAGTTTTGACGCTCCCCTCGTTCGCGTCCGAGACTACGTTGAGGGTCTCGGCCCCAAGGAGAGCATCTGCGTTTTCGTCGGTGCCATGGCCAAGGGCAACGACGATTTCGCCGACTCGCTTGTGGATGAGAAGATAGGTATCAGCAACTACGCTCTCTCTGCAAGTGTCGCCTGCAGCAAGTTCTGCCATGCTGTCGAGGATGCCTGGGATGTTTTGTAAGCCCTCTTGGGCTGTGACCCACGCTGCTCCGCCGCACTTGGGGATACTTCCCAGATGCTCCAGCAAGCGCGACTACGCAAGGGCTAGTCCAGAAAGTAGGATTGCACTGACTACACACAAAGCAGGGACAGTGGTCAATTTATTTAGTCGTAATCTTTTGGTTACACAGGGGACAAGGTCTGTTGTGGGATATCCAACTACCCAGCAACAGAATGAGGTTATTCGACATTGAGTCGTAGCTCAGAGAGCTGATAGGCAGCAACAAGATGGGGAGGGAGATTTAACATCAAGGACTTTTGATTGTATCCTTTGTTTTCAATAATGTTGGAATTAGGACTGGAGTTATCGTTTGCCACTCTGACAGATTGATTTGGTTTCTGGACGTTATGACATAAAAAGACACTACGAAACAAGGAAGTTATGGATTCTTCTGCAGCCAGCCTCTTTGAGAAAATATTTGGCCTCTTAGCCGTGTGAATCACACCTAATGCAGACACTTTCGAGAGCTCCCAAATCCACATACAGGCCTCTCTCCCTGCTACAGTACATTGGTAGCCAATTAAGACGGATTGGTATGATGTAGGACCACTTGATATATGAATAACGGGCAGGATAAAGCAGCCTCGACCGCAGCGGCTGGTAGATGACTTGCAGAAAACAGAAGCAGCGCCAGCCCAATAGCACAGACGGGAGGCAAGCAATGATGTAATGTCCCCCAAGAGATCCAACCATACGCGCATAGTTCGTGTTCCTCGCACGAGCCATTGTGTGATTTTGCATGTTCGTCGAACGCAGACGAATGGCTGCAGTGCCACCTTCACAGCCCCAAGAGCCGTATCACACCATCAATTCACAATGAGGCGTGTGTCTCTGTTGGTGCCTGACAGCTGCAATCACTCCAGCGCGCGAGGAAGTGCTTGATGATCAGGAGCGACATGCCGGGCTGCTTGGCTCGACGTGGCAGCAGGGCAATGCACCACGCCGAAACAGCCATGGACCCCTCCAGAGGCCACCCCTCCACCCCTCCACTGAGCCCCCTGACGACGACCTCAAGGGCCCCTCGATTCCCTGGCGGTATCTCCCTACAGGGTTGGCTTCAAGGTCTACCCATGCCTACAGTGCGCCTAGCAACCCAGCAAAGAGCGCTAATCAGGCGGGAGCACCTGAAGCCAGAACCTGACCAACCAGCCCATGGCCCCCGAACATGGTGGCCAGCCAGCATGATTCGGAGAAAATTGAGCCACAAGCCCTACCTAATTCTCATCACATCCAACACGCCCAGGGGCAAGGCCTCTCTGCTGTGCCGGCCAACGGCGATACCTACCTACCTACCTACAAGATGCAGAGCGAGAGCTGCGGTATATTTCCCGCTCCCCCATCCACCTGCCTGCATGCTAATCGCCTGGAACGACACCCGAGCATGGCAGTAATATCAATAGCAATAAGATCCGGAGTATAACTCGCAATAAGAGCCATCCTATGCTCTGCCGATATGCACCCCAAGCACCGTCAGCGGTGCGGGTACAGAGGGCACACCCGCACCCACCCACACAGTCACACACCCGGCCCATGGCAGCGGCCTACAGCAGGTCGTCCAGGCTCTAAGATGGACCTCTGAGGCCGTCGATAGAGACCATCGATGGGCCGACATGCATGATGCATGCCTGCCAGCGACCAGTCACGCACACCCATGGCTGCCGACCATTGTCAACAAATCCAGTCATGGGGCAAGACACGTCCCAGCGACCGGACTGGCTGGAGGAGCGTATCTCGGCCCCCTATGGATGGATGAGGCTATTCTCCCTCTGTCCATCAAGGCCTGTCTAGCTATCCCTCGCCGCCGCTCACCACGGCGCAATGAGTGAATCACTTGTCTCATAGGGCATCCTCATCCTCCCGGCATCTTTTCGCCAGCTCCTGTTATCAGCGCCACCCGCCGTGCCTCCGTGTCCGTGAGACTCTCTCCTCTTCCACAACCCCGTCTCCTGATCGAGTATTAAGCCCTGGCTGCTTGCCCTTGCTGCTACAGCTCCTAGCGTCGATCGCTCATCATCGTGGCCTGTTTTGCCGCCGCCTGTCCCATATTATCATTCACCTACATATTAGGCTTGTTCTTCATACATACATCGTCGCAAGCTCGCTCCCCCGCTCCGCAAGCACAGGATCGATTAATGGTAAGACCAACTGCACCTTCACCCTGCAACTTCTCCAGGCAGATACCCGTCGTCTATCTGCCTTCCCGGTAAGAGGTACGGCCCAAGCCACTCTCCCGTTGGGCACGGTAGCAGGCATAGTGGCGGTAAAGGCGTCTGCTTATGCGTATCCCACTGGTTGGTTGACCACACCACCTCGACCACTGGCCGTTTCTCCATACTGCTTGCTACGGCTGCTCGCAGATGAGTTACATACACACCTGCTACGCACAACTGGATCACATTGGTCAGGCCCACACACAAGAGCCTGGTCTTTTCTTTACCGACTTGATTCCATACCTGGGACCGCAGCACAGCGAAGCACAGCCCAGCTTCACACAGATATTCGGTCGCGCACAACCACGCAGCGGGTGCATATATAGATAGCAGCCGGCATGATTCCCTTTGTCGAGGTATCGCACCTGGCCTCGTCGACTTCATTTTACTCTGGCGTCCTGCAACCACTCGGCCTACACTACTCCCCACCGCCAGAAGTAAGAGGTCTGTCGTCCTCGCCTCTGCCAACATTCGTTACCTACTGTATCAATGGGGTTGATCCGGTCCTAGAGCTCAGGCAGACGGCGAATCCTCTAAGACCGCCTGTCCTGACCTCGCTGGTCATCAGTGCGCCGTCTCAGCAGTCGGTTTCCATCTTCCACCGCTGTGGCGCGAGGGCGGATCCTCCGCTCTGGTCTAGGTTCCGTGACCGTCGAGGTCTCGAGAATCACTTCAAGGACGTCGAGGAGGCGAGAAAGGGCCCCTGGCAAACCACCGACCGCAACAGGGTGCAGCACACCCACGCGGTGCTATACGATTTAGACGGCAATAGGATCGAAGTAGTTCACTCGCAGGAGTACGGAAACGAAGGCCCACCGCCCACAGTTCTCGACTGGAAATTCGACGTCGAGAAATCACCGCAAGCTGCTCCAAAGCCCACGAGGATAACGCTCAACCCAAGAAAGGTCAACGGCGCCAACCCTGGCGGCGACGTACATCGATCAACTGCCATAACCCACACACGCCATAACGAGACAGTGTACGGTCCCCATTCAGCCTACCGGTCAGCGCATCAAGGTGCTTTGACCAAAGTTCCACCACCTACTGTAGCCGAAACAATGCCTCGAGATCCCGCGCAACGGGGTGAAGCCCCTCAAGAAGGTGGCTTCAACTCAACGACGGTGATGGGAGCTCTTCTTGGTGTCGCTGCTGCGGGCGCTTTGACATATGGCATCGTGCAGAGTCGTAGGTCCCCGTCGCCCGATGCGCCTGATCAACGATATCTTGATGGGCCGCCTCGCCGAAGAGCGACCTTCCCTGATAAGCCGGTAACAAGCTACCGACGCCAGAGTACGCATGAGACAGGAGTGGTCCCAATGTATAACTACCATGACCACAAAACCCCTCGAAAATTCGCATATCCAGACTTTAACTCACTACCTATTCGAAATGCCTATGTTGAAGGGGATGAGGATGTTGAATATGGCAATGACCCTTGGTCATCGGCGCCTCAATATCTGACCCGACCACCTATGCAGAATGGTTATCCCAAGTCTCGAGTACCCTCCGGACCCAGAGTAGTCGAAGAAATCCAAGATACACGGAGCCGTTACTCCACACGGCCACAAGGCCAAGTACCAATCACTCGCGCTCGCAGCGAAGCACCTGCAAGGTCGCAGGTTGAACACTACGACAGATCTTACCCTCCCCAGCGCAGCATTGCACCAGAATCTATATTGCCTCCTCGCGCCAACGGACTAAAGGTGAGGAGAGCCCCAGTCCCAGAATTCGAACGAGAGACATATGTGTCTGCACGAACCCATCGTTCATCTAGAGTCGATCCCCAACCGGACCGTGGGCGTCCCGACGACGAACCCAGGAGCAGAAGCCGGGCTAGGAGTAGGGCTAGGAGCAGACCAAGGAGCAGGACGAGGAGCAGGGCTCGCACACAGGTAAGCGCTGTGACAGCGAGGCCGCCGCCAACGAGAACAGCGTACAGCACCGCGCCGAGCCGTATTTCTGCAAGGAGGATACCCCTGCCCAAGAGCGGAGCGGGAAGCAGCCAGGTAGGATGGGAGGCGCGAGACATCCCTCTACCGATGAGCGGAGTTGGCAGCAGCCATGCTGACTGGGACGACGACATGGAGAGCCTCGCCCCAAGCGACAGCATCAGCTGTATAGGGAGCAAGAGTAGCAGACGTGCCCGCAAATACCGCCATTAGAATAGGTGGCGGGCCGGCGCCTCTTGCAAGAGGCTTTATGATGTGTTTCAGTATCTGATATTCGGGCCCAACAGGACGGATTTGGTGTTTTTTTTTTACGACAGGTTCTTCTTCTTCTTCGTCATATTTTTTAAGAGAATTGTATAATAGCCGGCACATGCAGAGAGGCGATCATGAATTAAGCCCCCAGAACTGAGTTTTCATTCAAATATGTTCCATTCCTCCCAACCAATACCCCCTCCCATCATCCCGTCGGTGCCAATGGCAACACGCACACATCCACCAGAGGGATCAATTCGTAAGTAGAGGGGTGCCGTTTTCCCCTTGGAGAGAGGAGGGGCATCGTTAAAAAAAAATTGCCCCTCCCCCACCTTGACTCTCGACTCATGCCACCCAACAAGCAGCCGGGACGAATGACGGACGAGCATTGCTTCTCCTGATGCTGTGCACCCAGACCGAAAGCAGGCCAAGGGTGAAGTGAGGTTAGCATATATTTTGATTAGCATCCGTCCCCCAGGGAAGATGGGTGCATTTTAGTACATGGGTTCAGGATGGAGGCACTCCGATCGTCGGCGTCTGTAGTATGACTACGGCCACACGCTAGACGCAGCAGCACCGCACAAGAACCAGCTTGAAGCCGGAAACTGGAACTTGGGAGAGCGAAAAAAAAATCAGTGACTGCATCCACAACTCTCCACTCCGAGACTGGGCCGCCCACCACCAGACAGGCCCCGAATTGACTGTCGCATGCAGCATCACCTCCTGGCTGGCCGACTCGATTAATTACTGATTGGTATGCCTGCAATTGGTTGCCAGCACATACGTATTCCCACACACTGGCACTGGCACTGAGACCCGCCTTCATCCTGTCTGTGATCAACGCGCGCCCAGGGGGAATTATCATCCCCCCCTTGTCATATCACGCCGCTGCTCGGGGGAGTCATTCTGACCGAGTGCATTAAAAGGCATAACACGCTCCTGTTTAGATACACCACTGTACGATAACTATTTAGATCTCCCTGCGCACTTCATTCCCAACCTAGAATCAAAGTATTGTTCCAGAAACCAGAAACCAGCATCCATCCACTATGCCCTCGTTCGACTTGGGCGAATCAATTCCCCCTGACACGGCTCATGTGAGTTCAGTTCTCAGGCCTCAGGCCCAGTCACTCAAGACGAAGCACCTGCTAATCCAAGATGATTATTTGCCATTTATGACAGGCCGTCAGTGTGTCTCTGCCAACATGGAGATCAAATGTGGGTTACGAAGAAGGCGAGCGGTGGGTTGTAGACAAGATGACCACCGGTTACCCCAGGTGAGTGAGTTTCCTCAGAGTAACGATGATGCGTTCTAACATTCTACTTAGATTCTTCGTCCATCGAAGCATTGCCAGCTTTGCTAAGGACATTGCTGAGAAATATGGAAAACCCGGCCAGCAAGCCATGCTCTTCCCACTCCCCTCCGTGGCCAAGAGGTGTCTCGAGTTCATGAAGCCCCGGGTCTCCTCACCCGCAGTCTTCTCAGAGATCTCGATAGTAGACCTCTCTCTCGACCCGTCTCAAGAAGTCTCGCCCATGCTGCGAAAACTATCACCCACAATCTCAGCCGTTGTCTACCCAGATGAATGCCAACCTATTGCCAAGCAGTACTGGCAACACACCGGTGACGGTGTCTCCAGCCGGAGAGCTGAATTCTGCCACGACCTTTTCAAGAGCGAACTTCTCATCCCAACCTCCTCACCCAGTGTCCGAACTCCTCCCCAAGAACCAGCCACCCCTCGGCCCTTCAAGGGCCCCAGACGCTACCAGCGACCCGGTTCCATCGACGGCATCAAGAAACCCCCCTCCCCGCCTGCATCCGCGGGACTAAACGGCAACGGCAACTCCATCAACGAGTCCCAGGAGAGCTCTCGCTTCGTCGAGGAGCGCTTCGGGCGCAACCTCGACCTCTCGCTCGTCGAGCGCGCCAAGTCCGCCATCAGGAGACGCATCGCCGGCGCCGTCGCCGCCGACCTCCCGGACCAGGCCCTCCCCGCGGGCGTCAACATCGGGCCCAACTCCCGCGGCCTCCACACCCTGCGCGAGAACGACGTCTATCTCTTCCCCGCAGGGATGAACGCCATATTCAACGCCCACCGCGCCCTCCTGGCCGCCGCAGGCGATGCTCCAAAGAAGAGCATCAACCTGGGCTTCCCCTACGTCGACACCCTCAAGATCCTACAAAAGTTCGGTCCCGGGTGCGTTTTCTACGGCAACGGCTCCGACGAGGACCTCGACGACCTCGAGGACCGCCTGCGCAACCGGGGGGAGCGTTTTCTCGGCCTCTTCTGCGAATTTCCCGGGAACCCCTTGCTCAAGTGCCCGGACCTGGCCCGCATCCGCCGCCTCGCCGACGAGTTCGGCTTCGCCGTCGTCGTCGACGAGACCATCGGTACCTTCTCCAACATCAACGTCCTGCCCGCCGCCGACATCGTCGTCAGCAGCCTGACCAAGATCTTCTCGGGCGCCTCCAACGTCATGGGCGGCAGCGCCATCCTGAACCCCGAGGGCAGGCACTACGAGTCACTAAAGAGGGCCATGGAGGACAACTACGAGGACACGTACTGGCCCGAGGACATCGTGTTCATGGAGCGGAACAGCCGCGACTTCTTGGACCGCGTCGACCGCATCAACGCCAACGCGGAGGCTATCTGCGACGTGCTGCGCTCGCACCCAGCCGTCAAGGCCGTCTACTACCCCAAGCACAACCCCACCAAGCCCTACTACGACGCCTACCGGCTCCCCAACGGCGGCTACGGCGGCCTCCTCTCCGTCGTCTTCCACCACCCTCCCCAGGCGGTCGAGTTCTACAACACCATGGAGATCGCCAAGGGCCCCAGCCTGGGGACCAACTTCACCCTGGGCTCCCCGTATGTCCTCCTCGCCCACTACGGCGAGCTGTCCTGGGCCGCCGAGTATGGCGTCGACCCCGATCTCGTCCGGCTGAGCGTTGGCCTGGAGGAGACGTCTGATCTGGAGGAACGGTTCCGCAAGGCCCTTGCAGCAGCGGAGAACGCCTCGACGGGGACCGGATCTGACGCCCCGGCGCAATGATTGATTAGCCTCGCCCGCCCCTCCCCCTCGAGCTAGAATGATGCAGCTCATCTCGGACTGACCGAGTTAGCGGAGGAGGTCGTGGAGGCGATGGGATAGGGGAGGGAGCCCACGTGCGAAATAGCAATCTTAAAACGACGCTTGGAGCACCCTCATCACAGTCCCCCCATTCCGATGTAAAAGGCGGTTGTATATAGTTGTTGTGAGGGCCGCGTTCAAGGCGGGACTCAATCAAAGAACAATGAATAATTATCCAGTGAGAGTGGTTCCCTTCCAAATGATGTCCATAGTTGCGAAAGCGCTAGCAAAGCAAGTTCATCAAATCACATTACGCTGCACTCTTGATGTTTATATCCCGGGCCGTAGTCTTCCAGCCCACGCTCCATTTGGTTGTGGCGCTCCTTGTCCGAAACTTCTGTGGGAAAGTGTTTCTTCATGTACTTTGCCAGATCGTCGTCCAGGTGCACTAGGTAGTTTCCCACGCGGTTAGCTGCCTTGACGGCTCCCACGTGCTCGGACCATTGGTCCAGGATCGGTGGAACTTACTGATCGTGGCCTTCATCACCACGTCTGATCTACAGAGCGGGCAGTGCGACTCGCGGGTGCGCTGTATCTTGATGATGCAGCGAAGGCAGAAGATGTGGCTGCAGTCGAGCTTGACGGGGCGGTATGCCACCATGAAGCAGATCGGGCACAGGTAGTCGTTCAGCTGGGGCACCACGTTGGTGAGGTGCTGGGACATCTGCGCGCAGACGTCCCTGCCGATCGCGCCAGTCATGAACTGGTGGGACTGGATTGCGGACCGGAATGATTTGGAAATGCCAAAGGACGTTCGCTTGTCAAACTCTACCAGGCAAGGTTGGCGCGGTTAGCGTTGGTTGGTCTCCTAATCGCTCTACCTTCATTCGAAGTAGGTACTCACTCTTCAGGATTTTGTGGACAGCAAGCTGGTTGATCTCCTGGAACTGGAGCATCTTGAGGAGGTTGGCGTTGATCCGCAGGAACCGGTCGTAAGCCACTTGGCTCTGGGGGATCTTGAAGATCCTCTGCAGCTCCCGCTTCTTGACCTCGGCCTGGAACCACTGCAGCTTCTTCAGCGCAAGCTGGCTGGATCGGGCGCCGTGCTCCTGCTCGTGGGTCGCGAAAAACACCTCGGCGTCGAGGTACAGCTCGAAGATGTTGCGCCAGGGGATCATATCCGTCCTGTGCACCTTGCGAGGCTTTGTGATTTGCGCCAGGTCCTCGCCGAGGGCCTTGATCTCGTCGCTCATTTGCTGCCGCTCGGTGTCCTGGAGGGAATCGATGTTGCTGACATCGTTCTGGAGCATCTCGAAGAACTCGTGGTCGAAGACGAGAGGTAGTTCGATCGTTTCATGCCTGCGGTGCTTCCTGTGCTGAGTTTCTGAATTCTGGTCTTGGCCGGAGACGTCGTCATCTTGCCCTGCATCGGATGAGTTGCCAGAGGTACTGCCAGAGTCAGTTTGGTGGCCATGTCGCACTTCTGAAGCAATCTTCTCGAAAAATAGACGGGAGGCCGGTGTCAGGGAGGCTTCGACAATAATATCGTCTTCGAGGTAGACGTCGACCGTAAGCGTTGGTCTGACGATATCAGAATTCTCGGAGGCTACGAGAATGATTAGCAAGTGCAGTCGCTTAAGCAAAAAGCGCAAGGTAATACTGTACCAATTAGTCGATACTTGAGAGCGACGGGCGAGTGATTCTCGGGGTCGATGAGAGACTGAAGCGTGTCGTGGTCCAACCCCAAATCCTTGAGTTCTTTCAACACCTTCTTCAAACACTTCTTAAGCTGGCCGTAGGGAATTGCATGCTCAACCCAGTGGGACGGGAAGTCTGCATTATTGAGTGGTTAGGGACTGACATTCCAGCTCGTGTACGGGGTTGACGAGGCAAGAATACGGGGGTTTAACCTACCCTGAGTGGCAAGCGTTTCCTTGAAATCTTGGCCGAACTTCATGATGGCGGTCTATAGGCAACGGCTGAAAACAAGGCTAAATAGCAACCTTTACGGGCGGACAATGCAAACAATCACGAAGCAGTCATAGTCCACTTGGGGAAAGCAACAGACAAGAGACAGAAAGGGGTATCGTCGAAGACATTAAACCAGATCAATTTCCAAAAATTGGCTAAAAGGGCGGGCGGCGGCGCAGAAGGGGAGGGATGGAGGGGACTATATACAAACCAGGTGCCATGCAAACCATCCCCAGCCCTTGGCACCCTGTTGATACTTGAATGAGCAAGCGCGTGATCAGTTTCCTGGTCGAGCAGACAGACACAGTCTAGGGTGTGCGGCTTGCGCCTACGCGAAAATCGAGAACATGGACAAGCACGGGCCCAGGGCTGCCAAGTAGCAGTACCCGGTGGCTGCTGCAGCGATTATTACCAGCCAGGTAGCGGTACTCGCCGTGCCGAACTTCCAAGTCATGCCTGGATGATGTGCCTGGTTAGCTCGACGAACTGGTTTGACAAGCACTTGTATGATTGGCCGTCTACTGCCCTGCAAGGGGGCCACGCGGGGCAGTTGTAACGAGAATTTTACATTCAACCGTCTTGAATCGTCATCATCTAGGTACTTTTCGGCTCTCGTAAGATCTCGGCCGCCTCTTGGCATAAATTTACCTCCCGACATTGTACTACGGACTAGAGCCATTCTAGAGCAATCGAGGCGCCGTGGCTGTCCCGATGCTGGAAGCTCGACAGATTCGGGCCTAGGTGTATACCTGGCCATAGAACATTCCAATCCGCTCTTGGTTTGTAGGTCGCAGTCAGTACTGTCTTGACTGTCCAGGTATATCGATAATGTAGATCAGATCAGTGGCTGATCTGATCCGCCACTGGGATAGCAGCTAAGGTCTAGGGGGCAGACAAGCGAACAGCCCAAGAGGAACCGACTTTTCCCATATCACGTGAATGCCAAATCAATTATCAGCATCTTCAACGTGCCCAAGACATAGGTATGAAAGGACTAATTCCCATGCTACCTCATGTCATATGCATGTCGAAATTTTCATGTCTAGGGTATGAGAGAACATGACCCTGAATGAGTCAATGAGGGGCAGGCGGGGCACCCCCAAAAGCTAGAACGAGCGGCGAAGCCAAGAAGGCAGAAAATAGCGGCTTCGTGCCACCAATGACCGGTTTGCACAGTCATTCGGCGTACATACGTGTGCGCATTATTTAGGCCACCATTTGACAATTTCGCGATAACCCCATCGTGTTAAATAAAAGACGGAGCAACCTTTCGCATTTGGGGATGGGAATTAAAACCGCAATACACGATCTAGTCACCCCTGTCGCCCTATCCATATCCGATCTAAATGGGTGCGCAACAGTCCTCCAGCCAGGGTAGTGGCAACGACGCCGCAGCTCCCACGCAAAAGACGTGCTACTACGAGCTGCTAGCAATCGACAAACATGCTACCGATGAAGAGTGAGCACGGCGCACGAAGCCAGCCCCCCTCCAAACGGCTGGGCAAGAGTTATGAACCAGGGCGTTAACGTTGACGAGGATCAAAAAGGCCTACCGTAGAAAGGCGCTCGAACTCCACCCCGACCGTAATCTAGATAATGTTGCCGTCGCGACTCAGAAATTCGCTGAAGTCCAATCCGCCTACGAGGTCCTCTCCGACCCCCAGGAGAGGGCATGGTACGACTCCCATCGTGATGCCATCCTCCGCGGGGAGGACGGCGGCGACGGCGGCGGCGACCAGCCTTCGACCTTCCGCAATGTTCGCTTGACCTCCACCGAGGAGATCCTGAGCTTGATGCGAAGATTCAACACTACCATACCCTTCAACGACGAGCCCACGGGCTTTTACGGGATCGCGCGGGAGACCTTCGAGCACCTGGTCCTGGAGGAACAGGCCGCCGCCGACTTTGACGACGTTGACTGCCCCGACTACCCCACCTTTGGCCAAAGCGACGACGACTACGACACGGTGGTCAGGACCTTCTACAGCTCCTGGACCAACTTCTCGACCAGGAAATCCTTCTCGTGGAAGGACAAGTACCGACTGTCGGACGCGCCCGACCGTCGCGTCCGCCGCCTGATGGAGAAGGAGAACAAGAAGCTGAGGGAGGACGCCGCGCGCGAGTTCAACGACGCCGTCCGGTTCCTCGTCACCTTCGTCCGGAAGCGCGACCCCCGATACCTCCCCAACAGCCAGACCGAGTCCGACCGCCAAAAGGCCATGCGCGACGCGGCGGCGGCGCAGGCGGCTCGCTCGCGCGCAGCCAACCAGGAGAAGCTCGCCTCGGCCCAAGTTCCAGATTGGGTGACGGCTCGGGAGAACGAGGCCGAGGAGGACCATTTCGAGGAGTCCGAGGAGGAGGAAGAAGAAGAGGAGTCTGAAGTCGAGGTTCTAGAATGCGTTGTGTGTAACAAGGAGTTCAAGAGTTTAAACCAGCTTGAGGCCCATGAGAGAAGTAAAAAACACACGAAAGCTGTGCAGCAGCTTCGTCGTCAGATGAGGAAGGAGGGTGCTGAGTTGGAGCTGGACTCGACGACGAAATCACACCCGAAAGAGGAAGCGAAATCTAAGTCGAAATCGAACTCAAAGAACAACTTGGATTCGGAATCAGAATCTGAGGCTGATGCGCCACACGCTCCAAGTCCCTCTTCACCAAGCATTACACCACAAGAAGATTTGGCTGCAGAGGATACCAAGAAAAACGAATCGCAGAGTCCAGAGCAGGATGCCGACACGCCCAGTTCTGACGACGGTGATTATGCGCCTCGCAGCGCTGTCCAGGATCGGTTGTTCGAGTCGAACTTACACGTTATCGTGGACGAAAACGACCAAGAGCTGGCTGCAGCGTTAGACGAAACCTCCATCAACGAAACTACCGCACCAGAAAAGAAAAAAGGAAAGGCAAAGATGAAGAGAGAAAAGAAGGCGGCCCGTGAAGCAGAGACTACCGACACAGTATGTACCGGCGCCGTTCCCGCGTTGCGCTACGAAATTCAGTGGCCAGTACTGACGCAAGTTTCTAGAATCGATGCGGTGTGTGCGCAGAGACTTTTCCGTCACGGACAAAGTTGTTTCAGCATATTAATGATGAGGGTCATGCTACGCCTGTGCCTTCAAGTAGCAAAAAAGGCACCAAGGGTAAGAAGAAGCGATAGACACCCAGCTTCCCTCACAATTATGAAAATTAGAAAGAACGCTTTGTGTATTCAACTAAGGCTAAAGAAATTCGCATATAATATGGGCGCATATTCGTAATGCCCAATGAGTGCGGCCATCACATTTCAAACAAATCGAAGTTACCAGAGCGCCAAGAGGGGTTCGGTCCCAGAACGCCATAATCGCCGAGATAATGATAACAATCGAAAAAAGCTGGGACTATTTGTCCAGGATCGTATCCTCATCTTCTTCGTCATCGCTCAAAGGCTCAACTTCATCAATAGCTCCTTCTCTGCCCTCGGGTCCGTAGCCCCCAGGCAGGCTAGGGTCGTGGTCTGCAACGTGAATGATCGCTTTGCCCTGTACATGCTTGACGCACCGCTTCCAGTCCTTCCAGTCATCTTCGGAGCGGATTAAGAAGCCGACCAGCATGCTAGGGTCCATTTCGCGAACGTGAATACGTCGGAGTCGATTCGTATGGCAGGAATCAATCTCCTCATCCGTATATTCAGCTAGGTTTTCGTGATATGGTAGAGCTCTCCTTGTATGATGAGGATCTAGATAAAAGAGAAATGAACCTTGAGCTCCAGCGAAGTAGTGAGCTGATGAAGGGCGTCCACTATGGTGACTGTTAGAGCATATCACTAGCGTTTGGGGCCTGAGGACAACCTACCCAGCAATACCAACAGACTGTGGCATTTGCAGAGCCGCAATGAGTGCCTCCCAATAAACAGGCGTGATCTTGTCGATGCCCAGCCTAGTTCCCACCAGGATCAGAGTCGGATGGAATTCCTCGCCGTCAGGCTTAGCAACCTTCATGAAACTGTCCTCGTAGACGTCGGGCCCTTCTCCAGTCGAATAAACCCGTAAAGATGGCTCATGAGCATTGGCCAGGGCGCTGTAACGGGCCAGTTAGCTGTGTTCATCGAGCCCTAAAGCTAAAGCGTGCAGAGCCCAACACTTACCGAATGCATCTAGCAGTAGCGGATGGTCCAAACCACTCTCCGGGGTATTTCCCACAAGCTTCTGCCCCATGCTTGACAAAGTTATGAATCGAGTATGGGGCCTTCGGGTCATCAGAAAAGCTACGAATGAGCTCTCGCTCTTCTTTCTTCAGACTTCCACGACGCCAATCTATTCCGATGTTAACATAGAGTTCCTTCCCCACGGGAGACAAAGGAGCAGAGGGAGTATATATACCTCGACCCAGTCGTAAGATAGCAATCGAATTGGCGAGAAGGCTCTGACCAGATCTAATCATACACCCCCATCCGCTGTCCGACGAGAATCCAGTCTGGTCTCCACCTAACTGGCTCTTAATACGCATGGAAAGTGAAAGAGACGACCGTGCCTTCGGGTCAGAGGATCTTGCGATAGGCTCAAATTCAAACCTATATGTCATCCAGAACTTGGATTCAAAGTCGTCCAAAAATCCCTGGGGCCAGTTTCCAGCGTCGGTCGACTCATCATATGCGAGTGAAGATGAGAAGCTACTGGAAGTCGAGTCTGGTGGTGTCTCAAGAGCTGAGTTTGTTGCAGGGACAGGTTTGGCCCTATCCTCTTTCAGCGACTCTACACTTTCAGCAGTTGGAGTAGTATCCCTCTCGATGGTTTTGGTGCTGCTGTGGCTTGCCAGCTGGTATGAACGGCCTAAACACCATATAGGCTGGTCCTGGATTGCATCGTTAACTGGTTCTGGATCCCAAAACAGCTGCACTATGCGACGGTAAGGTCCCAGGTCGACGTTGGCCAACTTGCTCTCCATAACGAACTTCTGTCAAGGCGCAACGCGTATATAAATAGCCCAGAATTTGGGATGCGTTTGTGCGGATATGAAACCAGGACACCTCACAGGTCAAAGATGGAGGTGAGAGCCAGAACGATCCGTCGTTGAATAGGCGGGGAGGAAAATCAGACGCGGCCGATGATCACATATAGAAGCGATGTGGGCAATAAGGCCAGACGTATCAGAATGTTCCTTGGACACCAGTACTAGATGGTTCGGCTTCGACAGCGTGGGGAATTTGATGAAGGTATGCTCGAAGTATCACAAACGATAACCCCAGCTCCACCTAGAGACACACGCTGCACAGACGTATCTGGGGGAAAGCTGGATGGTGATGGCTGATTTCCAAGCAGGTGCGGAGCCCCCTTTGGACAGTATTAGCGGACGAACTTCCAAGGCCTGGCGATGCAGAGAGACGAAGGCACAGCGATATGCCTTAATGACCTGAGAGTCACAATCCCAAGCACGAGGCAATGACGACGTAAGTTGATCATCAGTCATCCACCAGGCCGAATGAATAGCGGCTGGAAGCTGCGGCCAGGTGGGGCCCTCGACCCCGCTACAGCTGACTTCTGCCTTAGAGATGGGTCCCCTCAGGCCAGGTAGCACTTCAATGTGTACAAAGCTAACTTGCCGCTGAGAGGCCGCATGACAGGTCCAGTAGGCCAGTGGAGGTCCGCTTTGTAGGGACTTAGGGAGACAGCGAACCACTGAAGCAACTGCTGTGTCTTCCTCACGTTAGGCATACCGAGGTACTCACCTAGCACTCAGTTGCTACTTATCTCCAAAAATGAGGCAAGCAGTAAATTTGGATTCAGGGAAGACATTGGCACATTGGCATGAGTAGACATCCAATATCATATACCCATCAATCACTTTTCCCAGGCAGAAAAGTATTGGCTGCATCTTCCAACAATGACAGCACCTGGAACATCCCGATCGCCCACCTTGTCCCCGTAACAAGTGGATCAATGTGCAAGCATTATCGATAGCGCTTTTCTAGGAAGGCACTGCTGACGGCATTCATTGAAGGTTTCTTTGTTTGTACCTGCCTAAGCTCACCAAGAAAAGAGTCATCCAGACTCATCCTCACTGTTCAAGAACCCACCCAAGCTTCGCGGCTCAAATCTTTTTATCCTGGACGCATTCACTGTCTGTGACTTCCCATCCCCATTTAATTTTGACCCTGGGCGATTCCATCGAATACGATCGCCGTAACCTCTGTCATTTCGTTATTTGATATACCTACACAACAAAAAACCCTAATTACCTAGCCTTTAGCCACCTCTCAACATGGATTGTACTGTATTACACCATCACTAGAATATGGCAAAGAAACAAAAACGAGGGGGTGCTTCAACCCCGAGAGGTAGTTCAACCCCGAGAGGTGGGAGGGGTGGCAGAGCTGGCATTCGTGCAGGTGGTCGATTTGCACCCCAGATCACGAACACACCACCAAATGGTTCATGTGAGTAATTGATTTGTTTGTCAGAAAACGAGGGCCTGGCAGCCATGTGCACCCTACACGAGTGTACCCCAAATGCTAAGCCATGTTAGACATGAGCCTTGCCGAAGAGGCACGGCAAACTTCCAGGCAGAATCATTCATTCTGGGAGCAGGGTTCCAGCCTCCGTAGCAGACCAGTGAAATTTGTCAGTGCTGGGACAAGCGAGCCGCTGAAGCAGCTCGATGAAGAAATTGTCAAAGCAGATGATGCGCAGTTGGTCCGATCTCTTCACGAAGAGGCCACGCCGCAAGTACCGGATGCAACAATCCCCAGTGTCCATGTCAGCGATCCCGCACTTGACGATGAGTCGAAAACGGAGCCGGCATCTCCAGCAGAATTGCCCCGCGATGAGCCAGACAAGTCCTTGGGTGATGAAAGTTCGGCTGATAGCATAATTGGTCCTGAAGAATTAGAACAGGGACTTCAATCCGATGAGCCTGCAGAGGCCGAGCCGGCTTCTTATTGCATCGACTTGAAGGGCGACACTGAAAAATCTATTGGACCTAAGTTGCCTCTGGTACTACCTGAACATCCAGAGCTGGACAAAGACACCTCCAGCGAAGACGAAATTCTACTTTTCAAAGGCCGAGACAAGCCACGGGTGCCCTCGCAGCCAACGACGATTTCAGTGACACAAATGCAGACTGAAATACGAGTTGTAGAGGAGCAACTCGAAGCAAGTTCACAACGTCAAGCTTCTACCGAGGCCCCTAAGAAAACTAGTCGTGAGAGGAGACGCAATCAGAGGCAGCCGAAGAAGTATCGACATAACAATGATGAGGACGAGTTGATAGCCGACTATGTCGCAAACATGCGAGAGAACGGGGAGATGGCTGACATTCTACTCCCAACCCCTCTCAGCCGGCGAGATTTGGGAGGCTCACCAAGCCCTATCATGTCAGACGCCACTGATAATGAAGAGAATGAGAATAGTCAGGCTTCTACTAAAGATCAGACTCGTGAAAACGACACAAGGGAGGGAGGCTCGGGTACCAAGGCCGACGAGTATGCGTCGGAGAGCGAGCTTGACGATGAAGCTCTTGCAAAACTCCTTTCTCAAGGCCAGACGACCTACAGCCTTGAAGGTATTGTTGCAAGCTCTTCAAGTTCCAGTGACTCGGATGAATCCGACGCAGACCCCTTCCGAACTACCGACGCGGATGACCTTGATATGTACATGGACTGGGAACGTCCGAGTTTGCTTGCACAAAGCAAGAGACGAAAGAAAAAATCCGCTCTAGGTCGGATAAACTACACTGGTTCCGACCCAGAGATCGAGCAAAGATTACAACTTGCGTGGAGCAGCGATCGACTTAAAAAGGCGGAACGCAAGAAACAACGTGAGGAGTTGCGAGCACTTGGTCAGCTTGGTAAAAAGACAACGTCTCCTGGGGACTTGAGAGTCAAGTACCCGAATGGTATGACTATTGACCAGATTACTGAGGAGCTGAGGGCATTTCTGCTCGATTCAGAACCAACGTAAGTTATCTAGCATCCAGGCCAAATTCGCGGCGCCAATATATCTTTGCCAGAACTGACGCTTTCTAACTCTTTCCAGTCTCACATTTCCACCCATGGACACTCACGGACGCAAAGTGCTCCATGAGCTTGCAAACAAATTCAATATAAAATCCAAGTCCACTGGTAAATCTGATCAACGCCGAACGACGCTGTATAGAAACAACAGAACACTACCGTTCACAGAGCCGAAGTTTGACCAGGCCGTCGGAAGAATACACCGAAAGTATTTCCCACGACTTGACACCAAAGGTAAAAGAGCGCCGCGGACTCAAGCCAATAGATCTGGCCACGCCGCCGCGAGCTACCACGAGGGCGAAATTGTCGGTGCAGCCGCTCCAGAATTGGGCAGCGAAAATCGCGGCCGCGCCATGCTGGAGAAAATGGGATGGAGCAGTGGAACCGCGCTGGGTGCTATGCACAACAAGGGTATTCTGCAACCAGTTGCGCAAACGATGAAAAAGGGCAAAGCAGGTCTTGGCTGATGTGACGTGCGGGTCGCGAACTATATGTTGTGCATCGGTGTTGCTGGTCTCCCTAGATAGAGCAGACCGAAAATCTGTGTTCAGTATGTGGTTAGGTAACATAAAAGCAGATGTCACAGGTTGCGAAAATAGAAAGCGATGTGAGTGGTTCAGGATATCATGTGCGATAATTCTCATTGATTTTCGAGTCCCAAACCTCGAATAGTGTACAACCGCGAACCCCAATTGCCCGTTTGAAAACATTGACCCCAAAAGCAAGACCATCCGTAACGCATTAATAAAGATCCCAATCGAGCAAGGTTTCCCTTGCTACCAGCGGGGAACAGCTCATGAAACCCCGATGCCGCGCGATTAAAAGACTCAGATACCCAGCACTGGGCACTGTTGGCCAGCTTATTTGGTGGAGGATGAGTACTTGGTGACGGCCTTGGTACCCTCAGAAACGGCGTGCTTGGCGAGTTCGCCGGGCAGGATCAGGCGAACAGAAGTCTGGATTTCGCGGGAGGAAATGGTAGACTTCTTGTTGTAGGCAGCAAGCTTGGAAGCCTCAGTGGCGACGCGCTCGAAGATATCTGATTGTTGTGTTAGAAAAGACGCGTCAAAGATGTATGAATTCGAAACCCGGAATGACTCACCATTGACGAAAGAGTTCAGGATGGACATGGCACGGTTGGAGATACCAGTGTCGGGGTGGACCTGCTTGAGGACTGGATTGACTCGAATTAGTATATGGTTTTCAAATCAGGTTCAAATGGCTCTGAACTCACCCTTGTAGATGTAGGAGCTGTAAGTCTCCTTGCGGGTCTTGGTGCGCTTCTTCTTGTCACCAGAGGCAGCAGTCTTCTTTCCGGCATCCTTCTTCTCAGGAGCCTTGGAGGCGACGGGAGCCTTGTTGGCGGGACGCTTGTCGGCAGCAGCTTTGGGAGGCATTTTGGCTGGTTTGAAAGGTGAAAAATTGATTTCAGAAAAAACTGCGTGAAGTTGACCTGAGTCTGTGAGTGAAGTGCGTGTAGACGGCGTGTGTTGATGGAAAGTGGATGACGAAGGAGGGAAGAAGTTTGGGGGTGGGCTTGGGTATTTGTAGCTGGACGCGTTGCCGCAACAGAGGGTTACTGATTTCCTCCCTGCGCGCCGCGAAACCGACTCGCTGTGGAGGCGGCAATGCGCTGATGGCTGGTGCAGGCAAGCGCACCAGGGAGGCGTGTGGTTGGCTGGGCGGCTGGTTGGGCGGGCCCACCGGGTGCTGCTGCGGGCCTGCACGCAATTGGGCGGGCGCGTTCTGGACGATAAGTTCACTGATCTTGGCCTGGTAAGCAGACTGGCGCGCACGAGCCACTGCGCCCGATTAGGCGAACTTCTGCTTTTCGAAATACTCTACCACTAGCCTGAACTCTTTTTTTGATTGGTCAGATAAATCAACATTTGCCTTCACGCGAATCCACTACCCTACATCCCTTGTGTTTTCCACGAGGGCATCGCGATATTCCTTGTGCACGGCTAGGTGAATAGAAATGTAACAGTAATCATGAACTCACGCGCATCCGTCTAGTCTGACGTTGCCAATTTTTAGCCTTCAATTTGTGAATGTTTTTGTTGGTATTTTGAAAGAGCCATTGTTGGAGTATGTAATGGTGTGATACTGACAGCTCCTTGGCTTCACATTAACACATTGAGGACCAAATCGCGAAGTAGAAGCAGGTGGGCACATTGCATAACACGAAGGAAAACAGAGAACACATGCACACTACGCCATATCCGCTCCGACAAAAAAATGAATAGTGGCAAGAAGCACTGCGATGAACCTAATTGCTCTGAGCTGTTCGAGCTGGCTCCACCAAATACAGTGACGTCGATGGAGGCAACCGTTCAAAGCTTGGGGAACAAGATCCAGAGCATCCACTCGAATCTGCATACGACATGGTACTCGTTACTGGTCCAACCTTGCCCGGAAAGGAGCGTTGCTTCATACATAAGCTTCACGGCAGTTGTTATGCATACACAAAGACTAGCTGATGCAAAGTGGTGGGTGCAGCTTGCTGTTCAGGGCTCGGAGATTGCACCTCCTTACGAAGTCTCGTTTATGATCAAATGCAACACGTAGGAAGTTCATCACGCATACTACAAGCACAGCACGCAATAAGCAATGCACAATCAAGCCACGACCCGAAGAAGACGGGCCATGAGAGGCAACCACGAATGAAAAAAAAGAGAAGGAGATGAGTAGAGACACATTGCTTCAAACCAAAAAGGAAAATGAGCAACCTGCTTGGAAATCACGAGAACGGAAGAGCCAATGAACCATGAGTGAAGGAAACGCATGCGATCTTGATTTCGGGATGGCGACAGAGATGCGCAGTTCCGTGCACGAACACCACAGCAAGGGAGATCAGAAAGAGAGATCGAGCGCTGAGCGTGCTCTCTTTCTTTGGAGGCAGTGGCAGAGCAGAATAAAATACAGGGTCGCATTAGGCAAGGTGGGTGCGAGGCTGCTACGGATTGGTTGATTTGATTTGTTTTTTTTATTGCTGCTGCTCCTAAAATCCGGCGCGCCCAATTTCCGTGTTGGGGTTAGCGCGGAATAACGCCAGAGGTGAGGGATGGATGGGTGATCCGCGATGACAGCTTGCGCGCGCCGAAAAGTACTTAACCTCAGGGCCCCGCCAACCTCATCGCTTGCTCCCTTTCACTCTCAATTGTTATCCAACGCAACCCGTCTACTCACTGCTCCAACTCGTCTTCTCGACCTCGCCTCACTCCAACTTCTCAACTTTTTCAAGTTTTTTCCAACCCCAACCAAATCAATCAAAATGACTGGCGGCGGCAAGTCTGGTGGCAAGGCCTCTGGCTCCAAGAACGCTCAATCGTAAGTGTTTATCCATTTCAAACCGAAGTCGCGTCCCAAATCACCCGAAGTGACGCGTTCATTCACCGGTTTTCATTCCATGATCTTTGACTAACATTCAACAGCCGTTCCTCCAAGGCCGGTCTCGCGTTCCCCGTTGGTCGTGTCCACCGTCTTCTCCGCAAGGGCAACTACGCCCAGCGTGTCGGTGCCGGTGCTCCCGTCTACCTCGCCGCCGTTCTCGAGTATCTCGCTGCTGAAATCCTTGAGTTGGCTGGTAACGCTGCCCGTGACAACAAGAAGACCCGTATCATTCCCCGTCATCTCCAGCTCGCCATCCGAAACGATGAGGAGTTGAACAAGCTTCTGGGCCACGTCACCATCGCCCAGGGTGGTGTCCTTCCCAACATCCACACAAGTGAGTTATTTTCCCATCTCATCCAGGCCATACTTCACATACTAACGCGTTTGATCCAGACCTCCTGCCCAAGAAGTCTACCGGCAAGGGTGGAAAGGGACCCAGCCAGGAGCTGTAAGCGCTTCTATTGGGTTTTGCTTTCTCGCGATAGTTGGTTTGGGTGTCATGACATTTGGGGTCTCGGTTTAGGGTTAACGGTTGCTTATTTTACGCGTTTGGGTTGTACTATAATCGCCTCGGCTATGGTCACGAATCAGAATACCATTTCAAGATGATCATATTTGTTCCTGGTTTCGTGACTCTCATCTGGACCGCGTCTTTTGATTCACGTTTGTTCAGCGCAATTGCAGCTTAGTTCTCGACACAATCGCATATTTGCATTGGCTTCGCCCAGCTTGTTTGGTCAAGTGTGCGCGAGTTGTGTTTGATGTCTTACACAGCATGGCATTTGGTAAGTTGTCATTTGGCGCGAACGACGTCGCGGCGCTGGAGTTTGATACTTGCGAGACAACGCAATTTCTCGGTAGAGCCGATTCATTGGTTTGCGATATGTGTCGTGAATAGCGACGTGGATTTCTGTGATCTGCGATGGTCATCACGAGGAGTTGCATTTTCGTCGGAATCTCTTGTCGCATGTTGCGCCTGCTTAGGCTCCCGTAAGGGCACGAATATGTGGTTTGGAGCATCTCTGAGACGCCGACATTATGTTATATGGATGTTTAAATTGGGATTAGCAATAGAAATCAAGGGTTTCGCGGGGTGCACATATAATGTGACCTCTACTAGATCTTTCACGAGTAATTCCTTATTCAGTTGCCATATGGCTGTGTAGAACATCCCCTACGGGAAAATGAAAACTGCATTCCAGTAATGCTAATTGTACCCGACGTCTAAAATATACATATTTGCCTAGGTTTTCTCCATCCAACTCTTCCGGCTTCAAACATGATGGTTGGGTGGTGCTAAAGAGAACATGAGAACTTGAGTCGAGAAGGGTTGCTGGGGTTGCTTTTACTTACGTGTGAGAACTGGAGAGGGTAAGTTTCGCTCGTACTTGGAGCCTACACAAGCTGTTAGAAATATGTCGCACGGAAACAGAATGCATAATCCTATACCTCCGGGTGCTGTGGGATGGACATATGGATCAGGGTGCTTCCAGCTCTCGAGCAGCTTCTCTGTCTCTGATAGGAGTGCCTGTTTTCCGTCAATTAGTCGGCGTCCATTATTTCCAATTCGTGATTCTTTTGCCGCCGGTTGATGCTCACTCTTTGCGTCTTTGGGTCTGAAACATTGCGGTTGGCTTCGAATAGAGATCGGATATAGAGAGCCTGGCCACGCCAGAGGTGGCGGTGAACTGCCCAGTCCAAAGCCAGCTTCAGTGAGCGGCGGTACAGCGATCTATTTCGAGGCAAGAGTTAGCCATCCAGTTTCTCTCGAGTGGGCGGCAGGGTCGGGTGCATATGGGTACTGACAATGCGGCTCGTCGCGTCGTCGACATTGTGAGCGTCGGCAAATAGGCTGGGTTCCTGTGTCCAATTGGGTAAGCGGAGGAACTTTGAATCGGTAATAACAGTCGTCTATGGCAATTGAGACATGAAGTGTGGCTTCTGGCGTACCGGTGATGTTCTCGACGGGCTCGGCTACACTGCACTGGGAGGAAAACAGCTCGAGCTGTGGCGTCTCGACCTGCGCAGATGAGGCACTATTTGTTCTCTGCCGGAGAAAGTCAGTCAATGGCTCGATGGCGCGCATCTCTGGTGGGATTTGTACTTGCTGTGCTGTCGGCGTTTCCTGATCCACCGGTGTCGACCTGAGCTTCCAACGTCGGGATAATTGGCATTCGTTGTGTAGAGGAGTGTGTTGAGGTGCCATTTGCTGCCTTGTAGCCTGGTGCCGAGAAAATACCGATCGTAATGCGGAAACACCTCAATTCTGGTTGGCCACAACATTGCGAGCTATGTACCTACCCTATACCCCTCCTTTCAAGCGTCGAGATCTCTTTCCCGCTGCAAGTAATATCGTGCCCATCTCTCCGCTGATTTTCATGTTGAATGGCTACTGGTGGAAAGCAATATCGTGGAAGCATGGCAGGCAGATTATATGTTCGCTCTCCGGAACGAAAATATCCTTCCGCCCAATTGGCTGGACCATGTTGGCTGCCCCTAAATCTGGGCACCAATGACCGGTTGCAGAAGGACGAGCACATCGAATACAGAAACATGGCTTCCTCCCCGAAGACTGAAGGCGCCCCCGGAACGAGAATTCAGGAGTGAATAATTATGTCGAGTGGTGCTAGGTTGTCTAATGACCGAGTTACTAGCCGAGCAGCTCGTTCTCTACGCTGAACCGCTTAAGAACAAGCCTCATTTCGAAGTATGTGTGTTCCGGTTGGATCACTGATGCTGGCTAGGTTGCTTGGTGATGCAGTAAACTTGGCATACAATCAAGTTTTTTTTTACATTTAATCTTAGTAAGGTAGGTAGGAAACCCGAGACAGTAGGTATACGGCCATACCATGGCCGAGACAAACGTTCGTCTGACGCTTAGCTTGGGGTTGATGAAGGTAACGGTATTGTTTAGCTGAGAAGTGCCTGATAAAGAACGGACTGAATTGTCTACTGCCCCCGCCAACCAAGAGTGTGCATGCATGAATGAATGAATGGCTCTAGCTCAGCTCTCCAAGCACAAACAATTGCCGGTAGCTGGAATGACGAATTGTGGCGCTTGGCAAATGAGAGATGAAGACCACAAAAACTCATAAGAAAACGAAAAAGAACAAAAAAGAAAACAGCAGAAGATTGTTGGTATCCGTAACCTTGCTCGTTATACACCAACAAGCGAAGCGCATCTGACGACTGGTAGGCGCTGTTAGAAGAATCCTTCATGTTTGCACGATTCTGATATATGCAGTGAAGCGGAGCGTATTCATTAGCATTCATCACCCTTGACCAATAATTCTCCCTCCCTCCAGTAAGCCTCTTTGTGCTCAGTTGGCGTCCGGTCCCCTGTCAATCATTTAGGGTGGCCACTGCACGCACTCTGTTGCCCCCAGTAATAGCCGCTAGACTCACTTGCGACAGGGCTCCCTCCCAATCCCCCGTCCTGCTCTCTCACATTACCCACTCGTCACCGTCTCTGCGCAACCAGAACCTCAGACCAGAATCCCCTCAGGAGACCGAAACTACAAAATTCGAATAGGGCCTGACACATACGAGAGAGTCTTTCTGGCATTCGCATATACCACCCGAAGGAAGGCTACCTACTGCCGCACCAGAGCGATGGTTTCTCCCTGGAAGAAGCAACCTGAGGATGTGGTTGATTGCGTGCTGAAGAGAGCAGAAGTGAGCAAGGTTTGTATGCCCAGGAAACCCACTACTTGGCCTCATACGGGAGATACTGACCAGTATACACACAGATCGCTCGAAACCTCCAGAACCGGCTTGCTCTCGCCCAGTTCAAGGCAAAGCATGGCTGGGAGGAGCTCACACTGGACTCGATCGAACCCAAGGTCGAGGAGGAGATCCGGCGGCGCCGTGCGATCGAGGCCGATAACTCTGACTCCTCATCGAGTGTATCCGACCTCCCATATCCCACCAAGGCTCTCATGAGCTCCCCCCTCAAAGCGCCGCTTTTTTCCGACGCCATCGGTTCAAGCAACGGAAGTACTGGACATCGCAAGCGGACATACCACATGTCTTCCTTCGATAACTTCCAGTCGGCGATCGCATCTAGCCCGAGCAAGCGCTATCGAGTCTCGCCAACAGCTCATAGATCGTTTGCGAACCACTCCTCCACCTGGAAAGACAGTCATCAGCTTGCGCAATCCTCCCCCATCAAGCCCCGCCGGCAACAGCACTTTACCACCTCAACTGGCCCAGACGTTTCCTTCTTCCCGAATCTCAACTCACCCCACTTTGCCTCTGCATCTGAGGACGATGATGACCTCTTGCCGGCTCATTCATTTGATGTCAGTGCTGTGCGATCATCGCCTCCCCGAACACCCCCAATGCAAACCCGCAGCATCGGTCGAAAGAATAAGGAGAGCAAGAACACATCCCAAGGCGGCAAGTCTGGTGAGGAGGGAGCCGACCTCCTACTATACCTTGCCGCCTCTCCTTCTCCAGCTGTGAAGCCTCGGCGCACTGAGATGGAGCCCCCCTCAACCCCCCCTCAACGAGCCTCAAGCAAGCTTGATCTTCCATCTTCAATGATGACAACCCCAGGAGGTGGCAACCTCTTCCCCAACACACCTAGCCAGCACTTTGACTTCTCTGACTTTGTCAATATCACACCCAGCCCTGCCCAGAAACCATGGAAAACACCTGTCCCCCTCTCTACTGCTCGCACTCCCCTAAGCATTACCCGCAAACGACTGACATACGACGAGCCTCTTGTTTAACAGGATGTATACCCTCATCTGACGACACAGATTCATTTTCCTTTGCATTAGCACACCTCTTCTTTGTACCTGACTTAACGATGTGCACGTAAATTGTGGCACTACGGCTGGCGCTTTTCTTTCTGTTTGGTTTACTACATCTCGACCATGGTCAAGACTACGAGCTTTTGACGAAGCCTTCCTATGTATATATTTGGGCGTTGAAAGGTCTAATTGTGAAATTAAGGGCAACAGATACACCGAGGGAGGGACTCAGCTCCCTAGTCTGGATGGAATTGGGATTCATAGGAGTATTTTAGAGGTAGTTAATTGGACTGGCCTTACGATGGCCTTGATGAAGAATTGGTGGAAGCAAACATACCCTTTCGCTTCGGCTGCCGTCCATAGACGGGGTGCGCAGACAGTACTAGCTTCTAGAGCACCGGGGCAAAATTTCAATACAGGTTTTTATTCCTAATCTCCTCTCGCCTAGTGCCATCTACAGCTGGTCGTTCCCGGTCGTCGCGACCAGTCGCGTCTTTGGTTCTTTAATTACGCGTTTTCTCGCGTGACGCAGGGGTAATTTTTTCGCGCCAAAATGCCCATTGAGCCAATCAGAGGCGCGGATCGCTCGAAAATCAGGGGTGGGGCGCTTCGCGAGACGGGCATGATGTCACGCGCTTTTCCTCTTTGCGCCGAGGCACCGAGCTACGTACCCCGTTCTGCACAGCGAGCGTTTGATCCCGTCGTCTGACTTGTGGCCGTGGGCCAATCATCAGTTCTGCTCCTGCGATAGATACCTCTTGCGAGACTCGTTTAGGTCGAATGGATGGCTGTGCTTTCTGAATCGCCGACTAGGAGCGGCTGTAGTGGTTTCCCTTTGTTCAGCAGGACAAGCTAGCTGTTCATCTCATTGGCTCTGATCAGTGCAAGATCTCGAGATTGCATTGTCACTCGGTAGAAATGCTTCTGGAAAGTGGACTGATTGTTTGCGGGCTCGATGAACATACGGTATTGTGAGACGACGAAACGTAGTTCATAGGGATCAAAATAAGGGACTGTGAACAGGCTTCTTAATCGCTTTGGAATTCTTAAGAGATAGCTATTTTATTTATTCACGCAATGTGCGAGTTATTTGAAGTAACATCAGGATGTTGGGTATATTCGGATTCATATAGATAGCCGCTGAGACCTAAGCGTGAAGGTATAAGAAAGCCCAATTATCAACGCCTTTTGATAAGCCTGCCTAAGACCTCCCCATTTGTTCGGCCTCACTGTTGGCCCGGGGAGTTGTAAAAAAAAAGGGGAATAATAAGAAAGGAAAGGAAACGTAAGAAGAGAAGTATACAGCTAATAGTAGTAGAAGAAGAAAGATGAAGAAGAGAAGAAAGACGTGAAGCAGATATGCACGCTAAAGGACAGACTTTGATAGCTTCCGGTAACAAAGGGTTTGGTGTTTATCGACGGGGGGTGTTTTGCTGGCCCCAGTAAGAGTAGGACATTCCGGCTGGAGGTCCGGTCCCAAGGTCCCAGTCGCCAATACTGCTCACAGTCATCGGCGACTTGATGGAGTGACCGGAACCGTCAGAGCTGATTCTGCTGACAAGGTCATCCTGGCCACCGTACTGCTGGTTTCTTTCCTCCCTCCATCGTGCAGCGTCCAAGTCGTATTTATCCGATTGGTACTCACTTCGGAGTGGTCCTGTTCGTGGACTGAGGAACCCGTGGCGATTTGGGTTGCTGCTAGATGAGACTCCGGCGGGCATCTTCCCTAGCCGTCGGGGGCTCTTGAGTGGGACGATTGGTGTCTGAATAGGAGGAGAGATTGGGATAGGGGGTAGAATCGGGGGAGGAATAGGAGGTAGAGGTTTTAGGGTGTTGGTAAGAGACCGCCCTTGTACTGGGAAGGATGAGTCTGATGACACAGACGAAGAGGTGCTTTCTGAGCTCCTGTGTAGACCCAATCCGAGAGTGTTCGAGTCTGCGTCAGAGTCACGATCCTTCTGGGCGCCCATTACCCAATCGGTTGTGTGATAGACTTCTCCAGAATCTGATGAACTATGGATGCTGCCTGCATCCTCCGGCGCTTGGATGACAGGGGCGTAACCCAACGGGCTACGTCCACGGTTTTGTATTTGCTCCATAAATGAAGGTCGAAGGGAATTGGCGCCGCTCTGTCGACTGTCGATACGAGGTGTATATCCCCGGACACCCGGGCGGGGTGTATATCCCCATCGCCTCGAGTTTCTCATCTGACTGTGATTTGGTAGGTTGACCCTGCTTGTTTTGGGTGATGGCGCAAAGCTGTCCTGGGGCCTCCAATCCTTCTCGTTGGGCTTGGAATTGTTGGAGTCTCGTTTCTTGCCCGCCTTGTCCTTCCTCGTGCGAGTTTTGCAGAGCCATATCAGAAGCGCCACAAGTAATGCTGCTCCGAGCACGCTGCCAACCACGCTCCCAACGATTATTCCCGGGGACGGCTTGCCCCCGGAGCCATGAGATCCGCCATCAATGTCGGAATTCGACCCTTGGCCAGGGGAAACGCTGCCCGTGCCGGTGGTGTTAGGAGCCCCTGAAGATGTGGAAGTCGTCGTCTCTGTATTGGATGAAGTTGAGGTTGTTGATGGATTGGACGAAATAGAAGATGAAGTAGTAGTAGTAGTAGAAGACGACCAAGAAGTGGTAGGTATAGTCGTAATTGGCCTCGTGGTGGATTCACTAGTGTCTTGGGGATCGTTAGGACCCCCGACCAGATTTCTGCGTTTCTTTCTGGAGGTTTTTTTACCTGTGGAATAAGTAAACTTGGACCTCGTCTCCGTTATTAAAGACTGAGGTCTGGTATAGGTCGTCGTGGGTGAAAAGGTGCTGGTCGAAGAAGATATCCCGATCCAGGTCGGTGTTTCGATGGAACCGGGAGGCAGATATGGAAGAAATGCGGACACAAGATTGGTTATTGGGTCCTTACCCAGAGTCTCCTGCTCGCTCCGCCTCTGTTCCTCAACTGCTTGGGCGAACGCTCTTTGGCGTTGTCGATACCGACGATATAGTCGACGAAGCTGTCGCCGGCGGCGAAGGCGACGGCGATGCAGCTCATCTCGAGCCTTTCGTTCCCCCGTGATTCCATCCTCATTGGCGTACGGGGAAAGCCTTCTTTGGCGAGCATATGACATTCCGAGCCAGCGGAATCAGGAGGGTATTCCTGAATAATAAAGGAAAAAAAAAAATGAATCCCAAAAATCCGAGTAGCAGTGAAGAGAAGTTATTGGCCCAGCCGAGTCGAACCCAACAGTATCAAGACATGAAGATAGAGTATTGGTTGTCCCGATCTTCTATTCGAATGCTGAATAGCTGTTAGCATCCTCGAGGCCTGATGCTGAGGAAAGAGGATGCAATACTTACAGGAAGTTGGAAGATGGAAGAAGGAAACATACGAAATGGGAATGCAAGAGGAAGTAAGATGAACGAGAGCCGACTCATCTCATAATGGGCAGCCCCTGCTGTTTGAATACGCACATACAAGACCAAACAGTTGGGTACGCTCAAAGCGAGGATCCTAGGCACAACGGATGGGATGATATTACTATACCGTAGACTAAGCCCAACAGAGGGATGACCTAGAAGGTATTAATTGTACCAAAGAGGGCCTGTCCCGGGTGATCCATCTGCTGCTGGCAGGGACTGCACGGCGGCCCTGGTCCGTGACGTCCGATCTATTCCTGGTTCCTCTGGTAATCCCGTTGGGCGACGTCAGAAGAGGGGGAGGCTACCAACATGCGTTTACGACTACCTAGACTGATGATTGCAGATTGCAGAGCTGCAGGTTTGGTTGCCTCATCGTGGGCACCATCGCATCTGAAACAGCCGGACATTTCGTATCCGTGAGCTGGCTTTCATAGGCATTCTGCAAGCGACAGCAAGCGTCTCCGACAGCATTCGCAAGGCGCAAATGTGCTGATGATGCGATGGATGCAGAAGATCCGCAGGCTTACGGAACTGTTGGAGCGAGCATTTTAGTGGCCTCGAGCGGTGGCCCCCATTCGCTGCAGTCTTCTGCTTTTTTCAGCCTTGTTCTAAAATAAGAATCTTTTTATGGAAGTGGTGCCTGGAAGCTCGTTCTCCACAGAACGCGTCCTCCCCCAGAACTGGTATTATGACTGGCTCAAGCCCGGTAAGCCTCTTCCACTGGCCATGTGGTCTTCTTCAACAGAGCGCAGGGATTGTGTTTTTGATTAATCGAGAGGCACCTGTTGTTGCTGATTGAGGAGATGCCTAATAATTCCCGAGTCAGAACAGATGGACTCCTCTACGTTGACCGAGGAACCACTGTCACTGAGATGCATTCATGGAATAGCTCACCAGCTCTTTTATAGCCCCATCTGACAACATTGGGTACTTGAGTATTTGAGCCTGGTGTTCATGCGCTGCTATGATTTTTTCTTTAATTGCTTCAATATGCACAGTCAGTCACCCTCGATTACGATTATTGAGCCGTCAAGTAATTCATATCACATTTGTCCTGGGTTGAGCTCTGAAACACACGGATCCCAATCGGAGATGCTATGTAATTTGCTATTAATAAATCCATCCCCATTCGACTACAAGGATACACCCACGATACAGGAGGCACAGAACATAGCAAGGCAGTCGGAGAGAGGCTGTTCCTACCTAACTTGTTTGTAGTTTATTGCTGATGCTGCATACCTAAGGTAGGTATCTCCTCATATTTTCGATTTTCTACATGGCGGTGATGAGGCCATCTCAGTCAGTGCTTGCTTGATCATGAATGAAGTACCACCAGGTCCGATATCGATTTTCCCAGGATTCCTCCTGACAGCCAGCAGCCAACCAACCCTACCTGTCCTATCCGTTATTGCCTGCCCTTCGCATGGATGGTTGCAATGGATGTACCATAGCATCTAGTGTACCGCCTGCCGGGCACGTAGGTTGGGAGGTGTTTTAGCAGATTGACAGCGCATCACAGCACGTTGCAGCGCCAACAAAGGTGCATTAGTTCCCCGCCAGCGGATAGAGGCCCTGTATGAGCTGCAGGCTTGGCTCAGGCTGGCAGCTGGTGGCGGTCGAGGAAAATGTCTCTTTTCACCGCACCACGCTATTCTGATCCTCCGCATTCCCGCCTCCGCATCCTGAGATTCATTGCGCACAGGTCACGAGCCGCATCTCCAGTAGCTCGCCTGGTGCCGTCTTGTTGACATTTCCTGCCAGCTTTTCGAGCAGGCCAGGCAAGGAAGCCAACCACCACTTATTCCTTCTAGTGCTCCTGTCGGGCTACACAATTGCCTGGCTGGCTGGTTGGACAGACAAGAAGATTGCGGGGAGTTTCTTGGGACCACCTTCGGCGCGTCTCCTAGTTGCCCCTTTGTTTGTACACAACTTCCGTTGCCGCCATGTTCTCGAACCTCCCGATCGGTAAGGCGCTGCCATTCTTAGTATTTATTACTCCCCAGACTACCTCAAGCCTACACACAGTTGGTTCTAAGCCTCTGTTCCGTTCCGTTCCATTCTGGTCTTGTCCCTTGACGAGCATACTTTCCACAAGCAAATGAGGCAATGTTGGCATGTTGATCTGACCCGATCTGACCTGACCTGACCCTCAGGCTGTAGCCTACATATCTACCCATTTATTATTAGACACCCTACGACGAACCAACATGTACTAGAACTAAATGTTGCACAGGCCAACTGGCGCCGAAAAAAAAGATTGATCCAAAGGACATCCCCCCTCCTACACCAGTTGTCCTCCCGCGCTATCAGCCAATTGCCCAGGATGATGCCTCTGTTGATGTCGCTGATGCCCTACCTACTCTGCTAAGGAGCATCGGTCGCTCCATGCCATCTTTTCTAGGACCCAAAGGACTCTCCGCCCTAGGGGTAAACCTCGAACTAGATGTGTCACACGAGGAATTGGTACCAGATCCATCATTTATTCCCAATTTCAAAAGCTGGGAACAACTCAGCCCGGACGAGGCTCAGGACCTGAACCAGTCGACGAGGATCCCAATTCGGAATGGCAACCTTTCCCCGGGATGCCAGACGTACTTGGAGCGAAAGAAGGAGTTGTCCAACACCAACGAGGACGGGTTTCGCACCGTCCGTAGACTCCCCCCTCCCAAGGGTAAGCAGCATGCCCGTCTTGGTAATGCTTATGAGTTCTTTCGCTGCCTGGAGAACTTTACAACCTACTGGGACGATCCTACCCAACCAGCGGACCTGCCGCCCTCTCCCGAGATCACACCTTCTGAAACAAAGGCGGAGGATGATGATGCCTCGAAAAAGGCCGATGGAGGGGGCAAAGAGGTCAAGGTGATCCGCACCTCCGATGGTTCGGCTATGCCGGTTGAGTTTCGCCAGCAGCTCTTGTCAGCCTTCATCAAGCTTGTTGCTTACGATTTTGGCTGCAATGTTTCTCTGGCCCGCCTGGAGCCTCGCCTGCATCTCAGTTCCTCAAAGGGCTCACCGTCCTCGGCGCCGCGCAAGACATACTGTGCTTCCTCCTGCAGCTTCATATACCAGAGCCCTACCACCCGTGAGACAGCCCGGGCCGGCATCCTCTATGGGCCGTTGGGCGCGGTGAGTTCGCGAGCCACCATCAAGTTTGCCGACGCCGATTCCGTCACTGTGCAGTCTCTTGACCTTGCTAGGGAGGTGGTCGCCGCGCTCATCGCAGCACAGCACCGGGCCCGGGAGAACAAGACCGAGGTACGCTTCGGAGAGGGTGAATGGTGGACAACAAAGCCGCGTTGGGGTGGAGGGTCTGGCGGACCAATTGGTCGAGAAGTTGACCGAGATGCCATCGTGGGTGAGAAGGATGCGAAGCCGTCCGATAGCGAGGGCATGCCCATTCCGAAGAAGCCACGGAAGAACATGTCTGTATATGATAGCTACCGAATGGTCCGCCCACCTTCGTCGACCTGGGACAAAAAGATGCGGTACGAGGCAATTGGGAAAGCCAAAGGTTCTACTTATGACGATGTCTTCGTCGTCAGCTGCCTGTTTCACCACATCTCAATTCTACGTGTTAGGGTCCCCAACCGTCTCTTGGAGGTTTTAGAAGGCTCGCCCGAGCCGGACCTGTCGAAGAGAAGCTGGGGTAAGGTTCAGGCATGGAGGAGTAAATGGTATGACCTTTTCGATACAGACCAGCGAGTTGCGGCTATGCAACTGCTCTGGGGCGTTCTTGCATACCAGATGCGGAACAATGCCGGCGATGCCGATATCGCCATGTCTGGCGTATGAGCGTGAAAAGCTATCTTAGCTGGTGTTATGAGAAGTCACTTGGAGCCAACATTCCTGGACAGCGTTGTCGGTCCCAATTTGGTCCTTCGTGTTGCTTCACCCAACACGAAAGGAACAAGACATCACGGTGTTTAGGACGGAGCTGCGGAAGCGGCTTCGCTGCTGAGTCTAGAGACAGTCTCAGTAGTTAGCTGGAAAACCCGGACCATGCCGGGCTGAACTGTGGACTGGAGTGGCAAAACGCGAAGGATGATGATGATGACAACTCTTCACACAATGAGCTTAAAGGCGGGTTAGGTAGGATCTAAGCTTCAGATTCTTTCAAACGTTGCGGCTACCGGTCTCATTCCGTAGACCCCTGCATAGCAAATCAAAGGCGAGAGAACATGGCCAATCAAACAAGCACCTGAGTAAAATGAGAAATGGCCCCCTGTCCAGCTTAAACAGTGATCTACAGGTCTTGTTCCCGGTGTGTGTGAGTCTTGCCATGGCGTCAGCGTGGACCAGGGACGCAGTTGCAGGCGAGTCAAGGACCCGGGCTAAAGGTGGCTGGTGGCCGGTTACCTGTCATTTCGCGCTTCGGCCGCCGCGTAGGGGGAATCTTGAAGGGTCGTGACGCCCCTCTTGCTCGGCAAATTAGCTGGTGGCTCTATTGCAACGACAGGAAATTTCACCCAAACGGGGACATGCTAGTGATTGGCTAGGAATTAAAGGTGATCTGGGGGTTCAGCTGTCGGTCTGCCCGCAGCATTTCCAAGTCGGGATGATACGTCAGTGCCCTGAGAATGAGGGCTGAAAAAAAAAAGGAAATGATGAGTTGTCTGGCAACCTTTGCTTTTTCCTCAGCCCAGGGAGCGGGTTTGCTGCCCTCGACAGCTGCTGCTGCCTCCCCCAGGTCTGATCCCTTGTGCTGGTGGCAGTCTGCTTCACGTGAGGATGTCCCCACCCTCTCCATGGGAAACGCAATCTTTCGATGTAACTATTGAGATTGCCCATGCACGATACCACTAGTCGGTTCTGGACGACCATGCTGATTTCGGGTCCCCCGATTGCCAAACAAGTACAGAACTGTAGCCGAAAAAGGAATCGAGAGATGGGGGGGTTGGGTGAGCAAGAAGCCGGAGGGTGGCAATTCTGGGTGTAGTCCGTGAAGAGTGCCGCGGTCCATGTGGTGATCCATCTTGTTGATGCCCAGATGCGCTGCGCTCGCTCTGGAATGTGCTGCTGCTGCTCTCGCAATTGCCGAGATGGCGACACGGTGCTATGAGATGCGGCACCCATCAAATCACAATGTGGAGCGGGAACACAGTCACGGATGGCTCGGGGGAGACGCCGACAGCCTACATTTAATCAACAGGCGTGTAAATCATCGATGATGTAGCGTTCGGAAGACGTATCATACAATCGCGTGACAGACAGTAGCCTCTGCTGGCACTGTTCAGACGACGACGCTCACATCGAGTGTTGGGGGGGATTATCATTGACTTCAGGCTTTCGCTTAGGTGGTAGGAAAGACATAATGACATCCATCGAGATAAGCTATTGGTGCCCAAAGTACAGGGAAAAGGACGGCAATTCCAGCAGAGAATTACCACATCCTAAACATCATAAGACACAGAGCATGACAGCCACATGGCTTATACATTGGGTACTTGATTCATGCCTTACTGGAGGTTAATGTTCTTACCTGACGTTAAGCGCTGGTTTGGCAGGGATCAGTGATGAGGCCCCGCCCTCTGCCAGTAGCCGGCATAGGGCAGTGAGTAGCAGCAAGTAGGTAGCACCTGCGAGCCGTCATGGATGAGACGGGAGCCTCTGTACATGTACGCGCAACCAGAACAGTCGGCAGCGAGCTTGGCAAGGCCCAAGGTAACGTTGGTCCATCCCTCCTCCCTACTAGCTGGCAAGACGGTATTACTATTGGTATTAGAACCACCGCTCTTGGACTGATTTTCCCTGGGCCTGTTGTCTGGAACGCGTGCCGTGCCGTGGCTTCTCTCTCACCTGGCGCTCTCTTCTCCAGCTTCCGGTGGTGATCTTGCGAACCAAGCCCTCCCACCGTCTCTGCCGTTGTAGCTGGCAGCGGCTGAGCGGATCTGCACACCATCAACGCATACCCTCGCGGGGACCGCTGCTTCTTGCGAATCGTATCGTCCCAGTGTCGCTGTGGCTTGAGGTAGCTGCGTGTTGCAACTGCAGTGCATCCGCCTGCAGCATCGATTTCCCCCTCCAGTTTTTTCTGACTGCATCACGGCTTCGGTAACGACTTTGCGCCGGCAGCATATGCAAACAAAAACACAACAACAACCCTGCGACCCCCTCCTCCAAATCCCAGTCAGTCCGGCCGTATTTGCGAAGCTGACAGGGTGGCACGCTGCTGTCTGTTTTCCCCTTCAACCTGGTTAGTACCAAGTCCTGCCATCCTCTGTCGCCCTCTGCCTCGTTCTCGGTTCGCTCCAACACCCATCCCATCCAGCTGGCAAGGGGGAGCAGATCGGAAGCCGTCCATGTACAAAATTATCCATCCACTCGCAATCACCCTTGCACTGTTCCCCAATTGCTTTGGACTGGATCGAGCGGAGTCGGGCCCACCACCACCACAACAAGCCCCGCAGCCTTCCACCCACCATCTGCAATTACCTTACCTACTTACTGTATGGATCTTTGCATGTATTTGTCTAGGTCGGCCTGTTGGCTATGTTTGTATACATTGCATGCATGGACCTTACCTACTGACCAACATCACCTTACCTCGCCTTCCTCATGACCAGCTGACATCCTGAACCTTCCATAGCCGTGCGAACCCATCTCCTAAGCTGTCGCCTATCAAGACCTGAGCATTCCTAATTCGCCGTATTCCTACTTTCCCGTCTCCGACCGAGTCCCCATCGTTCTTCGACCAACATCCCGTCGCGCCGTTTCTGCCCATCGGTTGCACAGGACACCAGCCAGAATTACAAGATTCCTTGGCCCGTCGCTGAACCGAATTGACCCGATTTTACCTAATTTACCGCGGAGAATTCGAATACCCTGTCTCGAGACCCTAAGCAGCGGCTTTCCTTCTCCGACCAAGCTCTGTACCGCCAACGCCATTGACCTCACGTCTCCAACGCCTAGCGCAAGCTTCAACCTCCGACCTGAGCTTGAGATGTCACACTATCCAGCATACAACGGCGGAGGCTACGGGGCGCCACCCCAGGCCCAGTATCAACAGCAAGGCAACTATTATCCGTGTGTTATTCTTCTCATTCTCTCGCCTTGCCTGTGTTGACGAGATGGCTGACGTTTCCTGGCGCTATAGACCACAGCAACCTAACTACAACTATCCCACCCACGGCCAGCAGATTCCTCCACAAGGCTTCGCCTATCAACAACCTCCCCCACAGCAACAATTTAATTATGCTGTACGGATCCCGAGCATCCTCTCTCATGTTACAGACAGCAGGAACTAATTATTCTGCTTCACTTTAGCAACAAGCCCCGCCTCAGCAACAGTTCTACAACCAAGCCCCCCCGGTAAAATATAGTAACCGACCTCGTAAGCATTACCTTGGCGAGCAGACACATTCTAGAATGCTCTTCTTACTGATATGCCCATCTGCAGCTTCTCATGGCCAGTCATCAACCCCATACCGGCCTCCTCCACCTCCGACGGCGCCCCAGCACTTTGGCCAAGGAGCTCCGTCTGGGTACGATTTCCGCTACTCGAATTGTACCGGCCGACGCAAGGCATTGCTTATCGGTATCAACTACTTTGGACAACGAGGGCAACTTCGAGGGTGCATCAATGATGTCCGTAACATGACGGCCTACCTGGTCGAGCACTTCGGCTACAGGAGAGAAGACATGGTCATCCTTACGGATGATCAGCAGAACCCCATGAGCCAGCCCTCGAAGCAAAACATCTTGCGTGCTATGCACTGGCTTGTCAAGGGGGCCATGCCCAATGACTCTTTATTCTTCCACTACTCTGGTAAGTATCCTAGATGCATGCCCGTCTCCATAACTTTGGGATGCCTGCATATGTTGTAGAACAGAACGCTCACATTCGGGTCATTTTAGGTCACGGAGGGCAGACCAAGGATCTTGATGGAGATGAGCCTGATGGGTTCGACGAAGTCATCTACCCTGTTGATTTCCGGCACAATGGACACATCACCGATGACGAAATGCACAGGATCATGGTCCGGCCGCTACAAGGTGGCGTAAGATTAACGGCCATTTTTGATTCCTGCCATTCCGGAACGGCTCTCGACTTGCCTTACATATACTCCACCCAGGGTATCCTCAAGGAGCCCAATCTGGCCAAGGAGGCTGGCCAAGGCCTTCTCGGTGTTCTTACGTCGTACACTCAGGGCGACTTTGGTGGTGTCGCAAGCAACATCCTCGGCTTTATCAAGAAGGCAACAAGCGGCGAGGAGGCTCACAACCGCGCTCTGGCTACCAAGACGTCTCCGGCTGATGTGATCATGTTGTCTGGTAGCAAGGACGATCAAACATCGTACGTTTCTACCCCGTTAATATTGTTATAACTCGATTCGGATTGTACTGACACATTTATCTAACAGCGCCGATGCTACTATTGCCTCTCAAGCAACAGGAGCCATGTCGTGGGCCTTTGTGACTGCACTAAAGAAGAATCCTCAGCAAAGCTATGTACAACTTCTGAACAGCATCCGGGACGAACTATCGAAGAAATACACACAGAAACCTCAGCTCTCTTGCAGTCACCCCTTGGGCAAGTACCAACTGATTCTCTGTGGTGCACCATCGTCCTAACACGCCATAATAGATACCAGCCTGCTGTTCGTCATGTAAGGTATCCTCTCCTTGGTAGCTCATGACTTTCCCGTGGATTTCGAATTGAATTCTGCTACCACCTACGCGGTTGCTGGGTTGCCTGGAATGCAGGCCAGGGACTCGGAAGATTGACGAAGCTCGGCTTGATGGATTCAACCTACCAATGGAATCCATCTCAGCATTGGATATAGGTATAAAAACTTAATACGTTTTGGGAGGCATAAAATTTGGGAATTCTTGTTCAATCGGTTACGTCTTACGTCTTTGTATGCACCTTTTAGCTATCGGGCATGGTGTCTGGGAACCATTGTTTCAGCATTCAGTTCAATTTCCTCATTTACTTGTTTGAAAATAAGAGAGTATCATCATTTCTAGAACTATCATTTAAGCGCCTCCTTCCCAATCGTGTCATGTCCAAATTTGTGACCAACGCCAGATGCCTATGCCTGCTAGTGACTGCTGAATGATATACGAGAAGAGAGAAAGAGAGAAAGAAAGAAGAAAGGAAGTCAGAAGAAAGATGCAACGCCTATCGAAGAAAGAAAAAAGCCAAAAATTGAGCAGTCCATTCTTATTCATTCACACGTTGCCGCCCATGCAGAATGCGCCCACGCCACAGATTGCCCCCGGTCTCATGATACTTGCTCAACACGCACGACCTTGAACTGCTTGGACTTCTTGACTTTGCGCTGCTGCTCCGTGGCCACGACGAGTTTCTGGCGCACCGTCTCCTGCTTGGCCCAGTCCCGGGCGGACAGGCGGGCGCGGGCGATGAAGCGAGCCATGATGAGGAACGTCTTGAGCGAGGGACGGCCGGAGGGTTGGTTGCTGCTGGCCTTGCTGGCCGCGCTGGGGAGGGTCAGGGGTTTGCGGTCGCCGAGCAGTTTGGTCCGGATGTACTCGAGCTCGCGGAGCTGGGCTTTGTTGCTGTAGAGGGAGGGACACGTTAGTTGAGGTGACATTGAGGGGTACGGGGAGCTGTAGAAGGGGGGAATAGTTTAAACAACTTACCATGCGTTGCTGACATTCAGCTGCAGCTGGAGGAACTTCTTCGCGAAAGCGGCGTCGGAGCGCAGAGCGGCCTCGCGCTCCCAGCGAGCTTGCATCCACTCCATCTGCATTACCATGCCCCTGAGCTCCTTCTTGTGCCGCTCCTCGGCGCCCTCGGCAGCGCGGACGACCGTGTCGATCGCCTCGCTGTTGTAGCTTGTCTTGCGCTGGTCCTCGCTCTTCACTGCCTTGGACGCCCGCTGGATGTCGCGTTGCAGCTTCTCTGCGCTCATCCGGTAGGCTGAACGCTCGCTGCGAGCACGCTCCAGCTTACGCCGCAGCGAGGCTTCCGAGGCGACCAGGCCGTCGATGAGCTCCTGTTGCTGACGGACGTCATGCTCCAGGTTTTCAACTTCGGCTTGGTTCCTGCGAAGGCTACGCTCCGTCTTGCCGTTGGCGTTGGCCTGCTGCTGCTCGCGCGCCGCCTTCTCCAGCTTGCGGTTCATTTGGCGCAGGGTGCGTTCGTGCTGTACGGCCGCTTCTTCGGCCTGTTGCCGGGCCTCTTCCAGAACCTCCTCCAGTACGATCTTTTGGTCTTCGAGATCATTGAGCTGCCTTTGAAGATCCGCTGTAGCTTCTGAGGCCTTGCGCTCGGCCTCGCGAGCCTTGGACCTGTAGTCTGAAGCGGATTGTTGTGCGGAAGAGAGTTGCTGGCGCAAGGTGGTGACTTCTCGACTGCGGCCACTGTCGCTGATCGTTGATTTCGGTGATGCTATCAATCTCGACAGCTCTTCGTCGTGGACTTTCCGCTCGAGATCGGCAATTTGTCGCTTGAGACCCTTGACAACATCGCGATGGGCAGATTCCCGTTGGATGAATTCGAGCTCTCTCTCGCGGGCTGAGGTTAGGTCCTTACGGACCATGGAGAGCTCACTGTTGCCATCTGTGTTTGCGGGTTGTTGAGCAGAAGCCAGCTCGGCTTCGCATTCTCTGAGGCGGCGCTCGAGATCTCGGATGGTGCGACGAGCTGAGGCTACGTCGTGACTATCCGAGGTCGAGGATTGTCGTAGCTTGGTCTGAAGTTGGATAATTTCTTGGCTTAGACGCTCCTCCTCCTCGGCTGCCTTTTCGATTTCATGCTGGAGGGTCTTTTCAACAGTTTCACGCTGGTCATTCAACGCTTTATTCTCGTCCTTTAAACGACGAACCTCGTGGTCTAGCTTCAACTTGGCAGTTCGCAAATCCAGACGCTCCTGATCAACACGAAGAGTGTCGTTGTCGTTTGATCTTGCTTGGTCAAGCTGGCTTTCTAGCTCGTCGCGTTCCGCCTTTGCCTCTGCAAGCGATGCTCTTGCCGAGGACAGATCAGCCTTGATTGTCGAAAGCTGGTCCTGAAGGTTCTTCTTCTCTCGAGAAGTCTTGTCGAGCTGGGTTGTGCTTTCGGTGAGCTGTCGCTTCAGGCGAAGCACCTCGTCGTTTGCCAGTTCGATTTTCCTTGGCGAGCCTCGAGAACGGACTTGCTGCCGAAGCGAGCTGATTTCCTCTCTGAGTTGTGCACTCTCTTGTCGCGCATTCTCGAGGTCTCGGCGTGCTGACCCGCCCCTTTCGTCGGCTTGAGTCTGCAACACGTCGATCTCATCCTCTAGTGCCGCCATCTTATCCGCCTGAGTCTGGTAGTCGATCTGAGTTTGTCGTAACTCGTCGCGTACTGTGGAAAGTTCATTACGGATATTTGTCAACAGGGTTTGCCTTGTGTCCAGCGCATCTTGGAGATCCTCGATTTGCTTGGTAAGAACACCCTCTTCGCTTCGGTGCCGCTCGGCCTCGCTGGAGAGAGCGGCCTGTAGTTTAGACTCCTTGTCTGATAGGCTTCCCTCAGCTTCGCGTAGTCGATCAATGGTCCTTTGCAGGCCCGATGCCTTCTCCTCAGCTCGATCACGCTGTGACTCCAGAGATTGCTTTTCGGTTTCCCACTTCTCGCTGTCATTATCGTAAAGGTTGTCTCTTTCCCGCACCTCGGCTTGTAAATCAGATATATCTCCATTCAGCCGTTCAATCTCATCTCGGTATTGGCTTCGAAGGTCTTTTTCGATCTCAAGTGCATGTGCTCTCTCGTCAGAGAGGCTGTTCTCGAGATCTTGAATTTCTCCTTCCAGTCTCTCAATTGTTTCTTGTAACGAGTCGGACTTGGTAGCGAGCGAATCGTAGTGAGACTGTAGAATGTTTTTCTCGTCTGTGCGCGAGAGGAGATCCTGCTCTAATTGGCGTAGCCTAGCCGCTGAGGATTGCTTTTCTGAGTCAACACTGTCTCTTTCGTTTTCAAGATCATCCACAGTAGATTTGAGACGATCGTTTTCTTGGATTGTTTGAGAGAGTTCCTTTTCCAAAGCTGCATATTCCTGTCCTGCCTGGTCAAGCTCATCTTGTAGTCGGGTTACCTTCTCTTCTATTTGTCGAGAGAGGCCCTTTGTGACAACCGACTTGTTGGCCATTTCTTCTTGGAGCTCTTCGAGGTCGCCTTCTGCCCGTTCCTTTTCGCTGATAGCATCGTTCATTTTCTCTTTCATCTCTTCGAGCTGCTCTTCCAGGCGGCGAATATCTTGCTCTAGCGATTGAATGGTCTCCTTGGCGTCTTCTAATTCTTCGCTTTGTTGCTCTGCTTGCTCCACCTCCACAAGCTTTCGTGCCGAGTCTTTTGCCTTTTCGTCCGCATCCTCTAATTTATCTTTGAGGTCCTCAATTTCGTCCTCTCTTTCGCTGATGATACGGTCCTTCTCGCGGATGTCGGCCTCGAGATCGCCTACTTCGTCCTGTAGCTTCTCGATATCGTCGCCACTTTTCTGTCTTTGATCAAGCTGCCGTTGAAGATCCTCCACGTCCTGCTCGCGCTCCTCTATGATCCGCCGCAGCTTGTCCATTTCGGCTCGTTGGTTCTCATCAGCGTACTTGCGCTTCGCCTTTTCCTGGAGATCCAACATTTGTTGCCGGTAGCTCTCGAGGTCACGCTCCGCCGTCGTAAGGTGCTTCTTGTACCGGTGGAGCTCTCGTTGCATTGTGACCTTGTCTACCTTCAACTCGGTGTTTTCCTTCAACGCTGCTTCGCTGAAACCGGGGCCGGCTTTGCGGAGGGCCTCCTCCAGGAAGTGAATTTTGAGCTTCAGGCCGAAATTCTCCTTCTCGATTCTATCGATCACATTCTCCTGCTCCCGAAGCGACAGCTGATTGCCGTCCTGCAAAGGACCCTTGTCACCGCCTCCCCGGCGTGGGCGTATTGCTATCGGTGTGGACGCCACGCTGCTGGCCTCCACCTGTGGTAATGTATTGTCGAGGTAAGACTGATTGCGCGATCCTAGGTAGATGGAGGTGTCGGCGCGCGGCACCGGTGTCATATCATCCTCCTCGATTCTGGTCAGGCTTGGGGTGTCGGCAACACCTCCACCACTGTTTTCTTTGCCTCTGCGTCGCACGCTGTTTCTGGTGGCCGACTTGAGCAGCGGCGTGAATTCGGCGCCGCCAATGCTTGGGGGCAGGTTCCTCCGGTCGGCCAGAGGACCTCTCTGCCGCGGCGTTCGTAGGTTTACGCCGTTCGAGCGCCCGTTCCGAAGCTGCTGCAAAAGGTTGCCATCCTTCTCGGGGGAGTGAAAGGATGCCTCCTGGGAAATGTCGGCAAAGTCGGGAGGTCGCTGGCTGAGGTAGGTCGCGTCGCCAATGTTGGTTCGCGGGGTGTCGAGGGCGCCCATGGTTGGGGTCTCTCCACGATGGAAGAAGTTAAGAAGAAAGGTTCAATATAGTTGATAAGTGAATTAATTCATTGAGAAGAATAGGTCATAGTGGAAGGGCCTGCAATTGGAATAGGCCCGGAGACGGAAGTGAGGCACCGAGAGAATTTGGCGCACAGAACCGTGGTTTCCAACTTACAACAAAGTCACAGTCGCGTCGAAGTCAGTGTAAGTCATGTAAGTTATGAATGTCTACAAGGATCTGGATAATTGTGCGGGCACAAGCGCGTAAGTGGTTTCTTGTTTACTTTATATCCGAATCGGGGATAGCCCAGATGCTCCATTGTCCAGTCCGAAAACGGATAAGAGGCGGTGTAAACTTGCAGACCACCTGTATAAACACCCAACGGATCGGCGCCTTCCTATGACATATTCAGTCTCTACTTCGTTGAGGGAGGGGAGTTGGGTCGCACTGATGCATCTTCATTTGGGCCCCAGGTTCTGGAGACAGACTGACCTTGAGCATCACCATGTCGCTCAACCAGCTTCCGGATGAAATCATCCGCCAAATTCTCTTCTGCCTGTCGCCCTTGGACACCCTTCATGGCGTTGGTCTGACCTGTCGCCATCTGGCTCGACTGTCAAAGGAGGGACTGCTATGGAGATTTCACTGTATCCAGACCTTCAAATATTGGCACCCCAGCCACGCTTTCAGAACCATCCTCAGACTACCAGCGCCCCAGACGGACTGGAAGAAACTTTTTGTTTTAAGATATGATCGGAACAAGCAGATATCGCGTTTGCTTAACGGCATCCTAAGGACCAAGGTTGGCCGGCACAAGAGGTTTGAACGGATAACCAAGTTTGGTTATGATGCTAAGGATTTTCTGCTTGAGCACTGCGATGCAGACGACTCATTTGAGGATGTCTTGGCAAGAAGGTAAAATTGAGCAAAAATAAAATGCCACCCTCCCTGCCGTAAAAAAAAGCCAACCAACTAACCAATTCCATGTAGATACTTTGCTCATGCTGCTTTGGATGCCATCCACAGGCATCTAGCTGTCGAGCAGTGGATATCTCTTAAAACCATGGAGTCGGAGTTAGATACGCACAACCCTCTTGAGCTTGAGAAGTCACTTGGGGCGTTCGACATGTTTGTATTGCATGGCCGACTCGATGACATGAACGACGTGAGTACCATGGCGCACTTGTAGGAGTGTGTATTCAAAGATACGGACTAACCCTTGCGAAATACTATAGATAACTCAATGTCTTGGTGCCCTCACTGCCAGGTTCTGCTCAACATATCCACAGATGGACGAATGGACAACTCGTCAGAAGGCCCTTGCTCTCAACAGATGGATCCGGGCGAGGAATCTGACCGGCCTTCAAAATCCGGAGAGGGACTACCGCAATCTGAGAAACTGCTTGATCGGACAGGCGTTGCAGCATGAGGACCACGAGTCGATCCCAATCATCTCAAGTGCCATTTACTGCAGCATGGCGCAACGAATTGGGCTCGATGCACGGTGCAATGCTTTCCCCACTCATATTCATGTTGTTGTATCACCTGCCCCAGGTCGGGATTTGGATGATAAACGAGTTGACGAAGCCACTCAACCAGGAAAACGGATGTATTTGGATCCTCACGGTAACGACGATGAGGTTCCTGAACAGGAACTCAGGCGTTTACTGGCCAGTTTCGGTTCGGAGAATTCGCGCGGCGCCATGGACCCTACCCCGACCTCCTCTACTGTCATTAGGACGGCCAACAATATCAGGCACAGTTACGAAACATTTTTGGGGCAGCAGGATCGCGAAGAAGAGACAAATCTCACGCGGCTCCTTCACGGCCGTGGGCCTATAAACATGAACGCCTGCTATTACGCTAGCCTTTGGGCTATGCTGATCCTGGTGCCTACTTCTAGCCCTGACTGGGAGGAAATGTTCGACAAATTCATGGAACAGTTTTGCAGACACTGGCCAGAGGATGTATGGCTCGTGGATAAGTATGTGGTGCCTCTCTATAGGCATTTTGCAACTACACGCCGGAGACGCATCCGCCCTGCACCCTCCGATGTTGATGATGCATGGCGCATTGTCCGCTATACCCAGCAATGCGATAACATGCCCCCCTCAGTCTATAGCAGGAGTGACAGGTGGAACGAGGACGTGCCGTTCGAAGTCGGCCAAGTATTCCGCCACCGACGTTACGGGTGGGTGGGAGTCATCACTGGGTGGACCTTTATGGGTGGTACTCCGAGGCGGAGGGAGGGTTCTGATGAGCCGGACTCAGATCTTGAAAGTGGTCGACCTCCCGAGAGGCCTTATTTCACGTATATGTAAGTTTCGTTCCGTCCAAGAATCATTACGAGATGGCTCTGGCTTACGCAAGTGCAGCCGATCTACTTCTGCCGAGCGAGCTGTCATCGCGGAAGAAAACGTCGAGCTCATCAATGATCCTGAGCTGGTCCTTGGGACCCCATTGATACATGCTGGGAAATTCTTCAAGAGATTTGATCCCGAGACGTGTCGCTTCGTCTCAAACTTAAAGGAACAGTATCCGGATGACTGAGGTAGCCGAGACTGAAGCACATCTTTCTTATTGTTTGCTGTGGTTGCACGCACCTGGGCCGCCGTAGCCAGATACATATAAAAGCCAAGCTGGAAAAAAAAGGCAAAAAGGAAGGAAGACGTACGTAGTGGTAAAGCACACTGAGAAAAATTGTTAGATGATCAGGAATGCCCTCTATTAATACCACGTATCTATCTAAAATTCTGCTTTGCATTGGTAATAAAGGAGGGGCAAGGTGAGATGACCGAATCCACCTTGCTCAGCTTGATGTTTTGCATCAATGAGCTGATTATAAGCCTACGAGAACAGGTCAAGGACGAATGGTCCATTTTATGAAATTTTGATCAGCTCCTCTAATGCCCCCTTCTCGGCGAGCTTGGTTACCCATTTGTGTAACGCTGGCGCGTAGTCTTTCTTGCGCCCTTGGACTCGATGCTCGTCTTCTGCCAATGCAATCATTTCGGATCTGTATTCTCCCATAGTGGACTTGACTTCGAGTGTCAATTTCTCAAAGAGACTATGCGCCTCCTCGACAGATATGCTGGGCTGCTCGATCTGTTCACGAAGTGACTGGGGCACTTCGGCCGTTTCAACGGTCGCCTCTGTAAGCTGGAACTCGGATAATAATGATGCGTCGCTAAGGTTTGAGTTGTCTTTTTGTGATATCTCAAGGTCTGAAAAGCCCGGTCGGGAACGTAGCGTATTCTGGAAGCATTGCAGCGACGCGAGAGCTCCAGCAATAGCCTGGGAGTGGACCGCGAGGGGGCTTTGGCATAGCGCCAGCAGGTTGAAGGACAGCTGAGTCCCTTCATATTGAAGCATTCGAGCCTCAATATAAGGACGGGCGACTGTTGTCCAGTCTGTAGATTCTAGGGGTCCTAGGAGAGAAGATAAGCTTTTTATATTTCTTATTCATCGTATGCCCCAATGAATTTCCTTCACTTACCTAGTCGATGAGGTTTTGTTTTTAGCCCGTCCAACTCCCACACATACCCATCAGCTGGGACGTAGGCAACAAAATGGAACCCATATTCTGACTCTTTAAGCTTCTTACGCGTTTGGGCTCTCTTACCACCTTTGTTAGTATAGCGAGCCTTGGATTTCTTAGAAGCTGCTTCGCTGGCCTCGTTCTCAAGCGCGAGATCCGCATTAAGATGATCCATGCGACGAGTCAGCGAATTATGAATCCTACGAATATACGGATTCGAGCTGAGTCGATGACCTCTTAGAGCTGTACTCAGGTCCTTGGTGGATTCTTTAAACTCCTTAAGAGTTTCACCTAACCGAACACCTGGTGCGTTCATGACAATGTTGAGAAGCGCAACCGTGGCGCAAGCATTGTTAGTAGTCTGGCATTAGAAAAAATCAGCACAACTGAAGAAAGTACAGAATGGTAGATTTGGGCACAAACCTGGTTAGCGAACCATATTCCGCTAGGGTTTTCTTCATCCTCCGTCTCGTCCTCTTCTGGGAGATATTCGAAAAGAAATATCAGGCCAAAAACCGGTTTGCTAAGGACAACGGTTAGACGAAGTAGAAGGAAATTTGGATGTTTTAATGTTCATTGGCATACGGTAGTAGGTCCATGAATTCCTGTTCGACAGTGAAAAGCTCCTGGGCCTTGACATTCTCCACGCCTAGATCCCGAAGGATGATGTTGAAAAATGCCTGTGTAAGCGTGTTAGCCTTAGTGGGATATAGTACATAATGGAAACTTGATGACAATGAAACTTACCGGGTCAGATTCGAGCTCGACCCATCCTTCCCATTCTTCAATGTCGTTGGTGTCTAGGGGTTTGAGAGCTTCCTCGAGGAGGTTGGCTGGAAGATGGCCTACAAGCTCACACTGCTGGCTTACTTTGCGTTTTGGATTCCGCCGGCGTCCTGGCGATGTGTTTGCTGCTTTTGATTTTTTGGAAGGAGATTCGTATGCTGAATCGGATGAGTCAAGACGCTTCGGCTTCACAGGTTGGCGCCCTGAACGCCTCAACGGCTGTGGTTGTTCATTTCGGAGGGGTGCGGGTTCGCCTTCCATATGAATGACATCCGGGTTAGAATGTTCCACTTCCATGACTATATTGAAACAGCACTGGGATTCCAAAGAGAAAGCCTGCCTGGTTACGATGATTGAAGGTAGGAGGCAAAGGGTCTGGGGATGGAACCAGCCTGTTTGCGGCGGGTGGATAGAGAAGAATGGATGACAAGGGGATAAAAGAGAGGGTCAGCTAGCAGTATGCGAATTTGCGTAATGTATTCCGTTTCAGCGGCATCAATGGCCGGGGGAAATATGGAAGCGCTGTTGGTTTATTCGCGAGGTTTGGATGTAGGTCGCCTATTTGTGAAGCTTGAGTATCCAGTCATGTCCTTGGCTGTGGTTGGTATGGAGAAGCCGGGTAAAGTGCGCCCACACTGATGGTAACTTGTGTATCCTCTGTCTTTGTTATCATCTAAAGTTCTTTAAGAGATTGAGTCCATTAAACGTGATGAGGTAGATTAAAAAGTGGCATTGCTATTATAAACTTGTCTTGAGATGATGCGATCACGCAAAGCGCATCATTGGGCCTGTTAGGTTGGTTAGTAGTAAGGTAGGACTGCTTTGGAGAGAGCGCCCGCTAAAACGGGGCGGTTTAGGGAAAGCGCCACAGCTGCAGGCCTTCTTTAGCAGCAGTTGCAGGGATAAAATGTGCACAAAGGGAGCTCCCCGAGTTGTGAAAATATTATGCACGGCGCGTCAGAGGCCTGCTTGGACCAGGCAAAAAAGCAACAACCGTGAATGGAATTTATAAATCGGCACCCACCACCAAACATCACCATCACCCACAGCAGATATATCCCATTTGCATACGAGCTTCGACCGACACCCAGTTTCGGAGGTGTTACTGAAGCAAACAACAGCTTCCAGCGAAACTCGATGCTTCGTCGCAGACTCGGCGCTGTACACGGAATGCGATGAATGCAACTCCCCGACTCCGGTCTGGGTTTCCAACAACCCCAGCCACGACCGCACGACGACAGATTCCTCAAGATACCCCAAGCACGGTGGGAACCGTTTCTTCCACCACCAGTGCTTCCAGGGCCAAGCAGCAGTCTCTGCCTCAAGCTCCTGAAAATGCGCCCGCCAAGCTTGCTGGCAGCCAGCCCTTGATACCTTTGACAGTTCTTGACGCGCCCTCCCAGCGATTCTACGCCTTTGCTCTCTACGTCGGGCTATTAATATGGAAGCTATATAATTGGGTAGCTGTGGTTGAGGAGGGCGAAGGTTCTTGGAGCATGTTTCTGAAGTGGATTGTAATCGACTGCATCTACTTCTTTGTTTTGCCCGAGCTGCGAATACCATGGCTGGAACCGTCTCAAGCCGTTGTGACATCCATCTACCTCGTACATGTGGTTGCGAACTGGTTCCTCATGTTTCTCGTGCCCGTAAGTGCCGTCCTTGTTCTCGATCTCGGACTGGGCTGTGGTATTGACCGACTGTTCACTATCTAGGTTCCCTTCTTTTCATGGCTCCTCGCTTTCGCCAAAGTCTTGTACGATCGCGAAATTTCCGTTTCCGAACATAACGTCAAAGTCTCGAGTTTGCTCAATAACCATTCACTCATCATGGGCAAGCAAATCATCAACATTTTACCTGAAGGGTCTGCAGTGTTGAACCCCGACCACGAGCCGTTCTGCATCCCACCTGCAAAGTCGAGACAGGGAATCTCGTTACCGATATACTTCAATGCTACGGTTCCCGCCGAAATCGAAATCGTTCGAACCGACATCTTTACCAACAAGGAAGAGATAATCAAGCTTCCTAACAGGGACGTGAGCAAGCTGGCTAAGCTGGTTCGGGAGCAAAATGCCGATCCTAGCAGTGATGGTTTCCGGTGGGAGTACCCTGTCAAGAAGACTGGTATCTACCGACTGGGAAGAGTCCTGGATGAGTATAAACTGGAGGTTCAAAGGTCGACCAAGGATACCTACGTGGTACCCTGTCCCGAGGCACACTTCCGAGCAGCAGACTCAGCTGCAAGATGTATTGGAGATCTATCAGATCTCTCATTACAGGTCATTGGCTCCCCCCCTCTAAAAATTGTTTATAGTCGGGCGATAAATGGTAAGAACCGCAGCTTCCACTTCCAGAGCTTGCAGCCTGATGGCTTCTCATCCCCTCTGAGCGGTGTGTCGACGCCTTCGGAGTCAGATGAGCAGGATGTTCTCGCTTGGGTTCGGCCGTCTAGAATTTCCGTCGCCCTGAACGAGTCATTGACACCTTCTGGAGACTGGCAATATACCGTTGATGAGGTTCATGATGCTTTTGGGAACGTGGTCAAGTATGGGGAGCCTGACAATCAGCCCTCAAAGGTCAAGAACCAGGAATTATCTCATAAATTCATGGTTAAGGAGCGCCCCAAGATCCGCATGGAGGGATGTGACCTCAAGAATCCTCTCAGGATTGCAAAGGGTCACTCTGCGCACCTGCCAGTTGAATTCAGCTTGGCGGGCCCCCTGGATGATTCTTCCCATAGCATTAGCTGGGCCTTTTCCCCCATCAACAGTCTCACCGACAGCGGAGATCACGGTGATGAAGTCTCTTTCGGCAGCCATGTCGCCCAGAATTCACACCAAATAAAGCCTTCCATCTCAGCTCCTGGACTGTACACTCTCAAGTCTGTTTCCAGTGGACAATGTGAGGGTCAAATTGAGGAGCCATCCTCCTGTTTGGTTCTGAACCCTCTTGAACCTCGACTGGAGCTTCGGTCTGAGGAAATATCTGATAAGTGTGCGGGCAACTCTATCGGACTCCGTGTCGACCTGGACCTTGTTGGAACCCCGCCCTTCGTTGTTCGATATGAGGTTACTGATGATGATGGCAAGACAAGACTCAAGAAGCATGTTGTGGAGAGAGGCCTGCGTTCCCAAATTGAGCTTGTACCTGACACCGCCGGGCGTCACACATACGTATTCAAGTCGATTGACGACGGTGTGTACAAGAATGTGCCACTTACGGGACAAGACAAGGTTTTGGAACAGGTTGTGAAGCCAGTAGCGTCTGCTTTCATTGCTAAGCGCCATCCTGTGGTCAATGCTTGCCTTGACTCGGAAGTAGAGACTGATGTTTACTTGGGCAGCGACCCTCCCTTCACTCTTGAATGGGAGATTGTTCACGATGGCAAGCGTAAGACGCACCGTGCCACGGGCATTCAAGAACCCAAGTATACGATCAAAACCTCACCTCTCACCAAAGGAGGAGAGTATGTCTTGGCTTTGAGCAGTGTCCAGGATGTCCGAGGCTGTCGAACCTTCCTACAAGATCAACTTAAGATCAATGTACGACGACAAAGGCCAAGGGCTGCCTTCGGCCTCGTCGAGCAGAAGAGGACCATCATGTCCGTTGAGAATACTCCTCAGAGATTGCCTCTTCGCCTTCAGGGCGACGGGCCTTGGGAAGTCAAATACAGGAACCTCAACTATGGAGGAGATGTTATCACCAAGTTTATCAATGGCGCCAACGACTACCTTGTAGTCAAATCTAGCGGCGTCTACGAAATTGTCGAGGTAGCTGATAACCAATGCGTTGGAAGTGTCGATCCTAATGCATCGACCTTCGAGGTGGGATGGTTCCCTCGCCCCGAATTATCCTTGATCGAGTCTGAAAGCATCCGTACCGAGGCCGGTACCACTTTCTCCAAGCAAGACGTTTGCGAAGGAGATATTGACGGGTTTGAGGTCAATCTCAAGGGTAAGTTTAATAGTGTTTTGTCTATGCTCTGTATGAAATGCAGCTAACCTCTCATTAGGATCTCCTCCTTTCCACGTGGATTATGAAATCAAACATAAACCAGCCGCGGGCTCCGGTTCCCTGGGCCGTAAGAACTTCGATGCAGCTCTGCATAAAGCAGCGATCTCTATGGATACCTCGAAAGCTGGCGATTATGCATATACCTTCTTTGGACTTGCCGACAACCTTTATGATATCGACAAGAACTTTAGCCCTCTCATTGTTAAGCAGCATGTCAATGCAAAGCCTTCCGCTTCATTCTCCAAGGCTAGTCAATCGTTCAAGTATTGCATGGAGGAGCAGGAGCAGGAGGATACGATCCCCATTAAGCTTACCGGTGTGGCACCCTTCTACATTGAGTTTGAAGTCAAGCACCAAGCTGGCTCTCCTCCCGAGACCTTCAGCGTTCCTGCTATTAGCTCTTATGATTATGGCATGCAGATTCCACGACAGCACCTCCGCCTTGGAAGTCAGCACATCCGCATCCGTAGTGTGCGCGATGCTCGCGGGTGCCAGCAGAAGTATGAAATCGGTGGACCATCTGTTCAAATCCAGCTCTATGATGCTCCCTCAATTTATCCCCTCGAGACCCGGAAAGACTTCTGCGTGGGCGAGCGTATCGCCTACACCCTGTCTGGTACACCGCCCTTTGACATTACCTATGACTTCAATGGCCGCTGGAATGCCAAGTCCCAGACAACTAGCTTCCGTCGTGTTGCCGAGAAGCCTGGCGACTTTATCATTACAAGTATCTCTGACAAGGCCAGCGAATGCCGTGCGACTGTGAACATCCCGACCAGGATTCATCCTCTTCCCAGTGTCCAGATCAGCCAGGGCAAGCAGTCTCGGGTTGATATTCATGAGGGCGGCGAGGTGCCCATTCAGTTTGAGTTCTGGGGCACACCTCCCTTTGAATTCACCTTCACGCGAAGCTCCAACGCCAGGAAGGGCCAGAAGAGTGTTGTCTTGGAAACGAGGCATGATGTCTCATATGATCACAAGAAGATCATCAAGGCAAGCCAGGAGGGTACATACGAGGTGGTTGCAATCAAAGACAAGTATTGCTCCTTCTCAACCCAGCAGGTTGTCAAGAGTGATGGTCGGTAAGAGTAGGATCGACGGACGATAATTACACTGGAGAAGGGAGGCGAGCAAACCTGAATTTGTCAAGAAATGAGAATTGGGCGGTGGCGAGAGACAGTCAGTTTCTTCATGGAAGAACAATTCTGTACATATGGTATGCATCTTTGTCATGGCACGGCGTTTCAAAATGAGGAAATGGGTGGGTCGGTTGAGTGATGGGATAGAACCGCCGGTAATTTCTTTTATATATCATGCCTTTTTTGCTTTTTGAGTATTCTGCTTCCCCGATAGTATCTAGCTTATCCAAAAATATCCATTACCCCCCCCGATACGTGGTATATACGGCTTAAGAACATGTCTCTATGATTGTGATGCTGCAATGATGATCTTCCATGCCCCTTTAATCATCCTCTTCTAGCTCCTCAATCTTCTTGATCATCTCTCCGCCGATCCTGGCAATCTCAAGCAGTACGGCTTGGCGGTTTACTTCCACGACATCGCCCTCTGCGTCAGGTACCTTGCGGATATTGTATGGCAACCCAGCCCTGAACTTTTGCTGCTGTAAACGAGGGTTCCAGATGGCGCCAATGATGTGGTCACTGTCCTCATCGGCAATCCCTTCAACTCCAGCACGGAAGAAGATCAAGGTATCATCGTACACACGCTGAAGCTCCTCGAGAAGGACTTCGATGGGGTGCGCGCGGATCGGAAGAGGTACCTTGCCGGTACGGTCATCGAGGTTCTTGAACTGTGACTGTTTCCGAACACCAGGCTCGGCGGCGGCTTCGCGTAGGATGGACTTGACAGCCTTGGGTGAGAGGTGGAAGAGAACATCGTAGTCGCTGAGAGAGGTCTCAAATAGTTGAACGGGATCGAGGCGGTAGTCCTTCTCCTTGACTAGCTTGCAGGCGGCTTGAGCCAGCCTGGTCATGCGCGATGCAATGAGCTTCGAGGGGTTGTGGCGGGTGTACGCGCGACCTGAGTGGTCATGCGACGTGGCAATGAAGAGGACGATGTTGTTCATGTTGGGATCTCTTTTTCGCCAGGTTTCGAGATTCTTGTAGATTGCGGAGCGCTCGTCGGTCGTCAGAGACTCGGCTGAGTCAACAATGAGTGGCTCTTCTTTCCAATTCCACCGCGCGAGGAAATCCAAGGTGCGCAAGAACCCTGTTGAAGCCGATGAGGGCATCTTCCAGGGATAAGGGGTAAGGAAGACATGGAGCACCAGCAGCTCGATAACCTCCTCACTGATGTGCCCCATCAGCTTGTGAGCATTGAACCATTCCTTCACTAGACGAATTGACTGCGAAAGAGCGTGGAATCGAGTGCAGAAAGTGGCAATCATCTGTGTGTGCAATGCCAGAGTACTGTACTGCCAGTTGACGCTGGCTAGTGTTTCCTCGGCTTCATCACGGATATAGTGATCAAGGGTCTTGTTCATCACTTGTCGTCCCAGGAGAACCTCCTCTAGATCACAGTGTACCCTAACTCGGAAGGCTGCACCATTTTCATACACGACGTCGAGATAGGCCAGATTCTCCACCCCAACATCTCTATTTTCCCTTCCAAGGTACGTGGTGATGTTCTCATGAGCTCCGGTGAGACGCCTGTCGATGTCGAGCAGAAATTCTATCTTAGCTTCTTGGATGGCAATAAGATTTTCGGGCCATTTATTCGAGGCCTCAAAATGCATGTTGACCTCCATTGGCTGAACAGAACCCGTGTGGAAGCCCAGCATGGGAGGGTACAATGATGAATACCGGGCATAGGACGATACCTGGGAGAGCTGTCGTATCTGTAATGGGAGATCCTCGAGAGTTCGAATATCATGCTCAAAAGTCTGAAAAGCCTTCCGCGCCGAGTCGAAGGCATCTTTGTCCATGTTTGAGAATTCCAGCACAGAGTGGAGTCCTGGACCATGGAAAGAGACTTCCTCTTGGGTCAACTTAAGATGTCGGGCAAGAATATAACGGGCAATCTCCTCGCAAATCTGGAATGGGAGCCGGCTTTGCCACTCAACGCATTCCAGGATACTGCCATCTTTGAATCGCCGCAGCTCTGCCTTTTCACCCCAAAATTGGCGGAACCTGGCAGCTTCCTTTTGCTCCTCTGCAGGAGGGCCATGCTCCATCTGGCGGGACATCTGGGCAAATTGGAACGTCACGCCAACAGTTACGTGGTCGAACTCGGGTGGAGGATTTGCCCCGAGAGACCATTTGTTTGTGGTAGGGGATTGGATATGCAATAATTGGGCGCGGCCTCCATATGCTTTCTTCAACACTTTGTAAGCCTCGAGGCTGAACTCTGACACAGCACCACGTCGATCTGGTGATCCCGATGACTTTGTCATGTCCTGACTTTTAATAGTAAAAGTTGCATCGTAGATTTGCGAGAGAATATCGGCCTTGACGATAAATATAGGCTCGAATTTATCAGCTGCTTCGTCGGAGAGGAGATCAGTGGTAGATTTAGCATATTGCTGCAGCAAGCTTGCTGACCAAGGATGCATTTTAAACAACACATTCAGGCTGGTTGAAGGGTCATACAGAATCGGGCCAGTTTCTCGAACTGCATCAAGAGTGCCACTGAAGGCTCCTAATATAGTTGGCTTTTTGTTGAAGTCGGTATCAGAGAGAAATTGAACAGCGGCCTTGAAAATTTCCGTGGCACTGAGGGAGTTTGACAGTGTCGCCTGCCCATTTCGTCCGCCGGTTTGTAGAAGCAAAGCAAGGAGTATAGACCACTCAAAATGGCCGAAACCGCCTTGTGAGATGGAAGAGCCGAAACCTCGCTGTTGCAGCCATGTCCGGCCCAGAATGCAGGCATCAGGGAAGGCTGGGCAGTCCTTCTTTGCACGGGTAAGAACCCGTAGATAGGTGACAAAGGTCGCCTCAGCTTTAAGGGTAGAGTTGTAAAATGGAGTGCCACGCGTTGCAATTTTGTCGTCTTTCTCATTTCCTCGGTTGGAGTTGAACGATGGGACCAACTTCGAAGCTGGAAGGAGATCTTCAGGAGCGCAGGGGATCACCCTGATAGAATGACCAGAAGAGCCTGTCTTCTTCTTCTTTTGGCTCACCGATTTTCCATTTTCTTCCGCTGCTTTGGGCGTAATGAGGAGAATGGGCAACAGGCGATTGTCGTGAAGAAACTCGAAACTGAGATCCACTGAGTCGCCTAGCTCGTTCCGCACTTGCGATGCAATGTATGCAATGTAGTATGCCCTTCGGTAGAAGTAGCGCATGTTCTGGTAGTCCTTCTCTTGGAACATGGTCTTGGGCATCTGCACGATCATGTCGACGCAAAAGCGCGACTGGGTCTTAACCATAGACTTGGCCACATAGCTGCCCACAACGTTCACTTGTGCTGGCTTTTCGAATGATAGTTGATACGGGGCATCTTTGGCGGGTCTCGGCTCGGGGTAGGGCACTGTAATGCGATGTTTCTTCTCGAACTTCGAGGTTGCTTCGCCAAGCTGGAAATAGTTAGGTAGAGCTCTGGGAATAACCACGTGAGTGGACGGGCACTTTACTCACAGGCTCAGGACCATGACCTTCGATAGAGTCTATGATCCCCTTAAGCTTATACAGTTGCTCATCTGCATCTTTCAGGGTTTTGGCGTAGTCGACTTTGGCACCTCTGAGTAGCTCATCCGTCTGGAGAGTGAAGATGCTTGCTGTGGATAAACGGGTGGTGCTTCCGGACTCGAAGTCGATCAGGTTGGTATGTTTTATACCGGAGCCCGAGTGCTCGAGCTTGCGACGTTTTGAGCTCGATTCCATGGCAATTGCGCATAAATTGTTATATGGACTATAGTAGCTTGAGGCATGTCGGCAGCATCTAACAACTTTTTTTTTCCAGCCGTTGATGCTATCGTTATCGCCGAGAGCGGGGCGATAAGTGTCCGATAAGGAATGACCCATGTCCATATTCTGTCACAGAGAAGATTCAAGCGATACATGTAATATAGTTGACTTTGCGGTTAAAAAGACGGTAGCGTTTTATCTTTCAGAAGAGGTAGGCATTTCAACTAGGAAAACTATGACTGCACTCTTGTAGAACCAAAGAGAGAAAATACCCGAACCCAGAATCACAGACACCTGGCTTAGATAGATTGTGTTGCTTATACCCACTGGCGGGAGTCATACCTATGCGTTCGCTCCATCAGATTGAAAAGATTGACTAAAAACATATCACTTATATCAGTGTTTTAGATATAGAAGAGAGAGGACTCCAAAGATATTGAAGGAGTTTGCGCTGCGCAAAAACCGACAGTTTTCGCATGGTCCCATTAACAGTGCCACTCACTACCTAAATAGTGGGTTGCGAACTGAGTCCAGTAGAACGGCCCCATTAAAAAAAAAGTTCCCACGGGCCAAGCCAAGTCCAACCGCCTGCTTTTTTTTCCTGACACCGACTGCCTCTACACGGCACACGACCTGTTGGACCCCATCATCACATCCACAGGCCCAGTGGTTTCTTGTCGCATTCAAATCCACAGGGTTTCTTTTCGGGTCTGAATTACGCATTGCCAAAATGTCGGAGGGGTTGCTGGAGGTATGTGCTCGTACCCCACTGGGATTGCAAAGAGCCCAAAGTGAGGTTTTGCGTTCATGGACAAGAGCTCACACCACCGCAGGACCGCTTGCGCCAGGCCGGGACCTTCCAAGGCCTTCTGAGCCTGGTACCCGCCAAGGTGTACTACGGGGAAGATAATACAGTATGCTACTACCCTTCTTTCGATATTCTTTTGTGATCCCAGCCAGCGCGCACAGAGATTTGGGTCTCAGAGACCAGCTCCCGCACAACGATCATCAATTGATCAGAACGTCCGCGAAACCATGGCTAATCCCAAATCTAGGACCAGTGGATGCGAAAGAAGCAGACCAAAGCAGAGGCCAGGGTTGCACGGATGAACAAGCTTGATCCCAATAGCGAACAAAATCGCACCGCTATGGAGGGGATGGATGAACGGGCAAAGAATAAACGAAAGCTACGAGAACTGGAGCAAAAGGATAACGACGACGAGGAAGAAGATGATTTCGAACCATTCGAAGGTGTCGAGGCTGAGCGACCTGGCGAGGGTCTGAAGAAAAAGACGTCCGAAAACAACAAGAAGCAGAAGGTCGACGAAGAGGCCCCGGAAGAGGCTCCGGAAGCTGAAGCTGAAGATTTAGAGGAGGCAGATGCTTCACTTGGAAAGAAGTTATCTAAGAAACAGGAGAAGAAGGAGAAGCGCAAGCAGAAGAAAGCCGAGAAGAAGGCTCACGAGGAAGCCAATGAGTCCATGTCAGTTGCACCAGCCGAGACTTCTAACAGCCAGACGAGCAATGCTGTACCCAAATCAAAGGGAAAGAAATTAAAGCAGCAACAGGCAGAAGAAGACGAAACCAAAGTCGACAGCGACGAAGAAATGGGGGACTTCGAAACGGAAGTAGCCGACTTCTCAGGCCTGCAAGACGACGCCAGCGAAAGCGCTCCATCCGAGAGACAGGATAAATCTCCCCTCTTCGATTCCAATGGCCCCAATGGTGCCTCCACAGAACCAGCCAGCACATCCACCTCTTTATCGTCAGCAATCCCTCCTTCAGAAAAACCAAAACACATCAAGATTCCCAGCGACACTTCTGCACTGAGAGCCAGGCTAGCAGCAAAGATTGAGGCCCTGCGCGCCGCCCGCAAGGCCGATGGTCCCGACGGAAAGCCTATCCGCACTCGCCAGGAGCTCATCGAGTCTCGGAGAGCGAAGGAAGCACAGCGCAAGGCCCACAAGAAGGAACTGAGACTGAAGGCCAAGGCCGAGGAAGAGCTGAAACGTGAGCAAGCCCTGGCATCGAATTCGCCCAGTGTCATGAGCCCTTCTGTGGAACTCGACGAGGCTACTGGTAACTTCGCATTTGGCCGCATGGCCTTTGGCGACGGCACACAGCTTTCCCACGACCTCAGTTACGTCCTTACCAACGGCAAAAGAAAAGGACCCTCAGACCCCAAAACAGCCCTCCTCAAGGTGCAGAACCAGAAGAAGCGTCTACAGGAACTCGATGCCGAGAAGCAGAAAGACATTGCAGAAAAGGAAGCCTGGCTGACTGCTCGTCGCCGCGTTGAGGGAGAGAAGATCCGGGATGATGAGGCCATTCTGAAGAAGGCAGTCAAGCGCAAGGAGACGGCTAAGAAAAAGAGCGAAAAGGCATGGAAGGAGCGTGCTTATGGGGTCCAGCAAGCGCAAAAGGAGCGCCAGAAGAAGAGGGAGGATAATATCAGAAAACGTCGGGAGGATAAGTTGCTTGGCAAGGCTGGGAAGAAGAAGAAGGCTGGCGCGGGCGCCAAGAAGAAGAGCAGGCCTGGTTTCGAGGGTAGTATAGGTGTCGGACGCAAGTAATTAACAACTGTTTCTGATTGTAACCTGTATTACTCATTCCGAGTGATTGATCAATTTTCTCAACCGCTGTTGGCATTGGAGCTCTACTTGCTACTCACAGCCATCGCGGCTTTCATACGACGAGGGTGCTGTATCCACATCTCAAAATATCCCAACTAAATTCTACACGATTACGTTAAAAGGAGCTCGTCAACGTCAGTTTATTAGCAACGAGCGAAGCACAGGGGTCTCTCAGAATCTGCTCTCGGAATACTAGAAAAGAATATGTTGTGTTCATTACAACAGAAGAATAAATGAAAGATGAATCAAAAACATACACAGCGAATAACACGCTTTCTCCCATGCATGCCGCTTCTTTTTGTTCCCAGGAGCCAGAGGAAAGGAACCCACCGAAAAGGCAACACGTTCATACAGTAAGGTAGATGTACCAAACCCCCAATTTCGTTCGGTCTTCGCCCCTAAAAAAAAAAATTCGAGACCGTACTGTTTTGCGCAGTATTTTGTTCATCGCCCGCCCCATGAGATTTTTGCCAAAGCATCTGAAAAGACAAAAAGATCGGGGGATATTGCTTGACCCTCCCCCACCAATACATCGCAGCGGCCCTTTTTTGATAAATTTTCCAGTCCTATGCCCAGCGCCAACCTGTGAAGCACGAGAAATAATAAAACAAAACGAATTGACGAGTTCAATGACGCATCGGCTCATGGGCTCAAATTGAGTGCCCCTAGTATTCAGAGCTGACTCGTAATTGTCGATGGCACCTGCGTTGCTTTTTGGCGATGGCAACCGCAAGATTGATTAAGTTTCGGACGGAGGAAGAGGATGTGAGGAGGTTAGGTGGTCATCCAGAGGGGAGAGGAGATGCACGAGTAGCAGTCAATCACCCCTTTAGAGAAGGGAGTCGAGCCTGGTGAAGACGCTCAGACAAGCGGCGACAACCTCGAGCTGTAACTCCTTGTCCTTGCCTTTGCTGATTTCCTAGAGTCAAAAAGTCAGTACCGCCGTCTGTCTGTAGTTTAAACGCATACATACCTCTGCAACAACCTGGGGGAGGTTGGCGCCGATCCCGTTTCCTGTAGCCTTCTTGCCGAATGGCCATTGGCTGTAGTCGGCCAACAACTCGTCGGTTTGGGCGAATGCACGCTCCCGAGACTCGTGTCCAAGGGTAGAAAGAGCATTTTCTAAAACGTTGGCAGCGTAGGCAGCGCACACCATAGCCAGGGTACGCAGGTATCTGAACTCAAGGTTCTCGGGTAGGAATTGGCTGCCATTGAGAACGACAGTGCGCTGGGTCAGGATGTTGCGCACACGCCTTCGGATTTCCTCCTTGGCACCGCCGTCGGACACGGGGTGAGTCGCCATGTCGAACAAGAGGAAGTTGCGCTTCTCGGTTCGTAGGATGCCCTTGTCCACAAGTCCCTTGGCAAGTCGCTCACGAACCTGCTTGAGCTGATATCCAATCTTCATCAAGTTCCAAGTCTCACCTATAGCATGTGTTAACATCGAATGCGGAGTGCACTTTAGCAACATGTTGCAAAGGCGGCCTTACCACTCATCAGGTCGATCCAAGTCGTGACGCTCATCTTCTCGCTTTGCTTCATCATCTTCAAGGCCTCGTCCAGGAGAACCTCGCCGGTCAGGGCGTCGTCGATGACTTCGATATTTCGGTCCGCCAGCGGTAGCCGTCTTCGGCCTGGGTCCTTCTCCATAGCGATTCTGCCACGGAAGGCTAGTTCTATCACAATGCAGCCCCGCAGGGCGTATGAAATGTTGTCGTTCCAGAAGGAGAGGTAGCCCTGCGGATGATTGTAAGTTCGGTGTCTAGGTGGCTACTTCGATCGCCACGTAGTTCCAGCTTACCTGCTTGTCCTTCAAACCAAGTAGTAATACCTCCTCCATCATGGTAAGCTTTGGCTGTTTGCTTCGTTCGGCGCTCTCGCTCATATCCCGAGGATCATAGGCAATCGGATGGTCACCTTCGCCACTCTCGTATCTGGTCTCCGGGGCGCTGTCCCGGGCATTGTTGGTGGAATTGCTTCTCGAGGGGGTGGTAGGAGTCTCGCCCTCGGTTGGGCTCAGAGCACCGCCAGCCCCGCGGCGTCGCGTGAGTCCGGAAGACATATTTGTTGATCGAGGACGGTACGGCAGCCCCGAATGTTTGGCTCAAAAACGTTTGCAGCGCTTGTCGTAGGGGTTGGGACAACGACGGGTATGTTGTGTTCGGGCAAAGATGCAAGGGTGTTATTTGGGATGCGGGTCGCTAATCGGTGAAAGCTTCAAAACTTGGGCAGACCAGGCGAATAGCTGGTAGCTTGCCGACAACTGCGAGAGGGGATATTACGCGGCGCGAAATTGGCGAATAAATGACCAAGATTAATGCGACCGGTGGCAGATTACGGTCCCTCAGCACCGGGTTCGTGGAGATTGGCGGCGAGGATCTTCGAATTGTCGCCAGCCGAGGATTTTTTTATACAGAGAACGAGAAAAGGGGTGGTTCTTCTGTCTGCACTAGCCGACTATTGGGAATTGGGTGGGGGGAAATGATAGGGTAAAAATAGGGATTCGAGCAAAGTCCAGGATGGCTGGAAGCTGTACGATCAAGCAGCACTCTCTGATGTGTGGGAATTGAAAGGAAAAGCTGCACAATCCAGAAGCTAGAGCTGCAAAAGGGCCTGCAGAAGGGCTGTGCATGCAGTAATAAGGCCAGTGTGCTGGCGTGAATGTTGAGTCGCGTGGCCCGCAACCTCTACGTATTGGATGGATTAGATAGGCCTCGTTGTACCCGACGCCGACGTAAGAGCGATGGTGGATGGCCTGTCAGCGTCTGCGGCGTGGGCTAAGGCTGAGCGCGAGACTTGGCAACACAGGGATTGTGCACGGAGCACCTCTGATTCACGCCTGTAGCAGTGCTGTACGCGCTGGCATGTGCGTCAGTGCCTTCCGGGTAGGCGCTGTGCAGGGTAGGCGGGGCTCCAGGCTACCACATGGTGCGGCTCCACGACCCGGAATTTAATATGATACGACACCAACGTCTGCCCCTATTTTTCAACTACATCAACCACAACATGAAGCAAGCATATGAAGTTATGGCAGCTCCCAGTGCTCAAAGCAGTCAGTCGCCTTGCCATTGTCGGATTTTTCCGGCAGCCCCTTCCATAATTTATACAAGCCCAAAGAAATGGAGCTCGTTGGAGGGTAAAACGACTTGACACCCCTGAACCAGTCCCTAATATATCCAACTATTTGCTCTGACCGACCTTGCTAAAATATCATATAGCTTCTACATACTGTTGTCTACCTGTTCTGTGGCAACTGTATCCTTTGAAGCTGTTGGAGCTCAATTGAAAAATCTGCCTATCTAATGCAACAATGGCCAGACCATCGTCCCCTATCCTAACAGGCTTCACCACAATGGTGGTTGCAGAGGGAAACGAGCATTGTGGACATTTGGCTTAGCCGAGAGTCGCCTCATTGAGGTCTTGTCACGGACCATCTCCCGTTCGTCTACAAGATTGGCTCTCTACCGGCGAAGGACGCCTGAGCGAGACTTAGACGGCTCCGTCAGGGACCGTTCTAGGGCCCTCGATGCCCACCGCCCAGCCCAGACAGCGCGCAGTTGCCGCCAGCTGCCAGCCGTGAAGCCTCCATCTACCCCGCACACAGCAGGACAGGCCCTGCCAATGCTCTATATACAAGTTTCGAGCTCGTTCCATCGCCAGTGAAGGGGCGAGACGAAGTTGGCCGACTCGTCAAACCCAGAGGCACTCGAAGCAAGCCGCAAGGCCCAAGTTCGAATCCCTTCTCAGATACGTCAATAAAAGTAACACTTCCTGGGTCAAGGCCAAGGTCTGTGAAATTTGCGATGCAAAGAAAAGCCAAATGTCGCTGTAGCATCACCACTGTGAGAGTAGATGGCAGGGGCGCAAGGACGAGTTCTTTTTTTGCCTTCTTGTTCAATAATATCATACCCATCTTGTGCTGTAGTTTTCTTTTTCTTGCCTTCTCTGGTACGTCTTCGTCAAAACCAGACAGCTTTGGTGTTTTGCCCACCTCGGTCCAAACAAGGCTGCGCACAGAGCTGTGCACACGCACATGTTTCCTCGCCCTTATTTTCGAACTTCTCTCTACAGTATGGTCTCAAGATGTGAACTATGGTGTTTTCCACCGCACGAGGCCTTTCATCCCCTCTTCGGCACATTGCAACGGCCAACGATTTTAATATATGCGCGCCTTGATATTTTTCATATTATATTTTATGAAGCCTAATTCAGCATGTGATTTTGATATGAAATAGAGCAACTCAACCACATCGATTAAAAATTGACGATCGATCTTTCGCTCCTGTGACATAACATGTATGTCTGTCCTGCGTGGATTTGAAGGGGAGTTGGATTTGCCCAAAATCTCCCTCGATATGAAACAGTACAGATGGCCCTCGACAATCTTCTAAAACCAGTCTCCCCAGCCATCAACGTTCTCCTTCACTTCCAGCTCTCCGAAGAGTCGCTCCTCAAACTCCTCTTCATCCTCTGGCATCTCTTCGTCCTCATCTCCACAGTCCATCGCCCGCTTTCGCCATTCGACTGTATTCGCACCATCAATACCTTCGATCTCAGCGCAAAGCTTTACTCCACGCTCAGCAAAGATGCGAGCTCTGGTCCTGTATCCGGAGCGTCTTGCAAGCCGCCATGCACCTTCGTAAGCTTCAACTGGTTGCCAGTCGACGATGGACTCTTGTGCGTATAACTGGAGTAACTCCCGGATCTGGTCGAGCGTCGATACTTCTTGCTGGCGTAGATTGTTGATCTCGTGGATGCGGAGGTCACTCGCTTCTCGATCTTCTTCTGGGAGTGTGCATAGACGGCACCGGCAGGTGAATTTGAAGATGGATGACAGGCTTTGCTGGCGATCGGCAAAATCACCAAGGTTTCCAATGTATGTGCTTGTTATCTCCTCGCCCTGTGGGATGCTCTGCGTCGCATAGATCTCAATCGTGCCCTTTTCTGGGTCCCAGGAGGAATGAGTATTGGGGAGACAAGAGTGGTTGATTCGACAGGCGACCTCGAATAGCCCATACATCATATCGTGGTTGGGGTCCCTGAGTTTGATGCCGTTGATGCGCATCACGAGCTCGAGATCCTCAGCTCGGTTTCGATTTCCGGTCACATCGAAGAGCTTCCAAACTTTCTTCTGCTTGGCTCGCCCCAATTTATTATATTCTCTGAAGGGCTCTCCGCGGTCGTTGAACCGCTGGTCCGTGTATCGAAAGAGAGGGGCTTCTGAAAGTATGAGCTGGCCGCGCGTGATATCCGTAGCCGCGATGAGACCTTCCCCTTTACTAGGGATCCGGCATACTTTATAAAGAGAATCCATGATGCCAGAGTAGTAGTAAAGCTCTGGTGACCATCAAGAGCTTTCGGTGTGATGAGAAGGAAGAATAATTTATAAAGTGAGGGATGAAGTGGAGGGTATTTATATTGAGAGAGGAGAGAATAACAGGAGCAAGCAGAGAGCAGGGAAGGAGAGGTCTATTTCGACCTTCCTCGGGGCAACCCAATAATTCTAAGTAATAAAGAAATACGCCAAAGCAAACAAAAAACAAGCTAAGCTAAACAGCAGAAAGAAACCCTTTGTTTGCTGCACATTGTTTGTTGTTGAATGCAGCCTTTGTCGTTGTCAAGGTCGTTCGAGGAGTTTGACTCAATGCCTCGGCGCAACATAGTGTGCTAAGTTTATGAAGTTTGAAAACAATTAAGATTATCACTGAATAATAATACATTGTTGCAATATCGTGCACATTCCCTATGCCGAAGTTTTCTCTACGCTGATTCTCGACCCCTCTTAGACGTAGTTTGCTAAATAGGTGTGACACTGTCCGCCCCCACTGTCTCTTTCCACAGTTTATCAAAGTCAACGCCGTCCTTGAGGAAGAGCTCACGGATGTTCTTGGCTGCCTCTTCCTGCTTCTCGGGCCCAAACCCACCGGGTTGGGTAGACTCGAACTGTACAATCTCAACCCATCGGTAGAATAGCTTGTCCTTGCCCATCGCTGCGAGAGCATCCCGGAAGGCAAATACCTGGCGCCTCTTCTCGTCCTCTTCTGCCGATGAACTCAGCTTGGTGTCGTAGCAGAGCCAGCCGTGGTCCTGGTGGTGAACCAGGACCACAGTGCGGAAAGCTTCCAGGGCAATGTCCTTCTTATCCACGAGAGCGTGCGCGTACACCATGGCGTCCCAATCCAAGTCCCATTGGCCGTTCATTAGTAAGTAGCCGGTCTTCTGTTCCTGCAGCATGGGGGAGGTTGCCTGCTGTATGTACGCCGTAAAGATCCTGCGGGACTCATCGTGCTTAAGGATGTCGCCAAGGCCGACATCCCAGTCTCGGCTGCGTCGGACATAAATCTCCTTCTCACGGAACCCGACATTCCATCGCCATCTGGTAGGATTTCCATGAGCGACGCCGGCAACGAATTCGACTGGCCAGGGCCAGACAAAGACAAAGAGGAGGAAGTCAAAGAACATGGTGAAGCCCCGCTTGAGAATCTCAAATCCCAGCTCAGCCCAGGTGGATGTCTCGACGGGGAAAGTCGTCTCATTGGGGTTGCCGAATCCCGACATCATAAGCTTCCAGTAGTAAGGGACAATGTAATACATGCGCAAGGCAAAGAGAGCGACGACACCGATATTCATGGCAATCGGCACTAGGAAAAGCTTGCGCTTGAAGGCTGCCGGTTTGGAGTCAATGTGCGCGACGTAGACATGCTTGCTTGAGAGGGTGTCGATGAAGGGCTGAAGGACTTCAGGTGGCTCCTTGAAGGGCGCTGGGGGTGAGCCCTTCTTTGCTGAAGCTGTCTGTGGCTTTGGCTTGGCATTTTTTCTCGCGGTTGCTCCGGCCATGGTGAACGGATCTCGCGGGAATTGCCTGAAGCTTCCAGGTGTTCAATTGATTTCCGAGCGGAGATGCGTTGGGCTGTTGAGTGTAGGAAAGGGGGTGGACTGTGAACAGATGTTCAGTTTTGGCGTATAAGAAAAAGATCTGGCGGGCCCATAATATAGGCGCTACAGCACATGGTATGCGTATGACAGGATACAGAAGTACTGGCCTGTTCCTACCGCAAAAGGAGTTAGGAAGTATTAAACGTTCCAAATCAATTGTTATTCCACGGACTTTCTCATCCTTCTCAATTCCTGTCCATCCTCTCATAATTATTACCGTTGTTCTTCGTTGCCAAAAGCCAGTCGCAGAGCCTCGAAACGCTCCGAAGCGCCACTCCCCCACTACCCGCGATGTGCTAGGATCGATGCCTGTAGGGGATTTTGCATATCGATAAGACCCAAGTCGAAAAATTGCCCCTCCACAGGTCTAAGAAAAAGCCCCCAAGCTCGAGCATATATCATAGCTGCCGGGCTTCCGAGACTCTCTACAGCTCCAGGTCGCATATAAGTTCCAAGCTCGCATTTCGACACATACCAGATACACTCCGCCATGGTTCGGCACAAGAAAGACTTCCATGGCAAGGGCAAGGGTAAATTCCACGGCGGCGGGCCCTCGCGCCAACCCCGCCACCAGGACGGCGACGAAGCTCCCTCCTCCCGCCCGGCGTTCAAGGCTGCCTGCTGGGATCTCGGCCACTGCGACCCCAAGCGGTGCTCCGGGAAGAAGCTCATGAGGCTGGGCATGATGCGCGACCTGCACCTCGGCCAGCGCCACAACGGCGTCATCATCACCCCGAACGGCAAGCACGTCGTCTCGCCCGCCGACAAGGAACTGCTCGACCAGTACGGCGCGGCCGTCGTCGAGTGCTCCTGGGCCCGCACCAAGGAGGTGCAGTGGAACAAGGTGGGCGGCAAGTGCGAGAGGCTGCTGCCCTACCTCGTCGCCGCCAACACGGTCAACTACGGCAAGCCGTGGAGGCTGAACTGCGTCGAGGCGCTGGCGGCCGCTTTCTATATCTGCGGACACGCGGACTGGGCGGAGCAGATTCTGGCTCCCTTCTCATACGGAGAGTCTTTCCTGGAAATCAATTCTACCTTGCTGAAAAAGTATGCAGCGTGCGAGGACGAGGCCGCCATAAAGAGAACAGAGGAAGAGTGGATGGAGCGGTTAGAACGGGAGTATGCCGAGAACAGAGAACAAGGCGACGATGATATATGGACCAAGGGGAACACGAACCACAGACCAAGTATCATGTCTGATGAAGAGGATGACGACGATGACGATGACGATTCCGACGCAAGCGGCAACGAGGAAAATGATAGCGTGGATGGCATATACCTAGGCAAGAAGCCGCCAGTAGTAGGCCAGAAGGAGGAGGAAGAGGAGGAGGAGAAGGATAGATACGCCATATCCGACGACTCTGACGACGATGCGGCCATGGAGGAGATTCGTCGAAAGATTCTTGCCTCCAAAACCTTTACGAACCCTACCCCTAATGATAAACAGAAACCTGCTACGATACCTCGACCCCAGCAGCTCAGACACGATGAGGAAGCCCAGCCAGATTCGGACAACAATGACAGTGGAAGTGACGCCGAAGATGATGAATTCGACAATATCATTGAAGCTACTCCGATGACCGACAAGATCGGCCTCTCCAAGCTGGAAAAAGAAAGAGAGCGGGCAACAACCACAACCAGAACATTCTCCTCAAACGTGATTTCCGCCCCCAAGAGGTCGTAGAGATAGTGTTTTTACATTAGGTTACATCTAAGAATTATACAGTATCTTCTAGTCATACATATGATTCGTAGTTGTTGTTACAAGTGTGAGTCCGGGTTGTTTTCCAACCATCTCCGTAGTCTAGTTCATAATCTTACAGTTTTCGTTTCTCCTTGATGACTTCGAATGTTTGGATCTGGTCATCGATTTGGAAATCCTCGAAACCATCCAAGCCGATTCCACACTCTGAGCCCTTGCCCATCTCCATGACGTCTTTCTTGACGTGTTTCAAGGTGTCAATCGTGCCTAGTTTTGGTATTAGTATGTTTGTGAATACGAGGGGGGTTGCTTCTGGAGACGCAGTGTAAGTACATACCCTCATAAACTAATTTTCCTTTCCGGAACACCTTGACACCCGATGTCTTTTTGATGGCGCCGTTCCTGACTCTACATCCTGCAATGTTCTTTTGAATTCTCTTCTTGACATTGATAGAGAAGATCTGTAGAATATCGGCCTCGCCTTGGACGCGATGGATGATGTTGGGAGGGAGGAGATCTGATAGGCAATCTTTCACCTCGTCAACGACGTGATATATGACACGATGGTCGAGTATTTTGACACCAGCCGCTTCTGCCAGTTGCTGGATGTGTGGCTGTATCGGCAGATTAAAGTTCACAATGATTGCTTTGGAGAGGCCAGCGCGCTCGACATCACTTTCGGTTATCAGGCCTGCGCCCGACTGCAGCACAGTTGACTGAACCTCGTGACTTCCCAACCCCGCGATACTTCCACAGACGGCTTCAACAGAACCTGCAACATCAGCCTTGACGATGAAGTTCTGGGTCGTTATTCCTGGCTGGGCTGGTTTCTTATCAAGCTCCGAATCTTCACTGGCTGCTAGTTCGGCGGCTGCCTCTGCCGCCTCCTTTTCTCGTTGACGTCGCTGCTGCTCTGCAATATAGATTGAGCTTTGCTGTCTGTCTGCCATTTCTTGGCGGTAATCGACGGCGACCTTGGCTCTATCTTCGTCAGGTGCTTGAAGAACCTGCTCGCCTGCGTCGGGCAGTTCACGCCACCCAAGGATCTCCACCGGTGTTCCAGGAGGAGCCTCGCTCACTTCAACACCAGCTTCGTTTCGAAGCCAGCGGATTCTAGCCCAAGTCCTGCCGGCAACAATCAGGTCTCCCTGTCGAAGGGTGCCTCTTTTCACGAGAACAGTAGCCGCTCTGCCATAAGGCTTTATACTCGATTCAAGAACCCAGCCTTCTGCCATGCCGTCGGTTTCAGCCCGTACATCCAAAATCTCAGAGAGGGTGACAATGTTCTCCTCAAGGTCCTCCATGCCTTGGCCGGTTTTGCCACTGACAGGAACAACTTGCACATCACCACCAAAGTCTTCAATTTCGACACCGTGCCGGGACAAGTCAGCCTTAACTTGTTCGACACGAGCATCTTCCTTGTCAATCTTGTTGATGGCGACAATGATCGGCACCTTGGCTGCCTGTGCGTGTTTCAGAGCTTCTATTGTTTGAGGCTTCACACTATCGTCAGCCGCGACCACTAACACGACAATGTCGGTGACATTGGCTCCACGCTGCCGCATGGTCAGAAAGGCGGCGTGTCCTGGGGTATCCAGGAAGGTGATGGATTTCCCAGATGGCATATTCACAATAAATGCGCCAATGTGTTGGGTGATGCCACCGTGTTCCTGGGCCACCACGGATGACTTTCTTAGCCAGTCCAATAGTGTCGTTTTACCGTGATCAACGTGTCCCATGATCGTGACAATAGGTGGCCTGGAAGGAAGCGTAGATGGGTCACTTGGCGTCGGCTGTGGGCGAAGATCTCGAGTCGCGCCATCATCAACAGTCGGTTCAAATCCATACTCCATCGAAATCAAAGCTGCAGTTTCTCCAGTCAGGATCGTATCAACCGCCATGTCTTCAAAACCCATCTCCGCCAAGTCGTTGAGAAAGTTTGCGGGCCGTTGCTGCAGTGTCTGAGCCAAGCCAGAGACGTTGATAAACTCTGGGAGGAAGACGGGAATCGCCTCCTGCGCCTCCTGCGCCATCAATTTTTGTTCTTCCTTGCGCCGTTGTTTTTCTTCCTGCCGTTGCTCCCATCGTTCTTGCGCTCCATCATCCCAGTCTTCATCATCATCGTCTTGACGCCGGCCACCTGAACCGCGACCCCTGGCCTTTTTACCACGACGCCGAGCGGGAGCATCATCCTCAAATCTCGACTTCCGTCTTGGTTCCCGATCTTGACCTTCAGTGGCCTTTGGCGGCGTCCACTCATCAGCCACGACAGGCTTGAGCGTTTCTTTGAGCGATTCTTTGATCTTGTTCTGATAATTGCCCACCCTCTGCTCAAGCTCCCCCCAAAAGTCCTGCTCCGCGGCTGAAGACTTTGGTCGTTTCTTGTTGTCTTTTCGGCCCATTTTCATTGCATCAAACGCAGCTTGCCCTGTAAGCCTTGTGGAAATGGGACCCTCAGCTTCTTGCTGTCTATTTTCCTCATTTTTTCTTCTTCTTGGGGTATTGGGTGACCTTGAATCATCTACTTTGATCTCTGACTTGCGGTTGCTGAATCCACCCCAACCGGTTGAACCCTGGCTCTCTGGGGTTTTCTTGTTGGCCATTTCAAGTACATTTTTGAAAAAAGACGGTGTATCGCCTTTCCTTTCGGCGCCCGAAGGAGTTGGCGGCGTTGGTGGGGCTTTCCGTGGATCGCTGCGGCCTTGAGCACTATCAAAAATGTTCTTCAGCAGGGCCCGGGACTTTTCGGCTTGAGCCTGCTGCTCCTTGGTTTGTGAGGCATCCCGTCGCCTTCGGCTTCCTATCTTCGGTCCTACCGCCGCTTTTCCCGGCTTTGGGGCCGGCGGCGGAGGAGGAGGAGGAGGGGCCACGTTTGTCTTTGCGCGGGCATGCCTTTCATGGGGCAAGAGACCATCTGTAGGCCGGTCGTTGTTCCCCGCTGCCTCTTTCTTCGCAACACCGAAACCTCCAAACGTGTTCCCGGGCCGGCCCGCAAATCCTCCAGTGAACCCTGGCTTAGTCTGGGAGTTGCCATCGTCATTCGTATTCCGGAGAGTTCGCGTTGTCGACAAAAGCTGGGCATAGGCGATGCCATGAGACATGCCACATGGTCGGGAAGCCTTGGCTAAGTGAAGAGGAGAGCTAACTGCTTGGGACTGCGCGGCTCTGTGGGCAATCTTGTTTCGACACAGATTGCACACATATGGACGAGTGCGCTCCTAGAGGTCATTAGTTAGTAAAAGAAGTAGATATGCGAATTTTGGCAGCAACTGGTCAAACTTGCCCTCCAAGGCTGAGCTCTCAACATGGCCGCGAATGAAAGACTAATGCCGCCAAAGCAAAGTCTATATGCCCAATCGGAGTTATCGCATGGCGTGCGGCCCAGGTCTGAGCTGAGCGGTTTGTCCGTCGCGTGGGCAGTAATTGGATGCGGTGATCGAACACGGCCTTAAAAGCGACTGAATTCAATCCCGATAGACAAATGTGGAGCAGAGCTTTATCGATATACCTCTTCCAGCCGGATAAAGCAATAATCCTAACGTCCTGTAAAAGTGTATCCAATCAATATTGTTAGCGGAATTGCGGAAACATAAATAGGAGCATCCTTTTATAGCTGGGTGTCTGCGTCTCTATTTACAGATAACCAGGTAGATGACAGGTAGAGCTTGTGAAGATCACAGCTGGTCAACTTTTGTCTGTAAGCTGAGACCATTGGCCAGCCTCGAGCCCCGCCAGTCGCAAAGCCACAGTGAGGGGGGAGGTACCGTCGGAGCATAGAAGAAAAAAGACCGCCATCGTGAGAGACCCTGAGCTGCTTGCTCACTTGAACCAGTTCCTGGAATCAATTCTCTCTATATTAGGCACCCAATGCCACTGAAGCTCAGAGATATTACTACTGTCAATTGACCAAACCGGGGAACACACACCGTGGCACCACGGATCCATGTGGAGTGAATGTACCTGCGCAACCAACCGTAAGCTGCCCGCGCAAGCAGCCCAATTTAGTCCATATTACCTTCCTGCCACTCCAGCAGCTTACCAGGTGTTCTTTAAAACGAGAATATCCCATCCCACCTTTTATCCACAGCTACCCATCACCACCCCGAGCTGCGGCCCCAACCATCGTCCCGATTCCCTCCCCTAATTATACGCCAGGAAGCAATTCTGGCGCTTGGTCCTCGTCTGCATATCTAAGAGAAAGCACTGCATGTCTCGACTTTAACACCGTTTGCCGCGCTCTCAGAGTGTCTAGGCAGGCATCATCCCCGCCCCTCATTCAACTCCACAGACTCTCCCGCCCACGACGTCGCAAACCGTCCGGTCGCTCGCTCGCTCGCTGCACCTGCGCCTGCATAACACGGCATTATGGAAGCATCTTCTGCTCGGGCAGCGGCCCGCGATCGCTGGACTGAATTCGGCCGGCCAACCTCCCAGCTGCTGCGGTTCATCCAAGCCGCCTGCAGCCCCGAAAACTACGAGCCCAACCTTGCCCTAAGCCTCGAGATCGCTGACCTTATCAACAACAAGAAGGGCACTGCTCCCCGCGAGGCCGCCACTGCCATCGTCAGCTATATTAATCATCGCAACCCCAACGTCGCTCTTCTTGCCCTCAACCTCCTCGATATTTGCGTTAAGAACTGCGGGTACCCCTTCCACCTCCAGATCAGCACCAAAGAGTTTCTCAATGAGCTCGTCCGGAGATTCCCAGAGCGACCTCCGATCCGACCGACCAGAGTGCAAGCCAAGATTCTTGAAGAAATTGAAGAATGGCGCCTCACTATATGTGATACCAGCAGGTATAAGGAGGATCTCGGGTTTATCAGAGACATGCACCGACTGTTGAGCTACAAAGGGTATTCTTTCCCTGAAGTCCGACGAGAAGATGCGGCCGTCCTCAACCCAAGCGACGTGAGTCAATACGGCCTCCAACTAATGTTGAAGCTACAGGAAAGCTAATTGTTCCACGCAATAGAATTTGAAATCTGCTGAGGAGATGGAAGAAGAAGAGAAGGAAGCACAGTCAGCCAAATTACAAGAACTCATTCGTCGCGGGACCCCTCAAGACCTCCAAGAGGCAAATCGACTCATGAAGGTCATGGCCGGTTACGATCAACGATCAAAGACCGACTATCGAGCAAAGGCAGCCGAGGAAATTAGCAAAATTCAGGCCAAGGCCAGGCTCTTGGAGGAGCGACTGGAAGCTTTCAACCCTGGTGATACAATGAAGGATGGTGATGTCTTCGAGGAATTGGCAAGCTCACTACAGAGCGCACAGCCCAAAATTCAGAGAATGTGTGAGGAAGAATCAGATGATCACGAAGCTGTGGCCAAGCTTTTCGAAATCAACGACAGCATACACCGCACTGTCGAACGTTATAAGCTGATGAAGAAGGGTGATATGGAGGGTGCTTCTAAAATCACAGCCGGTGGCCTGCCATCTTCCAAGGCCGGCGGCGCTGCTGCTGAGCTATCATTAATCGACTTCGACGCTGATGCCGATGCAAACGGAGGTGGTGATACCAGTCAAGCACCATCTCAATCAAGTGGGCTGGAAAATGACCTTCTGGGTCTAGATATCGGAGGATCATCCAGCAGCTTTGGTCAAGGCGGTGGCATAGCGCTGGGCTTTGGAGCAAACCAAAGTAAGTGGCATCAATCTCGCTCTTGAGTAATTGCAGGCGTCTAACTATATGCAGATATCCCGGGTCCTGCTCTACTATCTTCGTTGACAGAAAACAGCTCTGCCAAGGGACCTTCATCCACCCCTACACCACCCCCAAACCGATATTCGAACTACGCCTCTGGCTCCGGGTCACAATCCATAACCCCTCAGTCCCTAGGACAGCAGCAGTCCGCGTTTGCGCCACCGCAACCCGCTGCAAGTGACCCCTTTGCTATGCTCAGCGGCTCGCGCCCATCATCGGTGCAGCCCACATTTACCGCAGCCCCCCCGGCGCAACCCGCTGCAGCAACCGAAGATGAATGGAGCTTCGCCTCGGCACTTCCCCAGGAGGCTGCCAAGCCAAGAGAGCACCAGGCCACCATTAGCAACACGAGTGTGCGTGTTGACTTCAAGGCCGGCCGATCCTCTGCTGCGCCGAATGCCATGGCCTTAATTTTCGCTTTTACAAACAACACCGCCTCAAACATTACAGATTTACATTTCCAGCTCGCAGTTACAAAGGTATGCCGCCCTTTTTGCCCAGTATTTTGACATTCTTTAAATATGCATCTGCTCACACCCCTCTCAGAGTTTTGAACTCGCCCTCAAACCACAGACAGGCCGCTCTCTTACACCGAAACAAAGCCGAGGAATCACCCAAGAGGTTGGCATCTGGCACGCCGGAAACCGGGCTCTCAAGGTCGAGTCCGCCAAGCTGCGTTGGCGTTTGACCTACAAGGTGGGCGAGGAGGTTAAGAACGAGATGGGTGAGGTCCCAGAGTTTAGCATTGCCTAGGTATGAGCTCGGAAGCGCATCGATGCTTTGTAGATCTCTTTGGTGTTTGGCTTCTTAATCTTCACTTGGGGGGTTCGGTAGCGGGAATGCCCCCGTAACTAAATGATCTGAGATTTAAAAACCAGCGTTAGAGCTATTGAAGTATGCAAAAAGATATGGGTACTTGAAATGTTGAACCCAGCTCCTACCTTTCATAACGGACCATTCAAGAGCAAGCAGCAGGCAGTCTTAACCTTTTGCCAGCAACCCCTATCAAATGAAGCGTTACGCACAACATTCCGAGTGGCATAGTCATTGGAAACTTGTTGTCAAATTTTTGGTCTCATTAAAGAACACTTGCTCTGTTTCTCCGTCTTGCAAATGCGCCGCTGTCCCTTCTTGACAGGTGTGTTGATCTTATTATGCCCCTTCAACGCCGAACAAATTGAAAACAATGACGCATGGCAATGCGTAGTCCTTCTCTACACCTCCACTCGTATTCTCTGTCATCAATACGCCTGCGACTCGCCGTTTTTCTTGCAAACAAAGATGAAAATGAAAACTATCCCATCGCGTGACTCCCCCATGCCCATTTGGAAAGTAAAAGACCCAATGCCAATCTGGAAAGAAACAGATCCCATACCAATCTGAAAAAAGAAACAGATTCAAGGCCAATCTGGAAAAAGGTTACAAGATGAACCTTAAATCCATCCCTGATTAATTCTTCATTAAAACGACAAAGACGATCATAACTGCCACGGTCTGGGGAGCATGCCTCTTCTCAGTACTTTGGGCCCATCTTGGGCGCATTTTTGGAACTTGTGGCCGTATTGAGAGAGCACGCCCGCAGACTAAGCGCCCACCTCGCTCACAGCAAAAGAGGGTTTCGGCGTAGACGCCGATGAGTTGTCCATCCGAGCCAACGACTCTCGTTCGGTCTTCTCGCGTTCACGTTGAGCCTTCTCGGATTTTGTAATACGTGGTTTTCGGGTAATGGAGCCACCCCTAGAGCCTGGGCCACCGCCACGCCCAGTACCAGAACCTCCCCGAGTAGAGGCTCCGCCGCGTCCACCACGACTGCCTCTACCACCCCCGCGCCCACGTTTAGGAGGCCCATCCTGACTAGAAGATTGTTAGCAAGGAACGAAACTGTATTCGAACCGTAACAGAGATGAGCCACATACCTAGCAGTTGATTTCGGTACCTCTGGGACAAGAGGGCCGGAGTAAACGAAGAAGCCATCACGACTTGCTGCAGCCTGGGCTTCCCATAACAATTCCGAATCATCAACAAAGTCGTCATCGATATCGTAGTGATCTTCTTTGAAATTACGCTTCTTCTTTGGCTTAGCCTGAGCGTCGATGCCACTAGTTCCGCCATTCTCTGGGTTGCTTCCTTCAACGTCTGAAAGGTCGACAGACATCTCGTCTCCAGACTCTCTGCCCGATTCTATTTTCTCAAGGGAGGCTGTTGCGGCTGCAATTCGCGCTTTGCGATCACGGTTGGCGGCGAGGCGAGGGTGAAGTGCGTCCCAGCCGTACCTGTCTTCCGCAAGACGCATGAAATTCACGTACTTGTTTGTTTCGCCCGTTTTGATAGGAATATTGAGAACAATCGTGGGTGCCTGAGCCTCTTCTCCTGGCTTAGCCCTTCCGAAATCGAGAATCGATCTCCCCTCACCCTCCTGAGTGATGTCGTCCAAATTATCAGTCTTTGGAGTTGATGTACCTGTCTGGGTTTTCTCCTTGGGTGTGAGCTTCTTCACTGGGCCGTTTGCAATGGTGGCAAAGTTAGATTCTTTAATGACCGGTTGTGCCGCTGCTGGAGGGGCGGGTTGCTGATCCTTCTTCGATTCCTGGGCAGTGGAGCGTGAGGTAGAGAGCAGATCGGAGACTACTTTAGCAGGCTTTGAGGGAGACCCAGATACTGATGCGCCATCGTTCGCCTGAAGTTTCGGCGGCATCGTGATTGACGGGGTTTGACCATTTTGCGAAGGGATTGGGGAACGCAATGGGGGCGCTTGCGGCTCAATGAGACTTGCAATTGATGGCGACCGATGAGCGGTTTGGGTGGTTTGTGCTCTGGGAGATCCAGAAGTTGATGGGAAGAGATTATTTGACACAACAGTCTCACGAACCGGGTCATATTTCCCATCACGGATGGGGTCATACGACTGGCCAATACTGCGAACTGGCATCGAATTGCTAGTTCCGGAGGCCTGGGCAGGTGGTTCTGCATTCAGGATATTTTGCATTGAGCCCGGAAAGCTTTCACGCTTTGGCACGCTGGGGGAATAGCGCGCTTCCGGTGGTTGAGGCCCAGACTTCGAGTTGAGGCCTGGTGAGGGATGCGGAGTCTCAGCATGATGGTCTCCAAGAGCCAACACCTTAGGAGATCGTCCAGCGGATTCGGCAGATTGGGCATCAGCAGGTGCGATCTTCCTCTTCCTTTGGACAGGCAGAGCATTAGGGTCACGGGGCTTTCTTGGCTTCCGGACCTTGGCTTGCTCTGGCTGCCCAGGCTGTTGCTGGTCAGATCCATCTGGGGTTTTGGTCTTGCCGCCTGCACCTGGCTTACGACCCGGCTTCTTTCGCGGTAAGCCAGCGGCAGTTAGCTGAACCCAGAGACCATCCACGAGACCAAAGCGTTTTGCCGGTCCATTTCCATCTCCAGGGACTGTCTGGATTTGCTCATACTGGGGAGCAGATTGACGTTGCCCACGGTTCTCATTCTTCGCATTAACCTCGACCGGAGCGTTACGTGGGAGACCAGGCTGGCGGGATGGTGACCCAGCCTCGGATGAGAAGCCTGATGGGGGCGACGAAAGGTCGCCTGCCGAGGACTCATAGCGCGCCGTAGCATCCATACCGGCGGCCACTCGTGGTCCTTGGGGATTCTCGGTGTGCAAACACGTATGAGGACAAAGGAAAATATTAGGGCGGGATAAAACAAATGAAAGAGAAGGATAGAAATGAGAGGGCCGGTTGCGATGTACGTGAAGGGCTCAGTCTCTCATTCCTTTAGCGCGAAAGCCGTGTAGGGAGGAGTGTGCCCAAGATGCAGTACGTATCAATTGCTGCCAACCATCGACAATGAAGAGGGCCACTCGATTTCACAGAAAAGTATAAATAAATATACGTATTCTTCCACAGTGCTGCAACAAGTGAAGGTCGCACTGAAAATGGCAAATGCCCCCAATCGCCCAAAATACTCAGGGTACACGGGATGGAGTGCAGGTCCTTGGCACGTATTGGTGGAAGTGACGCGATGCGGAAGATGGGGCGAGATTTTCGCAGGTGGGAGAGTGGGGCCTGGGAGCTGCGAATAGCCTCACAAACCACCAGGTCGGTCAGGCGTAGAGGGGACAGGACCACCAGGTGTTGGGGTTTGGCGCGCTCTAGGGGATGGAGATGAGGGGTATAGGCCTGCTAAAAAGGTGCAAAGAGTGCACCGGTCGCAGATGCACAAAATGCAGCTAAATTTAAGATGCCGCGCGCCCGTAATAATGACAGATTGATGGAAGTTGGGGAGAAAGTTGGTTGAATCGGCGGGTTTTGGTGTTGAGAAATGGTGGAAAGAAGGAAGTTTGGGAAAGGGGGCGGGAAAATGGGAATGGGGGATGGGAATGACTTCGGATTTTTTTTTGGAGGGGGCGACAACAACTACGAACATTGAGGAATACATTTCCTATTTCCCAGACTGTAGGGAAGACGAGAAAAAACGGGGCACGTAAACGGACAGGCAGGAGCAAAGTAGGTACAGGCAGGAGCGAGCCGGTGTCAGGAAAAGAGCAATTGGGAACCAAGTCGGCAGATGCAGGTCACAAGCCGGGGGAATGAGTCGAGAGTCAAGACACCAAGCTTCATTGTGAAGAGCCCCGTGGTCAAAGGTGGGAAAGCTCCAGCCAACCAATGCCAGCTCGGGGTGAGCATTGATGGCAGGGGTGTGGGCTGAATACGTCTGCGGCTAGGACGCAAGCTCGCAATCAGAGGACCACCAGCAGCCCCCAGAGTGATACGGCATGACCGCCTAGGGCTAGTGTGAGACTTCCGAAGCCAAGCAAAATTGAGACGAGGATTCACAAACTGGTACGTTTCCAGAAAGGGAGAGGTTTATCTTAGACGACCAGATATGCAAGAAAGTGGGGCAGGCCAGGAACAAGCAATGGCAATTGTGTTTCTCCACACTTATGGGAAGCAGGGGCTAATCGGAGATGCACTGCGACTGGCCCGCAGACGCGCTACGACGCGGCTATGTGGCCCGATAAGCGCGGTCAATTGTGCATGCAAAACGCCTTACTTCGCGACATGGATTGTGAGCCCTACCAAACGCGCTTTCCAAGAGAACATCGGAAAATGTCTTCAAGCGGCGATAGGACAAAAACTCGATATTGCTATCTTAGTGACAGTTTTCCAATCCGCGTGGTTTTTTTCCCACCTTCCCGTCGCTCTATCCCCGCCCGCGAATGTGACTGGTAGCACGCGCTCGGGCTTACGGAGCATGAATTATAGGCCTCACCTGCTGAGAAAATTATGCTATGGTTGCATAAGCCGTATGGACCCTCCAAATCGTATCCCCTTGAAATCTCGCACTGCAGCTAGTAAGGTAGCTCCCAACCTTCTGTGCCAGCGTATGTACAATGACCCTGGTTCTCGAAGCCTGTAACTCGAGAGCACAAAGATCGACGCTAATGCGACTCCACATCTGTAGTGGTACATAACTCCTTTCATTGCGGCCTCATAAACGAAATTGCCCATCATCTTCCATGAGGAATCAATCGGCATCTGGATAGGCTGAGTGAATGAAAATGCACTGCTGACTCCATGTGAATCATCTCATTCGCCCAGCGAATGTATATAGTTGATTATGTGATCAAAGCTTCAGCATCAAATAGGCATTTGCCGCCAACACGCCACATGTACCACAAGTACCACTGTCGCAGAAATGAAACAAAAAAGGTAAGTTTCAACCCAGGGGTTTCTGTGCTTGTGAGCTACCACACGTATCATGCTCTACATACCTATGTACGTAGCACGAAAGGCCCCTGTATGTCAGCTGCTTTACAACCTTGAGATGAGGTAAGTATCTGCCCCCATACGTAGTAAGTGATCCGAGCTCAACTTTTGTGCCACCCAAGTCGTGACAAGAAATATGAGACATTCATTGGAAGAGTGGTGTTGGATGGACTACTCTCTACGATGAATTGCAAGATTCAGAATGATAAACCGAAATAAAGTAATAATATAGACTGTATTCCTTCTCGAGCATGTAATTAGCACTCAATAATCCGATGATACCGGCCGCAGAAGTAAATCAATGTTTTTGAGCGTCTCAATTGCAATGTAACCTTCTATCCAAAAGTATATCCTGAACGCTGACAAGGACATGGGTCCCTAAGAAGTACCACCAGTAGTGCAGCCATTTAAGGCAGGGAGATGCGCTCCTAGCTCCCTTTAGTCATGACCTCAAAGTACCTTCGAGCGGGGCTTGCTCTCCACTTTCTTTTTTTTCAATCCCATCAAGTTTAAACCAACTCTCCGCTTCATCATCTACCTTCATTACCTACACAACAGGCGACATGGAGTCGGGTTCGCTCATAGGCGATATTGTGGAGAGAAAGACCGGCGCGGAGGCAAATGTTGAGTTCACCGACAACACGATCTCGTCAACCGGGTTTCCCAAACATAAACGCAGATGGAAATCCTCGGCCTTCAAACAAGGTCGCTCGCAAAATGTAAACGAAAGCGATGTGTCTCCAACGACAGGAAATTCTCGAAACGAGGGGCTCAATGGCGGGGCAAAGGAGGGCGGCCATACCTCTAGCTTCGAAGAGGTTGAACGAAAGCGCATCGACCACGAAAACCGTCAGAAAATCGACGACATGACACCAGAGGAGATTGCACAAGCTCAAAGAGACATCTTGAATGGGTTGAATCCCGCATTAATACAGCGTCTCCTTCAGCGATCAACAATCGATGACCCCGAACCCAACATTTTCGATTTGACTCAAAACGAACAGACTCAAAATTCGTCAACAACAACGCCTCCCGAGATTACCGTGTCAGCCCCCGACCGGCCAGCCAAGGCTCCCTCCCCTTCAACCGAAACGCAGACCGAAACTCGGCCACCCTTAAAAAACAAGAACATCGCAGACGATTATGATGAGGACGCCGAGCCTCCTCAACTCCCAGATTTATTCCCTATCACAGATCCTCCGAAATCAACACACTTTCCAGCACCCCCACAGGTCCCAGACCTTGATCCAGATGATCCCAACTTTCTCCAGAACTTACACGAAAAATACTTTCCAGAGCTGCCCTCTGATCCTAGCAAGCTAGCATGGATGGCACCGGTGCCGACACCAAATAGCGTTGCCGACAAAGAATCCCCATACTACCCCCATCCAGAAATCGCAGTATCTGCTCTGAGATTCGATTTCCGCGGTCGCTTCCTCTCGCCGCGGGTCAGCCGAACAATTCCCTCTTCCGTGGGGCTCCATCATCATGGCGAGGCTCCAGAGGCTGCTGGTTATACCATTGATGAACTCTCACGACTGGCTAGAAGCGCTGTCCCGTCTCAGCGCTGCATAGCATTCCAGACCTTGGGGAGGATTCTTTTCCGGCTGGGGAATGGCGAATGGGGTAAGACTGAAGACGATCCCATCGCTATGGGAGTGTGGAGCTCAGTGAAGAAGGGCAGGGCCATCGAGTCCTTAACCGAAGCTGCCACCATTGAGGGCGGCCATCGAGGAAGCCGAGCATACGCTACCGAGGCTTTGTGGCTATTTGAAAAGGGCGGCTGGAAAGAGAAATTTAAAGGAAGGTGAAAGTTATATGAAGAGAAGACGATCTCACAACTGGGCAGTAGCCCAACCGCTCACGGCCGTATCCAGAGCACTCGGCAGTGCTTATTACAATGCATCTCATGTGCCGTAATGTTGTCACCACTTGTATCAACTCATACTTGTGTGTAGCTGAATCACAAATGAAGGTGCATATATTGAGGAAATGGTGGCTATGGGCACTCGGACATATACAATGTGCCGCTCTGCGCTGCGAGGCTTCGCAATTTTAGATCTTGCGAATTACTGGCAACCAACCGTATTGGCATGCGGACCTCAGGACAACCATTAGGCAGTCGTGCATGAAATTGTTGGCAACAAAGCTAAAAATGGTATGTTCAGGTTCCCGCACACCATGATTGGGTACGTATGAGACAAACCCGATCAGAAAAGCTCAAGCGCATCCCCTGAACTACTGTAGTTCTTCAGAGCACAGAGGTAGGGTCCAGTTCTGTTCGTAGCGGGCGGGAATGTGCCCATATTGGTGTGTGAGATAGGTAGGTACAAACTGCATGTAGGTAGGCAATCTCACACCACCCTCTCCAGCTCTGTGTAAGATACCTCCCAACGTACGTAGACCGAGGCGCGCCCTGTCACCCAAGTGCAAACAAGCCATGGGCAATATCTCTGAATCAAAAGCGATCATGCAGCGATGCACGGCTGTCTCGTGACACATTACCAGTAAAGGTTGGGAGCAAGCGTCTCCTGTCTCACGAGACACCAGGGGAAAAAACCCGACACAGCTCAGTCGCCAGTAAGCTTGGCTCTCGTGAGAATCCCAGGCTCAGTACCCAATACCGCTGGCCCTGCCATTGGAGAACTCGGTGATAATCCGTTTTTTGCACAGTTCGTTCCCAATCACATGGAAGCCACAAACCGCCTTGATCCACTCGCTGTCCATTGCAGCCCGATAAGAGTTCAACAGTGCAGCCCAGAACTGTGCGCAGGCACTTACAAGCCTGGCTCACAGCGGCCAAGCGGAGTCTGATGTGCATGTCCGATTGGTTACACTGCTGAACTGACACCGCCCCTCGTTTACTAGGACCGAACGGGAAAGGGAAAAAATCAGATCGATTGGGAACAAAAACAATTCGACGCCCACTCTCACGGTCCTGGTTTTTATTCCTTGTTCCTCGTCCGTCTTCTCGCCAGCGCACCGCGACAGGCATCCGCCGCGCCAATTCCTCTCCCCTCTGGGTGTTTGACCATCCCGTTCATCTTTCGGCGTTCTTTCAGAAATTAATTATCTCTTCTCCCTCGGCCGTTGCTCCGCATAGCCACCACTCCGATTCCCAGGCGAACACTTCCCCCGCCACTCTCAGTCTCTGCCTTGTCGTTCGAGTTGTCAGCCCCCTGGTTCGCTTTTTCACACTTCTGGGCCAACACAGCAAATTACAACAAGCCTCACTGAGATTCGTGATCAAAAACCTTCGCTTTGGATCCGTTGCGACCCCGTCGGAAGCCTTCTCTCGATCGTTTCCCCAGTCTCGCCTCACCGCTCCCAGAGGGTCAACGATTGACTACCTGTGTCGATCGTCGAAGAGTAATCCCCGCCAACATCTTCTGAATTTCGCCTATCATCACCCACCCAAACCCCGCAAAGCTCCCGGGCTCTCTGTGACTTTCACTAGCCATGGCGACCCCGCTGCAGTTTGCGTACCGAACCCAAAAGACCATTGGTCTTTTCGATGCCGCGCCCGCTTACGAGTCTGTCGCTGGGTTCAACAAGCCTGAGGGGAATCTACGATGCTGCAACTACTCTCCCTGCGGCCGGTTCTTCGGCTGGGCCTCGCCAGATGCCGTCAATGTAGTCGATTCTTCAAGTGGTCAGGAGGTCCTGAGTCTACCAATCACCAACGTATACGAAATCGGCTTCTCGCCGCGCGGTACCTTCATCATCACCTGGGAACGACCTGCTAAAGATGAGAATGGCGATGCAACCAAGAACCTCAAGGTATGGCGCACTCTCGAGGAGGGTGTCGCTGGTGCCGACAAGCAACCACTCGGCAAGTTCGTTCAGAAGCAGCAAGGGAACTGGAATCTGCAATATACGGCCGATGAGAAGTATTGCGCTCGTCTCGTTACAAATGAAGTTCAGTTTCACGAGAGTCATGATCTCGTGACAGTCTGGAACAAGCTCAGAATCGAGGGCGCAGCAAGCTACGCACTTGCACCAGGGACGCAAAACCATGCTGTTGCCGTTTTCGTTCCTGAGCGAAAGGTACGTTGTAAACCGAATATCTTGCCGATGACCACATGCTAATTACGTTTGATAGGGTCAACCAGCTGCGGTTAAGGTGTTCAATGTGCCGTTGTTCAACGCTCCCACTTCTCAGAAGACTTTTTACAAGGGAGACAAGGTTCAATTCAAGTGGAACAAGCAAGGGTCAAGTCTGCTCGTACTGGCACACACGGAAGTTGACAAGACCGGAAAGAGTTACTACGGCGAAACGACCCTGTATCTCATGAGTACCAGTGGTTCCATCGACGCACGTGTGACCTTGGATAAGGAAGGCCCTATCCATGACGTCTCTTGGTCGCCAAATTCCAAGGAGTTTGGTGTCGTTTACGGGTACATGCCAGCCAAGGCTACCATCTTCAACCACCGTGCCATTCCTCAGCACTCTTTCCCTCTTGGTCCCCGAAACACCATTACTTTCTCACCAAACAGCCGCTTCGTTCTGGTTGCAGGCTTTGGTAACCTTGCAGGTCAGATTGACATCTATGACCTCCAGAAGGACTATCGAAAGATATGTACCATCGAGGGCGGTAACCCCAGTGTCTGCGAATGGAGCCCCGACAGTCGATACATTATGACCGCAACTACCTCCCCACGTCTTCGTGTGGATAATGGCATTAAGCTTTGGCACGTCAGCGGAGGCATCATGTACAATGAGGACATGGTGGAGCTATACCAGGTCGAGTGGCGTCCCTCGGCTCCAGGAAGTGTTGCCAGTGGTGATCCACTAGCACCAATTCCTGCTGCTCACTCCTCGGCGACGGACTATCTTGGTAAGGTCAAGACACCAAGCAAGCCAGTGGGAGCCTACCGTCCTCCGGGCGCTCGTGGTCTATCCACTCCCTTGCACTTCAAGCGAGAAGATGAAGGCGGTGCTGCTCACTTTGTCAGCAACGGTACACAGAACGTTGGGCCCAGTGGCTTCGGCCGCGCTCGCCGCGCCGTTCCCGGAGCTGAGCCACTAGAGGCATCGCCTCCTATCAGGTCCGTGCCAGGTGCTGAGCCTATAGGTGACGGTGATGCATCGAAGAAGAACAAAAAGAAGCGAGGCAAGAAGGGCGGCCAAGGCGATGGCAAGGCTGAGGCGGAACCCAGTGGAGGCGCCAGCCTCGCTCCGCCACCCCGTGATCATGCTCCTGGCTCAAACGGTGAGGGCCGCAGCCCAGAGCGCCGTGGTAATAACGGCCGCAATCACCGGAGCCAGTCCAGGCATGACGGAAACAGAAACCGAAGCAACACTCAGCAGGGTGCTGCACGGGGCAACAACGGCGCTAACCCCGCTGCGCAGCAGCAGGGAGGACAGCCTGCTGCCAATGGTTCTCAGGTCTCCCAGGACCCCAACGCAAAGAAGATTCGCAGCCTGCAGAAGAAAATCAGGGCGATTGAGGATCTCGAGATGCGACTCGCCGGCGGTGAGAAGCTGGAGGATACTCAGTTGAAGAAGATCAACACGAAGGCTTCGGTTCTCAAGGAGCTCGATGCTTTCGGTGCTGAGGTTTAGACGAGACGATGGAGAAGCGGAGACACCTCCATCCTGGAACGTCGGATAAACATGGTGAAAACACAGGATCTAGGTAGGGTCGGGGTCAAAAAGGTCCTCAAAGACTATGTATCAGATCTCGAGGCATGTATGCCTCTGTCGCTGGATAATTGTGTTCTTGGTCTTTGGAAAATAAAAACTGCTGTTGGGGGGGATTGTTTACGTGGATTGCCTCCCAAGTTAGTACTCGAATGAAGTTCGCTTTCGAGGTAGATACAGAATCCATAATAGGGGGCCCAGAAAGCAGAATATACAACATAGCTCGCTCCATGGCCAAAAAGGCTATGGGGCCAAAAAACCACTCTCATCTTTACACTTTTGTCTCCTTGCATTTTTTGCCGTGACGGTTTGTCTACTCGTCTCTTCGTGATATCCCTATATTGCTACGTTTCCCATGGTTCGTTGTACTATCCAGGCAATGATCAACCTACCCTATACAGCCCTTCTGGATGTCTCAACGAGCACAAACGAAAAGAATCATGTGAAAATATCTAATGTCTACAGATATTAGGCAGCAATTTGATGATTTTTGGGTAGTATTTGGAAGTCGATTTTACCTCTATACCTCCTAATAATATAATTCTTTCGAGCTGAGTGTTGGCGCATAAGTGTCACGAGAGCACCAGGCAGAGTGAGTCAGCTATCACTCTTACATCAAGGACCACAACACATCCAAAGTTTCGGCAACGGCAGGCGTCACATGGAGGCGAAGCCATGCTAATCACCCGGAGATTGATAATCAGGCCCCTACGTACGTGGCAGTTCGAGAGCGAGTCGTCGAGCCTGGCCACGACAGACATGAAACATTTAGCAAAAGTGTCCCAGTCACCACCCAAACATGAGAAGTCTCTCGGGTACTGGACCTGGACCACGGGGTGTGCAACGCGACCGACCAGGGCAACTTTCGAGTCAGAAGTCGGGGCTCGACGAGTATCAAACTGCTCTGACCCAAGGGGGCACACACACTCACCGCATCCTACGAATGCTACCTGCCACGTAATGGCCCTGAAGATCGGTTCTCTCACCATAACGCAGCCTGGGGCAGGCAGCAGAAGATTGAATCAGATGCACACCAGCCCCAGTCCAGGGATTCCACAGCCGTTCTGGACTTGGTAGGCCGCCACAGTTTGGCACCGTCCGCCGTCGATCCTCTTAGCAGTGGTGTGAGCGGGCTGCTACAGCATCTGTCGATTCAAGCCACACGCATTGGGGGAGGGGATGAGAGGGGCCATTCATTCTCAGCCTGTCAATAGGATGTCGTCTTTCCATCCTCACGCTTGCCAAGGCTCTGACTCACGCGCATGGCCCCCTTCCCCGCATCTCTATCAGACCAACCACCAGCTCTGAAGGAGCTGATATGGGAGAAGGCCTGCCTGCCTGTTGCCTGCCTACGTTCCCCCCTCGCGCATTCAGCATGAGCCCTACAGCTGGCATGGGAGGCTTCCGATTGCTGGTGGCCCGGCGCAAGGAGTTGCAACCCTTCCCAGCCGAGTCTACACAAGGCCCCAAGCCTCATCTCTGCTTTGCCACGTACCTTTGTTCGTGCGTGGAGCATCCCACTCGCCTCCCCCCACCCATGTATGTGAATGAATTGCATACTGAAAATGTATAGGCTGGGGCCCTTAGAGTAAAGGCCGCGGGTGGCTAGAGGGTTAAGATGAGGGGAGGAAGCAAAGAGGAAAAGGCGGTAACTTCCACTTTTCGCCGAGGGTCCTTTGGTCTAGGCGCTGTCGAGATGAAACAACGGCCTGCGCTGTGCGTCAATGGCATCGGCGATTAACCTGGTGGCAGTCACGGGAGGAAACAGAAGCGACGGACCAAGCAACGGGTAACGGGACGGCGGGACACTCATGGACGTCATGTTTTCCATTTTCATTTGGGACGAGTGCGATTTGTGGATGGGATATTTCAGCGGAAAACGCCACGATCTTCCTGCGTGTATAGACCCGTGAAGGGATCATGCTTGTTCGAATTCTGGGCTGACGAGGGGGTGGAGGCTACGGGCAGCTCGACGACCCACGTTGGAGCAAAGATAAGTAATCAACTCGGGGGTTAATAACAATGGCCCTACCAGTCTACCTAGTGTTAAGCGCTTAGGAGAGGGGATTATTAGAGCGGGTGAAAGCACACGAATGGGCATGTGGCCGAGCGCAACTGTGTAGGTGCTTACAGCTCGGAAATTGATCATTTAGAAGCCCATGTTCCCAGAGGCATGGTTGCAGCAGAGCTTCCCTACAGGAAGAAAATACCCCGAGCTTGAGATAAACGGGCGGGATTTGTAGTCAGACATAACCGAGAAGGGCCACAATAATCGCTGGATTACCGAGCCTTGTTCGCTGCGGTCTTTATGTTCAGCCCGTTGGTTTCGGTCAGTTCGGAATAATAATACTCATGCTTCGCCGTAGAGCCGTATTACTATGCTGTTCGGCTAGATATGCGGCGCAAATGACACGGAATGTGCTAGTGTATGATAGTGTTTTTTTTTCTCGCAGAGGAGCGTGGAAGCCGTTGGACTGTTTCGTTTGCTGGCTAGCTTATGCTAACTAATACCACGACGATGGATGTTGGCTCAACACGAGCTATTGCGACGAAGCAACTCTGGTCCCTGACCGACCAGTGGGGGTTCCCAGATCCGCGGTCTTCAAAATGGCAATGTCGATGAAGGTCAACGTCATGAAGTGCCATTCCAGGCATAAGAGGCTCAATACTGCAATCCTTCCATTGAACGACCCTCGTCCATTGGGGCCGCTTAGGACATGCATTGAAATACGATGCGGTGAGTCTTACTTTTGCAGTATCGATTTACGAACATGGCTGCTGTTTGCGGGGCGCCATAGGTGTTTCCCATATGTTGATTCTGATATTATATTATTCTTTTCCCAATTCGCGGTTTACACCTTCTCTTCTGCTGATTCTAGGCCCGCGGGCTGCACCCAGGGTGCTGGGTCTGCCCCTGCACCACAGCTTGTGAGAATTTTGCGGGAGAGCTGCGATCGGTGGCTACGCGCCTGATCGGTGTGAGATGGCTGGGCTGGGGGTCAGCCAATATCCAGCAACTAATATAACCAACAATGCCGGGCGACAGTAGGGCAGCGTCAAAAGGGCACGGACTGGGTTATTGCGTGCTGTTTTCCCCTCTCATCGCATAGTGCATTGAGTCCGTCCTACTGTATCTGGAAGGACAGAGCCAGACTATTGCTTCCAGGGATCGAGAGGGACCTGGGTTAGCCACAGCGCATGCTGGTCGTGGACGGTGGCGGCGTGCAAGCGGAAAGACGACCGCACTCCCCATCCAACGGCCTTAGTTCCAAAATGGGTTAACTGGCTCTGTTGGATGGAGAGGAGCGCCCGGAGGGTATTCTCCCTAGGCCGACACGGCCACAGAGGGCTTAAGATTTGATGTTTCAGCTTTCGCCACCAGGAGCGTCTTCAAATCACCGATTTTTTGAGGTGCTCCTACACGCTGTGTACATAGGTATGTGGTGTGTACGATGATGGCATTGTACATCATATCCCTTTTTTCGTTTGCTGCACGGGCCCGATCGCTGTTCCCCCGGGACCGGATGGGCTGGTAATTGGCGGATATAAAAAGAAGGAGCGTGGCTTTTAGCGTCCATGTGATGGAGAAAACCGATAGGGTTGCAAAGAAAAGGCATGTTGCGGTCGGCGAAATAGCCACAGGCAGGTGACAATTACCTACATTGCTCGTCCAGAAGTGGTGATGGAGATGCAAATCCGCGGGTTGGGGTGTGGCGTCGTCAGCCTCTCGCCACATCAGATGTTGATCATCTCGCGTTGAACAAACCTAAGCCACAACGGTCGGGGAACACGTACGGCTGCGACGCTGAGGGCAGCCCTTCCACCCCACGCCCGCTGATCCGAGATTGGAGAATGGCACGCTCCAGCTGGCGAGATACATCGGCCCGTCGTCGAGAAGAAAATTGCCCAGGGGGATTGTCGGCACGCCCAGATTCTTGGTGCATGCTTATCGTTCCATAGCCGCCCCAGCGCCTGGGGCCCAGCCATGGGAGTTGAAATGATGGCGGCTGTTGTGAGCGAGGGGAGGGGTGTGGGTGCACCCACTGTGGCTTCCGCTTGGTCTCCCAAGGCCGCTAGCCCAGCACTACTCTATGTGTAATTGATCAGGGTAAGCCGGTGGGACAAAATGGCCTGATGTTTGGCTGGGCGATTGCGTTAGATCTGACCTCTTTCATTGTGCTGGAGTCTAGATCTTCTCGGCACCTTTGTTCGTACAAACTCTCAACGTGGGGGAGATCGGTCGAGCTGTGATAAGGTTGCTGCACAGCCACACGGATGAGCAGCGGCTATTCGGCGCGAGTGCCTCTTGCCGATCAATAGATCACAACACGAGAGACAATCACTGTGATGGTTGCGAGAGTTGCGCGTCCAGGAGGGCAGCGGTGCGCCACTGAGGCTGGTGGTGCTACCTGATGACCCAATGCAATGTGCAATGTGCAGCCTGCAGACGTCTTCGTAGCCACCGGGTGGAAACAACATGGTTGTGAAGCTGCTTGTCGTTGGCGTTGTTGGTCTCTTAGTGTGCCCACACCAGCGAAGCGGTTTGGAGTAAGCCCACATGGTGTGGCTTAGCCCAAAACTCTCCCTCGCTTTCTCTTTGTTATTCGCCACCACAGCCCGGGTCATTGAGGGGAAGATGAGGAGGAGGCTTGCCAGTTGAGCGTTGGAATTAGTCGATTGAGGTTACGAGCGCGAAAATTCTGCAATACAGAGCAAAGGCAAATTCCAGCCGGGCCATCACCTGCTAGCGGCAGTGATTGGACCAGACGCTAGTATCGCGCATGATCCACAGCAACGGTCCCGGCTAGGTAGTTGCACTTTCTCTTCGAATTGGAAGAATAGCATCTAAGAGAAAGAGCAACTGCGTTTTTATTCACTGTCGATGCGGTGAACTGCTGTGCGCAACTCCGTCCAAGCTGGAT